GTCAAAACCTAAATCATCACAAAAAGGTAGACATTCTGTTCGGTTCTCCAATCAAGGGTCTGATGTTAGTAGCCACAGGAGCGACAGTTTGTCCCAGTTCAAGTCGAAGTACATGTCTTCTGAGGAAATAGAAGGCATTCTTAAATTGCAACATGCTGCAACCCATGGCAAGGACCCCTATGTATATGATTACTACCACCAGGCCAGCCTTGCTAAGAAATCTTCCGAAACAAGATCAGCAATTCGATTCTGCCCATCCAACCAGAAGGAGCAATCTTCCCGATCTCGTAATGCTCCAGAACCAAAGCCACATCTCCATGTTGATGGTCTTGGAAGGCTTTGTTTTTCTACAGTTCGAAGGCTCCGCCCTCTTCTTGAATTCGACCCTCCTCCCTCTGCTTGTGGAGATAGTAGTGCTGAACAGACATTATCTGATAAGTCTTTGGAACAGGAACCGATGTTTGCAGCAAGGATAACAATTGAGGATGGGCTGTATCTACTTCTGGATGTGGATGATATCGATCGGCTTTTGCAGTTTACTCAACCCCAAGATGGGGGAAGCCAGCTTAGGCAGAAGCGCCATGTTCTTTTAGAAGGCCTAGCTGCCTCCCTTCAGCTTGTTGACCCTCTTGGAAAAGGTGGGAACTCTGTTGGGCTGTCTAACAAAGATGATATTGTGTTTCTCCGCATAATTTCTGTTCCCAAAGGCCGGAAGCTAATCTCAAGGTTTCTTCAGCTTCTTCCACCAGGTAGCGAACTTGCTCGAATTGTTTGCATGGCTATCTTCCGCCATCTGAGATTTCTCTTTGGGGGGCTACCTTCTGATCCAGAAGCTGCAGATACTGTTAATGATCTTGCTAAAACTGTGTTTGTGTGCGTTAGCGGCATGGACCTTAATGCACTTAGTGCTTGTTTGGCTGCTGTTGTTTGTTCCTCGGAACAACCACCTCTTCGTCCACTTGGGAGCCATGCTGGAGATGGTGCCTCGTTTATCTTAAAATCTGTTTTAGAAAGAGCCACTCACTTGCTACGAGATCCTCATTCTACTAGCCAGTTTGGCATGGCTAATCCTGTTCTTTGGCAGGCATCATTCGATGCCTTCTTTGGTCTCCTGACGAAATACTGTGTGAGTAAATATGATAGTATACTGCAATCACTCATTACTCAAAGTCCTCAGAGCACGGAATTGCTTGGCTCAGAGGCTGCTAAGACTATCAGCAGGGAGATACCTGTGGAGCTTCTCCGTGCTAGTGTCCCGCACACTGATGAAAGCCAGAAGAAACTGTTAATGAATTTCGCTCAGCGATCCATGCCTGTTGCTGGGGTCAATACTCATGGTGGAAATTGTGGACAGGTAAATCCTGAATCAGTGAGAGGCTAGCTGAGAAGGCAACAAGTTGCATTGAAGCTATTTGTTGTACAATGATTTTTGCGGCATCTGCCCCTACGATGGTTGCTACGCTTGCTGATTCTGCTAATCTCAGCGCGAAGATGGAGTCATGGAGGATTGTATATTTTGGGTGGAATTTATTAAGTACAAGTGTGCATTTCTTGTAATCCAATGCCTATGGTCGGTAAATCCTTTGCTTGCTCTCTTCCCCACCCGTACTTGGATCCTTCCCTTTCTACTTTTTCTGCAGGAGTGTATATTCTGCCTGTTTCTCGAACGTAGTGTATCTTGCATAGCTCTTATGGAGTAGTTTTATTATACCATGAGAGCTTTATTTGACAATGTTGTACAGGGAGAGAGGACTATGGGGATCTTGTGTGTGTGTGTTTGTGATGTGGATTTGTACAGGTAGGTGAGCCATTGAGAGTGGAGATGCTTGTCTCTCCCCTTTTACTCATATGGCTTGGTGAAATAAACAATTGTTGTTCATGTGAAGAATTTAGAAAGTTGTCGTCGACCTTTAGCAACAGCAGCAGCCTCAGCAGAGAAAGATGAGGTTTGGAGTAGTGTGTCCAGGTTAATCTGGAATGACAGAGATTCTCAATTGTTGAATGATAGGTTCTTACTTCTCTACTTGTAGAACAAGTAAATAATAGCATGTTGTTTATTTGTCCAAGCTGTGTTTCTAATTAGGAATGTAATAGGAGTGGATATTTCTCACTTTGTATATGTAGTGTGGGATATCTGACAAACACAAACACAAACACAGGCAAAGTATATAAAAATGAAGTCTTTGCTTCAATATTTGGGCATTGCTGTATGCATCAAATGTTCAATAAAAAACCAAACACAAGCAAATTACATAAATATACATGCATTAGTTGTTCCTTTAACTTTTTCCCATGTATTCTAATCTTCTTATATTAGCTACCCTTTTCAAAGAAAAGAAAAAAAGTATATTAATCATCTTATACCAATAACAATAAGACATGGATTATTGATTTGAATATTTCGCTTGAATGAAACAAATTACTATGGCAAGAACACTTGTCCTCTATATTAACAACTAAACAATGTATTGAGCATTGCATTGCTCTCTCTCTCTTTCTCTGCCAAAATGTGTGGTATAATAGCCATGCCGTTTGTTTTTAATACTACTACAAAATACAAAGGACGTAGTTAAATAGCAGAAGCATGATATTGCAAAGAATTCCATGGAAGAAAAGCCTGTCATAATATAACCGGGCTCGACACTATGCCTTTGTCTCTCTCTCTCTCTCTGTGTCTAACCATCATCATATTCATTACTTAGTACCTCTATACATGGCAGTGCCTTGTAGTTTGTCATGGCACATCACTGTATGTCGATTACAACTCAGTCGTGGGGCTGGGAGCCTGATTCAGTTTCAGCCTGATCAGACTTGGTGTGGTCCTCTGTGGTAGAAGACGTTGGTGGCTCATCATCAGATGGGGAATCAGTGGGCACTTGATTTGTCACCATCGCTCTCAATCTCTACCTTGATTGGTTTCTCAATTTTCGGCTTTGGCTTCGGAATTCTGTTAACTTTGGTAACCTATATGCCAAGTGAATGTGACAGAATGAACATCATCAGGTAATGCAACTGTTGTGGAAATATCTCAAACTAGTCTACTGTTATGCAAGTGCTCATGAACAAGTGAACATTTCATCCCTTCTTATATACAAAGAACAACAGACAATTAATTACCTTTTCCTGGAGATCGAGAATCTTCCCGTATACTTCATCAGATTTAAATGCAGGTTTGCTATAATCAGAAGTCCTGTTGGAAGCAACATCCAAATTTTAGATGCAAAAATAGATTATAGTAGAACAATCCTGTTGAGCAGTTTAACATATCAAACAATTTGCCATGCTAATCTACATTTCTTCATCGAGCATTATCCATGTGACCTAATGGTATGTGCAATACAATCTACAAATACATGGTACATTACCCGCCAAGCCAGCTCAAACACTTGTCTTCAATGAACCATAACTAAAGAGCAAGGTTGTCACGGCGCTTTTTGCCGGAGCGGCGCCTATCGACCGCCATGGCGACAAAATGGCGAACACGGCGTACTATATATAATTTATATATATATTATGTGTTATAAGTAAATAATATTTACGGTATATTTTTTTTTATTTTGTTAAAAAAATTTTAGTTTGAATTTGGTATAAAAATAAAGTTTAATAAGATATTTTGTTAGAAGAAAAAATATACTCCCTCCGTCCCTTATCTATCTAAAAAGGAAAATTGATATTTTTTTATGAAACGCACCAAAATAAAAAAATTGATAGATTGTTAATGGAATAATTTCTTTTTAAAAAGAGGTTTGGTGCAAAAGAAACATATCCTAAATAATTCAACAAGAAATAATACATAATAATGCAATATGATGTTACTATGATAGTATAACTAAAGAAATAGCACTACTAGAATTAGTGGAGTCTTAGTCTAGAAAGCTAAAGCACATTGAGATTAAAATCTTGGAAGTCTAAATCTTTCGATACTAAATAAAACATTCAGTGGGATAAAGCAGCGAAATGAAGTTGCAAATTGGGAGAGATCAAAGGGAAGAGAAAGGATGGCTAATTAGGGTTCGATTGAAGGTTTACCAGTGTCCACTTTTGGACAGCGGATGCGGGTTTCATGTTAAAAAAAAAAAAGAAAAAAGAAAGAAAGAAAGAATGACAAGCATTTATTTGAATCAAGTTGAACAAAAGAAAAGACGCATGCAGTAGTGGCTACAGAAATAAAAGAAAACAAGGTATAATACGGTATATTCATTATCTTTCAAGGTGATAATATCTAAACAGAAAGAATAATAAAAATATCATCAAGGAGGTATTTATTAATTTGGGATGGGATATTTCAGATCAATTAATTATTTAATAGCAGAGTGTTGGGAATTAAGTGAAGCAATTGAAAGCTTCCACCTAATTAAATGTTGATTATTATGGATCATCATTACCTATTAATAAATAAATATATATATATATATATATGTAAACAAACACTATCATCAACACAGAATACGCAAATAAGCCTAAAAATTGACTTCACTTTAAAGTATCCAAATATTAAATTTTATTTATTCAAAATTGTTAAAAAAAAATTAAAATTATCACTATATATATTTTAAAAAGATGGGATCGGATTTTTACTCAATTTTTTATCGTCTGTCGGCTTAGATCTGAAGGATCAGATATATTAAATAATGTGACACACACATATTGGAACCTTCATTGAATATACTGAATCCAATTAAAACAAATAATAGTTTTAAATTAAATATTGAACTTTAATTTCAGTTAGTTGGTAGAGTGGGTTTGTCTGATTTTATTTTTTATTATTTAAAAAATATAGTGTTGGAGCTGGGCGGGGTAAATAAACATTTAATAGGGGAAATTTGGTAGAATGAAAAACTGAGGGGAGGTAAATGGAAAAGAAGAAAACCTTAGGGGTGTCACTGTGAACGGTTGCCGTACCTGATTGCTTTTTGGACGGCAGCAAACAAATAATAATAATATTACTTTATATTAGAGAGATACAGCTATACATACAAAACTCGCTATATCTCTCTCTCCCTTCTTTTTTCTCTCTCCGCCTATACATACATTCGTGCATATATATCTTACACATCTCTCTCTCCAGCTACAAAACAAATATATACACAGACAAGAATAGGCACGATTTAATCGCTCACTGTTTCTTTCTGTATCTCAGTGGGTGGAAATTTCTCTGTCTGTTTCTAAACCCTAATTGCGAAGTATCGGTGCGGTGGAGAAAATAAGGAGGGTTTGTTGGAGGAGGGGGTGATCTTTCGTTTCGTCGTCTATTTGGAACTGGAGTCGTTGTCATGGAGAGATCCGACGCCAAAGATTTCAATGATTTCATCGACCCATCCGGCAGCTCATCTTCTGGTTCGTATCTTCTTACTCCTCCATCCTTGCCCTGTTTATTTTGTGTTTCATTACCTCTATTTGTATTAATTTTTGGCTTCGATCCGTGGCTATTTTATTTGTTTGTTTTTTCTTTTCTTTTTTTTTTTTTGATTTGCGAGGAGGGGATCTGCTGATTTTTTATTTTTCCCTGCGATGAGATTGATTAGCTTGACATGGATGTGATTTTTCTGCTGACTTTCTGTGGATTGGTTTCTTGATTGTGTCACGCAGGTAGTGCAATGTTCGATGCATCTCGGTATGCGTTCTTTGCAAAGGATATAATGGATGAAGTAGAAATAGGGGGTTTGGAATATGAAGAACAGGGTGTTCCTGGAAGTGGCGTCGACGAAGAGTTGAATGAGTACCATTTGTTCAAAAAAGATGAGGTTCAAATAAATGGTTTATGTTTTTGGAATTTAAATATAGCATGGAAGTTTAGTGATTCTGCTGATGCTGATCATTAATGTCACTTGGAGTTCATATATTTGTTTATGTCTGGATGCCTTTTGCTTATAACTGCAAGCACATCTTTTTACCATTTCGGAGTGACATGGTCATGATTATCAGTATGATTGCATTTTATGAACAGTTATCTTCATGCTCCTAATGTGTACCTGATGAATGATGATCTCTGACATATAATTTTGTTTTTACCAGGGCTCAGCATTAGGATCATTATCTGATATAGATGATCTAGCTACTACATTTGCCAAAGTAAGTTGCTCTGGACCTAATATTCTCACTTAATTTCTCACACATTCCCTTTTGAGCTGTTGCTCTCAGTTGGTTATACATTAGTAGGTCATGAGCATCTTTTGCTTCTATTCAAATTTCATTTTGTGATGTTACAAGATCTCTATGAAAGTTATATACCAAGCATAAGCCACGTGCTTTTCCACGACACCATATGATCCCTATGAAAGTTAAAGGCCATGTTTCTGCAAGTGTGTTTTCAAACTGAAATAGATGGTAATTATTTTTTATAAAAATAAATGGCATCAAGTCTCTTGGAACATTTTAGCAATCTTTCTGCAGGCTTCTGCATTCTACACTTGAAACAACACTGTATTGTTCCGTTTAACCATTTCTCTTTGTCCACCCCGTGCAGTTGAATAAAGTTGTTTCTGGACCAAGACATCCCGGAGTGATTGGAGATCGAGGATCTGGATCTTTCTCAAGAGAGAGTAAGTCATGTGATTTTCTTCTAATAAATTTCAGTATCATGATTGTATTGAAGCTATGTGTTCTGGTGTGTTTAGTGATTGTTGCATTGTACACAGCATATATTGACAAATATATTGTTTTTTTTTTCCCTTACATTTACATAAAAATACTAGTTTGTTATGATTCAGTCATTTTTGTAATGGGTTTCAAATTAAAGTTATTCCACTTCCATAGTTTTGTTTCTATTTGGCTAGGATAATTCAAATGACTACCAGAAAAAAAAGGCAAACATGAAGAACACGGGTATCTCTAATAAGTTAGATTGTATGATATAATGTAGAGTTGATTTATTAACAAAGTTACGTTTTCACCTTTGAGCTGATACATTTTACTTAACAGAAGCTGCTCTTTGATAGAATTGATGCCCAACTATTTTAGTATTTATTCTAATAATGTTCCATGAACAATTAAAAGAAAAATCCTGACCAGCTATATGGTTCATTTGACCAAACTAGTTGCTAAAGGCTGGATGATAGTTTTAATGTTTAGAAGAAGATGTCGATGGCAAAGTACCTTTATGAATTGAGTAGTAGCCCATCATCACTGGCTTTAAGCTATGAAGTGTTTTAACTGCGGTTGCATGCGTAGGCCTGAGTTGAGTGCCCTAGATATTCATGTTGTTGTGTACTAATTTCTCAATTTTCTGATTAATAATGGATCTTACAGGTTCATCTGCTACAGAATGGACACGGGAGGCAGATTTTCCTGATTGGTTTGACCATCACATGTCTGATTCGGAATGTTATGAAGAAAATAAAAGATGGTCATCACAGCCACACATCTCTTCAGTGCTTCATCCTGGATCACAACCATTATACCGAACATCATCTTACCCACAGCAACCGCAGCAGCTGACACGATTTTCTAGTGAGCCTATCTTAGTCCCCAAATCATCTTTTGCTTCCTTCCCCCCACCGGGATCTCAACAAGTTTCTCTGAATAATTCACATCTTAACCTATCATCTCTTTCGAGTGGATCTCAGTCACCTTTCTCTGCACAGAACAGCTCTCCTCTATCTAATTCCACTCTACATTTATCTGGTTTGCCCCATGGCTTCCGTTATGGTACAAACTTGTCGCAGCTGACCTCACCTAACCTCTCTCAAAACTATCATCTTCAAAATCATTGGAATAGCCATGCTGGCCTTCTTCATGGGGATCACTCCGTCTTATTAGAAAACATACTACAGCATCAGTATCAAAATGGTTTATTACCTTCGCAGCTGATATCTCCCCAGCTGCAAAGACACCTCTCAGTTCAACCGAACTTGGCCCGTTTATCAGCTGTACATTCTCAAATATTTAATAGTGTTCCTTCATCATCACATCTGAGTAAATATAGACTGGCTGACAAGAGAGAGTCAAAACCTAAATCATCACAAAAAGGTAGACATTCTGTTCGGTTCTCCAATCAAGGGTCTGATGTTAGTAGCCACAGGAGCGACAGTTTGTCCCAGTTCAAGTCGAAGTACATGTCTTCTGAGGAAATAGAAGGCATTCTTAAATTGCAACATGCTGCAACCCATGGCAAGGACCCCTATGTATATGATTACTACCACCAGGCCAGCCTTGCTAAGAAATCTTCTGAAACAAGATCAGCAATTCGATTCTGCCCATCCAACCAGAAGGAGCAATCTTCCCGATCTCGTAATGCTCCAGAACCAAAGCCACATCTCCATGTTGATGGTCTTGGAAGGCTTTGCTTTTCTACAGTTCGAAGGCTCCGCCCTCTTCTTGAATTCGACCCTCCTCCCTCTGCTTGTGGAGATAGTAGTGCTGAACAGACATTATCTGATAAGTCTTTGGAACAGGAACCGATGTTTGCAGCAAGGATAACAATTGAGGATGGGCTGTATCTACTTCTGGATGTGGATGATATTGATCGGCTTTTGCAGTTTACTCAACCCCAAGATGGGGGAAGCCAGCTTAGGCAGAAGCGCCATGTTCTTTTAGAAGGCCTAGCTGCCTCCCTTCAGCTTGTTGACCCTCTTGGAAAAGGTGGGAACTCTGTTGGGCTGTCTAACAAAGATGATATTGTGTTTCTCCGCATAATTTCTGTTCCCAAAGGCCGGAAGCTCATCTCAAGGTTTCTTCAGCTTCTTCCACCAGGTAGCGAACTTGCTCGAATTGTTTGCATGGCTATCTTCCGCCATCTGAGATTTCTCTTTGGGGGGCTTCCTTCTGATCCAGAAGCTGCAGATACTGTTAATGATCTTGCTAAAACTGTGTTTGTGTGCGTTAGCGGCATGGACCTTAATGCACTTAGTGCTTGTTTGGCTGCTGTTGTTTGTTCCTCGGAACAACCACCTCTTCGTCCACTTGGGAGCCATGCTGGAGATGGTGCCTCATTTATCTTGAAATCTGTTTTAGAAAGAGCCACTCACTTGCTACGAGATCCTCATTCTACTAGCCAGTTTGGCATGGCTAATCCTGTTCTTTGGCAGGCATCATTCGATGCCTTCTTTGGTCTCCTGACAAAATACTGTGTGAGTAAATATGATAGTATACTGCAATCACTAATTACTCAAAACCCTCAGAGCACAGAATTGGTTGGCTCAGAGGCTGCAAAGACTATCAGCAGGGAGATACCTGTGGAGCTTCTCCGCGCTAGTATACCGCACACTGATGAGAGCCAGAAGAAACTGTTAATGAATTTCGCTCAGCGATCCATGCCTGTTGCTGGGGTCAATACTCATGGTGGAAATTGTGGACAGGTAAATCCTGAATCAGTGAGAGGCTAGCTGAGAAGGCAACAAGTTGCACTGAAGCTATTTGTTGTAAAATGATTTTGAGCAGCGTCTGCCCATATGTTGGCTTCTACGCTTGCTGATTCTTCTAATCTCAGCGCGAAGATGGAGTCATGGAGGATGTGTATATTATGGTGGAATTTAATAAGTGCAAGTGTACTTTTCTTGTAATCCAATGCCTACGGTCGGTAAATCCTTTGCTTGCTCTCTTCCCCACCCGTACTTGGATCCTTCCCTTCTACTTTTTCTGCAGGAGTTTATATTCTGCCTGTTTCTCGAACGTAGTGTATCTTGCATAGCTCTTATGGAGTAGTTTTATTATACCATGAGAGCTTTATTTGACAATGTTGTACAGGGAGAGAGGACTATGGGGATCTTGTGTGTGTGTGTGTTTGTGATGTGAATTTGTACAGGTAGGTGAGCCATTGAGAGTGGAGATGCTTGTCTCTCCCCTTTTACTCATATGGCTTGGTGAAATAAACAATTGTTGTTCATGTGAAGAATTTAGAAAGTTGTCGTCGACCTTTAGCAACAGCAGCAGCCTCAGCAGAGAAAGAAGAGGTCTGGAGTAGTGTGTCCATGTTAATCTGGAATGACAGATTCTCAATTGTTGAATGATAGGTACTTCTCTTCTACTTGTATGACAAGTAAATAATAGCATGTTTATTTGTCCAAGCTGTGTTTCTAATTAGGAATTTAATAGGATTGGATATTTCTGATTTTGTATATGTAGTGTGGGACATCTGACAAACACAAACACAAGCGAAGTATATAAATATGAAGAAGAATAGATGCAAAGTCTTTGCTTCAAATATTTGGGCATTGCTATATGCATCAAATGCTCAATAAAAAACCAAACACAAGCAAAGTATATAAATATGTACACGCACTAGTGTTTATGTACTCTATAATCTTCATATCTTAGCTACCCTTTTCAAAGAAACGAAGAAAAATATATTAATCATCTAAAAGCAATAACAATAAGACATGGATTATTGATTTGAATATTTCCCTTGAATGAAACAAAATACTATGGCAAGAACACTAGTCCTCTATATTAACAACTAAACAATGTACCGAGCATTGCATTGCTCTCTCTCCCTCTGCCAAAATGTGTGGTATGATACCCACGCTGTTTGTTCTTAATACTACTACAAAATACAAAGGACGTAGTTAAATAGCAGAAGCATGATATTGCAAAGAATTCCATGGAAAAGCCTGTCATAAAATAACCGGGCTCGACTCTATGCCTGTTGTCTCTCTCTCTCTCTCTCTCTCTCCCTCTCTCTCTAACCATCATCATATTCATCACTTACTACCTCTATCCATGGCAGTGTCTTGTAGTTTGTCATGGCACATCACTGTATGTTGATCACAACTCGTCGTGGGGCTGGGAGCCTGATTCAGTTTCAGCCTGATCAGACTTGGTGTGGTCCTCTGTGGTAGAAGATGTTGGTGGCTCATCACCGGATGGGGAATCAGTGGCACTTGATTTGTCACTATCGCTCTCAATCTCTACCTTGATTGGTTTCTCAATTTTCGGCTTTGGCTTCGGAATTTTGTTAACTTTTGTAACCTATATGCCAAGTGAATGTGACAGAATGAACATCATCAAGTAATGCAACTGTTGTGGAAATATCTCAAACTAGTCTAGTGTTAAGCAAGTGCTCAAGAACAAGTGAAAATTTCATCCCCCTTCTATATACAAAAAACAACAGACAATTACCTTTTCCTGGAGATCGAGAATCTTCCCGTATACTTCATCAGATGTAAATGCAGGTTTGCTATAACCAGAAGTCCTGTTGGAAGCAACATCCAAATTTTTAGATGCAAAAATAGATTATAGTAGAACAATCCTGTTGAGCAGTTTAACATATCAAACAATATGCCATGCTAATCTACATTTCTTCAACGAGCATTATCCATGTGACCTAATGGTATCTGCAATACAATCTACAAATACATGGTACATTACCCGCCAAGCCAGCTCAAACACTTGTCTCCAAGGAACCATACCTAAGAGCAAGGTTGTCACGGCGCCCTTTTGCGGCGCGACGCCTGTAGACCGCTATGGCGACAAAATAACGAACACGGCACACTATATATAATTTATATATGTATATTATGTGTTATAAGTATTTAATACTAAGGGTGTGTTTCTTTTTATTTGGTTAAGAAAATTTTAGTTTTAGTTTAGTATTAAAAGAATATTTGATTGAAATATTTTGGTAGAAGAAAAAATATAATTTTTTTGGAAAAGGGGATTGGTGCAAAAGAAACATATTCTAAATAATTCAACAAACAAGAATAATGGATAAATAAAAAATTAAATAATTATACAATAAATAATACATAACAATGCAATATACGGTTACTATGATAGTATAAATAAAAAGTAGCACTACTAGAGTTATTGGAGTCTTAGCTTAGATTAAAATGTTGGAAGTCTAAATCTCCCAATACTGAATAAAACATTCGGCGAATGAAATGGTTGGATGAAGCGGCGAAATGAAGTTGCAGATAGGGAGAGATCAAGGGGGAGAGAAAGGATGGCGAGTTAGGGCTCGATCGGGATTTAGGGTTTAGGGGCTGGGATTAAGGGTTTAGGGGCTGAGGTAGGTGTGGTTTTGGGGGCCTGGGCTGACCTAGGATGGAGATTCACAATGTTTTGGGCTACCGGGATAGTGCCATGGCGTCATTGGGGCGTCACCAAGGCATCTCCAAGCCACCTTGTTTGATATGGTGAGGAGATGTGTCCCGGCGCTTCCCGAAAAGCGCCAGAACGCCATGGCGACGCCATGACAACACTGCTAAAGAGGATTGTTAAGGCATGATAATTGGTGTAAACCAGAAGCTAATCTACTCGTTTTGAATGTGATTATAATGCATGTCATATATTTGCAGAGTTTGTATCTCGTTTACCCAATAGGTCTTCACACTATGTTCATTTTTATTTAAAGAAGGATCTGAGCATGTCACTAATAGAAGAAACAAGGTGTTATTCACAAAGATATCAAAATTAGTGACTGAACTGCAATAAAAAGAGAACACCTATCAATTGTTTTAAGCGTTTTGGGAAAAGGTTGGGCTCAAATTGAAACTTAAAACCATTGAATTATTAACCAAGAAGAAAGAATGACACAAGCATTTATTTGAATCAAGTTTCAGAATTGTATGATGAAATAAAAAAGGTGGGAGTAGTGTGGAATAAATCGTATGTATCAGAACAAAACAAAGGATGCATGCAGTAATGGCTACAGAAATAAAAGAAAACAAGGTATAATACCGTATATTCATTATCTTTCAAGGTGATAATATCTAAACAGAAAGAATTATAAAAATATCATCAAGGAGGTATTGATGGAAAAGACTATCATGAGCTGGTTAGAAAACTTACTTCTTCTGCTCTGCCTCTTTTTCACCCAGCCAATTCCTCAACTTTTCACCTTCTTGTACCACCTATAAGTCAATTTTAAATTAATTCAATATTCGTACTCTCTTGGCTCTTCCCTACCCAATGAAGATTTTTGAAACAAGAAAATTAGAACCTCATCTATTCTCTCCCTTGGCAGCCAAGGTTTGTCTTTCTCCCATCCTTGAACAATCTAAAGATAACGGGTCACAGGAAGGTGTTAGAGATGGAACACGGTATAAACATATGCACTCAGCCATCCTCAAAATTAGAATAAGCACATATTACCATGCAAGAATGAGTTTTCCAATAATCACTTAAAACACCAAAATAAATCTTCAAGTTTTACCTTCTAGTAAATCAATAATGAAATTATATACATTTTGGTTTGCCATACCAAAGTTAAGCCTATTACAAGTATTATGGTTTCCAATATACGATGGCCTTCAGCTTTCAAACTCATCTAGGAAAATGAACTTAGTATAATAAACAAACAAAACATATCATTTCCATACTTAGATCAAAGGAATAACATATAGATAGATAGATACTATGAACTTTCTATTAGCTAACAAAAACAAATAACACAATTGCTTTTAAAAATTTGCATATGTTTGACCAAAATCTTTATGCTTCAGAAAAACACTGGCTAATATACCTGTTGTAACTCTGCTAGGTATCTCTTCGCATGTTCAGATGCAGCAGGCCGAGCAGTAAGTTCATCATATCTATAATCAGAATTAATATGTAAGAGGAGCTTCTAGCATGTAATAGAGTTGCTAACCTAATTATATTGTTTATACATACGAACCTAAAAGATATGGGATTCCCCAAGGCTTTCAACATGTCTAGACGTCCTTGAAATTCAGTGGCAGAAGCATCTTCACCATCAGTATACAACCAATCTTCCACCTGCATGGGCATATTAAAAATTAAGATTACAAAGAGGAGTGGCTACAAATACATGGAGCTAAAGTTGTTAAACGAACCGAGCCGTTCGTGAACTCGGCTCGGTTCGGCTTGATTCGACTTGGTTAAAACTCGTTCGCGAACGTTAACGAGCTGAGCCAAACAACATAAACATGCTCGTTTGGTTAACGAACGAGCCCGAGCTTTGTTCACGCGTTCGAGAATATTTGTTTAAATAATATATTTTTTATAAATATTATATATACATATAAAATTATAATTTATAAATAAATAAAATATTAATTTAAAATATATAAATAAAATAAATTTAATTTTTTTTTTATAATTTATATATAAATTTTAAAAAATAAGATAAACGAGCTCGAACGAGTTTAATCGAGTCTAAACGAGCCGAACACAAACACGAGTTCAAACAACAAAAATTCTTAACGAGCCGAGCTCGAACATTAAGAACTAGCTCGAAAGCTTAACGAATGAACACAAACCTTGTTCGCGAACATTAACGAACACTTAAAATTTGGCTCGACTCGAATCGTTAACAGCTCTACATGAAGCTACTTAAAAAACAGCTGTCAAGGCAAGAGCAAACCTCATTAAGCTTTTCAAGAAAAGATTGCCGCTCTTGGTCAGTGGATACTTTTTCAAACTCCTCAGATCCAAGCTTGTCATAAAAACAATCAAAGAAGCGCAGTGAGCATACTATGTACAGAAATTATTGTAGAATGCTTAAACACTAAGAATCAAACCATGAGAGAGCAAACACAATCAAGACAGCAATTAATGAAAAACAAAAAGGCATATAAAGATATTACTAGAAACAACATTACATGCATGTTCAACAGGACCAGGCTGCATCCATCAGTTACATTAAAATATAACCTCAAGCAAGAAGAGAATTGCAATGCTCAGATTTGTTTTAAAATATCTCCAGTAAAATCTAGATGTTTAAAACAAAGTGTGCACAAAGTACAGGGCATTGGGGGATGCAACTGCATAAACATGCATGCTCAAATTCAACAGAAACAATAAGAACATCTTACCTTGTCTTTAGTAGAATATATATATCCTTCTAGGTCATTTTTCAATTCAGCAGTTCTCTTCCTTTCAGCATCCTTTTTGTTCAATACTTCTAATTTGCGTTTAGCCTCAGAGAGAGATTCTTTTGAAAGAGGCATTCCAGGTCCTTTTGTCTTTTCACTAACCTACATGAAACATACAATAGATTCTCAAACATAAAATTAGATGCAATACTAACAATTCAGTTGTTTCATCAAAATACCTTAAGGGGAACTCGGAAGGTCCGCTTTTTCAACTTCTTTTCAGTACCGAAATCGAGACTGTCAGAACCATTAACACTGGAATCTGATGAGTTGGTATTGTCATTATTAGTCCCCACTTTATCACTGCTCTCCTCCGCGGAGTTCCCAGAATTACTATCGGTATTGTTGGAAGCAGTGGATGTTGAGTTGTCCACTGTGAGATTCTTTCGTGGGACTTCAACCCACTCGGTTATTTCAACAACAGCTTCTGCTCGATCTAAGGAAAATACACCGCTTCTACTGAGAGAGAAGTGTAAGTTGGCTTTGATCGGGGAGGAAAGGTTCCTTGTTGAGTACCTGAAAAATACCAGGGAATCAGATAATACATACCTTCCTAGTCAAACAAATCTAATTTAATCAACATACTCCTTACCTTTCACTAGCATCTTTAAGTCCTAAGACATCATATTGTGCAAATATGGGAGATGCACCCTGTGGAATCAGTTCTTCACTCTCATAAGCAAGTGTGACTTCAAAATCTTGGTTGTGAACAACAGATCTGAACATCTGCAATATAGTACCAATGAACGGAAGCTGATACAGTTGAAAATGAAAATTCCTGTCTCTATTTTCAGTAGCTACTCACCTTGCTAGGTAGCTTTTTCATTCTTGGTACAATCAGCTGTCTGGGGTTTTCATCTTTTGAAAGGCCATCACCATTCAGCTCAAACACAAATCCATAAGTAGAACCATCAACCATTCCAAGTTTACGATTCAATTTGATTCCATCACTTAAATTTGCAGCATGTAATGAGGCGCCTAAAACAATCGCCTCATCTGCATCTAGATGTTTGTCCAACTCCTTCCTCCCAAGAAATTCTTGAAGTTTAGCCTGCAGAAAGATAATGTAAAATCAAATGATCAACTACTGTGAAAATGGGAGTCCAAGATACAACAATTAAAAGGTCATGAAGTTTCTGTTGCACCAAGATCAATAACAATTCAGTCTAGTCTAAAAAATTGGGCACACTTTCTTATAAGAAAGCATAATAAACATATTATACTTTTTGAAAGTAAAGATAGAAGTGGAAAAAATATAAAGCACATGAAAAGAACTTATTGCACAAATAGTCTATAGAATTATTCTTGAGGTCAGACAATAAGGACCTGCAACTTCGGGACACGAGTAGCACCGCCAATCAACTCCACAGCATATAGATCATCAACATTCAATCCAGAGTCCTTGAGAACCTCTTTAAGAGGAACAAGGGCTCTGTCCCACAGGTCTCCACAAAGCTCTTCAAACTTTTCTCGAGTTATTGTACTCCTAGAAAAATGTCAAACTTACAAATTAGGTATCCCTTTTATCATATCTGACAAAAAGAAGAAGGTGGCATATTTGCTAAAGGGAAGAAGCATGGAACAAGTGAAGGAGCGTTGTTACATGGAAACATTGAAATAATGGTCTGCATAAACTATGCTAACTTAAATAAGAAGTTCAGTTTCTCCTACACCAAAAATTAAAAATTAATATTCATAAGTGCTTGGGAAATGGTTGAATAGTTTATCATGAAAATATGTAATAAATAAATCAACCTAATTACTCTTTTTTCCTATCAACATTACACGTGCAATGCAAACACCAACAGCAGCCATAGAAGGCAACAAATAAAATTATCGGAGTTTTCAAAGTAATTGGGTGGTTAATAGAAACTAACAATGAACTCTTACTAGGAAAATATAAACAAAATGTGGATAAGTTAAATAGAACATGTAAAGCAGTAGCCATTTCCCAATGTTAACCATCATTTGTCCACAGATTTGTATCTTAGAGGTTGTAAACATTTTTGGCTGACCTGAAGTCAATATCATCGTAAAGGGACTCTACTGAGATCGGAGCCATGGTATTGGCACTCAAGATTTCTTTCGTACGCTTTACTTGTTTCTTCAGTTTAGCCATTGCCTTGGGAGAATTCCTAATGTCAGCCTCATTTCCAAGTTGCTTGTTGAACTCATCAGCAAAATGCTCCACCAGTCTCAATTCCATATTCTGACCACCAAGTTCTGAATCCCACTTTACTTCCTTTACCTGTGATAGTTACCAAAGTGTCAAAACAACACTTATAGTGCAGAAAACCGTGATAATATAACCACAAGTACGTTGAACTACTTTTGGTTATTTTTCCAACATAACTATTCATTTGAGATATTTAGGTTATCAGGATGTCTGCATATTTCAGCTTTGGAAGCCAAAAATCATATGTAAGGTGTTGGACTAAGCCGCCAAAAATGCTTAAGTGCATTCCATCTAGAAAGATAACTATCAACAATCACAGTTATGTTACCTTGGATCAGCTAATCTCACAAGGAATCGCATGAATCAGAAAGAAACACATCAAATTAGAACATATAGAAGAGCAGTCATGGAGAATAATGCACCTGAAATTGATTGACGGAAATGGTCTTCCCGAATTCCTTAGCATTGTATGCTGAAAAATATACCAAGGCAGCGTAAGTACTGCTCGCCCCCATGTCATAAAACACCACATGCCTTGATCCATTTGAGAAATCCTTATCGATTCCATACTGCAAAGCAGCCCCAGAATGCTCATTCACCAATGCCAGCACATTCAGCCCTGCCAAATCCGCGGCGACCAGCATTGCCCTTCTCTCCGCCACACCTGTAAAAGGCGGCACTGTGATCACCACGTCCTTCACCGACGTCTTTGTATGAGTATCCGCCAGCCCTGCAGCATACTTGAGTATCATCGCCACTAGTTCCTCCGCCGTGAAATTGCCGAACTCCCCTGCCTCGGCTTTAAAAACCGCCACATCTCGCGTATCATCGGGTACAGCCTCGTAATTCAGATAAAGCCTTCGGAGAAAATCTCTCGTAAAACTATAGGATTTCCCGAGGAGAGACGGAAGATGAGAATACACCTTGTTGGGATAACGAGCCAGGAGGTTGAGCGATTCCTCGCCGATCAACCGAGAATCTGCGTGGAAACTGATAAGGGTGGGGGTTTTACGCTTGGACATCTCGTTAATGGCGATCGAGATCGGAGGCTGGCCAGGTTTAAGGTTGACTACCGCGACCTTGAACGATTCGGAGCCGAGATCTATACTGGCGACTGCGGATTCAGATTCGAAGAGATTGAGCAGGAGCAGCGACAGGAGCAGCAATGCCTGGAGTGAATTCACCTTCATTTTCGCCATCGCCGCCGTGATCTTCATCTTAAGCTCTCCTTCCTCTGGCCGTGCATCAAATTCAGCAAGACGAAGGGGGGCTGGGCTCTGGAGGAGCCCTGGGGTTTTTGTAGGGCTGGACGCTGAGGTGGAGAGGACCCGGCGTCTGACGAATGGGATGCAGCCGCGTGGCGGAGAGTACACGTGGCGGGAAATGTGTCGCTGAATGCGTTGTGCCGGGCGTGGTGCGGTTGGAGAAGACTTCTCTAGGGTCTTCACTCTTCACCCTTCTCTATATTATTATTATTATTATAAAAAATTGTGTAGAAAATATAAAAATAATATATGTGTATAATGTATTAATATTTTTGAAAAAAAATGATAATAAAAAGTACAAACTCATATGGTCTTAACATGTTATCTTTACTTTTTGTATATATATCATATGCCCTTGTCCCTTATTAGATACTCCCTCCATCTCTCTTATTTATGTATGTATTTGTTTTTTGTACTAAATTTTAAAAATATTAGTAATGTATTAAGGTGTGGTATGAATAAAGTATAAAAGACTAAAATAATTTTATTAGTATTGTGTAATATAAAAGTAATGATATTTATGTAATATATTGAAAATTATAATTTTATTTTTAATGTTAGTAGAAAGTAGAATTATTAAAAATAAATAAATAAAAACGAACCAAAATAAAAAAACAAAGACAAAGACAAAGAGAGTATATTATATTAGCATAATTACGTGAGAATTTGATACCGTTACTTGAAAGGAAGTGTACGCATAGTAAGGGTATGTTTAACAATTAGCTGATAGCTTTTAGATGTTACTGATTCAATTAGCTGCTAGCTGATTCAATTAGCTGGTTTGACTAGCAGATTCAATTAGTGTTTTGTATTAAAATATTTGGTAAAACAACTATTTGACATTAGCAATTTATATATAAAATGACTATTAAGGACATTGATATATTATTTTTTAAAATATTTAATTTTGTTCATTTTACTTTGAAATTTATGAGAATTTTTATTATTAATTATTGAAAATTATAAAAATATTATAAAATATTTATTTTATTTTTATTATTTAGATTTGAGAAAATTATTTTTACTAAATAATAATAATTTTTTATTAAAATTATATAAAATATAAAATAAGAAATCATTAGTATATATATTTTTATTATGTTAATTATTATTTTAATATATATAAATAAATTAATAACATTTGTCTTTTTTTTATTTGATTTAATTTTAAAAATTTATATATTTTACAAATAAAATAATTTATATGTAATAATTAATAATAGTAATTATTTTAAATTTATAAAAATAAAAATATAATTTAATAAATTAAATATATTAATAATAATTAATAAATATTGCTATAAAAATATATTTATATGTATAAAATAAATAATTAAGTTTTAAGAAAAAATAAGAAATAATCAAAATTAAAATAAAAAAGTTCTTTCAGAATAAATGAGTTTTTCAAAAATTAACTTTTGATTTAAAAAAGCTCTATCAATTAGGTTTTTGACTGATTAAATAAATGTTCAATAAGCTAAAGCTCGCTCGTCAAAAAGCCTGTTCCCTGTTTTCCAGAGACCCTCTAAATCTCGAGGACGAATTAATACTCTGAAAAATCAGTATTGCCGGAATTAATCTAAACTTTTGTCTATCTTATATATATATTTTTATTTTCTATGTTGTTATTTGAGAGTTTAAATCTATGATTTTAGTGATGACTTATCCATTTATAAATCTCATAACACACCATATCATCTGTACATTATTATTCTTATTTATATAATAAAGAATCAGTAGGAGATGAGTAGCCAAACACTGACCTAGAATCCAACATAACATCAATTATTAAAATCAAATATACAATAAAATATATTAAATCCATTTGATATTGGATCCGGTAGAGCATTAAAATACTGCAACTGCAAATTTAATGAATAACGGGCAAAAGGGGAAAGGGTTGGAGTTAAAGAGAATCATGGGACGGGATTACGACGTCGAATGAATCCTCTGTCTCACTGACTCGAGCCATCAATGGATGACCGAATGTGATTGATGATGATGAGCGAGTGAGTGCGTGAGGTGTCGGACGTCTCCTCTCCCTTACCGCATTTCCACTTGTCTTTCCCTGAAAGGCTTTCATTCTCAATTCCCCGACGGACGGGTTTAGCTCTCAATTTCCCAATTCCGACGCATTTGTCGGTTGGTAAGCCGATTCTGTTGTTGCTCCGATATCAGGCTTGTTTTTTAGATTGATTTCGGTCCGATCGTTGCTGGAATCCACGGATTTCGGCAGTTATTTTATTTCTAGGCTGCGTTCTTCGCTGGACATGGAATCGAACCGTAAGAGTAATCGCCAAGTTGAAAGAGGTTTTTGCTAGTTTTTTTTTCCTTCTCTACGTTTAACTGGATTCGAGGTGTATTTTTTTGTTGTGTAGGATTTATTAATGCGATAATCTTGCTAGAATTCATCTCTTTGTTTTTTTCATGCTGATACTGTATAAGCATAATCCATCGTAATTATGATTCCTTCTTGTCTGTGTGTGTGAATACGAATGCAGTTGTCATTAGGATGGAATGATTTCGAGACTACCTTTATTCAATCAAAAAATTACATGATATTTTTTTAGGATTAGTGACACTGGTCGATGAAGATGTATATATAAGGAACAAATTATAGGCATTGGTTGATTTGGATATAGATCAACCGAAAACCTGGACTTGGAGTGACATTAAACTATCTTCTTTCCATTACTTGTACACCTGTTTTGAATGATACATACCTTTTGTCTTCTGCAGCCCTTTGCTATTCGACCTTGGAAAAGAGACCCAGTGTTTCGCCATCTGTCATTGTCATAGGTGCTGGTTTTGCAGGCATTGCAGCTGCACGAGCTCTTCACAATGCTTCATTTCAGGTGTATACATTATAAATGCATATACTAGCATGGCATGACAAGCACTTATGAATTGTTCTGCATATTAAAGAAAGTAAAACTTGCAGGTTATATTGTTGGAATCGCGCAATCGAATCGGTGGAAGAGTTCATACTGATTATTCATTTGGTTTCCCTGTTGACTTGGGCGCTTCGTGGTAATTGCTAACTTCTTGAGCAATGTTGATAAATGTTTTCTGGTTCCCAACTTGGGCAGAATATCATGAACACACACACACATATTTATCTCATGATTTAAATACTACATATACAATTTCGTATTTATATCTTTCTGGTCCTCTGGATGGTTACCGTCTGCATATTGATCTTCCAGGTTACATGGTGTTTGCAAGGATAATCCTCTAGCACCTGTTATTGGAAAACTGGGGCTACCAATGTATCGCACCAGTGGAGACAACTCAGTTTTGTATGACCATGATCTAGAAAGGTGATAATTGATATGCATTTACGTATGGCTTTGTTCTATTTGATTTGAATTTTCACTCTTCCACTTTCTCTGTTGTATTTTCTCGTGTTTTTGACAAAGTAAGAACATTTCCTGAACTTTCTTATGTTTAGACTTACTACTGAGCTTTGTCCCACCAAATTATACATCACTCAAGTTGAAGCTGATATCTGCTATTGTCAGTTATGCCCTTTTTGATATGGATGGAAATCAAGTTCCCCAAGATTTAGTCTCGAGGGTTGGTGAAACATTTGAGAGCATCTTAAAGGAGGCATGTGTATATTTTATTTCCATCAATCCTCTTCTCCCATTTATCTTCAGAAGATCAGGGCACATTTAGAGTAATTACTTATTTACATCCTCTGTAGACGGATCTTGTAAGAAAGGAATCCAGCGAGGATATGTCTGTGCAGCGCGCCATCTCGATTGTTTTTGAGAGGAGACCAGATTTAAGGTTCTGCGGATGCAACACTATATAAACATGTAGTTATTTCTGTGATTAGCATCTCTCTAGGAAAGATCTTATTTACCGTTGCAGGTTGGAGGGGTTGAGTCATAAAGTGTTGCAGTGGTACCTATGCAGGATGGAAGGATGGTTTGCTGCAGATGCCGAGACCATTTCACTTCAATGCTGGGATCAGGTTATTCTTCACTTCAGGAATTTCTCGAGTTGTTTTTCAGCCATTTTGGATTATGTTCGGTATCTTTGCATAATTTCTTATAGGAGAAGTTGCTCCCTGGTGGGCATGGGCTAATGGTGCGTGGATATCTTCCTGTTATCAACACCCTTGCTAAAGGTCTCGACATCCGATTGGGCCACAGGTAAACAACCAATAATATGTGACATCCTCGGGTTTGACCTTAGTAATGCATTCGGTATGTTATTCCCCCTTTTTTTGAATGTTTTCATCCAGAGTCATGAAAATCGTAAGACATTATAATGGTGTGAAAGTGAGTGTAGAAGACGGGAACGTTTTTCTGGCTGACGCTGCAGTCATTGCTGTTCCCCTCGGTGTTCTTAAATCAAAAAGCATTGCGTTTGAGCCGAGACTGCCTGAGTGGAAGGAAGCTGCCATTGATGACCTTGGAGTGGGGATCGAGAACAAGATTGTTTTGCACTTTGAAGAGGTGTTTTGGCCAAATGTGGAGTTTTTGGGAGTGGTAGCGCAAACTTCTTACGAATGCAGCTATTTTCTCAACCTGCACAAGGCCACGGGGCACGCGTTCCTCGTTTACATGCCGGCAGGGAAACTGGCCCGCGACATTGAGAAAATGTCAGACGACGAAGCTGCCAAATTCGCATTCACGCAGCTTCAAAGAATCCTTCCGAATGCCTCTGCACCGGTATTGTCGCAATCGTAACCATTCTATTTGGCAAAATTGTTGATTCGGTGTATCGCCGTTTGTTGCAGATACAACCTTTGGTTTCGCACTGGGGGACGGACAGCAACTCGCTGGGCTCGTACAGCTATGATGCAGTGGGGAAGCCCCACGACGTGTATGAGAGGCTGAGAATCCCGGTCGACAACCTGTTTTTCGCAGGGGAGGCTACGAGTGACGAGCATCCAGGGTCGGTGCATGGGGCGTACTCGACAGGGGTGGCGGCGGCAGAGGCGTGCAGGATGCGGGTGCTGGAGAGGTATGGGCAGTCGGAGCTGTTCCAGGTCCAGCCGGCGATGGTGATGGCTCCGCCGGCAATCCCGGTGCCGTTGCTTATCTCCCGAATGTAGAACTCATCATATATATATATATTTATAATATTGGAACTCGCAGCCATAATTCTTAAGCTGTGGCTTTGGTAAACCCGACCGAACCTAGTAACCGGCTACCTGATAATTGTATCTCTATAGGCTACACTGTAACTATTCCTACATACTATTGTCATCCTAACAAAATTGCACTTGGAAACTCAAGTGCAAAATGTAGGTAAACCAAACATGTGCCAATTTATAAGTTACTGACGATAAAAATTAGATAAATTATGTGACATTTCATTGTATTTTAGGAAAATGTAAAAAGCAGATTGTGTGATATAATTTACCAAAATTTTGCTGATTCTATATTTCATGATATTCAGAATATAATAATAAAAGAATAAAATAATATAATATTTGGCGCAAGAAAGAACCGCCTCATAATCCAATTGAGTCCGATATTAGTGAAGTAATGGTATTCAGAATATAATAATAAAAGAATAAAATAATATAATATTTGGCGCAAGAAAGAACCGCCTCATAATCCAATTGAGTCCGATATTAGTGAAGTAGCAACTACGAGTACTAATAGTGGAGTATATTTTTTCGTTATTCCATAAACCCTAATAAAAGCACTGTCGTCGTTGAGAACTCGACCACTCACTCCCTAGGGTTTATTGTTCTGTTCTTCGTTGAAGGTGATGGGGTTTGGTGGCTCCCTTTTGATCTCGCGATCCACTTTTTCGTCTTCCCGGAGGCGTCTGGCTCTTGCTGCTTTCGCCCATTTCTTCTCCCAGAATCCGTCACATTTCCATTCTGTTGCCTCTGCTTCACCCCGTCTTCACACTCATGATACTTGTTCTGCTGTTCCCAAGCCAAGTCCCTGGATTGGATTCACCAGGGATTTGCATGCGGCCACAATTTTGCGCTCAGGATTTCCTGCCGCTGATTATTTTGATGCCGAAGAGAAAAGGGCTGTCTCCGCGGGACAGGCTGATGACGGTCTTGAGATCGCGAAACTTGGGATCGCTCAGGAGATTGTATCCGCCTTGGCACGCAAGGGCATCGAGAAGCTTTTTCCAATTCAGGTGTTTGACTTCACTTAACAGAAGAAATGATTGAATTTGTTGTTCTTCTTATGCTTTTGGAAAAGGATAATTGTGTAGTCTCTCAATTTGTCCTCCTTGCCGTTATTCTATTTGTTGTTCCTTTGCTTGCTGTTTTGGAGTCAGTGTCCGATGACTTGTAGCAATAGGACTTAGAGCGGATATAGTGTGTCTTCAAGTTATAAAATTGTTAAATACTCTCATGGGAAACTCGAATACATGAATACTGTGCGTAGTGTAACCTCTTAGTGAAAAGAAGAGCCGTCTGTTCATTAATAATTTTATTTGTTGAACCAATAATATATCTTTTTCCCACTGCAGAAAGCAGTTTTGGAACCAGCTATGCAAGGTCATGACATGATCGGCCGGGCAAGAACAGGAACAGGAAAGACTTTAGCTTTTGGAATTCCAATCATGGATAAGATCATCAAGTTCAACGAGAAGCATGGGTTGGCTATCTTCATTTTCTTTTTTTGTTCTTATTTTTTAGAAGTTCCTACTTATGTAGCACTTAAAAAATTATGGCAAGGGTTGACTATCTTCATTTTCTTTTTTTGTTCTTATTTTTTAGAAATTCCTACTTATGTACGCACTTAAAAAATTATGGAATGTGTTGGGCTGAAAATTTCTGCTTGTTTCTATCTTTCAGACAGGGCAGGAATCCTCTCGCACTTATTTTGGCTCCAACTAGAGAACTTGCTAAACAGGTTGACAAAGAGTTTTACGAGTCTGCTCCAAAACTTGATACACTGTGTGTTTATGGTGGTGTCCCGATATCACGCCAAATGAGTACTCTTGACCGCGGTGTTGATGTTGTTGTTGGGACTCCTGGCCGTGTCATTGATTTGATTAAGCGTGGTGCTTTGAACTTGTCAGAAGTGCAATTTGTTGTCCTTGATGAAGCTGATCAGATGCTCAATGTGGGATTTGCTGATGATGTTGAGACCATTTTGGGATATATAACACAGAAGCATCAGACAATGATGTTTTCAGCTACCATGCCAAAATGGATATTGAAACTTACTCAAAGATTCTTAAAAAACCCAATAACTATTGATCTTGTGAGTTGCATGTACATATATACTCCCTTTACTTTTTTCTTACTTGAAGATATATTTTGATGCCAAATGTGGTTTGCAGGTGGGAGAAAATGACCAGAAATTACCTGATGGGATTTCTTTGTATTCAATTGCTTCAGACATAAGAGAGAAACCCGGAATAATTGGACCTCTCATAACTGTATGAACCCATGGCTTCTGTTTTATAACATTTTTTATATTGTATTTTTAAGTTGGTCATATAAGAGTGTATCTTTTGAACAAGAGCCTTTATTAATTTGTTATCAGGAGCATGCAAAAGGAGGTAAATGCATTGTATTTACCCAAACAAAGCGTGATGCCGATCGCTTGGCGCATGCAATGCAAAGGAACTTTAATTGTGAAGCCTTGCATGGTGATATCTCACAAAACCAAAGAGAGAGAACACTTTCTGCTTTTCGAGATGGACAGTTCAATATCCTAGTGGCCACTGATGTAGCTGCCCGTGGACTTGACGTGCCAAATGTTGATCTGGTGATTCTTCTCTTCACATATGTTCTTATATTTGCTTGGCTTCTTAATGCATTCATTACCTAGACAATTGATTAATGTCAGATGAAATATTTTGTGAAGTGCCCATAATGAGCCATACTTTCTTCCCACCACATCATTGTCAACATTGCTGTATAATATTTCTGAGTCGGTGAATATCATCTCATGGTCTTGTTTTACTTGCCCATGGAATAATGTTTAGGCATTTTATCTCTATCTTGCAAATGTTTATCAACTGATGGGCAAGAATGACAATCCTTTATAATTTGGAATTTCATTGAATTTATATAATCTAATTTTAGTATCAAATAGAGGCATGTTTCTGGAAGTTGTCACCAAAAGCTTACTCATGTTTTGACCATTAAGATTGAGGTATCTTAGATATGCCCTTGGGGATCCTTGATCGTTTAAGCCATAAGCTTCCTCTAGCCAGGCCCAAGAAACTAAAATTGTCCACTTTATGTTACTATGACTGAACAAATTTTGTTTACTTTCTCAGGTGGTACATTATGAGCTTCCAAACTCTTCTGAGTTATTTGTTCATAGATCTGGACGAACCGGTCGGGCTGGGAAGAAAGGTAGTGCAATCCTTATTTATTCTTCCCATCAATACAGGGATATCAAGGCTATTGAGCGTGAAGTAGGATGCCAATTTATAGAGGTAAGTTGTTTATTCTTTTTGTTGCTATAGTATTCACAATCATGTTCATACTCAAATATTTTGTCCCTATATGATCTCATTAATATTATAAGGTATTGGGACTATCAAAAAACATCTTAACTATTATAACCATGATTTCAGTATCAACTATCTAATATCCCATAGAAAGTACTTTTATATTACTTGTTTTAAGTAATCATATTGAACATTTTTGGTTTGTATAAACAAATGGCCTGCAATTAGCTACCGAAGATAGCTGCTGAGGATGGAGCCTTAGGCATGTATGGTGGCATGGAGCGAGGTGGTCGTCTTGGTTATGGTGGAGACATGGGAGGTGGTCGCTTTGGTGATTCTGGGTTTGGACGGTCAGGCGGTTTTGGTAATTCAAGGGGTGGTCGTTCGGGTGGATATGGGAATTCATGGGGTGAATTTGGTGGGCAACGTTCTAGTCGCACTGGCAATTTTGGTGGTTTTGGTTCTGGTCGATCAGGTGGTTTTGGAGACCGGGATGGTTCAGAACGGAGAAGTGGCTTTGGAAATGCTGGAGGTCCCAGTCGCTCTAGTGGTTTTGGGAATTTTGGCTCGGATCGTTCCAGTGGATTTGGCAATTCACAATCTGGGCAGAGTTCTCGTTCAAATCGCTTTGGTGACATTAATGATGGCAGCAGTGATGGAAGCAGGAGTTCTGGAAGGAGACTTTTCTGAACCCACTGATGGTAAATATGTTATTCTGTTTAAGCATCTGTGAGCTTTATGGAATTGGTAAACTTGCATGCCAGTGTTACATGACTTTTTGTTGGTGCAACTTTGGCTTGCATGTGCTTTTTGTGTGTTTCTGTCGTGAGGTTGTCTTTGGCAAGCAAGATATCTTGCTTAATTTTTATTTTAAGAAATTTAAATTTCTTGGTTTATAGACGAAAAGTTTTCCAGTTGAAAGCAGCATCTTTTATTTCAATAACGTAGACTACCCTAATGTTTTATGTTACATACCAGCATATTGATCATGTTAACTGGATCAGAGATGTTGAGCAGCATATCATCTTTCTGTTGTTTATTGACTTGCCTGCAACACTTGGCTTACCTTCTCATTTGATTAAAATGTAATTGTGATCATTCATTGAAACAGGCATCAAATATCCTTGAAACTGTTTTTAAGATCTGCTCTATAAGAAAAAACACAGGGTTGAATAGCTTTTGTTTTCAGGGTTAATTTATGCATTTTAGTTGCATCAGTCTATCGGAAATTGATGCATGAAAATTATTATCTGTATCCTTTGTGTTTGTCTTATAAATTGTATTTTCTTTGGTGTAGGGTAATGTTTATCTAAACCAGACCTGAAGACGGGTGATGTGGTTCTGTGGGGACAAAACCTTTTTGCCACAATAGCTTATGTGTACTCTTCTTCCGGGTTTATTAAAGGAGTCGAGACAGCCTGGTGAAAGTGTTTAGAGTATCCACCGGAAGGAATTAGGTATTCACATAAAATGCTCCGAGCATCGCTTAGACTTCCTATACATGTAATATAATGTAATGTATCTCTCTTTTTGGCTATTATATCATTTTGCATTCATACCTACTGATTTCAAACTTGAAATGGAACATTGAATAGCCTAAATTTTCACTGCATGTGTTTTGCGATCCATTTCTGTGTACAAATTAGCTGGGCAGTAGCATTAGGAATTAGGATTCTGTCTTTATTGTACCCACCAAACTATTAGTGTAATGCCTGCTTTTCCATGCAATAACGATGCTATTTTGCCAACAAACAAGTATGATCTTGTCAATTTAGCTTTTTATATATGAATGATTCTCTGCTGCATAACCTCTCACTATTGTGCATATGCTTTTTTTATTTTGCGAAATATACCAACAAGTAATGTAGGCAGGCAATTGTGAGAATAAAGAAGCCTTTTCAAGCTAGAGCACCCACCCAAAGCTTCTGTGACTGTTATGTGAATGTGTATTCATCAAGAGACTATATTATCAGATGAGATTGACAGAGATAAATCAATATTCAATAATGTCATGTTTTGTTTCTACTCAAACTTCTTGCCCCGGAATTTGGCTTTTGGGATTCGGCTTAGAACACCTGCATCGAGCTTTCGGTAATGGCCTTGAAGCTGGTCGAGGACCCTGTATGCGAAGTCATCTACTTGATCATCGTATCTCTCGTACAGGACCGGCAATGTGTGCGCAGCAACGAAACCTGATGGAAATCAATAGAATGGGATGCGTTTATTCACAACAACCTTGATATGACAATTCACAAGAAGATGATCTTCTGTACTGGTCTTTACCTATGTATGTGACAGTCAAGAAGTTGCACCAGCTTCCTACAATAGCAGCAGCAAACAAACTACCAGCAACCTGCACTTCACATTTCAGAAAGTCCATTAATGGTGGATTTGCAGTAGCAACTAAACAGGAAACAACAATTGGAAAACAACTCTAACGAATGTAGTGAAACTGGAAGAACAACAAACAGCAGGCCAATCACTTGAATTAAGAAATACCCAAAAGACAGCAGGAGATTTAAGCAATGCTGAGGAGAAGAGGAAATGAGCTTTAAGAGATATTACCACTATGAATTGCTTGATACTTCCTTTACAGGCAACATCCTGCAAGAAGCCTAATCCTCGATTCACCTCTGATCCGACCAACTTGCCAATGTTAACAAACACTTCTTCAGGCAGGACAAGTCGAGGGACTCTTGATGAGGATCGACGACTGCCATCATTGGTGATAAGTTACAAGAAATACATCAAAGATGCAACAAGAAACAACCAGTAAAGAGCATACACATTTGAGCATTGTTGTAAGAATACCTATTCAACATGCCCGATGCATTTTTCCATAGGAATTGGACCAGCATTGCGGCTATCAGCGTAAAGCATATGAGAGTAAGAAAGTGGTAATTAAGCCATTCAAAGAGCACCCAAATAATAGTAGCACCCGTTAGGACACTAGCTGAGATCTTCTTGTTCCTCCATAACAGCACATCAGCAGCTACAGATGATCAAGTGAAAAGAAGTTTACCTAAAAACCGAAGATGGACTGTATCGACACTAAAACTGGTATACTCATTGAAAATTCTTACATTTGCCACCCCCAAGAAGATGGTGAAGAGGTTTTTCACGGCCAAACAATCTGTTGAACTTGGAGGTCACCGTGTTCGACTTCTCTTCGAAAAATGAGACGTTCTTGTGCTTTGATACCCCTTCCGAAAGGGTCTCCATGATGTTGTTCATAAGAGACTCTGGCGTTATTCCCTCAGGCATTTTTTCCTGCAATGACAGCCCAAAAATTAGTCGAGAGATAGATACATAGATACATACATTTGCAAGGTGCAGATTCACAATAAAACAAAAGAGGGATGGAAAGTAAGCAAGAATATGTCCGTTGTTGATAGAAAGAAGAATTTTAACTTTGCAAGAACAAGTTGATTCTTGATAGAAGACTGAAGAATCTTTGGTTATTATCATATATACTTGATACGCATTGGACTCTGATCAGAGAATGAAGTGATAGTTAAACAAGAGAAGAAGGCTCTTGGTTGATTGATGAGAAGCAGTAAAAGCTTAATAGGGTTGTTGTTCTTGGATCACAGGAAGAATGCAGCCGACAGAAAGTGATGGGCTTACCTCAAAAAAGGGGAAACAGAAATGGAGACGAAAGTGAAAGAAAAGCAAGAAACCAAAACAGAAAGTTCATTGCAAAATCATGAAGAGCAAATAAATCTGAGGTTGCACTTGCACACTTGGTGTGTTCACAAAACTTGGCCCAGAATACGAATGGATGGAATATATATAGAACTGGTAGTTGAAACGAACCCAAACAAATGATTACCTAACAAGTAACAAGAATCATAGTGTAATGACAAATTGACAATGATAGTGAGTGCAGTGACAAATGCATTGTACTGTGTGTGGCGACTCATATACGTACATACACTGAAGGAGAAAGAAGCAAATCAATTAGTATTAATCTAAAAAACAGGAGAGTGAAGAAACTGAACAAAAAGGGAGGAGAAGAGTGGAAGAAGGGCGTTCACCTTAGAACAAATCGGATGAGGAGAGGAGAGGAGAGGAGAGAGCACTGGAATCGGAATCAGAATTAGAAACGGAAAAAGGACGACGAAAAGGCGTGGGGATGGGGTGGGGTTTTTGATTTGAAAGGGATCGGATGGCGTTGATTTGCGTGAGGGATGGAATCATTCATTCATTCATTCATTCACTCATCGCATCGTATTGCATCGCCATGAGATGAGTAACGCTGGTGTTTACTGCACTGCAGTTTCTCTGTCTCTCTCTCTCTCTCTCATTCAGTGTTTGGGTGGCTCGTGTCGTGCTGGTGCTGATGATGCTCGTGCAGCATTATCTTCCCCCACACCAACCCACAACCCTTTTTGAATTTTTGTACCGGCTATGCCTACGTGTCCTTCACTCCCTGTTTCTCTACATGTAGATTCATAATATTATTATTAAAATGCTCATTAATATAGTAATAAATAAATAGATAATATTAAGACTAGTATTTATTTAATGCTTCTTTCATTCTTTGGGTGCTAATAGCACTACTAGTAGTAGTTATTTGTATCAAGATCATTGGTATTATATTAAATAATTATTTTAATTTACTGTTTAATTAAAATTTACTTATTGGGCCTATTATAATATGCCCATGGGCCACTGGGCTCCCTTCCTTCTTCCTTCAGTTCAGCCTCAAAAGCACGGCATCGCCATGGGAATGGGATTGAAATCTTGAATTGCAGCGAAGGTCCCACTTCACTGGTGCACCACCAATGGCATCCTTCACAACCTTATCCAGTTTCAAAATCCACATCTACACCCACACCACAGCCACATACTCATCATCAACATCATCCTTCCTTCTTTCCAAATTTCAAATTCCAAATCAAATTCAGTATTTTGTTTTCAATAATCAGGCAGACAACCAAAGGATCGAATTCCCCCATCATCGTCGTCGTCGTCGAGAATGGCAATGGCTTCCTCCTCCTCCCCTTCGTGCTTCGCTGTTGCAACAGTAAAAACCCCTCGCTATGCCAATTCAAATGCTTCTTCCAAGCCTCTCCTCTGCCGGGCAGGGGCAGAAGCTGCTCGAGAAACCGTCCCCGCCCTAGTTTCCCGGAGATCACTGGCCCTCACATTTCTCGCCGGCGCTGCTGCTCTTGCCTCCAGAGTCTCTCCTGCAGATGCCGCCTATGGCGAATCAGGTACTTACAGTCTCCTCAATTCTCAAATCACTATCATCATTGTTCTTCCAGATACATAGCTACCCTAGCTAATTGATAATTAACAATAGCATATCATATATCGTATCGAATTATCATCGATGAATAATTGCTGCAGCCAACATATTCGGAAAGCCGAAAACGAACACGGATTTCAAGCCATACGTGGGGGATGGATTCAAGCTGTCCCTACCCTCCAAGTGGAACCCTAGCAACGAGGTGGAATTCCCCGGGCAGGTCCTCAGGTACGAGGACAATTTCGACTCCACCACCAACGTCTCCGTCCTCATCACCCCTTCCGACAAGAAATCCATCTCCGACTACGGCCCCCCTGAGGAATTCCTCTCCAAGGTCTTCCCCTGCATTCATCACTTTTCATTCAAATAATAACCAACTAACTAAACTAATGATCATGGCACATATATGTATAATGGCGGTTGTCTCTTTGCTTGTTTGTTTTGCAGCTCGATTTTCTACTGGGAAGACAGGTCTACTTTGGCCAAACTGATGCTGAGGTAACAATTAAACAACAACAACAATAACATATTCAATCAGCCATTTTCATTTACAGAATTAGACACACCTTGGATGGAATGATAGGATAGGATTTATGATGTTGATGATGAATTATTTCAAGGATTGTGTTGGTTGGTTGACTTGGTTCAGGGTGGATTTGAGTCGGGGGCTGTGGCCACTGCAAACATACTGGAGACATCGTCGCAGGTGATCAATGGAACTCAGTACTACTTCTTGTCGGTGTTGACAAGAACTGCAGACGGAGATGAAGGGGGGAAGCATCAGCTGATCACCGCAGCCGTGAAGGACGGGAAGCTGTACCTCTGCAAGGCACAAGCCGGCGACAAGAGATGGGGCAAGGGCGCCAGAAAGTTCGTCGAGAGTGCAGCCACATCCTTCAGTGTTGCTTGAATCAAAATTCAATATGTGACTACATTTTCATGTATGTATGTATGTATGTAATACAGCATATTAAGATCCATCACTCACTAGACTCATTAATCTTTCACCACCCTTTTGGTTACCTCCATTTTAGAGTTGCCCGCCTCCCTACATTAAGAAGAAGAAGAAGAATGGCTGAATCTGTTTATCCTCAACCTATCCCTATCCCTATTCCTATCTAGAAGAGGAAGAACACAAAAATGGAATTGCTTTTGCTTAATGCTACATTGCAGTTTCTGAGATTACCCTTCATTAGTTCTTATAATACTTGCTATCTTATTCCTTGGTAATTTTTTGTTAGATTGTTTACCAATTTAATTGAATATTTGTATTTATTTATTTATTTAATTGAATAAATTAAGACACAATCATGATGAAACAAGCTGTTTAGGGTCGTGAGTTGGATTTGGACCAGGCCTTTATGCTTTGGGATCAAACCACCGTTGGAGATCCACTCCCATTAGCGACTTATAGCGATCCTCTATTTATTTATATTAATTTATTAAATGTGCATGTGCAAGTCTAGCTGTCTGCCCCCACGCACAAACTTACGTACCACTCACAAACAAAGAAAAAAAATAAAAAATATTTTCCAAAAACAATCCATCTAATCTGAATCAATGAAATCAACAACCAATTATACACACATTATTCATTCCATATACATAATAATAATAATAATAATAATAATAATAAATTTCAAAATCAAGAAACCAAATGCAAATCCTCTTTACATACATACATATGCATATATATAGTAGGTAAAAATCTCTAGTTTTTCTAACGCAAACAAAACAAATTAAATAAAATAGAATCCAATTTTCCACCTTAGCTTTTTTGACATCTTAATTAAATTAAATTAAAACAACTCGAAAAAAATCAATAACAAAACCAAACTGCAGCTCAGCGCCACGCCGCCGGCCATTCTATTAACTCTAATCCCGCCGTCGTTGCTCGAATCTTCATCTGCCGGCACGTCATCGTCTCCGGCGGGACCGGGAGCATCCGCGCCGCCGCTGGCGGCAGCCTTCGCCTTGGCCGACTTGAACAGCTCGCTCGGCTGCAAAACCTTGTCGATTTTGTAAACCGCGAAGGGATCCTCGTCGATCAGAGTTCCTTTAATCGTCGCCGTGACGACCTGCGTGTCGATCTTCACATTGTCGCCGTCGTTCTTGACCGTCAAATAGTACTTGTTCGGACTTCCCGCCGTCGCCACCGTGTTCATCAATCCGTCGCTGGATCTGAGCGATCCCAGCGAATTGTACTCCGGCGTGGCGTGGTACAGCAGCAGCATCGTCTTTTCATGGGCGCCTAGGGTTTTGAATTTGGGCATAAACGATTTCAGAGTTTCGTCGGAGGGGCAGAAAATGGTGAGGCCGCCTTCCAGGCTCTGGCGGAAGGTTTCCTCGGCGCCCATGGAGACGATGAGGTCGGAGAGGCCTTTGCAGCCTTGTGCCGCCATTAGATTAACGACGTGGATGTCGGTGGGGGCGGCGGTGGGGGCCTCGGCCTCCGGCGAGGAGAGGGCGTGGCTGATTTGGATGACGGAGATGTTGTAAGGCATTTCGACGACGGATTTGACGAAGGTCGCCGGAGGCTGATCGGGATTGCTGTCGACGGCGGAGAAGGAGATTTTGCCGCCCTTGGCGTCGACGATGTTGACGTAGCCGGAGGTTCCGGCGGCCTCGCCGGTAGCCTGGTAGAGGGAGGAGGTGGTGGCGGAGCCTTTGGGGATCTGGTGGAGCTTTCTGGAGCCGAAGTAGTCGGCGAAGACGTGGAGGGAGAGGATGTTTTTGAGGGTGGGGAGGGAGAAGTGGTGGCTGAGGAGGTCGTCCATGGCGGCGTTGTCGAGAGCGCAGACGGTGATGGTGCGGCGGCGGTTGATTTCGTCGGCGAGGTGGGTGGTGGAGAGGTAGTGGTTGAAGGTGGAGAGGGAGGGGTGGCCGGCAAGGAGGTGCGTGATGTTGTGGCCCTCGCCGGCGCCGGCGATGATGGCGACAACGACGGCCAGTATTCCGATGAGCATTGTTATCATAGTGGTTTTGGACCTCGCCGGCCGGCGGGATCAGTGTCGCCTGTTTTGTATGATGATGATGATCTGCACTAATTCACATCCACTGGCTTATATTGGAATTTGGATAGATACATAGATGTTATAATATATATGTATATATATATATTGATATGAATCGCTGTCAATTATATATATAATTATGAATGGGTAAAGAAGAGGACAAGAAGCATCATGCATGAGAACAAAGGGAATACAAGCAATTATTTGTATTTATTCAATATGAAAAAAATAACAAATATAGATATTTTTTTTATATTTAAACAAAAATTATTTTTACTAAGAAAAAAAATAAAATTGATTGAACTGAGTATTCATACTAACACTATAGATCTTATCCCATGGGATCATTTGTCTCAAAAATAAACTTTATCCCCTATCCTCACATATATAGTGTGTATACATACATAATGTGTATATATAAAATAATATATAATATATATACAATGTGTGTATGGAACAACGAGACAGAATTTTGTCTGAGACATACGATCCGGTCCGGCATATTATATATTTATATATTAGGAGGTGGTTATTGAATTTAATGTAGTGTTGACATCACAATTGTGTTATTTATATATTGTGTTAATTGGGGTGATTATTTTTTATGATGTACGAATTAGGCAAATCAGCATATCAGCTTTATCTCATATATATCTTTCATGTATTTCGATTAGTTAATTAATTCCCAAGCACGACAACATACCATACCATACCAGCAAAGCAAAGCAGCTGCAATGAATGAATGATTCATTCATTTACCTTACAATCTGAAACTATTCTTACTTATACTAAATATATAAATACAGTTTGTTGTTGATGGATCGAATGATCAATTATTAAAATAATTAATTCATGATATGCCAAATTAATCAAACCCAAACACACACCATATTTATTTGATTTCATTCATTATTTGGCATCACTCACAGACAATGACAATGACAATGACAATTACAATTACGTCAATTATTGACTGACAATTGCGCACTAACCATTAGTATTACTATTGATTATTTAATTAATGGGAATCAAACCGACACACCAAATCCATAAAAGTGAAGAAGAAAGAAGAATTGCTTCATTATCATATACATATAATACACTCCAATCCTCTACTCAAAAGGTTACATTATATTTATTTATTTATAGTATGTCTAAATACAACAAAATTTATACAATATTTTTAATAACTTAAATTATATTATATATTTAAATATACTTAAATTTATATTTATTTACATCAATAAAATTACATTAAAATTAAAAATAAAATACAAAAAAGTTCCTGCACACAAAAGTACCACATACCATTATTTTTTAATTTCTAATCAAATGTAAATAAAATGAGCAGATCATTTTTTATTTTTCTTTTATAAATATAATTCAGAAAAAATATATATATTTTTAAAAAAGTTAAAAAACACAATGATCAAAATTATATTACTAATAATAATTGTGAACACACGTATATTGGGTTATCCAGTTTTCCTTACCACTCCACGGCCCAATGGGCCAAACGAGCCCAGCCCAATAGAAAATGGCAGAAGTAAGGAAAGTGTATACTACAATGAAAAAAGTACAAAGTAATATGTACACACACGCCTTGTAAATATTTCCAACTCTCAGTAGAGTCGGTTCCCTACTGCTGCTGCTGCATTCATTCTGCCTTCTCTCAATCGCTGCCGTACTGTAGTAGTTGTCTCCATCTTCTTTATTTCCCCGGCGTTCTTCAATCCACCCAACCCTCCTTGCTCCATACACAACCTTTTCTCGCTCGCCGCTTTCCCCTCCCTTCCATCTCGCAACCCTTTTTTTCATTTATTGATGCCCCTTTTGATTGTCTACGCGTCTCTGAATAGTTGTTTCATTCGATTCTTGGATTGCCTCAACAATCGCCCTCCGTATTGACCTCAATTGGAAATCGATAATGGATTCAATCAGCTGGAGCCCCGATGATTCCTCCCCAATCCTGATATCAAAACCCTAATACGCTCCGATTGCTTTCATTCCATCGGCATTCGGCTATCCTGTTTTGCTGTTTATCTCTTTGGCAAGCTTTCGATTTGTGATTGGAGACGTTGGAGATTGTTTTGTCCGGGCAGTTGGACTTCTCTTTTGTGTGGTGTGGGTCAGTTCGTAATCTGCCTGCGGTTTAATTCTTGATGTTTGTTTCTGGCCTTAATCTTTGATCACAACACTGCACATTTTTGCCTACTCAAATCACATGACATTTCTCCAGACGGTTCCCTGATAACGTGTGACTTGGTACTGTTCTGCTGCAGTGATCCAGATCTGTCTGGATTGAATGAGCATTCACTGCTGCAATTTGGAACAAACTAAATTAAAAAGAATGGCTCTTCTAATGTCACTGCGTCAGTGTTTATAAATGGCTGTTGCTAATTGCTAAATATGTGTTTGTTGGATGTTGCATATGATGAAAAAAGCTAAGCCGTTGTGTTCGTAAAATACTTGTCAAAGTTAACTGGTTTTAGGCTCTTATTGTTGTGTGCATATTGTTTTGGATCTATTCCATTCTTCTTTTCTATGTTTGCGCGTCTTCTTCGAGAGCTAGTTTAATTTCACAAGTAAATTACTCTTGCAACAATGCTTATACTGCTAAGGATCATACTCTAGCTCTTTGATGCTGAACATCTTAACATTCTTGAGGTTTTTGGATTCAACTCGTGTGGGTGCATGATTGGATGCTTAGCAGATTGCTGGTAAAAATACTCCAAACTGTGAACTCAAATTTGTATATATGCACGCTATAAAAGGCTTGTCCCTTACCATATCTTCACTTGATCGTATAATACTGTCTATAGAAATACGATAAGGTATTCACATCTAATTATCTTTTCAGAGGCATATTTCATAGGTGGGTTATGCTTTCAATATTAAGCAATTTATTCTATCATCGTGCTTCTACTTTGCTAGATACAAGTTTGTGGTTTTGACTCTTTATTTGTTTCATCTTTTACAATCCCTTACCAGCGTTCATATTGCACTGTTTGGTAAAGAGATATGATTCTTCATTACTTTTACCAGTGAGAATTAAGTTAAGCTTGTATTTTGCTCACTAATCTGTTTGTATTACGTCAATGCTCTTTGCAGAATTGTATCTGATATTTGTAACAGAAAAGTTCTTGGCTGGTTTGATATACTTCTGTGGTATCCATATATGGGCTGAAGTGTGCTTTTCATGGGAGGTGTAGATGATGAACCACCCTCAAAACGTCTGAAAGTATCCTCTAAAGGCTCAAGTGATCTTTCCCACGCTGTATCTGTTAGAGGGAAAGATAGTGGCTCATTGAGTGATCCAATGGCTCGGATGCCAGCACCGCAAAAGGAAGATGAGGTTGTTGGCACTAAAGGTGTCATTAAGAAAGTTGAACTTGTTCGAATTATCGCAGAGGCATTATATTCCCTTGGATATTCAAAAACTGGGGCCCGTTTAGAGGAAGAATCTGGAATACAATTGCACTCTACTCTAGTAGATTTGTTCATGCAACAAATTCTTGACGGTAAATGGAATGAAAGTGTTGCTACTCTGCATGGTATTGACCTCATGGATAAATCAATAGTTAAGTTGGCATCTTTTGTTATATTGGAGCAGAAGTTTTTTGAGCTTTTAAATGGAGAAAACCTCATGGATGCTTTAAAGACTTTGAGGTCTGAGATTGCACCACTTTGTATAAATGATGAGAGAGTTCGGGAGCTGTCTTATTTAATTGTGTCTCCATCATATAACTTGCTTGATGGAACTTCTCAAAAGTCAATGGTCAAGTCTCGTAAAATATTGCTGGAGGAGTTGCAAAAGTTGTTTCCTCCAACAGTGATAATACCGGAAAACAGATTGGTACATCTTGTTGAACAAGCTCTTGACTTGCAAAAGGATGCTTGTCGGTTTCACAACTCCTCTGCTGGGGAAATGTCTTTGCTTGCTGATCACCAGTGTGGAACAGAGAGGATTCCATGCCAGACATTGCAGGTTGTGTTAGGGTTTAGGTTATTTTATCGTTTCCCTTCTTTTATGTCATCAAAAGTGCAATATTTAAAACATTAGAGAAACAGAGTTGAATATAAAAATATAAAAGCCACTATATATATATATAATATTCCATTGTTTGTTGTCAATACAGTTGCACTACTGAGTGCTTATGATACTTTCAACTCTCCAGATATTACATGGACACAGCGACGAAGTCTGGTTCTTGCAATTTTCTCACAATGGAAAATTTTTAGCCTCATCAGCTGGTGATTGTCTTGTTATTGTATGGGAGGTAATTTTGTTTCTTCTACATAATGTATGATTTTACATAAGCAATTACCTTTATTTAATCTTGTTATAATTTATTATTCTCATGTGTCAGTTTATCAATGATATTTGAATATGCATCTGTCAAACACCAGATACAAATTATAAAATTACCATTTATTATACCATGGCATGCAATATTAGGTCTTCAAATCATCTATGAGAGCCTTTTGATTCTTTATATGTATCTTGATTTTTTCGCATAATTGCTTGACAGGGTGAGAGCTTATGTTTTTTGATATCTAGCTTAATTTAACTCCAGAGCTTATTGCTTATGGATAAAGGAATAGAGTAAAGATCAATTGTTTTTGGTAGAAATTTGATTGGCTAGGTGTAGGAAACTCATTGGTGAAAATGATCATCTTGTAGTATTCTTTTCTTTATGCTCCACACCGTGTCCACTTTTGGATGTCCTGATGTTTTGCTTTTGTGTTTAGGTTAAAGTTGACGGCCAGGTTTCTATGAAGTTTAGATTAGCTGGGCACCAAAAGCCTGTCAATTTTATTTCATGGAGTCCCGATGATTGTCAACTTCTTACCTGTGGAGTAGAAGAGGCAGTCAGGAGATGGGATGCTTCATCCGGTGAATGCATCCATGAGTATGAAAAACCTGGTCTTGGTTTGGTGTCTTGTGCATGGGGTGCTGATGGTAAAAGTATATTTTCTGGTGTTACCGATAAAAGCATATGCATGTGGGATCTGGAAGGGAAAGAGATAGAAAGCTGGAAAGGGCAAAAATGTACTAGGATTGCGGACTTGGGAATCACTAAAGATGGGAAAGAGCTCATAACAGTATGTAAGGAGACGACAATACTGATTTTTGAATGGGAAACAAAGTCTGAGAAATTCATTGAAGAGGATCAACCAATAATTTCGTTTGCAATGTCTGAAGACAAAAGGTTTTTGCTTCTTAGCTTATTCAACGAGGAACTACATCTTTGGGATATAAGTAGTGCAAAGTTGGTTGGAAAATACAAAGGTCATAAACGTTGTCGGTATGTTTTGCACTCTTGTTTTGGGGGCCTAGACCAAGGATTTATTGCCAGTGGAAGTGAGGACTCACAGGTGACATTCTTGTCTTCATTATCACAAATTTCATGCACAATATAGTGTGTTATATAGTGAAATATTTTTCTCAAAACATTACATCCAAAACCCTTTTATTATTCTATTAGATAGTGATTAAAATGTCTTTTCACTGTTATTCTATGAAGAAGATATGATGCTCTACTCATTCTGAAAGCTTGATGGGATCATATGATTTTATGCAATGAAGCATTTGAGCATAACCGGACTCTTGTTTTTTTGGCCTATGCTCAATGTTCGCCTCTTCCCCTTCCCTTGTGAAACTATAATGTCAATGTTTCAGGGTTACCGCGCCGTGTTTTGCAAGTATAATTGCAAGATTTTGATGTTTTTTTGTAGGTTTACATATGGCACAGACTGTCCGGAGAGCTCATTATGCGACTAGCCGGCCATACCGGGGCAGTGAACTGTGTGAGCTGGAACCCGGCTAACCCACACATGCTGGCTTCAGCGAGTGACGACCGTACGATACGTATATGGGGCTTGAATAGGGTAAGCATGGAATACAATGGAGGGAGGCATGGTAATGGTGTGCACTGCTCCAATGGAAAAACTTGAGCTTCCAAGCAGTGGTCTGTCTGTCTGTTTCTCAATTGTGTTGTGTAAATTCTTAGTACTTTCCAGCTAAAAATAGAGAAAAAAAAAAAAAAAAAAACCATTCATGAAAAGAAAGAATGCAAACCTGCATTGGCTACACTACCATTCCATGTTCTTGAATTTCAGTTAGATTAGTGAAATGTGGTGTCTGATGCAGGAAACGGATTGGGATACACACACAGCACCAAGATTACAATACTGCAATGTTGAGATCCATAGTTGTAGCAATAAGTATACATATTTTCAGCAGCTTCGGGTTTCCTTTAGGGGATCGTAATCGTAAGCGTCGCCAGCTTTGATGAACCGGCCCTTCACTCGCTTCCTTGAATCTGCCCTCACTTTGCGCGACTCGTATCGCACCTTCTTCTCGAATCTGTTAAAAATGGCATCATTGTTGTTATGAATTTGAGTTTGGCTTACTGTAATCGAAAAGAAAAGGCATACTTGCGCGTCTTCTTTTTCTCTTGGTATCGCCTGACTGCGTCGCTCTTGCGGCTCCACGGTGGCTCTGTGCCCTCCTGATGATCTGCAGTGGCGGCACTAATCTCTCCGGCTGTATGATTGGGGAATGAGAGGCTGGATTGTGCTTGCCATGTGAAAGATGCATTAGGTTCTGTCTTGCTGCTAACCATGGAATCTGCTGTGTTGCTGCTACATGCTGCTACTGATTGCATTTTCGTTCGTGCTACTCCAATCGATGGTGATGATATCTAACAATGCCGAGAGATTAGAAATGGAGATGAGACTTTCAAGCAGTTAAGGACACCTTACCTCAGCGGGACAAGGGCAAGCTCCATGACAGTCAGATTCTGACATGTCCTTCATCTCACTGATTCTGCTGTCATCCAAATTCTGTTCTCCACCAAAAAGTTCTTCGTAGTCTTCAATGCGGAAGTCAATTTCATCCATGTTGAAGTCATCGTCATAAATACTGCATTTCGGATACTGCACGTTAACATAATAGGTTAATTTACGCTTGTTCATCCGTCAAGCCCTAGCGCCATGGCTTCCTGTAGCTTCCGAAAGAAGAAAATGAATGTCAAAACATAGATGGATAGAGCGCGCGAACGAACCCTGGGAATTGCTGCTTCTCCAGCTCTGAGGTCCAGATTCTGAAAGTCAGGGTTAATTGAAGCGATTGATGATGGTTCCAACAGAGGCGTGTGCGCGCCACTAGCCGACGGTGCTTCCGCCGGAACGGATCCTTCTTCTTCAGAGTTTGGCATGCCCTGGTCGGAGTCCAAGAGAAATGACCAGATACCAGCCAATTCTGAAGACGATGGACATCCAGTGTAACAACTGACGATTTGCCTCTTATGAGCATTTGCAGGAGCAGCAGAGTGCCCCGCCCAATCGCAATTCTGGCAGAGAGAGATCCTTTCCTCGACGCATCTGACAAAGGCAGGCTGAGAGCTGGTGCATCTTTCGCAGAGCAGAGTCCTAGGGTGACGTCTTGAGAGAGCATTTGCGGAGTGGACATTACGGTCGCAGGAGAGGCATAAACTGGCCGCATCTGATCGACAGTACACAATGGATCTTTGCTCTCCGCAGAAATCACACATTCCACCCATAGTAGCTACCAGACTGCTAATTATCAAGCTCTCCTCAACAACAAAGCAGTTATATCCCTGCGCGCATCACCTGCTAAGCTAACAATTCCAATTCTATAACTTATAGCAATTCCAACAGAAGGCTGCTGCTGCTGCTGATAGCTAAGAATCAAAAGCGTGAATTGAATAGCGATGGAGGAATTAATTAAGCTGAAAGGGCAGAAGAGAAGAGATGGTACCTTTTTGGTTGATCTCGGTATTGGCTGTGCTGAGTGAAACAGTGTAGTGTAAACAGAGGAACCAGGACAGAGCACAAGTGATGGAGAAGACGATGAAGATGATGATGAATAATTTATTACTTCTGACTTCTGAGGTCCAATTCTAAAAGTTAGGATGGGCCCACTACTCACCCCTTTTTCTATCATGAATGAGAAAGAGAGGACTGGCCCAAGGCCTTATTATTGATATATTTCTTATTTAATTTGTATTTTAATTTTGATAAATTTATCCATTTTTATTATATTTAATAAATATAAATTAATTTAAATAATATTTTAATATAAAATAATCTCTATCCAACTTTAAAAAATAATAATTTATTATATATTTAATTTTTTTAATCTTTTATTTTAATTTATGTTATTATAAATAAATAAATAGTATATATTTTACTTACTAAATGATAATAAATTAATATATAATATAATATTTTATAAAACAAATATTTAATATATATCTAATTTCAAAGATTTAAAAATATATAGTAAATAAAACCAAAATATACTTCAATTACCTATCGAAAAAAAAGAGCTAAACATAATCCATAGGCATGGACCATGGTGGCCATCCTCTTTGGAATGACCCGAGTGTGGGAAACGGAGCCAGTCAAGGTCGCAAATCATGGAGAAATAACGCACCACACACACACACACACCCCTCTCTCTCTCTCGCCACTCGGCGGCCACCAAAGCACCTTGGTTTTTTGTGTCACCATCCATCTGCATCTGGGTCTAGATTTGGGTCTGGGTCCGGTCGCGTCTGTGGATAATCAGAAATCGAAACCCTAATAAAACTTTTTCAATTTCCGTGCATTTTCAACTTCTGCTCACGATTTTCCTAGATGGGTCGCTCACGCGCCGTCACTCAGGCTGCCGTCGATGATCCCGGACACAGGTTCGAACGATAATTACTTTGCTCGCTTCCTCATTTCGTACTTTGTTTGTATGTTTTCGAGTTGTAGGATATAAACTTTGTGTGTTTAGCTCAAATTTGTAGTCTGCTTCTAATCGTAAGTTGATGTCCCCGAGACGTTTTTTTTGTTTAGTTTGACCCGACTTGGTTCGGAAGCATTACTGTTTTTAGTGGGAATTCAATTTTTATCTTTGTGTTATTAAGTTTGAAGAACAAAGAGGAACTTTAGGGATTGTGCCATTTGGAGTTTTCATATGGATTTGCAGTTATGCCTGAGACTAAACGTGAGAATCACTGAAATTCCTAGTAAGAAATGTGTATGAGCATTCTGGTGTTAAACATGAGCATCATGGTGGGATTGCTGGAATATAGCATAAGCACACAGTGTAAGTTAAGGTTGCCCCAGACAATTGTTCTTATTCATATTGAAGAACAACCACCGCAGGCTACACAGCAGCATATGTCTATTGGGGCACTTTCTTTTTTTACATTTTGAACTTTGGTTGGTGAAATAATCTCATTGTTTTTAAATGCCCACAAATACATTAATCTGCGGAGTAATGTAAATGTGTTTCCTGCCTGGCTTTAAATCTTCAGTCGGTCAAAGAGAAAACGGACAGCTCAAAATGTAGAGAACACAGAAAGTGCTACTCCTGGTATGAATGTAAAACATCACTCTATATATATATATATATATACATGTTTTTTTCAAGTATTTTTAGGCTTCTTAATCTAATCCCTTTGTATGTGAAGAAGTTCCAGGAATAAATGATGGGAAGAAGGCCTTGTACCACTGCAACTACTGCAACAAGGATATTTCGGGAAAGATTCGGATTAAGTGTGTCATATGTTCTGATTTTGATCTCTGTGTTGAATGCTTTTCTGTTGGGGCTGAGGTCCATCCTCACAAAAGCAATCATCCTTACAGAGTCATGGTTAGTTAATTGCAAGCTCATTCTCTCATTTCTGTTATTTTACTATTTACGTAAGTTATTGATGAATTTTGAATTCTGAAAAATTAATATCTGACTTATGTGTCCATGCGTAGTTCCTCAACATTATGCACCTGTTTTAAATCAGTAGATGTTTCCCTTTTATTGTCAACTTATAATTCCTTGTGCTCTTTATTTCTTGTTTAAAACCGAATTTTCACTTTTATATATGAATGGTGCTTCAATAAGTTCTCTTTGGTGGGTTTTCATGATTCTGTGTAGTCGTATCAAGTCAGTAGCTTTCTTGCATCAAATGTTGGCTGAAACAATGTTTTATCGCTTAAATCTGTGGAGAGAACATGCATCAAATAGGGATAGGTGTACCTGTTTACAAGATCTTGCTGCAAATGAAGTTTTGACAACTAGATAATCTATCCCTGATATTTACATTTTTTGTTTTGTCTATTATGACATTTCTTTCTCTCTTCCAATGCTTGTACTAAAATTTATTATGTTATGTTTTATACTTTCTGCTACTGTCTGTCATCATCTTTATCTTTTGTAGGACAACCTGGCATTTCCCTTGATATGTCCTGACTGGAATGCTGATGAGGAGATGCTACTTTTGGAGGTATATACAAGATTTCTCTTTTTAGTGATTCAGGGTGTACTATTATACTCATTTTATGAACTAAAATACTAGTTTCTTATTCATTTTACAGCTACTATTTGTCAAAATTCCTGCACATATCATTCGGCTATTGAATAATTTTCTTTTCCCAGGGCATTGAAATGTATGGACTAGGGAATTGGAATGAAGTTGCAGAACATGTAGGAACAAAAAGTAAATCGCAGTGTATTGATCATTATAACAAAATATATATGAATTCCCCTTGCTTCCCTCTTCCGGTATGTCATGTTATTCTTTCAATATGTCCATTCTTAGAGAACACTCTGCTTTTAACATATTACTTCTTAACGATATTATCGTACTGGTTTTCTTAGGACATGTCTCGTGTGATGGGCAAGAACAGAGAGGAACTTCTTGCTATGGCCAAAGAGCAAAGTGAGTACATGAAAGGTACTTATCAGGTTATGCCTAGTGAGCTGGTTTTGAGGTTTGAAATTGTGGTATTGCACATTGGAATGAAAAGCTTGAAAGAGGCGAGTTATGTGAAAGAACTACTTATTTCTCTACTTTATACTGCAAGTGGCAGTTTCTTGTTATGAGTTTGTTTCACCTTGTGCCTTCAAATGCGTGTGGATCAATGTGTTGGCATTCATGCGTGTTTTCAGCTTTTAATTATTTAATTGATTTTCTTTATTCATTGTGGTGCTCCTGATCTGCCATAACTTGAGTATCTGATTTACACATAGACTGACACATTCGTCTTGCTGCCTTTGATCTAATCAACTCAGCTACCTCAGGTACTGGTACTTGTGGTGATGTTGAAGTGAAGGAAGAGACCCATTTTTCTGCAAGAATCAAGTATTCCTGGAAAAACTTTTGTGATACCTGTATTAAAATCCCTCTGTGCTACATCCTGAATCATTTGGTTTTGTATGGTTAGGTTGGAAGAACCGAAAATTGATGGACAACCAGGACGTTCCTCCTCAAGTGTCTCTTCTGGTACTGTAATCTTTCCTTGTTTAACTTTTTGACTATCATTTCTTAAATAAATACAAATTCATCCCTGGCCTGTATGGATGTATATTTTGTTCATATGCTTTCAATTGATTTCTATGGTTTTGTATCTGATTCTACTCATTCTACCCTGATAGAGCAAGACACGATTCGAGGTTGTAAAATCTCAATGGGAGCCAGTGAGAGGACTACCAGCAATGTGCTGAATAATGATGGTCTTGATGCCGTTAAATTAGAAGGTGCGCATTCTCCTGAGTAGCATCTTCTATGGTTCTGCTGCTCCTGTTTTCCACTGCTTTATAATATTATAATTCGCAAAATAGTTAATAGAGCCTTGTCAATCTTGACACTTTTCTCATGTTAGAACATGATACTAAATTTTGTTAAGATTGTATTACTACTAGTAGAGTTCTATATTTTTAGTAAAGATCTAGGGCTTTGTTTGTTTTCTATTTCAAATTAAAATCTACCCTATGCAGCCCGCATAATTCTCAATAAAAATACACTATTTTCTTCTACAAAATATCATATCAAAATTCTATTTAAACCAAATCTCAAACTCACATAAAAACTAGACACCCTAGAAATATGGTATATTCTATCCTAAGGCACTATTTTTATTTTTCTTGAAATTTTTGCTTAGGACTGACAATCATCATTAATGTTTTGGTAATTAGTTATCTCTAGAGTCCATCTGGACCAACTGAATCAGTGAGCTTCTATGTGGATTTTAATAATAAGTTATTATAATGCATTTTCCAAAGGCATATGTTCATAGTTATTGCTTGTGCTTTTTAGCAAGACAATTTCCTGTATGTGAAAATACAATGTGCATAAAGGAAATCTTATGTTTCCAGAGTTTCCATCAGACAGGAGCATTGGAGAAAAAAAACCTAGGACATCAAGCGATGAGGGTGTTTCTTTGAAGGAATTAAGTGGATATAATTCTAAAAGGCAAGAGTTTGAAATTGAGTATGATAATGAAGCTGAGCAGTTACTGGCCGATATGGAATTCAAGGAGATAGATACTGAAGCTGAGCGAGATCTGAAACTAAGAATTTTGCATATATACTCAAAACGGTAAGTCTAGTTCTTATTCTATCTTCTTCTTCTTCTTCTTCTTCTTCTTCTTCTTGTTTTTGTTTTTATTCTATTATTCTTTCTTTTCCATTTTGCAAGGTTAGTGCACTAGAATAAGGATCCAAATGTTAACTTGCTTTGTCTTGTTTTTTCTAGTCTTTTGTTAAAAGTGTTTTGATGTATTGTTTTGTATTCAACTTGGTGATTTCTTGGCAAGTATAAGTTACTGAGGTGATTCTACTCAAGAAGATGAATGGCCATTGATAGTATAAGATTAGATGTGTATTTGCTCATTTAATTATGGTTGATTCTGTCTAGGCATCAATATTCTTAAATTTGATGATTTTCATAAACCTTCATATTGTGTCTGGTTTGTTGATTATGAAGAGAACTGGAGGTTGTAGCTTTTAACATGTTTTGGGAAAGTTTATGCAATAACTTGTAGAAGTTGAAGGATCCAAGTAAAGTGCTAATTTGCTCTCTAGTTATGAATCTTTTTATTTTTTCTTTTAAGCTTTATTTGTTTCCTTCAATTTTTTTAGGAAGTATAATTCCCTGATCCTTTTTGGCGCATGCTTCTTAAACTAGTTTAATCCTTTTGTATTAATGGTATCTTACTGCCCTCGTATAAATCCACCATTTCACAGGCTAGATGAAAGAAAAAGGAGGAAAGAATTCATTTTGGAAAGAAATTTACTATATCCTGACCCTTTTGAGAAGGAGCTTACATCAGAAGAGAAGGAATTATGTCGCCGCTACCGAGTGTTCATGCGATTTCATACTAAAGAGGAGCATGGGGAGCTGCTGAGGTATGTTGTTGAGGAGCAACGGATTTTGAAAAGAATACAAGGTCTTCAGGTATTGTGTTCCCAACTTCCCATATTATCCCTTTGAATGCCACAATGCATGTAATAAGTTAATCATAGCCACTCTTGATTGAGAATGGTTATAGGGTGAAGTTGAAACTTATTGTGAGTGGTTTTAAAGTTTAGCAAGGAAGATGTGATATGAGTATGGCCACTTCTTTGCTGTTGCTGAAGATTGTGTGTCATTTATATTTTTGTCCATTCATGATTAGTTCTTTGTCAGAAGTACGTGATCTGATTGTGGTTTAAAAGTTGGATTTTCCTTAGCGTGGAATTTTACTACTCTAAATCTTTGATGAACGAATAAGACATTCAATACTTTAGGCTTATGTTTAGTATTCAGATCGTGATACTACTTTAAGATTAACTGTATGCCCAGTGAAGCTTTGTTAAGAAATAAAGAGAAGTTTTGTCACCCTAGTATGCCTCTCATGTAAAATCCTTCCAAGATCAACATGAACGTGCTGAATTGTGAATCACAAAAGTGTTAATCAGAGATATTTATGAGCATATTAAAACCAAATGTCAAGATTTATGTTCAACTTTAAGAACATCTAATTATCAGGCCCATATTGGTGCCCACTTGATTGCTTGTTAGATCTAATATGTATGTATGTATCAATTATTGGTCAAAATATGATAATAGTCTGAAGCTAATGCTTGCACAGGAAGCTCGAGCTGCTGGGTGCCGCACTTCTGCTGAAGCTGAGAGGTATATTGAACAAAAGTTGAAGAGGGAAGCTGAGGAGAATGCAAGGAGAGTGAAGGAAAGTTCCCAGGCTGGTCCCAGTGGAAAATATTTGCAGAGAATGAGCCATCAAAAAGGAGAAGTAGACACCAGCAGTCCCAGGGTTGGTAACAAGAGCCCCAGTGTCTTGGACCCTAGTGGCAAGGACTCTCTATCTAGCACCATTGCCAAGGGGCCCACTGGCTCTGAAGTCTCGGATAACTGGGATGTCACCGGCTTTCTCGGGGTTGATTTACTTTCAGAAGCTGTAAGTAGTCAACATAATACAATTTTAATTTTAATCTGAGGAAGTGAGCTCTTATAATATTGTGTGTTGCAAAATCTATTCATCCAGGAAAAACAGCTGTGTGAGGAGATCAAAATCCTACCAACTCATTACCTCAACATGCTGCAAACCCTGTCCATGGGAGTCTTGAATGGATCTGTAACCAAAAAATCAGATGCTCATGGGCTGTTCACCGTGGTCGATCCAGGCAAGGTTGATAGAGTGTACGACATGCTTATACGAAAAGGAATTGCTCAAACGTAGAATCCATCACATGATCATTTGAAGGTGAAGGGTGGGTTGAAAGTGGTAATGTTTGGTGATCTCACTTTAGAATCAATCTAAGATAGTCATTGGTAATGTGTGTTGTGTAGCTGCTAGCAAGTTCAATTGGATAATGCTTGCTGCCTCTGCTCAGATCAGATAAATGTTGAAGGATAGATATGGAAAATGGATATGCCGTGTAATGTGCTCATGTATACTTTCTCATGTATGGATTCAAATCTTACTATACAAATGTGCCAAATTTCTCTCATCAATCCCCCGCACCCACACCACTTATAATAATTTCATCAAATCTACATTTTTTTTTTTTTCAAAAATAATTTATTTATTTATAGCAATAATTTTTATACATTTTAAATTTATATATTTTAATAGTAGTAATATATGTTTAATTAATTTTTTAGTATAATATATAAAATAAAAATAAATATTTAATTCGATATATTTTAAAAGAATTAATAAATAATGAAATTTGGAAAAATGCTCGAAAAGAGCAAATAATTACTGAAAACGCTTTTTAGTAGTATTGCAAAAAAAAAATACTCCCTCCTCCGTGAGAAGACGGAGTAGTATAAAAAGGAGAAAGAAATACAAGCCGACTTAAACGTATTTATTTAGTCGTTCGTCGAGGAACTGTGGAGATTCAACTGATGTCTGGGTTTCTCTCGGTTCGCCTGCCCTAATCCTCCGCGCGCTATACTTTCTCAATACAGCTTCAACTCGGTGAGCTTCTGGTCTCTTCTCTCAGAATTTGGATCTGCGAAAGCAAGTCTATGCCTGCCGTCTAAATGGCCTAAATCCAACCCTATCCACGCCTGTATATTTTTCAATTGCAAATTTTCGTAACGTGTTTTCTCATACTGATTGATGTTCATGTTTTAGTTTTAGAATCCTGGATTTTATGTATATTCATTATTCTGCCAGTTGAAAAGTATCTGATGGATGGAACGTCTTGAGCAATTGGCATGATACGTGTGCTTAAAAGTGCGTATCGTTAACTCTGTTATGCTGTTTGCCAACTTTGGATAGCTGCTACACCAATATTGTTGTGCCGTAACTTAACTGTCTGTGTTCGTAAAATTTCTGTTACGACAAGTTAATTTGAGCCTACCAGATAACATCGTAAAAGTTGAATTTGCAACCATTGCACTGCAGAACATTATATAGTAAGCTTCCAGTCCTTGGAGGAATAACTATTTCTCTCTTTATGTAATTATGAGTGTGATACTGCTCTTCTTGCCTTAGTACTGTTGAATCCGTAATTATTCTCTATTTTGGAAGTTATACGGAAATCTAGAAACAATCTGTTTAGATCATTCACATCACTTCTGTCTTGCTAAACTGATAGTAAAAATCATAGTAAATGAAAGCTTTCCTCACTGGCATGCAGATGGAGTATTGATATTTATGGCACCTCAAACATGATTAAATTGTTCTATGTGTAGGATGAAATACTTCTAGGGGCTTTCTTGGGACAATAAGATTCAGTTTAGAGATGAGTAAACAATATCTGTTTGAAGCATAAGCACATGCACAAGCTTGCCTCCTTGTGACAAGGAGGATTGAGTTCACTGAATTGTATTCTCAGTTCAAGAAAATGTTTATGTAATATTGACGATTTAAATATTCTCCCATCATTCATTAAGGGGAAAAATACCACGAGCAATTAATCAACCTTTTATTTTATTGATCATTTTTAAAAGTTTTGGGTTTGTTGAAATGAGAAGGTCTTAGTTTATTTTATTTTAGTTTTTGTACACAAGAACAGGCAAGGTGTTGGTAACAACTAACAATTTTAAAACATTTTCCCTGTAGTTTCTGAAGTAGATGGCTAAATGAACTGACATAGATATTTATTAGAATGAGTTTGCAATTACATTCAAACATCAATCTGATCCAATTACTCATCATATTTTGGATTTATAGATTCATAAGCTATTTATCTGCTGGAAGTTTTGGAAAGACAGCAGAATGTCTGCTCGGTTGATGAAAAAGGTTCTAAAAGAACAAGAAACAGCTTTACAGCAACAAGAGCTGCTCAACAGTGAGGATGGCTCAGAGTCGGTTGACTCTTCTCCTCGCAGGCAGAATCATTTTGATCTTCTTGAGTTTAACAGCAGTGAGGATGATGGACATGGTGATAACCAAAACTTTTCCAACTCCGACCAGGTAATAATTCCACTCGCTGTTTGAGTCTGTTTGTTCCCTCTGAACAAGTTACACATCATTCTGTTTTCTATAAGGGTATGTTTGCTATGAGGCTTTGATGGATGAAAATAATAAATTGGTGTTTAAATCCATGTTTCATACATGATTTTTGGATGACTGAGATGGTATGATAGGCTTGACAAAGCCCATTCACAATAGAATACTCTATAAAGTAAGCCATTTTGATATCCTTAAATATTTCATCCTTAAGTTTCTCAAAATTTTACTCTTTACACTTATCGCCTTTGCCATTTGTTCTCCCCATACCCCTTCATCACCATCATCATCATATTATATTATTTTTAACCCACATTATCTTGTGTCTAATACAAAGTTACTTATAGGTTGAAGTGAGTAATTTTTCTGTACTACTTTGATCTATAGCTTTTTTTTGGTAATTGACAGGTCAGTAACTAGTGTTGTTGAAAGATGGGACGTTAATCTTAATTTGTTCTGCTATTCATCTCTGGCATGGCTCATTGTCTGCAGGAAAAGGGTGGAATTGGTTGTGAGACTGTAGGCTATGATTCTACAAGCAAATATTCTTCAACTGATAAGGCATCTGTTGTCACAGTTTTGACACAAAATGCTAAATCCACAAAGAAGAAAAAAAAGAAAAAGAAGAAAAGCAAGGATGATAGATATTTGAACTCTGAAAGTGAGGAAACATCTTCTAATCAGATGGCAAACTTAACTTTGGAGACTAGCTCTTCTGATCATCCACAGATTGCTGCTCGTCCTGTTAATTCAAATCCTGTACACATAGATAGAGATGAGAAAGTACTGAAGAGACAGGGCAAGTCCTCCATTTTACAAGTTGACCCCAAATTTCTTAATGCAGAAAATGAGTTGCGAAGGATATTTGGTTCTAGAGTTGTCAAATCATATGAAAAACACCATTCATCTGCAAATCCTAGGCTTCCAGCTGGTGGTCGACGCGGGAATCATCATTTCAAGCGGACTATCCTTGTTTCTCCATCCCAACATTGGCCACGGTGGGATGGATCTTTAACCATGGAACTACTGGAAACTAGAGATGGTGTCCACTATTTCAGGTCAGATTCCTTGTTTTATACTTTATTTTTTTTTTAAGAAAACACTTTACAGTGATTGGAATTTCCATGTATGTAATGTAATTGTAGGAATATGTCAAATATTTGATAATTTAAGTGTTCATTTTCTCTGAAAAAGGTGTATTAGGAAAGATCAAATCCTAATAAACATCACTTAATACTGGTCAAGATTAATCATCACCATGTCTGATCTACATGGTAAATAACCCTAACATAGCATAAAAACAAGAAAATTGAGAGCAGAAGAAGTCAGTTGTCTACATGTATGATCTATAAAAATGCTTGACTTCTTCCGGATTCAAGATTTATGTCCAACACAGCATTGCTTTAGGGTAAAATTGTGTTGAAAGCTTCTCAACTCAATTTAGTGTCTCTATGATGAATTTGGTCTTGGTAGATGTATGTGAATTATAAATCATGTCATAGAAAATATTCACCAAATTTAGCAATTGTTGGATTCAAATTTTATATTCATGAAATCCTGCAAAATGTTCAGCAATTTCTACTATGTAACTAATTCAAATTCTACATTAAGGCAACACATCACCCACTTATTAAGCATTCAAGGACAAAATGAATAAGGTGACCTGAGGTTAAAGGCAAAACATAAGGGAAAAGGAAACAATAATTTGTATAGTGTCCAACATATGTGAATAGCAATATATGTAAGTATACTATAATTGCTTGGTGACTAAGTTCCTTCTGTGGATGTTTTTTTTTTCGGCCATCAGTTTTTTCATGCTATTAATAAACTAATGGTCTATACAGATATATGCAGTCATCATCTTATACCGCGGCTCAGAGAGCTTTTGATTCTGCCAAGGCTCTTCATGATCTTAATGGGATTGCAAACATTTTGTTGAACCATCCTTATCACACTGAATCACTGATTGTATTGGCAGACTATTTCAAGTTCACGGGTGAGCATCAAATGTCATCTGATGCTACTGCAAAGTGTCTGTACGCAATGGAATGTGCGTGGCATCCACTGTTCACTCCATCACAAAACTGTCAATTGAAGTTTGTCCATGATACGAACAAGCCGTTCTTCTCATCACTTTTTACCCACATGAAAAACATGGATAGGCGTGGTTGCCACAGATCTGCGCTTGAAATTTGTAAGCTGCTGCTCTCTGTGGATTCCGATGATCCAATGGGTGCTATGTTTTGTATCGATTATTACTCATTAAGAGCCGAAGAGTATGCTTGGTTGGAACAGTTTGCAGAAGAATACAGACATGACAACTCACTGTGGCTATTTCCTAATTTTTCTTATTCCCTTGCTGTTTGCCGGTTTTACCTTGAACGCAGTGAAACAAACGGCAGTGGGGAAGCGGAACTTGGGAAAGCTACATCAAGTGATTTAATGAAGCAGGCTTTGATGCTTCACCCTTCTGTTTTGAAGAAATTGGTGGAGAAGGTTCCCCTAAAAGATCGGATATGGACAACAACTATACTAAAGCATAGTTTCTTTCGATCCGAGCAAACAGGAAGTCCCTCTTTGGATCATTTGATTTCAATGTATGTTGAAAGGAATTATTTAATATGGAGGCTTCCTGAACTCCAGAAGCTTTTATGTGACTCGGCACTTTCCGTGATTGAAACACTGGACGGGCATGGAAGTGATGCCAAGGACTGGGCTTGTGTGAGGAAAGAAGCTTTTTCATCGGAGAAAAATGAGTGAGTACATACATACGTACATGGCTATGTATATATATATATATCATCTTTTCTGCCACAAATTTGCACTGAACTGTTTTTGTTCTGTTTGTTGCTTCTCCAGGTATAGCCATTTGATGGTGTCGGATTTTTCTGATTCAGTGCCAACATTGCCCCCGGATAACCTACAGAACTTCATCATTGATCAAAGGGGCGGGAATGAGAACATCGACCGAGTACCTAATGCTCCTGCAAACCGAGCGCCTCAGGATTTCTTGAATCGAAATGCTCTTGCTGTTTTATTCGAATCTATGTTGCCGTGGATAAATTATGGACCCGGGGAGGGTGAGCATATCCAGCCTGATCATCATGGCCCCGGGCGAGCCGACAATGAAGAGTAAATGCTGAGCCGGGGCATCTTGAACAACAGTCTTGGCATGAAAATTAGAAGTGGAGAAGCGGTAAGATTTGTTCTGGAAATTCTATCATAATAAGCGTTCTGGGCGTCCAAATTTCAGATATGGTATTACTCTTGACTACATGTAGTTTTAGCTATTAAAGAAAGGTATTTAATATTGTAAGTTCTTTCATGTTCAAGTTATTTAAAATATGGCATGGACTAAAAAAGAAGAGATCTAAATTATCAGTATTTACTATTCAATTCTTCTAATGTTCAAATTACCCAAATTCTAAGCGGTAAGCAGTAGGATTAACTGTCTGATTTTTTTCAGTTTTTATCGTCTATGTTTTATGTACTTAGGTCAGAAGGTTCAGTATAGTCAGGTTGTGTTTTGGCTTTGAAAAGTAACTTACACTATAGCTATACAAGTTGAGAATCAACTTCAAAACTTAAGAAAGAGAGTATACATCATATTTCATCTAGTTGGCATCGTAAATGGACCATATTTCATCTTGTATTCAAGGATGTTGGCTGCACGGTAGTAGGTGATGCTATCTTCCTCTTTGTAAGTTTGCTCAACATATAGGCCATGGCAACCTTAGCACCGAAGCTTGAATGGCCTCTGGAGAGGCAGATAGCACCGCCAAGGAGAAGTAATCCATTTGTGATCAGCTTAGATGAGGGCCTTCTATGAAGTCTCCTTGTGTTCAGCTTGCGACTCCCTGCTGCAGTACCACTCGAAGATTTAATTGACTTATCTGGATGATCATTGCTGCTTTCATTGTCTGTAACTTCAAATTCAAGCGGTACCTGCTGCACAAACCAATATAATTTAGGTGGCATATATATTGATAATATTGTGCTTCTCAAGCTATAAAAGGGCGTGGGCGTTGCAATTAAACCTTCTCATGGATCTATGTATTCTAACTCACAAAATTAAAGCATTATCACAGAAAAGGGAAATTCTGTTTTCATAAGCCTAAATCATCACCTTTTGAATAGACTTGAAATCGGCAATACTTGAACTGAGTTGATGCTGTTGTCTGGCAGAATATTTTCTAAGTGCATCATCCATCTTGCACACAAAACTCCATATCCCTTTCGAAAAGGCCAGTTTTGCCATTTCTGCATTCAGACCAGCATCTTCTTGGTGCACCATTCTGATCTCAGATGCATTTCTACCAACAACTGCAGTCAAAAATCAGATAAGGAATTTTACATTCACATTCTAGACTTATTGCCTTATAAAGAGAGTAAATGTCAGAAGACTTCATAACGACAGTAGAAATGTTGAAATCTCAACATAGGTGAGATCTGAAAAAGCGATCAAGACATTAGGATTGACATTAGGGGACTAACAGACTCTTTTCTGATGAAGAATAGAAAACTGGACGACATTATCCATATACACTCTGGGGGATTGACATAATCTGGTACATGCATCTGTGCAAGGAATCTTCACGAAACAAAAGTGACATAGGAATATTAAAATCAGCACGTCACATTGTACATGCACAAAATAACACATTTTTGCTTCATTTTAAATACTTGGCCACACCAACAAATTAGGCTCGATAGTGCATAGTCCATTATTATACCTTCTGATAGTATATATTAGCAAACACATTTAGATGTTTTCACCTATACATGTAATGTTCAGATGTTCTTTGGTGATTCCTTGAGTTTAATCTGGTTGAAATTATCTTCTAATAAAGGAGAATCAGTTTTCCAATACTGAGGCATGGTCTGATACTAAACCCGCATCAGTATTGCATATAATTTTTTTCGGGGTTAGAAGATTGCTACCACTTTATTCACAATACTTGTCCAGTAAACTTTCCTGATATGTGAAATTCAAAGGAGAGAAACAGTTATTAAAGAGGCTAGAACAAAGTCGTGGTGGAGGCTAATTATTCATCAAGGAGAAAGGGGATGGGGACGCTTGTAACTCGTGATGTCAACTTCAATATGCATCAGCAAATCTATTTTTAGGAAAAAGAGCAAATTTAAATGAACAATATATGCAAGGAGACAAAACCTGCCTTTCTTGATTCTCCACCCAGATCTGAAAAGTGAAACTCTTACGTGCTTCGAACCTTTAGGAGCCAAAGGATGTTCACATTCCTAGACATGGTTGCGTACATGCATCAAAATAAACATTTCGAAAATAAATAAATAAAAATTGACCAAGCATATTGCAATCAATTATTTCGCCCAATTAGAGAATTGCAAAGATAACATACTCATATACTTGCCATTGCACTAAAGCAATTTTCATGCTCAATATAATCAATTCTCCACAATGTTTTCAAGAGAAAAACACATTCATTGTGAAACAAGCTGCTTTAAACTTTTTTTAGAGCTTGATATTGCACTAAAAGAATCTTACTATTTATGCATTTGCTGAAATACAGAATTATAGTTTATAGATATCTCCGGTGTATGAAAAATCATTTCTGAATGATACATTTGAAGTAGGAGGGTCCACACAACATATGACGGTGTAGTAAGCCTTCTCAATTAATAAAGGAATGTATTAGTAGCTAGGCACCTCCATTTTTTATGAAAGCAAGCTCCATCTTTCAGACATCATATAATCAATAATCTTTTCGAGATCTCAACAAATATGCTTTTGAAGATATAACCCAATATTGTTCAGAAACACACCTTACTAACGCAGTAAAAGGATCCATCCCGTCCTTGCCATAGTTTCCAAGCCAACACATACTCCCGGGGACTCAAGAATGGAAACTTTTTAATGGTGCAACCAATTTCAATTCCAGATTGAATGTCTCGCTGCAACTGCTGATGGCTAACCACGGATTTGTCCCACTCCATCCTATAATGGTTATCCATGAAAAATTTTAACAGAAACTCCGCCGGACAACCCTCGAATGTAGTCACAGTCAGATACTTCATAGGACCATCCTGCAAATACAATTTTACAGATGTAATAAACCTGGTGATATGAAACTAAGAACTGTGGTGAAACTAGGTGAGCAAATTAATCCTAACACCTTAGGCTTGAAACACTTAGCACTGTAGGAAACTGAGTTGTTTCTCTTGTCGATTGCATTTTCCCAGACGCTGTCGTTAGGGCAACCACCGTCAAGGCAATTGATGAGGTCCTTCAAATCCGAATCAGAGATTACTTGCGGAGCAATTCTGAGAAAGGAAAATGCCGAGACAATTGATATTCCGCTTATACTGCTCTTCATCGTTAGATTCCGAAAAAAAAGCGGGAGAGGAGAAGAGAGGAGAGTTACCTGCTTGAGGGAAGAGAATTCGATCTAGGCGTGGTAGAAGGCGAGGATAAAAAGTACAGTCCTCCGGCGGGAAGGCGGAGGCGGAGCGCGCGGCAAGTGAATATGACGAGGATGACGGCGAAGGTCCATGTCCAGCAGCAGGTGAACGAGAAGGGCGACGACCATCCGGCGACATGACTATCCTCCATCTCTATGTTTTGTGTCCAGAATTGATCGTATTGCCACAGCGACATGACCGTCGTCTTCGTCCACACCATATTTGCTTTGGGGAACTCGATTCTTATACATACATACACTCGATCGACGTTCACTTGGGGCTGCTGCTGTTCTCGATTCTCGGCCACATCCACACGCCCTGGCCTACTTCCCCTTTGTCATGGTTCCACGCATTGACTTTATATACCCTTTCCAAATTACCTACCTGACCCGCAGAAAACAGTGAAATACCAGTTGTATCCTGCTGGCCCTCCAAGTTTCTGATAAATTTTGCCTCCCCCTCTCTAAATTAGAGTTGGGATAATACCACAAAATTTTAAACTATTTTTAGTAATTGATATAGAAACAAACAAATTTTTCCTATATTTTTGCCAAAATATCATGACCACATGCTTTTAAGAAAAATCAATCTCAAATAATATCAAAAAAAGATTACTATATTTTTTTAAAATCAATATTAATATATTAGAATTAAATTTAATACCATATTTAAAAAAATAAAATTGAAGACTTAAAGGTTGCTATTATCGTGTGTATTAAAACGAATTAAAAGTATTTTGAATTATAAATTTTAGAATAAAAGATTAATTTTAAATGCAATGATGTTAACGTAAAATATATTATTCCCTCCGATCCCATTGAAAATGTGACATTTTTTTTTTTTTTTTTTCAGATTTTTGAATATTAAGTATTATATTAGATTATAGTGAAAAAGAAAAAATATCTATGGTGTAACATAAAAATAATGTCATTTGTATAATATATTGTAAGTTGAAAAATATTTATTACGTCAAGTAAGATATATAGTACAATTACTAATGGTAACCTCGTTTTGGGACGAATGAAAATAGAAAATGATAATCTTCCAATAGAACGGAGGGACTATTATAAAACGAAAATGAGATGCAAAACAAAAACAACCGCAGGTTTACATGTCCGGACAGATATTGTGTGCAAGACAAGGAGAATATCTATCTCTTGGTTGTGTATTTTCAAGGTGTTGATAAATAAATAATTAATTAAGTTGACATCATGTATTTTCTATTGAACCGTAGTCTAGATTAGATTATCACACAATATATAATATGTGTATATACATTATCGTGAGCCTTGTGGTCATCCTTGCCCACATCATCATCATATAATAATACAGACAACAAATAGCAAGAGTTAACTGTATATTTTCCGTACTATATGTAATATATATTGTCAAAACAATATTCATTAGCAACAACAAAGCACATGTGATGTGTAGACAACTAACTAACTACCTGTGTATTGCAATAACTCAAGACATTCTATTCTACAAGAAAAATAGCCAATGGATAAGATACAACACAGCCATAGATAGAATCGTAAAAGAATGCCTGCCTATCCTGATTCCTGATTCCTGTCTCCCTCCTCTTGTCAATGATTTCAAGATACTCTCTACCCTACCCAACCCAATCCAACCCAAGTATCACAACAATGTCGGGGAGGGATTTTACGACTAGAGTAAAAAAAACTCATGCAGGGTTAGTAGCTTGCTTAAGAGAAAATAAACTATTGCTCAGTTCGGCGCCACTTGTTTCCAAAGGAAAGAGACAGACACATATCCCAGAGAGAAGTATAACACTTTCAAATAAAATGATGGCTATAGTTTGATGGCAAGAATGAATGAGACTGACGGCAACAAGTGGACATACCATTCCGCCAATTCTTCCCACGGAGCTTGCCACTCCAACTCCGGTAGACCTCATGGAGGTTGGATATATCTGCAGTCGACAAAAATGCAGGGGATTAGATTTGGTGTTACCTCTCATATTTCCTCCCTAATTCAGAAGAAATTTAATTATACAAACAAGACTTACCTCTGGAGCATATATGTAAACAACTGTGAAGGTTCCTGAAATGCAAATGCGTGCTCCAAAGAGAAGCGCGGTTGTTAAGTTCTGTGGAAGATGGGTTGCTAGAGGAAGAAGAAAGATAAAACTCAGGAAGAACATTGATGCCATTGAGAGCTTACGGCCAAGCTTGTCAACTGTTGCAGCCGATAACAGAAGTCCAGGGAACTCTAGAGGCAAATCAGATAAAGGAGGCTTAGCCCTCTTCAAGGAAATAGTGCAATTGAATGTTAAATTCTTAATTAGAATATATGCCACCAAATTTAACAAAAAGACTGACCAGTCATTACCTGCAAAACTGGTAATAAAAACATCTCTGTAACTAATATCTTCATGATTACTGGATTTAAACTCTTTATGTATGCATTTATTATTAGGGTTGTTCAATTCTGTGGTTAGCAGAACAAGCCCATAATAAGCAAATGCATTTCCAAAAAAAACCATCCATAAAAGTAAAGTTGATCTAACCAACTCCGGAGAAAGAAGCATCATTAGTAACGAGAAACCACTCTTTTCAGAATCTGTCTTTTCAGGACCCACACTGTTATTTCCTTCTTGTGATATCATCAACTTTGTTTCATCTGAATGATCCAACTTGTCTTCTGTTGATATTAACTTTGTTTCATCCGGAACATCCAACTTTTCTTCTAACTGAATATAGTTATCAGAAATAAGAACTCCTGAAGGAAGTGGCTTCCCATTAAATCTGGCTATCCTTTCCAGAATAGCTAGTGCTTCACTGTTTCTTCCCCTCATACATAAATATCTAGGTGATTCAGGTGTCATTCTATAGAATAAAAGCAGCAATGAGGAAGGAAATGCAGATGCTGCAAGTAGCCATCTCCAACCCAATCTTGGCATGATAAACTGCCAAAGAAGAAACTCAATAAAAATTACAGAGACTCTTTAATGATCGGAAGATTGGTTAGCAGGGTTTCTTGGACATGGCTGCGATGCAAGATAGGTTTACACATAAAGTCCTGTATTCTAGGTTAAATTCAAATCTGAGGACTTCAACAACTAATTTAGCTAATATATAAAGATATTTCAAGTCATCCAGTGTTTGGTTGACTGTATTTGATGTTTAAAACAAAGAAACAATTTTCAGTATAATATAATCTACTCCATTAGCAGTGAGAGACTCTCTTCAGTGGTACCCAAAACTTTGCATGCAAGAAAAAAGATATTGACTATATTTTCAGAAATTTCAAATAAAACATGCAGATAAGCAGATTGCAAAGGAAAAAAAAAGGATAATATCGTGCATACCCAAGCAACAGAAGCCTCAAGAATAGTTCCAAGAGTCCAAAAAGCTGAAAAAACTACCATCCATGTGCCTCTATTTGCAGAGGGAATAAATTCTAGAAACCAAGAAGAAAGCACAGGGCCTCCTCCTAAGCCCACACCAACTAGCCCACGTAGAATGACGAGTATTGTGAAATTGGGAGCAAATGCACTAAGGAAGCCAGCTCCAGCAGTAATGATAGCTGTGAATAGAAATCCTCGTCTGAATGAAAAATGAGCATATAGATTGCAATTAAAGAAGTGAAACAGCTTAATTTGATAAGTGATAAAGGAAGGAATGTGACACATTAACATAAGCAGGATACATTCATGCAGAAGTGACCAAATTAGATGTTGTGGGAACTTTTCCATGTAGAAAACTGAAAAGTTAATGTGGTACCTAAAAACAGTCTCACTGCTGAGATGAGTATTCAGTATAGGGTGGGGGTGGTTGCTCAAAGACTTTAAAAGTTAATTGATTACAAAGACTACCACTCTCCTCATAGTACTCATCCATGAAGGTACATAGCTAATGGTAAGTCTGCTCACAAAGGTTTTTGGATCGATAAGAGCTTCATTAAATCTGAGGAAAATGTTGGAAACTTACCTTGCTCAATGAACCAACAGAAACACAAAGGGTGTTATTCTCACTAAGCCAGCATTGGAGTCAGCTTCTAATTGAATTCACACAAGATGGGAATAATTAATATGCATTCACCAGCTTAAAGGAGAGCAATTTGTGTCAGGCAACGATCATGGAATTATGAATTCATGTCAAATTTTCCTATGTGTAGTCTGTTCCTTTTGTAATGTGTAAGATATTTGGTTGAAGTGTTTCTAGAATAGTACATAGAATGATTTTGTTGTCATCAAATATATACCCAGATAATATCAATGAAAATATACATCAAAGCTATCCAAAATTATTTGCTTTAGAAAAGGAGTATAAACAATGGACATATGGATGTTATGAGTGATGCTCAACTTAGGAGTTTAAGCTAGCAAATCATTTAGTACATAATCACTCATATGCCATCTACACTTATGCAGTTAATTTTTATTATATATATATATATATATATATGTTTCCTCAAGAAAATGTAAAACGAATTTATAGAAACTTTGTGGCGAAAACATTGAAAGGACTGAGGTTTTTTTTTTTTTTTTTTTTAATAATTATGCATATTGTCTAAAGTCTTATAATACTGGAGAAAATGCATAAATAAATATTGTATTATCACTCCACCAATAAATAAATAAATATCATACTATCATGTCAAAAAGCTGATCATGAACAAATGAGCTCTTACCTCCTTCCAAATGTATCTGAAATCATACCCCATGAGTAGGCTCCAACCAACATGCCAGCAAAAACAACGCTAGTTAGCAAGCTCTGTTGATGTGAAGAAAGCCCCCAAACAGATTTAACAGCTGATCCAACAAATGAGAGAAGCATCATCTCCATGGCCTCAGAAATCCATCCCATCCCAGCATAGATAAAAACAAAGACTTGGTAGTATCCAAAACCCAAATGATTAAGTGCTTCATCAACAGTGTAGGTGTCTTTGTCATCTTCCATCTGTATATAGAAGAAAAACTAGAAATGATCAGAATTTGATCAGTTGGCATTGATGAAAGGGCCATTAAATCCCAACTATCAGAATATATATCGAGCAAGGAACATCACCACTTCTTAGGTAAAACTCTTTTTATTCCTCATAAAAGATATAATAGTGTATAATTTATAGTTAGTAAAAGGTATGATCAGCCATCAGTTTGCTATATTAGCATTCCAGATGCTATTGACTTCAGCAGTTACTGCATATATATGCTGTATATATGAAACTAGGCTGGAAATTGAGTTGCCTTACAATCTACAAGTAACCAATTTCTCACAGATAAACAAACATACAAGTTAAAAGTATGTATATTCCACAACTACATCATCTTTGAAAGCCTCTTCCCCCTATCTGTATGTATGAAAGACATTTGGATATTTTCAGCTATATTAATGCCATGTAGCAAATATCACGTGTATTCCTTTATCGATCTTAAAAAGTGGGGGTTTTCTTTTTTGATGGGAAAGGCAACTGTGCGGGGTATAATAATAATTTGAAAATGCTTTGTTGTTTGAATCTCCAAACAGTGACAAACACTCTTATGAGTTGGAGAAATCCAAAAAGGAACCACATGCAGCGGAGCGGCACAAAGGAGCGGCGTGATTCGCGTTGAGTGCTGTGATTAGGACATCGATGTTTAAGAACAGAAGTATCTACAAGCCAGATAATTCTTAGAACAGCACGACGATTATCTGCTACGTTATTGCATCATTCATCAATGATATAACAGAAATGACAAAATATGATTTGCATCAATGTATTTCAGCAAATACACAACCGGAGGAGAGGAGTTCGGGAACGAATCCATCTGCAACCAACATACCTCTTAAGATACAATACAAGCAGCGAGAGAGAAAGATCGACGACGATGCAGCCGGATAAAAGACGCGGGATTAGGAAGATCGAAGTCAGGACAAGGAGACTCCAGGAGAGAGAGATACGGAGGCGGATGGCTGGTCTGGTCAACCGCGGTTGCCTTACCTTGCTACCGACGACAACGGCCAAGTAAAAAGTCCAATCTCAATTTGTCCGGCCCGGCCGGACCTAGACCGGGCTTGCTACAGTATATGCTAGTCTGGATCGGATTCTAACGCCCATCAAGAAGTGTTTGGTTCTTGGTCCAAAATTCCAAATAATCGTCAATAAGGGGATGTTTGTTCGGAGGATCAATTCGCTATCCATCTAATTTTTTTTAAAAAAAAATATAAAATCAAAATACTTATTTTTTATTTTTTATATTATACTAAAAATCAATTTTACATTCAAAATATCACATCAACATCACATCATACAATCATTCAACTGCAAAATTTTTATTACTCAAAATCAAACTCCCAAACAAATACACCCTAAAACAATTAATACATATGCTTAGTTTTTTAAATATTCCAATAAAATATATTTAAAATAATAAAAATAAAATCTTATACAATATAAATAAATAAAAGATTTATTTACTTATTTATGATTATTATAGGTTAATTTTATAAAAAAAAATTAAAATTTTAAATATGGATAAAAAAATATTTTTATATTAAATTGAGATAAAAATAAAAATAAAAAATTAATTAAATTACTTTATATTTATTAAATATATTTAAAAATAATAATATCCATTTTTTAAAAAAACAAAAATAGGAAAGTATCTAAAACAAAAAATCATTAACACTGTTTACAGAGTAACAATTATGGATTTGGCATTATTTATTTTTTTAAAATATCATTTCAATAATTTTACCAATTACAATTTCTTATAAAAATGCATAAAATTCAAAACTTTAACTATTAATTTAATTAACTTCGGTATTATGTTTTATAAAGAAAAAATATATATGATGATATATCTTGGAAATATTAACAAAGCTATTAAACTATCATCATCCTCTGTTGCACAATATCAATATTTTATTACTGAGACATGATTAACATACAAAATAAAGTATATAATTTCAATCATTAACGCAACAAACGGAAACAGATCTCAACAAAATGTTATTTAGAGTACAAGTGAAAATGAACCAAACATGAGAGTATGTGTATATATATATATATATATATAGAGAGAGAGAGAGAGAGAGAGAGAGAGGGGTGATCCATGATCCAGGTAAAGAAGAACATGGCACGGCATTATTCCTAAATCCTACATCAAGTGATTCACTGACTTCTTCCAGCAAATGATAATAAGAAACAGAAAATGATGCAAATAAATTGGAAAGAGTAGAAACCTTCATTCTTCATCATTAAGGTGTCCAAAGATATCATTCCAATTAGCTCTTGCTTCATCAGGGGATCTTATGGTCCAAATATGATTCTGATTACTCTCCCGTTGTTTCAGAACTTCCTGTATCCAGAGATTCAGTTGTTATTCGCTCCATCCATGGAAGTAAATTATCGCGAGGGTATACTTACTTAGTATATGTACTGTTTTCGATAATCTAGCTCCTTAAGGGGGGAAAATGAATTTCTAAAATGTAACAAAAAGAAAAGAAAACATGGGCTATCATGGATTGATGCTAAAACTTTGTTACAGACTTACAGTCTTTGAATTATGAACTGTCACAACATTCCTTCATATAAATGAAAATGAGGAACAATTTAGTCTATACCACATCGGTTTTGCCTGGTGAATGCATCACCAGCGATGCAGTAAATTGAAAAACAGTAACTGAACATGAATTGTAATTGCAATAATGATGACAATAACATATTGGAGTAACGTCTAGATTGGGGGAAGGTAAAATGAGGTCTGTCCTGAGAAAACCATTGAAGAAGAAAGGATGTCCCCATCTTGATAGCTAGTTCATAAGTTGGTAGGTAATTAGGTATGGGGTAACTAGACTAGCCTGTTAGAAGATAAATTATATAGCCATACAGACACAAATTTCGAAGTTTTGTTATTATCCATGCGTTGAGATTGCATGAGATGACCGTTTGAAGTTAAGCTTCAACAACTTTAAGAGGTATTGTCTTCAGCATGATATCAGAAAAGGGACATGAAGAGAGAACCTAAGCAGATCAGAGTTAAAGAGTTTGACAAGGCCAAGGTATCAATAGTGATTTGCAAGACGACCAATATATGTAGGGTATACTAAAAGTTACTCAACAAAACTATGATCGATGTACTGTTTGGAATTTTCAACTGAGAAATTTTATACGAGAAATCAAGGTATTGCATAGCTTCCAACATCCCCAAATTATTGTGGGGCATCAACAGAAAAACCTGTTTTTCTGATATCAAGAGGTGCATTTTTCTTTTAGATAAATGAGTAAAGAAAAGTATAGCGGATTCAGCAGTCGCTAGATTCTATATTATGCCGTAATTGCATATACGAAACCAAGTTCATCAAAAATAACCATTGCCAAGAAAAATCGTATGGGGAGCTACACAAGATAGGAAACCACCACAAGGCAACGTACTCATTGCTCCCTTAAATTTACTACCAGGATTTCAATCTCCAGTCAATGGTAAATCTTAGTTTGCTATCTTGTGTTTTTTTTTTTTTTTTTTCTTATGAGTCTTTCCTACTCACTGAAGCTTGGGGATGGGTAATGTATCCCAAGATGGGATGATTGAGTTCCCAATAATTTAATGGATCATTAGCGGAGAGAAATGAAAAGAAATTGGAGAACTGTCAGTATTCATTCTTAGACTCAAGGTTCTAACTAAAGACCTAACACAAAATGATAGGCAAATCCCATAGCAAGATATTAGATTCCCACGAACCAATGGATAATTCAAAAGACCTAAGTAAAACTTAAAGGCAAGTGATCACTCTAAACAGACTGTACAAGACAATTTATAAAGTAAAATATAATGAAGGTTTAACAAGAATGAAAAGTTGTTAACAATGCAACTGCACTGCAGTTTATAGGCGCCATAAGAAAAAAGAGAACAAAATAACTTAGGTAAGCGTCAATCACACAATTAGCTACTCTGATCTAGGTTAAGGTATACGCATAAGAATAAATTGTGATGATCAGATTCAAGAAAAGATTACCTCAATTTCAGAAGCTCTTTTCGTTTTCAGAGTCAGACAATCAATAAGACTACTCCATTTTTCTGAACAATTGTCAAGAACACCAACCCGATAGTACTGCTGCATCTGGTGAACTGGAGCTGCCACAGAAAATCAAAATCCACCTATTAATATCAGTGAACACATTCTTTGCAATCTAACGTCAAACAATCGGTGGGCACTCTACATATCGATCAATCTGATTGCATATACATTTGTCAGCGAAAACTTAAATGGTATATAGTAAAACAAATACTGGTGCACAAATCTTTGGTCTCGGATTCGCCCAAATCTAAGAATTCACTATAGAGGAAACATTAACAGTTTTAAGATTAGAGTGCAACTACAATAAAAAATTTCATCGAAATAATCGGGAGGAGGAGTTTGAAAGAGAATTTGGTGTAGTACAATAGCAAAACCAGAGAGCGTCGAAACATTTGGTGCACGACAATCGACGCTGCGGCGTGGTGGTTTCTTCCGTTCCCGACGCCATCTTCTTGACGACTCGCCAGATGATGTTGGGGCGCAGCAGCTGAAAAAAGCACAATTGTTTTATTATGAAATTATATATAAAAACAAAAATCAAACGAAAATTACTCCCTCAATCCGGCCCTACCAGTCCTATATCTACTACAGGTATTTATTTTTTTACAACGGCTATAAGAAGCCTCATCGGCCGGAGAAGACGATGGGGCGACGGTGAAGCCAACGTCGACTATCTCACCGGCGAGGAGACAGGCGAGAAAGATAAACAATAAACTAGTACAAATTGAATCCACCGGCGGGAGTAAACCCTAAACGAAGGAAGAGGGGGAGGGGAAGATGAAGGAGAAGAAAATTAAATAAATAAACAAACAAACCCGAATTTGCTCCCCTACCGGCGGCGGCAGCAGCGGGGAAGAAGTCGAGAAAAAATCAAGGGAAAGGAAGAAGAAACGGATCGGGTTGTTTGGTTATGGGTTTATGTTTGTTTCTTTGTTTTTAAATTATTATATATTTAAAAAATAAATAATAATGAAAAAACCGTTATATTTTCTGTATTTGAATTTTTTGTTTAAAACAATAGTTCGATAATAACGGTAAATGAGAGAGTGAATTAATTTTATCGTAAATTAACAGTACAAAAATATTTAATTATGAATTTGCTCTTTGTACTGTTAATTATGAATTTACAACGAAAATGTGGCGTAGGAAGTAGGAACCTGGTAGAACGTTCTCGAATGGCCTTCCAAATTCACTGTCCTTGCTCTCCAAGCATACATGTGCGTATTTTCGTACATATAAAAAGAAAATTGGTGAAGTGCCAGTATTGCAAGCATCAGCGACTCGAAGGTTCTACAGAATTCTGGCTTTGGAGATTTCTTCCTTAACAAGCATCGATATCAGGCTAAGCGGGCAAGGAATTTTGTTGAGAATATGGCAGGAATGATTGCTCAGGACTGGGAGCCCGTGGTTCTCCGTAGGCGGCAACCTACAGCTGCCGCTAGGAAAGACGAGAAGGCTGTCAACGCTGCACGCCGGAGCGGAGCGGAGATTGAGACCATAAAGAAATGTGAGTGTTTATGATCATTGCAGTATTTTTTTTTTTTTATTTGTGGTGCTAATAATCTGCGTCTATGATACATTCTATGCATTTAAGTTGGTTGTGTGCTTTTTCTTCACGCTAGCGCAAAATTTTTTCCCGCTCTGTGATCTGGATTATATGATTAAGTTTTTAAGCAGTTTCTTAGGATATACCTCTCTGCTTTTAACAAAGCACTGTGCTATTCGTCTTGGCAGAAGTTCAGAAGATTAATGTACAACTATATTTCCTGTAATTTGTGGTGATTTCGTTTACTTGTTCTGCAAGATGCGATTATTGAAGCATGATTAGTCCTGTGCATTTGTATTTGTCGATCAAAGGTTGATAGATCCATGTTTGCTTTAATTCTACAGAAGATTCTTAAGCCAGTAGGTTGTATGCGTTAAGCGAATCCATTTTCGGTTTTTACGTCGTCGTCCGATATTCATTCTACTGTAAACGATGTACAACTATCCTGAACTGAATCACAAATAATAATCAATATGCCATTTACCTATCTTACAAGCGCGATTGAAATATTATACGATGTTTCTCGTCTGCTGTTTAGCCATACGTGCGTCTTAATATTTCTGTATGCTTAATCTGCTGTAGCCAATGCTGGAACAAACAAAGCTGCGTTAAAAGTGCTCAACATCAAGAAGCTTGATGAAGACACAGAAAATCTCACCCGTAAGTTAAATCTCTGTTTTGTGCTTCCTTTGGGTTTATTACATTCATCTCTCCTTTGCAGTGGTCACGCTCTCAGCATTACTCAAGCCGTGATTATGTTATATACACTATAAAGCTTCAAAATCTTATAGAACAAATACAATGAAACTAAAAGGAAGGGTCATAGAACTGAATCATTATAATTTCATTTTAAAAATAATATGTATATATACACGAAAGAGAATGTTGAATGTTTCTTGATTAGTGTTTTAGGTTGTTATTCAAACATTATCCATGATACTCCTACTCATGTAAATTAAATTAAATGGTGAGGACAGATGAGAAGGTACCATCGGAACTGAAGAAGGCGATTATGCAGGCCCGAATGAACAAGAAGCTCACACAGTCGGAACTTGCCAAGGTCTGTCTCTATATACATATATATAGTAATTATGTCATAAATAGAGCTTACTTTGCTTGTGTTGGGCATGCAGATGATAAATGAGAAGCCCCAAGTGATCCAAGAATACGAATCCGGAAAAGCAATACCCAACCAGTTGATCTTGTCTAAACTGGAAAAGGCACTTGGTGTCAAACTGCGCGGAAAGAAATGAAACATGAATATGAATGTATCTGTACCTTATGTTTTTGTGTCTTTGTCATCCAAAGATTGAATATAATTTAAATCCAATTTGCTCGATCGAATTTAAGGTCAACATGACATTCTCACAGGGAATCACCACAGTTTGATCACGAATAGCAAATACAAGCTCTCCTTCAAATGCTCAGCTCAACAAGAAACATCCAAGCTACTCTGTACATTCTTCTTCTTCAATAAAAGTAATTCAGTATATTACAATGTAAGAAATGCACATTACTGCAATCACTCGACTCACTCACTCGCACGCCAGTTTTGTACCGAAACTCGTCAAGCAAATGGCAAACGCCTGAAATGCCGAAAGAGGCTGTCTAAAATCCATCGTGAATATATCGTCTCCCACCTTCCCAAACTGTAGCAGAACTGTTTCTTCGTCGCCCTTCCCGCCTGGCTGGCTCTGGTCCACCGTTGCCACCAGCTGGAAGTTCTTCACCGACGCCACTGTCACCCTCCCATGGAAGTTCAAGCACCAGCACTCCAAGTGCTCGTGCCATCTCGGGGCCTTGTTTTTCAGAATCGTGTGTGATGGAGGGGCAGAGGATTCCAATTCCTCCTTTGTTTTGGTGTCATCATCTGGGATTTTATCGAATATCATTGTTTTGGCGCAAGAGGAGGGTGCACACTGGAGGGAGCATACCATCCTCCGAGGGCCTCTCGATTTGAGGAGATTGAATTTGTAGGACACCTGCCCAATTTCAAAGTTGCCTGCCGGAACTTGTGGGCTTATTTGCTTTGTTGCAATGCGGCGTCCGGATCTGCTGCTGGATGGCTTTGCTCCCGTGTGTGGTGGTTGACTGTCGTAGATAGTAAAATTTGTGCCCAAGAAATCCGACCTGCGGAAATAGAAGTGTATTGTCAATGTAGAATACCAAAATGAGGATTGGCATTTTGGAAAGTAAAAATGCACATAATACTGGAAGGGATGAAAGGACGAAAAAAAGGCAGCGAATTTGACAGAGTATAGAGAGTATGGTATCAACACTTGTACTATAATTGCAATACATTTAAAGTTGTGGAATAATCCTTACCTCAATTTTCCAACATAGGCTTTACTTCCTTGGGACAAATCATCAGCATCCAGTGATATTATGTACTCTGTTCGTGCACCGATTCTGTATCTTCGAGCTGCCAGGAGAAACTTCCCTTTGTCCGTGAAAGCTGTTGTAGGTAACAAGAAAATGTCATCTGTTAAATGCTAGCACAAGGAGGAAGAGATATGGGGCGATGTTCAGTTTGATTTATCGAACTTTTAACTATATAATAAACTTATCATGCATTTATGGTTAAAAATACAAATCTCCTTCTCCAAGGTAAGCATAGCTTTAACTGAAATGCATATCGGCTAGCCTAGATGGTAAATCTGTTGGTGATCTTTCCCTTATGCCGGATTCAGACATGACACGTCTTAAAGATATAAACATTGAATAATTGGAAATATGATAAAAAAGGAAAATTTGATTGGCTGCTAAGTAGAAAATCTTATTTACTAAATCCGGAGTGTTCTGTTGTCAAGCTGAGACCTGTAATCGCCGTAAGGCACCAGCCAATCCAATTCCAGCGAAAAAAATCTTATCATTTAAAAAATTGGTTTCTCTCACAGATCCCTCATCATACAGACAAATTCTAGCTCTGTACCTTAAAAGCCCTGTGAATCAACAAGAAAACGACAAGGGATGTATTCCCACAAATCTAGTTACACTATAACCATACATAATTCTTCAGACGTTCCTCAATCCTATGAATTGATGTCTACAATTTTATTACACTCAACCCAATGCATATAATCTTCATGGTGTTTAAGAATGAAAGCTTAATGCATCAATGTCTAAAATTTTATTACACCCATCCAAATGCCTATAATCTTCATGGTGTTTAAGAATGAAAGCTTAATGCACCAATGTCTAAAATTTTATTACACCCATCCAAATGCATACAATGTTCAAGGTGTTTAAAAATGAAAGCTTAATCCACGAAAGACCGACAAGCAAAGCTAATCACTGTAATACAAAAACAATCCAGTACAACAGACAAGCACATTACTATAATAAAATTTGATTACTAAATGTGCACATCTACACATTAGTTGCAAAATAACAAAGTACTTGTTTATATGATTGTCTGAAATTCAAAAAGAATGAAAGAATAATGCATTAAGAAGAGAGAGAATGAAGGGTATGGGTTGTTTGGTTTTATTGCAATGATGTATCTTTTGGTCAAAGTCCTAATAAATAAGGCAGAAAGATACAAACACCTATCCAAACCGCAGTATCCTTCACTCAGTCAGAGTCAAGTGGAGAGTTGAACAACAGAACCGGCACTCAATGATAGGTATAAAACTATTTACATCTTCCAGACCTACCCATTTTGAATTTATCAAAGATGGTCCCTGATGGACCAGGCAGAGAGGTGAATTAAGAAACAGTTGCCATATAAATCCCCAACCCCACAAACCAGAAGGTCATACTTGGTCACAATCATAACTACCAGACAACAACAACACACATAAATAATATTTAATGAATAAATAAATAAAAGGCATGTTTGAGAAGCTATGTTACATTTAAGTGATCGGCATAACAGGTTACTAAGTCTTTGAGGGAAAAGCCTGCTTACATGGTGTGAGAGCAAGATATAGGTAAAATGTAGAACTCTTCTTGTCACGCTTTATGAGGCACTGAAGAGGGGAATCCCGCGGCCCTGGCTGCATGTAATGCAAATATAAGATTTAGAAAATTTAAAGCCAACCAACAACAATAGATACAAATGCTTTTACATTATTTTACATATACTGCCAGGAATAGAATGTCTCAACAGTTTCCTTACAATCAAAATATGCAATCTTGAGTCACAATATACGTAAATAACAAGAAACCAAATATACTAAAACAAACAAAAGCATAATCCCCTGGAATTTAGTTTGTGATTGATCTATATCTGACTTCCTTAGTTTGCTAAGTGTCTTATATTTTCATGATGATACATTATTGAATAAGGAGATACCCAATTTCAGCACCAAACGTTATGTAAAGATTATCATAATCTCAAAACTAGAAAAACACAAGAATGAAATCAGGACTTTGTTCGATGAATTCCTTAGATTTCATGATACATCATATAATTTCAGGGCTAAATTACATTTTCATCAATGAAATACGGTGATAAGCAAATCTTTTTGAAAGAAAAGTGGCTCTGTAGCATTAGTATAAGACTTGACAGCAGTAATTAGTGAATTAACAGCCTAGTGATCAACTTCGCCGACAAATTGACAGAAGTCCCATATTGCATTAACTATTTACTTTTGGACTATTTAAATAAGGTAAATGCCAAATTCATTCTATGTAGAACACAAAATGTACATAACAATCCTACGAAAAGAGAATTACCAATTAACCAGATTTAAAAGTAGCTTGTTCATAGTTGATTCCTTAAAATATTACAAGTAAACCACAAGAATCGAATCTCAAATTACGTAACGAAACATTGACATAATATCTATTCATTGAAAAGAAGCCAACCTAATATTCTTCCTATGATCCTTACAGCATCAAAATCTCAAACCCCAAAAATTAAGATCTTAAACACCAAGGATATGGATATCCAATCAAATCAATCAATACATTTTATCCTTCTTCCCCCCAAAAATATTTGCAGATGAATACACAATACGCAAGAAAACTACCAATAACAAAACAGGAGCAGGAATATTAACAAAAACTGCAGGTTCAGTTACCAGTTCAATTTTTTCACTTCATACAATGCAATCACGAACACGATCACTGGCAATTCTAATACTCCGCTAACCTCAATAATCCCCCCCAAATTAAGATCCACCTGAGGAAATTGGAACTGAAAAACCGCAATCGAACCTTTTTCAGAGAAGAGGGAAACGTGATTTTTCCAGGTTGCTGAAGCGACGCTCTGTCCACAGCATCCTTCGCAGCCTCCCTCCATCGCTTGCAGACGCAGCCGCAAACGACCACGTTCTGGCGCTGGGGCCATTGATCCTCGCTGACCTCCACTCTCTGTATTATTTCCCCCAGAAGCTCCGGCAGCATCCCTGCCCACTTGCCGGAATCCTGCCGGCCAGCTCTATCTCCTTCCTCCTCGACATCACCGCTGCAAAACTGGGGCTCCGGTGACTTGTACTCCTTGTATGACTTGGAAAGCGTGAAGGAGCGATGGATGATTCTTCTGGAGAAGTTAGATCGCCTAAGAGACATCGTCTGGATTCCAAATCGACGGCGAGAAACGAAGGGTTTGCTGTGTGGAATGGAAAGGAGAAAGCGAAGATGAACGGAGGTCAGGTCAGTCTACAATACTGGATGGATGAATGGAAGATACTGCGACTGGGCGTTGACGGAAGAGAAGGGTGACAGACCAATCAAATGAGAGGGAATCGGGGAGACGTGGAGATTTATATGTCGCGAGTCGTTTGAGGTTGGTGACGGTCACGTAGGGATTTAATGGTAAATGCATTTAATAAAGCGGAGGAGGCAGTCCCTTTTGACTGGCTCTCGCAAACGTCGTCGTTTTGGAGAAATGGTCTACTTCAATTTGCAAATAATTAATATATATATATATACACTTTGGATTGATATCTTCGTAAATCCCACAACCGCCGGTCATGTACATCGCTTTGACGCTTTAAGTAATCATAATTATAAGGGTGCGTTTTATTCAACACTTTTGGTAAATGCATTTATCATATTTTGTTTGTGGTTGTGGAAGCCAAAGTTAAATTATCTATTTTAATCGATTTGTAGTTGTTTTTTTAATCCCTCTGACCCTTCCATAATACACAAACACGAATATGGTCTAAGAATTTTAAAATCACAGATGATCATCCTACAAGGGAATACAAATGCTATGAACAGCAAGCCTAAATCATGATACTAAAGATTTGTTGATATGAGGATATGAACTAGCCTTTTACTTCAACTAAAGTGCCAATTGCCAAAACTCTGAATCTCGAAACGACATTTCTTATTCAATGCAAGAGTCCATTACGAAATAAGAACAAGTTATAATCATCATCATCCAAGGAAAGATTCATCAACATTAATCGCACATCCGAAACAAGACCGCTGCTCATTATAATTATAAATCAACTGCTCTGCTGTACCAAATTCGACGATTCTTCTACCGACGATCCGTGTGTCTGCTTCTGCTTCTCAATCATTGATTTTCTCTCGTGTTCTCTGTACTTGTTGATCCCCACCGCGCACACAGCTTCAGCAACAAAAATCACCCACACGACACGAAAATCCGAATTAAAAGAAAAGATCGATAAGAAATATGAGAGATGCGCATCCAAATTCTACACTCACCTCCAGCTCCCATAAAACATAACAATCGAGTGAGTTTCGTGCGAACCACTTCCCCGGCCGGCCACTGTATCATCTCCCGATCCACGGAAAACTCAAAAACCTCACGCGGAGTAGAGGCAATTGGGGTTGAACCTTTAGCCTAAACAGTGGATTGTATGAAGTGGGCTTTGCCTTTAAAAACTTATTGGGCCTTTGCTTATGTACAAATAATAAATGATAATTTATTACTTACCATTTATTTTTTATAAAATAGAAATCTATATTTCTTAAAAAATAAAAAATAAAAATAAAAAATCATAGAATGTCCGTACAAACGGATCGATTCATAGCACGGTAGCTTTCCTAATTCCACGATCCGATCAAACCCTAATTATGACGAGTTTTATCCTCAACAGCGTCAATTTCCTGACCTTTTCTTGCCAAAAGCCCCGGGCTCAGATCAAAAATTCTATTCCTTTTCGAAAATCATTACACCCTATAAACCCTAATTTCGCTCGGCAAATCAATGCCGACACAAATTCAAGCGGGAGGCGCTGATCTCGATCCCAGCCTGGTGCAGACCGCCATTCGGATCGTCCAGTCATCGCCGCCTACGTGGTCGTCGGCCTTCCTGAGCAATGTCTTAATATTCATTCTGGGCTTTCCGATTCTCGTTCCCGGCCTGACGCTCCCCGGTATTGCTGCGGCCTTTCTTCTCGGCATCCTTACTTGGCGCGCCTTTGGTTCATCTGGATTCCTTCTCGTGGCTACATACTTTGTCGCTGTGAGTTCAATTTTCTAGACTTTCTTTCCACATGTACATTGCAGTTATGAATTTTTTTTTTGTTTGGTTGTCAGAATGTGGACTTATGAAGCTTGTTATTTAATTGAGCTATATGAAACAGGGAGATAAATGTTTTGATTGTCCTTCTGCAATTAGGTAATTTTATAAAATGATTGATGTGGTAACTTTTTATAGAATCGTTGGTGTTTATATAGCTTAAATACTTGAATGGAAGTGTCAGTAAGGTACCGTAGAGGAAGAAAAGAATAAGGAACCGCATGTTAGGTGAATGTTATTTTTGGATCGTAGCTATAAGAAAAAGATAAGCTTGTTTCTCCATTGCTTTGGATCCTGTAATTGATTTGTGCAAAGGGTGTTAAGCATTTTATTTTCAATCATTCGTTGCTCCATGTAACTAGTTTTCCTGATTGAGGTATTATAGTTGTTTTTTCAAATAATAGTTACCTAACTAGTTTGAAGTTTCGGATGCCGGAGTTGACATGGTTTAGGTTTTAGCAAGAGATTTCAATTAGCCGTGTGAATATTTTCAGGGTACCGCAGCAACGAAAGTAAAGATGAAGCAAAAGGAGGTACAAGGGATTGCTGAGAAAAGGAAAGGTAGGAGGGGACCTGCAAGTGTTATCGGATCAAGTGCTGCAGGTTGCATCTGTGCTTTTTTCTTGATAAATGGTATTGGCGGGCATGCTTTTGCTCACCTTTGGGAACTCGGTTTTCTGGCCAGTTTCTGCACTAAACTGAGCGACACTGTTTCGAGTGAGATAGGGAAGGCGTATGGAAAAACAACGTGAGTACTCAGTTTTGTTTAATAGATTATGGTTTTTGTTGAGGCGGGGCACTTAACACAAGCTTGTTGTTTCTGAATCTTGATAGTTGTAGATCTACTTTATGATTGGATGTACACACACAAATATAGAATGTTTTAGTGTTAATGCAATTTTCTGTATTTTAGTTACCTAGTGACAACCCTAAAGAAAGTCCCGAGAGGAACAGATGGTGCAATTAGCATTGAGGGAACCTTTGCCGGCCTTTTAGCTTCAGTTGTTCTCGCTTTTGTGGCCTTTCTAATGGGCGAGGTAAAAGTTATATTGTCGTATTCTTTAAGTAGTAGAACATATATTTGTGTTAGAAATTGCTTGTATCTTCTTTCTCATTAAGCTGTTGTTGATAAAATAACAGTTTGGAAGCACCCACTGACCTTGTTATTCTTAAATTTGTCTTTTCTCTATAATTCATAGCCATGCTGCGACAATTTTATTATTTCAAAGGTTTTTGGCTCAAGAAAAAAAAAAAAGATTAGATTCATTCCTGTTGTAGAATTATATATTTTGAAGTTGTGTATAAAGTTTTTTAGATATTATTTAGCATGATGTGAGTAAATTGTCATTTCCAATGGAAAAATATTTGTGTTGGACTAAAAGTGCCACAAATTTGAATAAGATTGGATTTATGTAAGTACTCAGACCCAAATTTAAAGTTTACGGTTATTTTTTCCTCTGATCTTAAACATTACAATATGAATGAAAGTCTGGTCGCACTTTACATATATAATTCGCTGTCGTGAGCCTGCACTTAACTTTTTCGGCTGATGAAGAGCTTTGTGAACAGATATCAGGCCCCGAAGCATGCATATGTGTGATTGCCTCTCAGATTGCAAATTTTGGAGAGAGCATCATTGGCGCCTCGTTCCAAGACAGAGAAGGATTTAGATGGGTAAGTTATTATTCAAGACTGTTCTAATCATCTGTTTGATGTTTGATACTTGGTTAAGTAAATTGATGTGGTTGTCCTTTTGGTTCTTCTTGCTGAAATTATTTAGGGGTTAGCTTCGGATTTGAGTTTTAATTCAATAATTCAGCAAGATGAATTTAGTAATGTGGTTTGCATTCTGAATTTGAATTTGGGAATGAACTGGATATACCGATAAATGAAATGATAATTCTTTACCGATCTTACATACTAGTTTCACACTTTCACTTCAAATTTGAATTTGATTTGTGTTGATAAATCCCTTACAATAATTAATGAATTTCCACCATTCTCGTCTTTCACATTATTGACAATGAGTTTCACTTTGTGTACTGAATGATATACATTTTATGATTTGTTGATTTGCGCGACTGATAACATTTCTAATAACTTCTCAGCTCAACAACGATGTCGTCAATATTATCAACATATCAACCGGGAGCATCTTGGCAGTTCTTATGCGACGACTGCTACTATTGCAGGAATTGACATCATAAACTGGTAAAAAGAATTAAGCATACGCCGGTGAACATAGATTTTGTGCTGTGTAAATTTATTTACTTATAGGAAGACCACTGAAAAACAACGACTTGGAATTACCTGATGGTACTGTATAATGAATTGATGAAGGTAGCTTACACGTGAAATGGTTTGGAATTCATCAAATTTTACTTGGAATTCTATATGTACCATTTCCAGCAATTTGGAATAGTCAGTCGCTTCTCAATCTGTTTTTGAAAATGAATCGTGTGGTTGTCTGATTGAATTCTGTGAACTGAGTTGTGCAGAGTCTACGGATTCAGGTTGTGCGGGACTACAAGGCTCCGATCTTTTTTATTTATTATACAGTCCTTCAATTTCTATAAAAATAAAAATATTTTTATTAAAAAAATATTATTTAAACATACTAAAAAAATCAAATAAACCTTAAAATGAACCAAGTCATGCATATTCATAGTATAGAAACATGCTGGAAATCATTATTTTGATTTTTTTTTCTTCAAAAAAGAGTTAAATTAAATATTTATATTTTATTTTTTATATTATACTACATTCAAAATATCATGATATATATATATATATTTATTCCAACTCCGTTAGAAAATATATATATATATATATTTAAATTCTCCAAACAAACATACGCCAATGAGCGCGCGTGTAAGTACTGAGTGCATATATAATATAACGTTCAAAATGCACAATTTTGTTGACGAAAGGCTTTGGCAACACGATTTCACACTTTCCACAACGGTTAAATTGATTGAGTAGTGATCCATCCGAGCTGTCTCTGCATCACTACCGAAGAACTAACCTGATATTCTGAACACGTTTGTGATTGGGTGGAATCCTCAAGCAATCGTGTTTCTCTACTTGCTTGCTAGGTGCGCCACTTGACGAGCACGGAATTTCCATTTCTCGATTAAATTGCACTAGATTTGGTTTGAATTGTAGCGTCGGAATGTTTTTGCCTATCTGTGTTGCTCAGCTGACCTTTCGTTCCCTGAGATTTTGGTTTTCTGGAATGCATGAAATAATGATCATCGTGGTGATTATGTTCTTGTGCTCTCCACTTCCAGGCTTTTAAGTGGATCATGTTTTACAATTAAAATTCTTCAGCTCATTTGACGTTTGAATTTGTCTAGAAACCGTAATAGAATCAGATCAACCTCACGAAATGATTTAGTAGATTTGGTTTTCTTTTGTTTCAAAGCTTACCGACAATCAGCTTAACTTTTGGTTTAGCTCAACTACAATGAAATTGCAAAATTGCTACGTTTGAATCCGATATATTAGTCCTGTGTTAGGTGTTCATTTTCTTTTCAAATGTGATGCTTGGTAAATTTGTTTGGATGAAAGTGTCTGCAAATATCATAATCTGGTATGCAAGAACGACGTTCTGTATATTTTATCCTAATTTATTATAAGGTATAACACTGCAGATGTAAACTTTTTACAGCATATGGGAAGTACTATTAGGTACTTCACCAATACCAACATTTTGTTAGTTGATAGATAATAGAAGTACTAATTCAGCAGATCAATGTAGTTATCCTCATTCCATATGGTTTAGAAGAGCTATTACCAGTCATTATAACTGCCGGTGCTCTCGAGAAGTTCTTAAACATTATATGCATTATATACATCCTGTTATTGATCAGAGCAATATGCATTAGAAGCAGCCTATAGTTTGTGCCAAAGTGAGAATGTAATGGAGGAAATTCATTGGCAACTACACGAGCCATTTATGTATGTGCTTGATATGCTTAATATAGATAACAAAAAGTAAAGAAATATTTGATGATGTGCTGATGAGCAAAAGGATCTATGCTCATGTTGATATGCTTTATTTTGAGAATAGAAAATGGCATACTATGCAAGATTTATACATTGAAAATTTGTGTTGCTTAGCTTCTCATGTAAAGTTTTCTAAAATAAATTCTTGTTAGGAATAACAACCCTGGTTGATTTGGGGAATGGTATATTAAAACTTCTGCATAGCTCATCCCTGTTGTCGATGAGCAATTATTTATCATCAATTCTAGTTCTTCATTACTTTGGTATCCTTCCACAAGAATGTGAAACATTGGTTTATCTGGAACTAGAAACGATAGAGAAATTTGTTGAAAATGCAGGTTTTTGGATGTAAAGAAGTGAATTGGTTGGCTGAAATGAGATGTAATGCTTGCTGGCAAGAATTGGAAGGACGAGCAGTCGCCACAAGCTGCAGTCACATCTTCTGTATCCAACAAATTTAAATCAATCCATGTTTACAAAAAGAACCATTTATGCTCTGGATATCCCTCTCTGTATGCATTTCTGTTATTTTCTTAAGTTCTTGAAAAGGCTCTGAAGATGCCAACAAGATACTCAGTAATGATGGCGCATGTCCGATTTGTGATCAAGTCCTCTCCAAAAGGTCAGTGACTATCCTCCATCGATTTAGGATCTAACTCTGAATCTCAAATATGTTCAAGAGTATTAGGAAAGGACTAATTCTCTGTTTCTATGAATCCATCATCTTACCTTTTTATTCATCTGCCTTATATGCCTTCTACTTGTATGGCCGCATGATCATGAAATCATTGTATTGACATGATGTCTCTCTTGTTATCAGTCTTATGAAACCAGTGGACCTAAATCCGAACGACGAATGGACAAATGTATGAAAACTTTTCCCAACAAAGCTCTTCATTCCCTCAAATTATTGCCTGCATTTTGCATGATAAAATAGGATATATATATATATATATATATATGCATTCTGTTCTCTATATCAGATTCACTTCAGACAGTGCTGTACCTTTTATGCAGACGGCTATGTATGGAATATCTCCACAGAATTGTATCCTCGACAGCACAACCGTGTCCACACTTTATGCTTTTACATCTTTTCTTTTATCTAGCACATATCTTCCCCATTGGTTTTTTAACTGATTCTTCCCAGCCATGAAGAGTGCTTACAAAAGCATAATGTTCTACATTGGGCAAAGGGAGTTGGAGATGCAAGTTAAAATGAACAAAATTGTAGCTCAGTTCAGGCAGAAATGCGACGCTATGCAAGAAAAATTTTCAGGAAAATTCGAGCAGGTCTATGCTGCCTATCAGGAAACAGCTAAGAGATGCAAGATGATGGAGCAAGACATTGAAAACTTAACCAAAGATAACAAAGAGCTTCATGAAAAATTTGCAGAGAAGTGCAGGTTAGTCTATCCCGATTCTTCCCTATTCCTTTCCAGTCCTGATGTACAGTAATTACTTATCGCCATTTTTACCATAGCTTAAAACATGCATAGTTTCCAGGCAGAAGAGGAAGCTCGATGAAATGTATGACCAGGCAAGATCCGAAATCGATTCATTGAAGGGCTCAGCCATTCAGCCTGTTGGTCGCTTCTTTTCCAGACAAGAATCCAATCTGTTCCCACATCCAAGTACTAGGATGGACAACCGGGATTCCAGCAGGAGAGGTAATCCATTTTTATTTATTTTTGGTTAAAGATCTCATAGGATGGTTTGATATCATCATTAGCGTTGTAGTCACAGGTTAATTCCATTTACCTTTAAACTTCCCAAAAAATTCTTATACTCCGTGTAGTTAGATATGAACTTATAATCAATGACTTTTCTTTTATTTTTCAAAGTGAAACTTGAGTTTGTTTTATTTTTCTAACAACGAGCTTATCTTGTCTATTTGGTTAAATGTCTAACTGCAGACTTCGTCATATTTGTTTCCCAGGAATAATAATAACCGACTCATTTGTGGCAGATTGGTCGCATCTCACTCCGGACACTCCAGGGCCGAAGGACGACATTTGGCCAACAAGACAGAACAGCTCCAACTCCACATTCGACGTCTCTGGTGGCTCACCTGCAAAACAGTCTGCTATTCCAAAGGATAATGTGAACAGAATGCCTAGCAGTCACCCTTCTTTCACAGGTGGAGCTGGGAATCCCTCCATGACACTCAGAAACCTTATCCTCTCGCCAATAAAACGTCCTCAACTCTCTCGGAATCAATCCCGACTGTACGCCACTCGTCATCTGTAAGTTTTAACAGTCTCTATACATGCACGTGCTCTGTATATTCTTGGCAAGAAAATTTCCTTGCATGCTTTTCTAAGGACATTAGGAATGGCTTCTTTGGTGTCTCTCTCTATTAATAAATTTGTTAAGGAAAAGCATACTAGTACCTCGATATATGTGTTTTATGCATTTATAATTTCAAGTTCCAAGTATGGAGAGTGATTTAAATTTAATTTGTGTATATATAAATACTTATTAGATTGATCATTTGAGGACTCTTTTCATTTAAGGGTGAAAATATTCACATGAAAAACATAGTCATATTGACAACTGCTCTAACCACAAGCAGCATTATTTATTCACAAATTTGAAGTAGATGATAAGAAGTGAGGTGGCACGTACATTTTCAAAGTTGGAGCTCTAGAAGAGATTCTGATGATATCCCCATGATGAACACAATGAGAAACGCTACAACCATCCATGTACAAAGTCCCATCTTTGCTCGACCATCTTATATCCATCGTTTCATTTCCCTTAACAAAACCATGCATGGAAGCCGCACTATGGCCGGCGCCCACAATGGGCTCCCTTACCATGTACTGTAACTCTTTCGATAAACTGGGCATCACGGATCCGCCGGCTGAGAGCATGGCAGCTGTTGATCCAGTGGCTGTCGAGACTCTTAGGCCACTCGATCGAGAGTGCAGCAGGGACAAGCGAGGCTTCTCATTTTCGGCAATGATACTTTCGATATATGAAAGAATAGGAAGACATGTATGTGCATGTTAGTATATAGCTGTGTAATCGAAATAATTGAGGGTGAAGCTTAATTATACCTGAATGAGAATTGGGAAGGTGCAGCAGGACATGGGTGCGCTAGCAAAACATCGTTCAGTGCAGAAGTTGAGATGATCTTTGAGTTGATATCGACAGCGATTCTTGCTAATTCAGCTGGTTTGGAGTGATTCTCTAGGATGCTATCTAGGATCTAACATAGGGTTACAGCATAAGAGGTTCAGCAATGAGCAGGCAAGGAAATTCTTTATCGCGTATGGTCACGAATAATTAGAAAAACCATCGAATATTTGACAGTCAGTCCTAGATTGAAATATACATATGCAGTTGTAGTGTTCTAACAAATTGAGACTGTTTCTCCATGTACACCTTTAGAGAAAAAAAAAAAAAAAAGACTTGCAGACACATAAGTAACATTAAGTACAGGACATGCTTCCTCATAAGCCGGGACCGGGAGTGGCGTAAAATGATGCCCCATAAAGTAGTTGATAATAACTGAATGCTCCAATAAGTTTCTTGGACCAAAAACAGTTTCATCTATAACAATGTTCACCTAATACTAGAACCCAGTTGATAATTTCTATAGAAACAGCACCACAAGTCTTGCATAAGACATATGAGCCACAGCAGCAATTATTAAATGAATCAGCATGCAAAAGTTCGTATAAGAATCTAAGATCTACACTCAAGTTGTGTTAGAAATAAATGATTATGTTGTCGACTCCTATCAAACTGATATTTGTAGATACTAGCCACAGCAATAAACTATGAAACAGAATCAAGAACTAAATCTATTCTAATTCTAAATATCAAATTAGTCATGCAAATATCTGAAACGGAAAGTCAGATGAAATCAAAAGCTAACCTGTTCAAAACTACTGGAAGTGGCGGCACAAAGATAGCCAGTGCTCCTCCTGGCATCAAATTCTTGAATATTACTGTCAACCTAAGCAAAACAGTTATTATTTTGTCATACCAAGAATCAAAGTCATTGAATCTTTCTCGGTTAATTGGAATGATGTAGAAAATGTAGATATCAATTCAAGTTCTGTTAAATGAACCGATCCTACCTCTTCCGGTATGGTTGGATCAGAATTTATTCCAAGTAATGAAATCGAATCATCCATGAAATGGCTTGCGTGTAACAGCGTTCCGTCGCCTCCAATCGTAACCACTAAGTCTACGTCTCGTATTGGCTGCGATAGTTCACTGCGGGAAATAACTACAGGTCGAACCGCCTTTTTCTTCAGAATCTCCAAGCAGTGATTAACAGCATTTTTGTGTACCAGAGTTCTATCACGTAGAAATTTGAATGCCTGCTCAATGAACTCGCATTTTAAAGACGTGAAGCAGTTTAAATACTGAATAATTGAAAAAAATACTTGTTTGCTTCGCTGATTCTTCCATTCATCTACTTAATTCATTCAAATTTGTTTGTTTCAGACACAATTTCTACCTTGCGACGATCGAAGCCGGAGACAAAGGCGAGTTCATCCTCGCGTCCCAGATTGGAACAGAACGGCTTCAACAGCACCAGCAATCGCTTTTGTAGCATAATATCTTTCTTCCTTGTCAATAACATTTCAATTCTTGCAGCCGCAGCAATCGTCGTCGTCAGCGCAGGGCCTCTTTCTTTGCGACGAGAAGGTTCAATCGTCCTCTCAAGAAAATCTGAAACGGGCGGGAATGCAGGGAGACAAATTCGCGTATTCTCCGGCTTGCGTGATTCTCTGCAATCAAAAATTCCGTAGCACAGTCGGGTACGGTATGGATCCAGAAACTTCTACTGTACACAGTCGCGCACACATTATATATAACCGGTCCGATTCATGTTGCAGTTGCATCCACCCGACCCGCATTGTCATAAGAGCGGAAAGCCGTCGGGTAATCGGGTTAGTATTAGTATCGCATCTCGTCCACTGCATATTGAAATTCTCAATCGGGCTGACCCGACACTCCCCCGGGCCCATAAATCCAGGATGGCGGTTGGCCCGGATATTATAGCAGGTCTGGGACTAGTCCAATAGGCCCACCTAGCATGTTCATTTACATTTTTATTTTTAATTTTGTTGTCATTCAATCTAGTATCATGATTTTTTTTTAATTATTATTTTATTACATTCAATATTGATTCTTAATATTTAATAACTACAACTTAATGAAAAAAGAATTTGTATTTGAATTTGGGTTTTATTTTCGATTTATACGATATTTTATATATATATTTGAGAAAACAAAATATTGTATTTTTTTTTATTTTATATATTCATAATAAATCATGTCATCTAAAAATAATTGGGTTAAAGACATGTTATTTATTCACATCTTTATTAGTCCTTTTTATGCTTACTTTGACTTTTTGAATAAATATATTTTTATGTTTAAGTATGCGAAATTCTATTAATAAAATATAAAAAATAATATTCTGTATTGAATTTATGATTATTTTAATAATAGAAAAAATATATATTACTGTATATATATTATATTTTTTTATAATATTTATGTAGAATCGTTACACTAAAAAATACAAACTAAACAAATTTTTTTATTTGGTATTATTTTGTTCATTGATTTTTTATTTTCACTCTGAACATCCTTCATTGATGTTTTCTTTGCTTAAATCACATTTTACTAACGATTATGTTACCAATTATTATTATTATTATTATTATTTTATGACGTGGAAACTATCAATTATTGATTTGATGATAAGTGTTTTTTTTTTTAAAAAAAAAAATAAAAATTAGTTAAGTGTTTTTTATTATTATTATAAAAATGATATATATGCTTCTTGGCTCACGTAGAATATTCTTACTTTTCGCCCCTCGTTTACAAAATCCATTATTGAGAATATGATATTGGAATAAAGGAATGTAAAAAAAAGATCCACTAAATGGAAAGGCATATGAGCGTAAGACATGCATGCATTTTTTTAAAAAGAAGAAATCCATACACTTTGCTTAACAATTGAATTCGCAAACAAAGCAAGAGAAGCCATTGGCGAATGAAATTTCAACTTTTTGCCCCATAACAAACCAAAAGTAAAAAAAGTTACGAAATAGGGTTGGGAAATTTTGACTTTGTTGACATAGATGTTTTCTTAATATTAATTGGAATGGCTTTTAGACCAGTAAAAAAGAAATATTAGCATTTGATTTAGGTCATCTCCGAGGCTGCAATTTTGACGTTGCAGTTCCATAAATGAAATTTTCTTACTTCAATTTTGCTCTATTTTTTACACTAAAAATACTGTTGTTTTTTTTTAAAAAAAAACAAAAAAATTGTATATTAATTAATTAATTAATTTTTTAAATTTATTTAAAAGAAAATATTAATTGTAGAGATAAAAAATTGTTTAAAATAATACTCCCTCCGTCCACACAAAAAGTATATATTTACTTTTGGCGCGGTGTTTAAAAAATAATAGTATTTTATTTATAGTGAGTAGTTAAAAGTAGTGTAATGACAATTTTGCCTTTGCTTTTTGGTGTAAAAGTAACAATGCGATGTAAAATAAGGGTATTTGTGGAAAAAAAATAAGGTATTTAATAAAATGTTTACTTTGTAATTTGTAATTGGACGTCCCAAAATAAAAACAGGAGTATATAAGCTGGAATATTTGAAGAATATTAGTTTTAGAGTAAAAAATAGAGTTGTGGGTTTGAGTAAAATTACTATAACAACTGCATTTTTAAAGTTATAATGGCATAAATAGAATTGCCAGATTTGAGATAGCCTTAGACTCCTTTTAAGTAAGAAACTTTTGGAAGTTAAGAGAATTTTGAAAAATTTTAAAACTAGTAAAAATATAGTAGTTAATGTAATACTTGTGAAAGAAAAAATATTTTAAGGTGATTTTTTCAAAAAAAAGTCGAAATAGTGCAAAAACCCCAAAGTTATTGTCTAAAAAAGATATCTTTATAAAAGAAAAAAGTATATTTGATACAATATTTTTTTTTAAAAAAAATAAAAATTATTCTAATAGTCTCATATATGGTGAAATATTTAGTTTTCGATAAAAACAATAAATAAATTATATGGATAATATTAAGTAGAAAAAAATTAAAAATTATATAATATGATGCGAAAAAAGTTTATATTTATTATTATTTTTTTTAATAATGTAATGAGATAAAATGTAAGTAGTTAATTATTTTTTATTTCGGAAGAAATATTATTTATAGATAATGTCAAATTATTTAAAACATATAAATAAAACTTCTTATTTTGAGTTCCATCAATATTATTTTCATTTTTATATAGAAAGTGTTTGATATTAGAACATTAAACTTGTAAATACTTTATTTTTGTTTTTTAGAAATAAAAAAAGTGTACTCGTTGGTGCTGATGCGGACTTACATTGTCGCTTGCTTTCTATTATTATAATAGTATTAAATTTAGGCATTTTAGGAATTTATATTAAAATAAGACTTTGTCTATATAATTTTTTTTTAGTGATGGTAATGGTATATTTTGTTTAGAAAATATTAAATTAAAAAAAAATTAAATAAGAATCAAATTAAACAAACTCATATTTTTAATTCGGTTTCTATATTATTAATTGTTTTGTAAAAAAATTTATGAGTTTGTTTATTATATAAAATAATTTAAAGGAATATTTTATTACTTAACAATATGTTCTCTCTATCTTTTTTTTTTTTTTTTTTTTTTTTTTACAAAATTTTTTAATTGAAAATCTTATGTAAATTTTCTTTGTTATTTGTATTTGAGTAGAGTTTAAAAGTAAACTCTTATTTCTAATATAAAATTTAAAAATTATTTATATTTTAATTATAATAAGAGGTATATATATAAATTTTATTTACACGAACTTTTAAAGTGTACATTTGTTTTTTGACAAGTAAATTAAAAAATATTAATATTTTAGTAACAATTGATAGTAGTTAATCATGTATAAATATTATGTCTTTATTAAAAAGTAATACTACCTCCGTTCCACATTAAGTGTCTTTGTTACTGTAGACACGAAAATTTATGATAAGTAGAATTAGTAGATAATTAAGAATGTATTAGTGAAAATAATTAACTTATAATATAAATCATTATAGATTTAGATTTAGATAATTAATTAGTTTAATTAAAATAAAAAAATTAAAAAATTAAAAATAAAATTAAGATGAATAATTATTTTCCAAAAAAATAAAGTGACATTAGATGGACAGAATCGGCAACGTGAACATGGTAAATGAGATGGAGAGAGTAATATGTAATAGTATGATTGCAAATAAAGATATTAATTTATGGTATGATTAAAAATTATTAAAAAATATATATACTTGAATTTGACAAATGAAAATATAAATATTAGATGGATAGAATAAATATTATTTTGACATTACAGTTTAATAGTATTATTTAGAGATGGACTTGAGAGCTCCACTTGAGTTGTATTATATTAATTAATTGCTACATAAAATAAAAATATTTTTAAAAATATATGAAGAAATTAACAAGATGAGAAAAATATAGATATATTGAATATATAAGGGTAAGTTTCTTTTGCTCAAAATTTCTTTGTTTTTACTATTTTAATTCTATATTTTTTTAAATTTTTTTTTATTTTTACAAAACATCCTATTATATATTATTTTAAAATATTCTATACTTTACATAAAAAGTTTCTTTTTCAACATTCTTACTAAACAAACACACTTTTATAATAATAATAATAATAATAAAAGAAACAAATTTTATTGACGAAAAAAGATTAATATAACTTGATAAAAATATTAAAATTATCTTAGACACTATATTAAAGTATTTATTTTTGAATTTATTACGAAAATTTGAAAAGAGTACATTAGTAAGGTAGTCGATTGAGAAGGCAGACATATGAAGATAGAAAACTTGGTAAGGAAGGCATGACACATGGCAGTATTTTTTATTTCCTTTTTTGAACAGAGAAATTAGAATAAATTCCCTCCAATTTATGGCGCTGCATCACAATACAGCTGGCTCCTCCCTTGCCCTGTAGCTGTATGTATATATATATATATATATTGTGTATGCATTTATAATACACACAAATTCAGTACCTTTCTCTGCCAAATTCCTTCTTTATCTTTTACCTTTTTCACGTAGCACCAACGCCATTGCAGAAAAAAGGCACGATCTCTCCTGCTCCGCTCGCCTTCAATTTGCCATCTCTGTGCTCACGAACCTCGCCGATCGGATCGGACAGCTTCTCCAGATTGATGTGAATCAGAAGAGGTTGATTACAGAAATCTCCCGGTTGAATTTCCAGGTTAGATTTCTAGCTTCCTTCTTTGAATGTCCGATTACAATTATATTGCTCATAGCAGATCGTGAAATTGAAACTCGTGTCTATGGCTGTGGAGATTGAACTAGGTTTTAGTTGTTAAATCGTAACTGCTTTGTTTTCGATGAACTCCGTGTTTTTGGTGATTCAATGCTGTTACTGTGCTGATTGTTCTCTCATTGATGAATTTGATGGCGATTTATTGATATGTGTTTGATTTTATTTTTAGCAAATTATTTTCTATTGATCGAAGATGAAGTGTGCCTTGTTGTTGCGTACGTGTGCTTCATTATGCTTATTTAACCATTTAAAATTCCTAAATTCGTTAAACGTGTTTACCTAATCCCCTCTCGGTTATATTATTGTAATCATGATTCTACTAAATTAGCCACATATTTTGTAATGATGATGATGCTGATTACCGTCTAATTTAAAACTCAAATTGTTTAGAGTTTCGATGGCTGTGGGTCAGGCAGACAGCCATAGGCATTCGTGATGGGCAGTATGGGATTTTTTGTTTGAAGGTGATATCATAATTTACTGACTCATACTAACTATGCCTCACTAAAAGAAGTAAACAGTCTAGTATGTTCATAAACAATTCCAGAGTATTGTTGTGATAAAATTAGTAGGTTCAATTTTATTTTTATGTATAGGTTGGTTTAATAGTTATAAATTTGGTGTTTGTTTGGATGATCTTTAGATTTATTATTAAATATATTTAATCAAAAATAGATATAAAATATGTATTTTTATATATCGATACGATGTATAACATAAATATTACTAATTATTTAGAGAATGCTAATTTTTATATAATATAAATAAAGAATATATTTATATATATATCTAAGTATGACTAATGTTGACATAAATTATTTTCTGAAAAGAACCTAGAAAGTTTTTAATATATTTATTTAGAAGAGACAAATATATAAGATTGGAAATAGCCCCACCAAACAAAAATGATAAATTTGTGAAGTTATCATTTTGAAATTGAGAAAGAGAGTTTCGAGAGCATAGTATGTATCACTCTTTTTTTAATTATTAAATCAAATTAATATATATTGCATAAAAATTTTAAATTTCATTCAAAATTCCAAATTCAATATTTATTTGTAGTATATCAAAACTATATTTTAATTTTAATTTTAATTTTAATTTTAATATTTTATTATCTTCAAACATCAAACCTAATTATAAACCTACCCAACTTTAAACAAACTTTAAAGTTTTAATTTGGACTTAGCTAGCTAGCCCTGGCGTGTTAACGAGCAATCAATATTAAAGTTTTTAATTTGGACTTCATTTCTAATTTTTTGAATAAATCATATTAAAAAACTCAAGCTTAATTAAGAAATTCTTAAGGGATACTAGTCTTATATAGCAAGAGAGGTCACACAAGTGAACCTATGAACAAACAAAATTAGCTATATATGTTTACGGCAATGTTAAACTTTTGTATTAAAATAGTAAAGTATGTTCAGATAGAGAGCTTGTTTATTCAAGTCGATCATTTCAACCCATATATATATATATATACACATATACATACATGTTTTAGAAAAATATATAGGCTATACAATATAAACTGTGTGACATGTCTACTAATATATTCCACTTAAATCTCCCCTCACAATACTCTTAAAATAATCACCAACAAAAATAGCTTAAGAGAATATTCTTATTATTTCCAATCTTCATTTCATGATGGATTCTTGACACTCCCTTACCTTTTCTTAAACTTTTACTCCCAATAAGCAGTGTTTTGAACAGCTCTATAACTCTTAATTCATTTTGAAACATCATTGTAGAAAGCATATGACCAATGCTCAAAATTTTAAAAGTAACAATTTAAATTCCACATAAGATTATAAATCTTCCATAGATAACGAACATGAGTAGTATTTGTATAAAAAAGCCATCCAACACACGTAGACTATACTTGTGTGATCAACTGAATTGAACATGCAATATGCATCTAATTCAGTTCATGAAGATGAGTTTGTAAAGCACAAATTCGTGCATGGGGAATAATCAAAATTTCTGAGCATAGCAGGGTACGTAGTGTGTGAATCATTTTTTAATATTTGGAACTTTGTCTGTTTACTGACAATTGGTTTGAGCTGATGTACAAGAATCTAACAAGTGTTGTAGTTATCCACATAATGCTCAAATGCATGAACCTGTCTCTAATTTCCTTTTCTTGAACCAGTCGCCTGTAACCTTATTTTTATATTATAGGCTTAATTCATGTATACTGTACAAATATTCGATTCCTATCTAGGAGTTTCTTGAATCAATAACATATAGTGACAGAAATATCGATACAATATGATGTAGATTGAGTCTAGATTTTTATAGTCGTGCTTGTTCGGTAGACACACACAAAATTATACTATAATAGCTTTAACCATAAATAATTTGATTAGATATAATAAAGCCAGTGATATTCATTCTTTGTCCTTCATCAATGGTAAAATTATATGATGGCAAATAAAAAATAAAATAAAATGAAACTCAAGATTGGATCCTGTGCATAATTACATTTACAGCTATAGCTTGACATTCTCCAACAAATAAGATCATTTGAAGCCTGGCCTTAGTAGTTAGTTATATGGTTCTTACTCTTTATTGTGAATTTTCTAAAACAGCAACTAAAAATAATATTCAATGGCCTCTGACAATTTCTCATCATTATTGAATTTTAAGGATGTAATAAAATTAGATAAAAAAAAAAAAAAATCAAAATCAACACATCAATATTTATATGTAGAAAATTACTTTAATTAATGTGAATGATAAAAATCACAATATCTAACACAATTTTAAAAGTTAAAAAATCCTAAGTATCCACATAAAATACAAATATTTAGAATCAACAATAACCTCTAAAGATGATAGTTGTTGTGCGGACAATACTCAAATATAATGAATAATACATGAATCATAAGTTAACAACATATAATTTATATTAGTATACTACAAATACAAATGTAGCACATAAATTAATATCACATGAAAATAATATATTCACACAGGATATAGCATCTTGCATGAAATATAATATTTATATACTCATAAAATATAACTATTAATTAGCACATATTAACACAAGAGTTATATTTGTTTGCACTTATTATTTTGGGTATAAATTTGACTTTAAAAAAAATAAATTACAAAGTATATTTATAGATTGTGCACAGTACATATATATACATATTATTTATTGAAAAAGCTTCTGCAATCCGAATTAAGCACAGGTCTTTGCCTCATGGTATGACTAATTAAGGACGTGTAGTTTGCTTGAGGGAATCCTATAGAAAAGAAATATTCCAAATATTTTTTTATTAGTGTATACGATTGAAGTGTGCTTTAAGGCATTCATAGAATCGCAATGGCCCTACCTGTCTAATAGTGTTGCACACCATGTGATATATATTCTACAGTGCTTTGCTGTACATCTGTCCTTTGCCATAAACGTAATAAATAAGCTACCACAGATTTATTGTGACTTCTTCTTCTCCCCCTTTAGTTGGCGTCACAAAAGTCACCCTCACCAAGGCAAAATTGAATCTGGAAGTCTGCATTTTATATATATATTAATAATACTTGATCTAATATTTCACATAATGTATATAGTCCAAGTAAATTATTAATATAATATTTAAAAAAATAATAATTTGATTTGATAATTTTTGCTAAAAAAAATAGTGAATAATAAAATCTAAATTAAAAACCCAGAAACAAACAGAGCTATAACGTGGCTGCTGCCATTGAGTTGTAATCCTAGCTAGCTTCAATTTGTGTGGTTTGCCTGTCTGCTTGCCTACAAATATCCGAGGTTGCCTGGCGCTGGTGTTGCCTTGTTGAACTTTCCCATGAAGTAATCACATGTCTCCAACTTGCTGTTGGCAGGCATGTGGGTCTTTTCTGTTCCCCCTCCCATCTCCATCCTACTAGTTTCTTCTTTCTTCAAATCATTAATATTCAACTACTGAATGTTGGATCCAACCAGAGATTGCTAGATATGGCCACATAAACTTTTTTGAATTGCATCCCAATCCAATTAAGATTTAGGATTTAGAATTAAGGATTTGAATTCAAATGATATATGTGTTTGAATCAATGTTTGTTTTCAATTTAGGATTATTTATATAAAATCTAATCTAATCTAATATTTCAGAACTGTATTTGATTCAATAGGAATAGGAAATAACAGTTTAGAAATGGTATCAGCTTTTTCTAGAATCACTACAGCTAAAAAATTTACCATTAGCTTCAATTGAGTTTCCTATATTACAATATATGTACACATTATTGGAAATTGGAATGAGCATGATATATGTATAGAAATACATTTTCAGTATTGAACTTAATTTTTTCCCTATCTGAACACATGCATGTACAACTAACCGAACATTCCATTAAAATTAACTTCATAGATTTGGTGTTAATTGATAATCTTGATTAAGTTAATTATAAAATACACTATAATTTAATAATTTTCTAAAATTGATATGAGATACACGAATTTTTGGTAGCACATAACTGCATATCCCGAAATTAATAATTATTGATTCGTAGAAAATTGATGTGACATAAATTAATTCATTTATTTGTATGTACTGTATTTATATTTGAAAATGACCTTGCTAAAGAAATTAAAGATGAAGGTTGCGTCTAAGTATTTGTTATAGAATTATGACGTTTTAAATTATTTTAAAAACAATACATTTAAATATAATGTTTTAGATATTTTAACTATAAAATAAATATGACATATTTTTCATAATATAGAATAAGATATGGAGTATATGAAAACCAAATCTTTTTATATTTGCACGCTCGTCGCTTCATAAATCATAATAATTAGAACGAGAGAGGAATCAAAATCTACCACAAAGTAGGATTTGTGGGCCCATAATATTCTGTCATATCTATGACGTACTGTCAGTCAGACCATCTCCATGGACCAAAATGTATTACTCACTATTAATTACTCCAGATTTTAACATTAATATAAGTATCTGAGGTAGTATTAACTAACATTAATATATATATATATATATCTCTGTATAGCATTTCTAATTAAGTATGCACTAAAAACTTATTCGTTTGATATGCAACATTACATCATTAATACATGCAATTAATTCCCCAACACATTCTGCTTCCAATTTACCTTCATCAATCAAATTGTGTTATTTTGCTGTGGTTTATGCCTCCTGCTTTTATGATCTGACATGAACTAGAAAATAAAACAATTTGACTAGCTAGGTAGAGTTTAAAATAAACTCAAATGAAAGAAAGAAACAAGGGATTAAATATAAAATAAAGTTGGACTTGTTGAAGTAGAATTAAAAAAAAGAAAAAAAGTATTTAAGGCTTTCAAATATGGCTTTCAATGTTCAACTTAATAATGAAAAATACTATCTTTTGAGTATTTCATTTCATGGATGGATCAATATTGATACAATTATTGTCATACTCATCATTGTTTTAATTATGTTGATCACGATTTTATTAATTAATGCTTATGTCTAATTTTATTGAAAACAATAAGATTAGAGAGTAGCGTTTCATAGATAAGGCTATGTATATTTTTGCTCATTTATGTTATTAACATTATTTTTTTATTTTTATATTATATAATCTACCATATTGGATACTTTAAACTAAGAGTGTATTTATTTAGCATTTTAGTTTAATATTTTTGTTAAGTAAAAAAGAGAGTTAATAATATAAAAAGTGATAGTTTTATGTTGAATTGTTAATTTTTATTAATGAATTAGAGTATATATTATATATACTAAATATAAACAAAATATTTTTATTGCACACCTTCAATTCTTATATAAAATATTACATTGTATTTAAAATAAAAGTAAACAAATCCTTTGATTTCATATATTGAGCAGATAGTAGAGGACCAGTTGATTACCACCTCAATCCAATATCTTCTGGAAATTGAACATTAAAAGTTTATAGACCTTATAAGTTGTTCTAGCAAAATATCTATGGAGTTTATGCTAGGACGAATATTACCAATCAAGAACACCAATAATTTATAGCTTTTAAGGATTCGGTCGCATAATAGAATCCCATTTTCGGACCCACCTCTTATTCGCCATCATTGAACTATTACAGCAATCGATCACCTTTCCTTGCACCTGAGAGTATATATTCTATAGATCTACCTAAACTTTCCAATTATTTTCGAGATTTAAAAGAAATTCTAGAAAGATCCTTTGTAAATTTCTTAACTAACAGTAATAGTAACAAAAATAATATCTTGATGATTGATGAGTAGCTTTGTTTTCAAACAAACTTATAGAGAGTGAACTCATTCCACCACGACATCGCTATCGGGCGCAGACAGCATCCTAAATTCTGCAATATTCCATGGGGGGCGCACAGGGATGATTGGCAGCCAAAACACGCGGACGGTGTCCCTGCGTTTTCTTGTTCTTGGCGTAAGCAAGACTGCTGATTAGGCTTATATAATAATGGATTTGAATTTGAGGTATATTTCCTGTTGTTTTGGTTTTGTTTTTTTAACTGGTAGTGCAAGTGTAGTATGAAATACTATGAATTAAGACGAGAGAGAGAAAGAAGGAAGAGAGAGAGAAAGAGCAATAGGTGGTTAAATTTCATTCCTGCCCTGTGGGTTTCCTCTGCTGCATGGCTGTGAGTCTCTCTAGTCTCTACATACCCACCCCCAACCCCCCCGTGAAGCTGACACGACCTTGTGTCGTATTAGCGTTCTCTTCACATCTGGCGACGCTCTCGCTCTGCCACCCGGAGAATCTTTCAACCACCACCGCTTTGGCTTCTGCCCCTTTTCTTCGTTTTTGGTTTTTCTGTATGCGTTGTGATCTTCACTCTCGGTTTCTGAGAGGGTTTTGGGGCTCAAATCGGTAAGCCGATTAGTTTTGTTTTCCTCGCATTGCCTTTCTTATTTTTATATTTTTTAAATGCAATCGATTCCTATTCTTTCCAATTCTCTGGATTCTCCGTGCTTTCTTGATCATCGCTTATGTGGATATGGGTTTTTAGTGTTCAACGTAGTTTCATTTGTGCTGTGTAATTCACTTGGAATTGGTGCTGACAATTTTTGGGTTGTATCTGACTCAAGATTCGTGATTTCCTTGCGTGCAATGTGTTTATGTTTGTATTCATTTGCAGAATTTTGGCAGAGGGCACTGAGTTCTTACACTGATTCTATGTGTATTTTTGTTTGTGTTGCTGCGTGCTTGATTACTGTTTCCTGTTGCTGCATTGAAACTCAGTATGGAATCGATTTTGTGGCTATGAAAAAGTGGTGCTAATGGAACTCTTTCGGTTTTAGGCAATTGTATTAATCACATTCTCCCAACCGTGTGGGATTGTTTACTTCTAATTGTGATTGGTATACACGTGATAAGAAACTATATTGAAGAATGAGAAACAATATTGCTTTCCTGAATTTGTATATTTATTGCTTCTCTACAACAGTCATGCAATCATGGATTATCGTCATTCTTGAGAGTGTTTTGAAGTGACTCCTTGATCTGTTGCTATTGAGATGCAGGGGGTTGCTTGCCAGCACTTTTGACCTGTATTGAAGTCCATTTTGGAGTCGTTTGTGAACTGCCGGTATGCAAGGGAACAAGTATAACAACCACCCACAAGTTCCCGATACCCGAACTGCGAGACTTTTGAGAGAAAGAGAGCTCAGAAGAAACAACAGAACTCCGCCTGCAGTTTATGGAAATGATTACGTTAGAAGAATCAATGTCTCCGAAAATGACATCTCTGGAACTTCCAGCGTGGAACAGAATTCAGAAGGAGCTGTCCGAACATTTAATGAGGGGGAGAGGTCTGATGGGAGGCCAACCAGACAAAGATTGCTAGTAGTTGCAAACAGACTCCCTGTGTCGGCAGTGAGGAGAGGAGAGGATTCTTGGTCACTAGAGATAAGTGCAGGAGGTCTAGTCAGCGCACTTTTAGGTGAGGATTCTCTGTTATACCAACGAGTATGTGCTCTCTAAGTTTTCAGTATGGGTCATATTATTAATTGCATTAACAAGGTGCATTCTCACCACCTGATGCTTCCAAGTGTCACCCAATGTAGGTGTTAAGGAGTTTGAGGCGCGATGGATTGGTTGGGCAGGTGTCAATGTACCCGATGAGATTGGGCAAAAGGCACTCACTAGAGCTCTAGCAGAGAAGGTGAGACATTCATTGACTTTCCACATGTTTTGTACATCTGTACCTTCCTTATTTGGAAATATCATTTGGATATATTCATTTGATTCCTTAATTTTTATTTGCTTATTATCTATGTTTCACGTATGCTTTCCACTCAATCCAGAGGTGCATTCCTGTTTTCCTTGATGAAGAGATTGTCCATCAGTACTACAACGGCTATTGCAACAATATATTATGGCCTCTGTTTCATTATCTTGGACTTCCACAAGAAGACCGTCTTGCTACGACCAGGAGTTTTCAGTCACAGTTTACAGCATATAAAAAGGCAAACCAAATGTTTGCTGATGTTGTTTACCAACATTATCAAGAGGGTGATGTAGTCTGGTGTCATGACTACCACCTAATGTTTCTTCCAAAGTATTTGAAGGATCATGACAGTAAGATGAAAGTTGGATGGTTTCTGCATACGCCATTCCCATCCTCGGAAATTCACAGGACTTTGCCATCTCGATCTGAGCTGTTGCATGCGGTTCTAGCTGCTGATTTAGTGGGGTAATTAATCTTGTTGTTCCTATTAGTAGCCACAAATCTAACATATGCCTATTGGTTATAATGGATATAATTGTAAATCCCTAGCTTTACAATGCTGCGATTGTTCAGATATCAGTAGATAATGCATGCATGTGTGTTACTTAGTTCAAGAGCCTGCTGACTAAATATTTATTATTTGTTATGTGGTCCATTAGAAACTAGACACTATTTCTAAAGTTCCATTATTCTTAGTAAAGAAAGTCTCAATTATTGTATTACTATTTCATGACATCTTTTACCATGTGCAAGGATTGTTGGTTTTGTTTTATTGGAATGAGCCTGACATCTTCCTTCTCTTAGTCGCATGTGGGACTTCTTACTCATTATAACTTGGATTTCTCTCCAGCTTCCACACATATGATTATGCAAGACACTTTGTGAGTGCTTGTACTCGTATTCTTGGACTTGAAGGAACTCCGGAAGGAGTAGAGGATCAAGGGAGAGTAACACGTGTAGCTGCGGTATATTTCATATTACCCTTGTTTTTGGGAGCATATCCTATTTCATATACTGTACAATTACACTTAAAAGCAATGCATGACAACTATCAAAGAATGACTGCCTTATAATTTACTTGTTATGATCTCGATACTAATATATTTTCTTCTTTATCTGGTGAAAGCAGTTCCCTATAGGAATTGATTCTGAGAGGTTCATCCGTGCTCTTGATGTTACTGATGTTCAGAAGAACATTAGAGAACTAAAAGAAAGATTTGCTGGAAGAAAGGTTTGTTCTTAGTCACCCCTTCTTCCTTCTCAATTGAGCTCAAAAGTGCTCGGGGTTGTTTTCCTGTCCTCATAAAACTTTGTTGGATGGTTCTTCTGTTCAGGAGCAAAAACTGACAAGATATGACTATTTGTATCCTCTGACAAATCTAGTTCCATCTTTACTTAATTCAGTTATTGGTTAGAGATTTATACAACACTAATCAGTGTTCTACATATTGATGTAGTTGGTTCTAAAAATTTTTTATTCTGTTCAATTGATGTGAGGTATTTAACTATTTATCTTCCTACAGGTAATGCTTGGTGTAGATCGTCTTGATATGATAAAAGGGATCCCTCAAAAGATACTGGCATTTGAAAAATTTCTGGAGGAAAACCCATACTGGCGTGACAAGGTTGTTTTGCTACAAATTGCTGTGCCTACGAGGACAGACGTTCCCGAGTGTACGATCTTATCTTAGTATTGTGTAATTTTACTTCAATTTTCTCCCCGTTTCCCTCTGCCCCTCCCTTGGATATTGGAACCTAATCTGGTTTTTCTTTTTTCATCTATATCTAGATCAAAAACTTACAAGCCAGGTTCACGAAATTGTTGGAAGGATCAATGGCAGATTTGGAAGTTTGACTGCTGTTCCCATTCACCATCTGGTTGGCAATTTCGCTGCACTCATCTCCTTTTAAGTTATACCCACATGCATGCATGTATTTGATTAATTTCTCTTGGGATTGATTTAGGCTTATCAAAGGAAGTTCTTCAGCATTTGCACTTATTATAGTTTCTCTTGAGGACTGTAACTTGTTAGATATAGTTGCAATTGTTAGCACATACTCTCTCTATCTATCTGTATTTATTAATTGATTTATTTATCCATACCTGCCTGTCTTTTTATTGTGAAATGATAGTTATCTACTTCTTATCATGTAACTGAAGTCTAGACAATGAATTTCAGATACATTCCTTCAGATAGTTAAAGAAACTTTGCCTTTGTTCTGCAGGATCGGTCCCTCGACTTCCATGGCTTGTGTGCACTTTATTCTGTTACCGGTAAAGTGAACATTATTTTCTTGTTTTTTCATATCAATTGTAGCCTCCAATGTTGTGGTGTAATATAAAAGAGATTACCCAGAAGAGCCATAGCATTCTTAAACCATACAATACTTATCTTGGTATGTTAAGCCACGTCAAAGGTGGGGAGCTTTAAATTCATGAACATAGTCCCAATGAAGCTGTTATATAATAACGTTGATTCTTCGATATTCCCATATTGTGTTAGGCATGCGGCGCTGAATCAAGATTAATTAAGCAGAAAGAGCCCACCTCATGTTTTTAGTTTGTTCTTTCCAAGTATATATGCATGCGTTTAAATTCAGTCCTTGATATCATTCAGTATCAGTTTTGAAATGTGACTGAAGAATTCAACTAACATCTTGGCTGTTGACTTGTTCATCAGATGTAGCACTGGTCACATCTCTACGGGATGGAATGAATCTCGTCAGCTATGAGTTTGTGGCGTGCCAAGATTCCAAAAGAGGGGTTCTCATCCTCAGCGAAGTAATTTCATGCGCTTCAACTTAATTTTGCACCTACTTCTCTGTTGAATAATTTAACCAACCAGAATTGTTGGAGGTAGCTGTATGTTTCCTCTTGATGTCATAAAAGTTGTTTTGATACTCCTCACATTGGCAGCATCTGAGTAATATTTTTTTTCTTGGCTATTTCTAGTGATACACACCCCCCCTTCAAATTTAGTTTTTCTTTTGGTTGAGACTTTTTTATGTTTTAGTGGGTAAATATATGCATTTCATTTTTCCGTTCATTTACATGTGAAACCAATCTGCTTTTTCCACTGTAGCTGCTATTTTATCATCTTCTTTATCATATTCATAATTATTCTTCTATATCTGTAGTTTGCTGGAGCAGCACAGTCCCTTGGTGCTGGAGCAATTCTTGTAAATCCTTGGAACATCACAGAAGTTGCTGCTGCTATAGGCCAAGCTTTGAATATGCCTGCTGATGAAAGAGAAAAACGTCATCGGCATAACTTTGAACATGTGACAACACATACTGCCCAACAATGGGCTGAATTCTTTGTAAGGTGCGTAAAATGAACAAGGTTCATCTTGATGTACCTGGTGGATTTGACTTAATTTTCATAATTAGGGGTAGGTGCTAGATGGGACAGGACAACTTTTGATCGTCTAATGCTGTTTCATAAATTAAACCAGGATAAAATATTTTCCCCAGTCCCCTCCTGTCCTGTTCTGGTTCATCTCAGAAATTCCTGAATCCCAATAGTTAACCTTAAGTGAAAAACCCATCCGGAATCTGACATTACAATGATTTATTTCACAGTGAGGTATTTTGTAAGGTCAATAATATGGCTTATGATTGCAGTGAACTGAATGATACCGTTATCGAAGCCCAGCAGAGAATCAGAAAATCTCCACCACCACTTGTCGTCAGTGATGCTGTCCAGCACTACTTGCAGTCTAGTAATCGGTTGCTTATACTGGTACAGACTACTTTTCCCGTTCAGTTTTAAATTTCAATTTGGAGAGATGGAGTAATTACATTCCTTTCCATTGGTGGTTCTGCACTAATGAGATTTAAAGCAACATAATATCCATTTGTTAAAGCTTTTCAAAGAGCCTATATTTGGCTGATAACTATTTCCAAACAACTTTTAACCTCTCAATTGGATTTTCTGCTAAAAAACGGCAATTTGACAACTGCTTGTACGTTAATTTTATTGAGCCTCAAGTATTGTGTTTGTTGATTTATGATAGAAGTTAATTAAACAGGTAATTTGTGTTTCCTTGAAACAAATTCCACATTGATTTTCCTGCTACGATGCATGGGGTAGTAATTATGCCAACTTATTACATTATTGTATATGTTAGAGTGATTCAGCACTCAATTGCTTAGGGTGAATGTCAACCGCCTGCAACTTTGTGATACCAAACGAAGTAGCAATGAACCTCTCTATACATTTATATATTCATTTCTTTTCTGATCCCAAAATAAGTAGCAATGAACCTCTGTACATTTATATATTCATTTCTCATGAAACATATGGGTTTGGAGCTCTAAATTATCCATCATATATTATCATATACTTCAAACACAACATCTCACTAACTCTGTGAACTCTTAATTTAGTACTCATCTTTCTCCTGAATCCAACCAAAGTGTCATTTTTTTGCTCTTATGTATTTTAAACTCTCCTCTTAAGTGCAATATCTCAAAGTAGATATTCTAGCATCCCCAGGGAACATATGAGTAGCTTTGTATTTTTAACCAAAAGCCAGATTCATATCAATCTATGCTTCTATTTCTTTTTATCAGACAATCTATGCTTCTATTGTCTCATTGTTTAGTGGTGATGGAAAACACCTATTAAAACCAGACAGGTACCTGTAGAATTCAGAGGTGGCATCTCTGTATCTGTAGTTCCCTTCCAAGTGAGTTGGGGTGGGTGGGGATTTTTGAATATATGATGATAATGTTGGTCTAGCAAGGAGTCGGAATAGTAGGGGGTGCAGCACAATCAATTTGCATAGATCATTTAGAGACAATAATTCATCATTCAAATACCCATGCTAGCAAGATGTAGTAATCAACAATTATATGCATAGATTCTACTCAATCAAACACGTTAAAATTACCTTCCATCTTGCTTGGTGGAAATTACCACAAAATTTCACCTGATGTATGATTATATATATTATTATTTTCATTTTCTTGCATCAGTTTGGTTGCTGTTAAACACTTACCAGAGGCGTTTGGCCTTGTTTACAGTAAGTTATTTTCAGGTTATAATTTGCACATAATGATCAATTTATTCTTGATAGTAGACCAAGGGATAAGTGATTTTTGATTTATTGTAGGATTAAAAGACTTGTTCCATTACACGTCAATGAACTGAGAGCAGGATGTTATCTCATAAATTACATTAAAAGTTAAAAATAACCTGCCTTTGCTCCTATGTCTACCTCCGATTCCCAGTGTCCTTATTTTAGGTATCGATGCAATTCTTACACTCGTTTCTTTATAATTGTCAGGGTTTTAATGCCACACTAACCGAACCAATCGACACTCCTGGAAGAAGGGGAGACCAAATCAAAGAAATGGAGCTTAAATTGCACCCGGAGTTGAAAGGACCTCTGACCATGCTTTGCAACGACCCAAATACAACAATTGTGGTCCTTAGTGGAAGTGACCGAACGGTCCTAGATGAGGTTTCCTTCCCAGCTTCCTTTTCCTTCTTCATTACCTGTTGTACTATCTAAACCAATCACTTCTGCAGAACTTTGCGGACTACAACATGTGGTTGGCAGCAGAGAATGGTATGTTTCTAAGGTCTACGAATGGAGAATGGATGACAACAATGCCCGAGCACTTGAATATGGATTGGGTTGACAGTGTAAAGGTATGGCAAACTATTTGATAATCAGGACTGACTGTTCTTCTCATTATAATAATATTGTCAATATATAATCATAAAATTACTCAGTGCATTGAACAACCATTCCAGCATGTTTTCGAGTATTTCACCGAAAGGACCCCAAGATCACATTTTGAACGACGAGAAACATCGCTTGTATGGAACTACAAGTATGCAGGTAACATGTTCCTGATACTGGAGCCTGAAAGAACCTAATTTAACATTTCTTCCTTCCTGTTTCTAAAATTTTACTTCTTTCTTTCCCTGTAATTTAAGACATTGAATTCGGAAGATTGCAAGCCAGAGACATGCTGCAACATCTCTGGACTGGTCCAATTTCAAATTCATCTGTTGATGTTGTCCAAGGAAGCCGTTCAGTCGAGGTGCGAGCCGTTGGTGTCACAAAGGTAATGAGTTCTCAATAACGCACTATGCCATCTATATATATTTGCAGAACTTTGACGAGCAGCCACTAATAAGTTATTTATTGTTCCATCTATAGGGTGCTGCTATTGACAGGATATTAGGAGAAATCGTTCACAGTAAAGCCATCAGCTCGCCAATTGACTACGTTTTGTGCATTGGACATTTCTTGGGCAAGGTACACAAACACAAACTTATATTCACTTCTCCATATATCATTAATCATCCTTGTTTCGTGCTGCAAAGAATTTGCTTTCTAATAAAATTTTATCGTCTACGGAATACTCAAGTATTAACGGGTGTAATGCAATGTGATTCTTTTCTGCTATATTTCTTAGTATTGGATGGATGTTAGTTATACATTACAAGGTCGACAATATTTGCTTGATGATATGCTAATTTGACGCCGTATTGATATGTGTTTCCCTGTAGGATGAGGATGTGTACACATTTTTTGAGCCAGAGCTCCCTCCGGATTCGTTAGGTTTACCAAGAACCAAAGTAACAGAGGCGATCAAGCACTCCCTTGAGAAAAAGCAATCAGCAAAGGTTCCATCAGGGCGAAGCAATTCCAAGCCACAGAGTAAGAATCAGCAGGCGCAGACGCAGCACCATGGAAATAACCATGACAAGAAATCGAACAACCACGCCTCGGGCAGCCAGCACCACAGGCGACCGTCTTCTGAAAACAACACTACTTGGAATGTGCTGGATTTGAAGAAGGAGAACTACTTCTCGTGTGCTGTGGGACGCACTCGAACGAATGCGAGGTATCTTCTCACTAACTCGGATGAAGTTGTTGCCTTTCTTAACGAGTTGGCCGAATCTTCGGCGCCATTCCGGAACTAGTGTTATTTCATTATTCACAAGTTTTTGCAACCCCTGCTATATATACAAGTTACGTATGTAGTAGTAGTAGTAGTAGTAGTAGTAGTACTAGTCTTTAGTTGAGGCCTTTCGTTTGGCTGCATGCTGTTTTATACATTTTAGATGCAAATCTATAATGTGCAATGTACCAAATTTGATTGTGATGGTCCTTTCCCCGTTTCATTATTGTTAAATTTATAGATTGTTTTTATTTCGTTTTGTGAAAACGTTTAATATTATTGTAGGTCTTTCGAAGTCCATCCACGCACGCACACGATATCCTTAATTTCTGAAGAAGCCATATATACACAATACAATACAAATAGAAAGTTACAGAAATTTACAATACATATTCATCATATACAAATTAATTGACACATCAACTCCATTTTTTTTCAAGCACAAGGACACAAAACCAACAACAAATCAGATCAATCTTCCTCAACCTATGATAATATATAGTAAAAAATTTGAATCTAATAAAATTTTCTACTAAAAAGAATTGAAAATTGCATGCCGAAAGCTAAGTAAGCATGGCATTAATCTAAAACTAACTGATGCAGATCATATACGACAACCAGAAAGAATGCAGCAGAATCAGCTCACCATAGATATATAATATGAAAAAACAACTATGCAGAGGTTTTTCTGTTAGGTTCGAAAACGTACTTGATCAACGACTCCTTAATCGACAGCAACTCCGGGAACTCTTTCTTCAACTTGGTGGCATTCAACTCATTGTTGCTTCTCGGTGCAACAATTACCTTTGCTTGCTCTTCCAAACTGAAGTTTGTCCATTTGAAACCCGGATCCATGTACTTCTTGTACATCTCCAAGATTTCGTTGTGGCTGACAACGCCAGGGTTAGTGAAGTTCCATATTCCCCGGAGGTTGCGCTTGGCCATCTCGACCGAGATGGGGAGAAGCTCATCCAGGACAGTCATGCTGTTTGGGATGTTGACAACCTTGTTGTACCTTGAGATCTTAGTGATGAAGTTGCGAGGATTGTTCAGGTCAGAGGATATTGGCATCCGGATTCTCAGGGTGCACACATTGTCGAATTCTTTCAAGAGCTCTTCAACCTGATTCAGAAAATGAATTGCCATATAAATATGAGGACATGATAGAGAGAAGAAAACAGTTGAAATTGGGAGGCAAGTGCAAAGACATGATAGAGAGAAGAAGATTATTACCATTGCTTTTGTCTTCGAATAGAATGAGCCAATGAAATTGGGCTTGTCTTCCTCCTTGAACCCAATTCCTGAACCTTGAGTATGCGAAGCATCATATTCAAATATGCATCCAGTGGCATAGTTCATCAGAAGGAGCCCATGCTCTTTGCATACATCAGCCAGGGTCAATGTACCCACCACGTTGGTACGGATCGTTTCCATCTTATGGCTTTCACACCAGTCGACATTGGGTCTACCAGTTAAACCTGCAGCATTGAAAACATGGGTTGGTTTAACAGCAAGGATGTCAGCAGAAAGCTGTGTGCGAAACTCGAGACGGCCCTTTCCATATTCATAGGGAATGCCCTGTTTTTCGCACAATTTCCCGAGCAAACCACCGATCCATCCAGTCTTGCCATAGATCAAGAATTTTATGGAAGATTTCTGTGATGATGGACTCTTGGGAGGCGGTACCAACATTTTATTCTGGTTGGAATTTGTGGTGAACTCAGGGTTACCAGATGAAGTACACTTCTCAGATCCATCAGAATGCCTTTCAATTCCACCAGGCATCATCAGCATTCTCGGATGAGGCAACAATGCACCAGAAACATCGCCCCACCAGTCAGGATTGTTTGTGTACCACTCCATGGTCTTTTTCAGCCCTTCTTCCCATGTCGTCCTCTCGGCCCAACCCAGATTCTTGAGCTTTTGGTCATCAAGGAAGTACCTTTGATCATTAAAGGGTCTGTTCTCCACATACTGAATGTTCTCTTTTGGATCCATGTTGAATAGTTTGCATATGTCTGTGGCAACATCTGTGACTCTCCTCTCCTTCTTTGTCCCAATGTTGTAAACATGACAAAGTTCTCCCTTGTGAAGAATGACTTCAAAGGCCTCTGCAACATCCTCGCAGTAAAGGTAACTTCGCACATTGCAGCCATCTCCATGGATGGGAAGTTTCTTCCCCCTCATAGCTAGAAGGATGAACTTGGGAATTAGCTTCTCAGGAAACTGATTGGGGCCATAAACATTGTTCCCTCGGGTGGTGATGACAGGCAACCCATAAGATCTAGCATAAGCCATGACAAGCATTTCCGCCCCAGCTTTTGTTGCAGAGTAGGGATTTGTTGGAAGGAGTTGTGAGGCCTCATGGTTTCCAACAACAGCATCCTCATCAGTCTCTCCATAGACCTCATCTGTACTAACATGGATAAATCTTCTAATCTGGCCGGTAACTTTGCAGGCCTCCAGAAGAACATGGGTACCGTAAATATTGTTCTTGGTGAACTCAAAACTGTTTCCAAAAGAATTGTCAACATGAGTCTGGGCTGCAAAATGCATTATAGTGTCAATGTTCTCAGTAATGAGAAGGTAGTTGACAAGGTCTGCACTGGCAATGTCCCCCTTGACAAATTTGAAGTTGGGAGAGGAGTTAGACGGGAGCAGATTTTTGAGATTAGAACAGTAATCAAGTTTGTCAAGCACAACAATCTTGTACTCGGGATAGTTTCTGATGAGCCGGTTTGCAACATGTGAAGCAATGAATCCGGCACCTCCAGTGAGGAGGATATTTTTGGGCTTGAATGTCGCCATTTCAGATTATATCTGCACGAATTAACAACAAAGGCAAACTTAATTACAGATGCAGAACCAGCAATCTTACTTCCATATGATATAATTATCTGCTTGTACAAAATACAACAATTTAGAAAAAGTGATGTTTTGATACAAAAACGTAAACAATAAAATAATGCATCATATCTGCACGAGTAAACAGCAGAGCAATTTCAACATATGCAGAACATGGCATCCAGAGTAATTTCAAACACAGATAGGATATAGTAACTACTTCTGCAAAGTACCAAAGTCTAGGAACGTTTTTCTTCGTCAAATATTTAATTAATACTAGCTGAAATCTTCCATATAAAACAAAAAGGTAAATTTAACAACAGATAAAGCCATAGAAATTCTAAACACTTGTCTGATATAACTAATTGATTCTACACAAACAACTGTTTAATATGGCGATTCTTCATAAAACGTCCAAACTGTATAGCATCATGCTTAATATCTGGTAAACAAAAAAGTGAAGTCATAATCACCAGATTTTTACATTAGAAGTAATCCAGAATCCAGATGCCAACGCATGTACTATTCAAAGTGCACCTACAAGAATAATTATTGAACCATGGTTACCATCCCAAGGCAACTCAGAGGGCACATCATTAATTTCTTAATCAGAAATTTCATTGCCGAAAAAGGTTCATTACTAAACAAATAGAAACAGTAGAAAAATCAAAGGGCATCTATCTACCGATCAATAATCTATATCAGACAATCAGATCTCAGTTAAAACTTAAAACACCAACGACATCCAAATCTTCAAATATTAGATCAACTAACACCAGCATTTGCAGATCCACACGGATCCACGAACATTCTAACTGCTTACATCATGAATGATTAAATTACCTTCGATTCCAACCACATCATAACATTCAATAAATGCAATTTACACAGAAATCCGGAATCCACAGCCATGAAACATCAAGAGAAACGCCACACACGCATAACACCAACACATAATAAAAAACAAAAATATAAGGTCATCAAAAACCATAAACAAAATAAAATAATAGAAAATAAACACACAAAATCCTTGCTGAAAATCAAAACGACATAATCGCTACTCACAATTTCTTCAACTGTCCGGGTATTCGATCAGGATCCACAAAATAGCAATCAAACAAGGAAAAAACTTTTTGAACAAAAATCCCTCCACGGAACGAAGAAGGATGGGAATGAGAGAGAGAGAGAGAAAACGAACAACAATTTAGACGAGAGGCGACTGATCGCGAAATACAAGGAGCGTCAACCAGAGTCTCACCCCTAAATATATACACCCCCCACCACCGACACAACTTTTTTCCAACAAACACGATACGTACATTATCCGTGTACACCTACACTCGCGGTTCATGCATTTTTAGCCCTTTTTAAAGAAATTAAAAACTAAATTTACGTAACAATAATATTCCCAATAAAATATATAATTATTAATGATTTATTAATGGGCCTGTTAATGATTTTACCCGTTTGATTATATGGGCCTTTAAAAAGTAAAATTAAATGGGTCTGTTAATAATTTGACCCGTTGGGTAAATGGGCCTGATCCAAGTTTAAATAGATACAATAAAAATAAAAAAATATTCCGTTGCCGGGACTTGAACCCGGGTCTCTCGGGTGAGAGCCGAGTATCCTAACCAACTAGACTACAACGGATGGTTGATATTAGATTTAGATTTAATTTATAAATTACTTATATATTTTTATTTCTATAAGAAAGATATATAAAAAAAATAATACACACATGTACTATAATGGTGGAAGATTCGGTTGCAAATGCAATTGCAGCGAGCAGGGGGACTAGGGAGTAGGGAGCAATCGTGGAGAGAGGGCATGACGATAGACGACAACAGCTCGATATACGTCGGCGGTCTCCCGTACGACATCACCGAGGATGGGCTTCGAAGGGTGTTCTACATCTACGGCGCTGTTGTCGCTGTCAAGGTATCTTTTCCTCTTCTGCTTGTTATGATTTCTCGGTGAGTTTTGAGGCCTTTATCCGTCGGCATTTACAATTTCTGCCTTTATTGTTTACGCTTGCTGAATTTGAGTATTAGGATCGGCCTTATTATCTCTCTTGTACATGATTCACTCGGATTTCTTGCTATTTATTAGTTTTACTCACGTTTTAGAAAAAAAAAAAAAAAAAGGCTTGTTTTTTTGGGGCTGTCACTGTGAGAATATGTTGTGGAAGTGAATTCCCTCTGTGGAGATGTATGGACGTTTTAATTAGAAAGTGAATGGGATGCTGTATGGTTTAGTGTGTCTATATGCAACGGCTGACTTTTGAATAAAGAGAGATGCAACGTTCTTCCCTGTTAGGTGGAGTTTATGACTTATTGGAACTATTGGGAATCAACAAATTATTTTTAAAAAACTAATTATCATGTTGCTCTTGTATTGGTCTAGGTTATTATTGCTAAGTGCCTTATAAGGCCTATATCAATACATGATCACTGTTATTTAGCTGTTTCTACTTTTTGAGAGATCCATTTTATTTCTACATAGTAGGTTTATGTTTCTTTCTCTATGTTTAAAAACATAGAGGATTCGCGATTTTGATATCTGGGTTATGAAGTAAGAAGCTTTACAGGTCTTCTATGACCTAAATCTTCTGAACTAAAAAACCAATTAACTTGCCACTCTTTTCCTGATGGAGACTTTTAGTGCTATATATGGATCTTGAGTTTTAACTTTTGGATGAGGACAAAACCAAATCTTACTTGTACATTTAACATAGTAATGAATTAAAGTATAAATCGATAAATAAATTTACATTGCAGCATATTTGTTTAATATTTTGACCAAACTCTTTCCTAGCCATTGATTTACTTTCTCTAATAGGCATGATTCTTAGATTCAGTGTTTAGGACTTCTGGTGGTTTTTTTATAATACTGATTTTTAATGATACTGGCTTCTTTAATATGTATGTTGTCTCATGTCTGCTTCAGTTTTAATCCATTAGAAAAATGGGAAAGTGGTTTTGTTTCCTCCTGTCAAATTTGTATCTTGATTTCATGCATTTCATATTGACCTTGTTCATGTACTTCTGATGATTGGTCTACCCTGCTTTCTTGTTTGGTCATTACTATTAGGAGAATAAAGATTATGCTATTACTTTTCCAGATAATCAATGACCGTGCAGTGGGAGGGAAATGTTATGGATTTGTTACTTTTGCTAATCCTCGCTCGGCAACACAAGCAATCAATGAAATGGATGGCAAGGTGCCCACCTCCCTTCTATCTCATGCATGTTTGTAACTTATATGCAAATGGATTTCTTAGACATATTTTTTATTACGTAGATTTTAGTTAATTTTTCAAACTATTTATGTAATAAAGTTTTGATTCAGGCTATTGATGGACGGGTTGTCAAGGTGAATGAAGTTAGGAGTCGTGGTGGGAGATCAAACTTTAACCATGATAGTTCGCGATATGATTTGGAGAGAAGTATCGATGATGATGATGATGTGGGTAGAGATCGTGGAAGAGATTATAATTATGACAGGCCACGTCATAATGAGGGGCATCGAGAAAGATGGCAAGGATATGACCAAAGTCGGGAGAGAGGTCATGACCGTATGCGTGGTTACAATCGTACAGGAAATCGATATGTGGATGAAGATAGATATCAGGATTATGATAGGAATGTTGATGATACTGAGCCTCTGATTGGAAGAAAGCGTGAACGTGATTGGGCAAGAGAGAGTGATAAAAATAACGAGCAGCAGAGGAACATTCATCATAAAAGTGGGGACAAGGATAAACAACAGCCTCGCTTGCTGAATAGGTATCATTTTGGGTTTCAACCTATGGTTGCTATTGAGCTACTCTAGTGTTGTTTAAGCAGTTGCTAATATATATATTATCAGGTCTAGATTTGATGAGCCTGGGAGTAGAGAGCTTTCTTTGGAATCATTTGATGATGAGGAGGATCAGGTTTAACTCTTGATGTTTTATCTCTCTCTCAAACACACACACACACACGCGGACATTATTTCTACATCTTTCTAAACCAGTTGGACTCTTAATTTAACTATTTCTTCTCTGCTTGAACAGGGTGAAAGCAAATTAGCAGTTTCAACCCAAAAGCTTGAAGAGATTCGTAAGGAGGTAAGCATTTATATTGCAGAGTTAGACCAGACAATAATCTCAAACATGATTCTTACAGGGCTTAACTCAGTTTCAAGTGTGAATTTTGTGAAAAAGATATGCTCGTTTTTTAACATAGGGAAGTGCAATGGGTATGGTAGGATTTTGTAACAAAGACAGTTTGGTCGCCTTGATCATATGTAGTAGTGCTGGTCCATTGATTGTCCTTTTCACTATTTGAAGTGCAAAACTGAATCTAGAATCTGTCATTTAACATGAAGTTGCATCCCTAGTTTATCGTTAACCGTATCTGGGGAGCTTGACAGCACGATGCAGGGTTCAATGATCATTTTTGTTAATTCATGACCTGAAGGAATGTGGAAAAAATAAACTAGAAGTATTGAGATTGCTTTGGACTTCTTCATAATTAGAAGTGTTGATTCCATAGTTGAATTTTTATTATTCAGTTTGTAGCAAAACTATTCACTTTCAGATTACAATCTACAATGAATTGAGGTTAAATTACTCCTTTAATTTGCAGTTTTGCTGTATAATCTGATAAGTTTTCCACATTAATATAAGATGATGCCTTGTTGATCAGATCACTCGGATGGAAGAAATGGCTGCAGACAAACAAGAAGTTGTTTCCAGTTTACAGGAGAAATGCCAGGTGAAATTTTTTCTCTGTCAGTTTTGGTTTTATGTTTCCGTGTTTTGGTTTTTTATGCTACACGATATCATTTTTGTGAACCCCTGACAATGGAGGATTGATATATTCCAGCAGAAATTGCCTGGTTTAGTAGACATTTTATTGTTTAGCCCTATGGGTAAGTTATAAATTAGCCCTTGTTATACATTTAAGGGTTCTGTTTAAAGTTTCTACAAAACAGAGAGTAATATTTATAAAATGTTTAGTCAATTTACATGAGGTTTTATATAAGAAATGTTTTGATTCTCTTTGTGTTCATGCTTTCCTTATAAACGATTTCTTTTGTGAACTTAGAAATTGGAGGACTCATTAATTCAAGCTAAAAAGCTTACTTCGCACTGTCACCTGCAATTATCCAAGGTAATATGATATAGCAAGATACTATTTTTGTTAGCAGTGGAAATTTGAAAGCTGTTCTCTCAAAGTGTATGGTTGGTGCAGTTGCATAAATGTTACATTCAAATGAGGGACTACGACGAGAAAATGAAGAAAACTGAACAAGAACTCCAGGTTAGTGAGCCTATGATATGTGTTCATACAACCCTCCTTGTAATTTTACTTTTTCATCACAGAATAATTTCAAATTTCCAAAACTGATTCAAAGATTTATCGATGAAAAGCATAAATGAATTTGGGGTTTGTGTATTATTTGCAGTGGCTGGTAGATTCGAGCTCGATGGACCTGTTGAATGATGGAGGCGTCATTGGAGATGGAAGGGCTTGATTAATGATCTGTAGAACAGTATTTTCAAGTATTGTTGATACGGTTTGTGTTGATACATGCACAATGTTTTATAACTTTATGCATGTTTCTGTTTAGGATAAATTCAAGCTTTCATCCTTCACTTGAACTTAAAATTATTTAATTGCAAACCAAAACCATATGAATGCAAATTCTAACGGATAGGATTTATACATTGCTTATAAACTAATATTAATCAAATTTTAACTGTATATATACAAATAAATTACATGTATCAATTTTTATAGGAACCCTTGTAATCTAGACCAAGGGAATTCAAGTTTTGTCTATTCCAAGGTAAAAGAGAATGTAAGAACTAACCATGGATGAGAAACACTTGCATCTACCCGAATCAAAGGCTCCATTCTCCGAGTATTCGCCTCCCGACTGTCCATCGGCATCCTCATACGACACACGGCACTGTATGGTGCAAAGAATGACAGAATCGTTAGATCACAAGCCATTTTTCGAAAGAACATGCTCGAATGAAATAAGTCCAAAACCTAGAACACAGAGAAAACCAGTGACACCATTTCCTCCCGCCAAATAGTCCTTCGAAACTTGAGGATGGTACTCTAATATTTCCCGGAATATCAACTCCTTGAGATCTGACTTCGTCACTCGGCGCCAATCAAATTCAAATTCCATCTTCGATAGCGGCTGACAAGAAGGTTCCCTCTTGATTTCAGCCAGACCATTAAAATATGGATCAGCCAAAGCCTATATACAACACAAGCCATACTCAGGGAAGATAAATGCACAATGGATAAATCACGAAGAAATCGATGGAGGATCACACCTCTTCGGCGCTTGGCCGATCTTTTGGATCGAATGCTAACAATCTTTGCAATAAATTGAGAGCTAAGGGATCGGTGTTCAGAAATTTTTCCATGAACGGCACTGGGGATTTTTTCCTCATACTCATTAGATATTTCCTTGCCTTCTCGTTTCGAACCTGTAAGAGGGAAAAGTAGTTCAAACATATTAGGGAACAAAAGTAGTTCAAACATATTAGGGAACAAAAGATTGTGCCGGAAAAATATATATATATAGTTTCTAGAAAGGGTATAATCCTTACTCCGGAAATTGTATCTGTTGACGGTGTCCCTAGAAGATCGGTGATCAAGTCCAGTTGATGCACTACACTTTTACCTGGAAACAGCGGCCTCCCGAGTAAGACTTCCGCGAATATGCATCCTACGCCCCAAATATCGATGGCTGGAGTATACTGCAAGAAAGTAAGACATAACACATACCAGCATGGATTCGTTTATTGAAAGAGTACAACAATAGAAATACTATGAAAACAATGCAACCCGACTTTTATCAGCTCCCAAGAGAGTTTGAGATTCATCCACGAATAAGATTTGTTTTAGTTTAGCTTTACTTGTCAGTCATTTAAAGCAAAAGGCCATTGTAATACCCTTGCCATTATTGGTTCACAATGATGAATTGTAAATAACACCACAAAAGAGCATGTAATTTACAATCTTGCTGCATTATCACTACGAATCACTTGGTAATAATCGAATAATAAGAAGAGCCTAGCAGACAGTCAATAATGCAACAACAAACTTATTGCCGAGGAAAAATGAAAGACCTCAATTATGATATGGATGAATGACGGAGAAGCAAATAAGTAGACCTAAAAATCACAATCAAATCAGCTTTTTATAACAATCTGGAAGAACTTTTTTTATCAATAACATATCAGTAACCTTGGTTCTTACATATTGCATTCAAATCTAAATTGGCTATGCAACATATATAGAAAACATGGCTTAACTTCTGTACCTACCATAGAGAAGAAAGATCCACACAACTCAGGAGCCCGATACCATCTTGTAGCAACATAATCCTACATTTGTGGAAAAATAAAAAACATCTTAAGATTATTAGTTGCCCAAACACCTTCAGAAAAGTTATATAAATATCAAAATAATCCATCAAATTGCTGAGCGACATAATAAGCATCTGCAAAGCTATATAAGAACATACCGTCCAAAATATTGTCGTTGGGGTGTCATTGAATGCCACTCTTGCTAATCCAAAATCGCATAGTTTAAGTTTACAGTTGCCATTTGCTAATACATTCTTTGGTTTAAGGTCTCGATGATACACATTAGCTGAAAGCAAACAGCATAGCATTGAAATTAAAAACAAGGTGAGGACCAGAGTAAAAAGTTTCAAGGTCATTGTCGACAAGAAACTCAAGGAAATAAAAAAACAACGAAAGAGACAATATGGATAGAATAATAACAATAAAGCTCATCCATCTAGCAACAGGATGTTGCTACTCACCCGTATGCATGTATTTCAGCGCTCGAAGCATTTGATAAAGGAAAAAACGTTGGTGTTCTTGCTTCAAATCATTATTGGCTTTTATGACATGATGAAGATCAGACTCCATAAGTTCGAAAACAACATATATTTCTCTGTAATCACGTCTAGAGGGTGGCATAACGATCCGCTTAAGTTCAACAATATCAGGATGTCGCAAAAGGCGAAGCAACTTAATCTCACGCAAAATTCGAATTGCATCAGAATTATGCTCGAAAATGTTGGTTATTTTCTTTATGGCTACCTTTTCCCCCGTAAGCATGTCAATTGCAGAACAAACAACTCCATAGCTACCCTTTCCAACAATATCCACAATTTTGTACCTGTTGGCTTCTCCATAATCTGAAAAAAATTCAGCTCCTTTCGGGACCTGCACAAAGTATGAGTCATATTTCAATCAAAAAGTGCAGGTTGGAAATACAGCTCTCGATGTCGAGATATCTAACTTATTTTAAAAACAATTTTATTGTTGCATTCATTAATCCTAAGAAAAAGGTGATCCATAAACACACACACACACATATATATATATATATAATTCCAAACTTCTATACTTAATTTTTAATGCACTGCAACACCACCAAGAATCTTATATAGATAATATGAAGATCAGACATCATGCCATTGTAGATAGTGGTATAAGAAAAGAAAATTCCAAAACCCCCACAGCCAAATCTTTTGTTTCCTTTTACTTCAAATTATCTGCGAACATAAAGAATACGAAAAACGATACAAAGAATGAAACTTCCAAAGAAACTAACCTAACTCCCTCGCACTCGGTACAATTTACCAAACCTAAACCTCATCTGAAAGACTTTCACCATTTTTTTTTTTTTGTTTTTCCTATCATCATCCTAAACAAAAGTTTAAGCACATTACTTAAAGAAAATTCATTTTGCACTGTGTGAATAACAATTCCAATTCGCATTCGCGCGTGCGTGTAAAAAAAAAATTTAAAAATCATCCATACATCGCGAAGAGCACAAATTATAAAGAAAACAGCAAGCCAAAAACAGAGAGAAAGAACAAGACGGATCAAACCTCCTTCCGCTGATCCCGCCGCTGCATCCTTTCAAACCAACAACCTTCTTATCGAGGAAAACGAAAATTACAGGCTAGGCTAGGTCACCATGAAGCAGCTGCACACAATTCAGAAATTATCTTTGAGAATTAATAACATTCGCATCCAGCGGAATTTCCAGTGCCTCGACAAATTGCTCAACCGACGGTGCAATCCGGCGCAGAAATCAAAAGGCATGCGGTGCGGTGGTTTGAAGATCGATGGAAAATAAGAAATAGGAAGGAATGAAAATGAAATGTCGGGTGTGGTGTTGTCACCTCATCGATCAATTACATACAAAAGGAGGTTTCTTTTTCTTCATGTAGGTTTGGATCTTGACCCTTTTTCATTAATGTTAGTGTCATAAATATTTTATTTTTAAAAAAAGTACAATTATAAGACCACCGTTCGTTAGTGTCAAATTCGGGTGTGTTTGGTTATAAACATATATTTGTAGTTGGGAATTATGTTTTATTGAGTAACGATATGTTGTTAAATTACAATTATAAAAAATAATAATAATAATAATAATAAAACTTAATATTAAATTAATTTATAAAAAAATAGAATATTTTAAATATAAATAAATATATAGTTATATTTAAGAAATAAATAAAATTTAAAAATTTTAAAAATATAATTTAAAATTGGTTGAGAGGGTAATATCAAACGTATATTTCATAGCAAACATTCACGTGAGTAGTGTGTTTTATTCTTGAATAAATATTTATATTTTTATATTGGATATCTGCATAGTATTTTTTATAATATTAACTGAATAATTATATTTTGAGTAAATTTTTTCTTATCGAATTTAATAATTCGACAAAATAAATTAGATAAATTTTAAAAAAGAAAAGTTACAAAATTTAATTCAAAACTTGTCAGACACCGACAGTTTTTCTATTATTACATGAACATGCAATAAAATCAGCATTGTGAGGTATGTATTTTCTTGAAAAAATAAATAATATTCTCACGCAGCTTCTCTTGCTAGAAACAGGAAAATCAAACAAAGCAAGAAAAGTGCTCCAAATTGAAATCAATCACATATCATAATTCACGGCCGACAATCAAAAAGTCAAATGAATATCCTGAAAATATTCACAATAAATCCTCAATTACTTCATAACAATAATACAGCCAAAACCTGCAGTGCCTAAGTTTGAATATCCAAGTATAATTCAGTGCCATCTCAACTACAAATCTACTGACTACTCTCCATTATAATTTCTTCATTTCCTATTTCCTTCTTTGATTAGGTTGAGCAGTGAAAAAACATGGGACAAACACAAACATGGACCATTCCATTCTACGTGTCTGTTTCTGCTCTTGCCTTTGTCTTCTCCAAGATCGTCATCGCCGTCATCTGCTACCGGAGCCGTCGCCGGAATCGGGAAAAAAAGCAACTTGTTTTCCACCAAAGCTTTATGGGTATGTATGCTCATTTTTCTTACTTATCTTCTACGATTGAATTCAAGAATGTTCTTAATTGGAATGTAGGCGGGAAACTAGCAATGTTCAAATCACCGAAGACAAAGTCGTTGGATTCGAACACGTTATTAAATAGGATAGCGAAGCTACGCAACGAGGATGTAATTGGATCGGGAGGATACGGGATGGTTTACAAGTTGGTAATCGACGAAAATACATCGTTTGCAGTTAAAAAAATGAATAGATTGAGCGCAGAACACGACAGAGGGTTCGAGAGGGAGCTCGAGGCGATGGGCGACATCAAGCACCGAAATATAGTGACCCTTCACGGATACTATACGGCCCCTCAATATAACCTTCTCGTCTATGAACTAATGCCCAACGGTAGTTTATACGAGTTACTTCATGGTACGCTACAACAGTGAGTAATTTTTTGAATAAGAATCAAAAACTTAAAAAGATGATTTTTAAGATTACGATGAGGTAATAACTATGCAGGGACGTCGTCGAACAAGGCTGTTCTGGATTGGCCTACGAGATACAAAATCGCGGTTGGGGCGGGAAGAGGGATTTCCTACCTCCATCACGACTGTATTCCGCACATAATACATAGGGACATCAAGTCGAGCAACATATTGCTCGATCATAACTTGGAGGTTCGAGTATCCGATTTCGGGCTAGCAACCTTAATGGAACCCGATAGAACTCATGCATCGACATTATTAGCCGGAACTTTTGGATACTTGGCTCCAGGTATGTTATTACGACTAGCGTTGTCAAGTTATGGCATCATTTGAAGTGCAAATGAAACCAGGCTTGAATCTAGTGTCCTAAGATATCTCTAAACTGTAATGAAACTAGTTTGATAAGTGTTCCAACGACTCTCCGCAGAGTATTTTGATACCGGAAAGGCGACAACTAAAGGCGATGTTTATAGCTTTGGTGTCGTATTGCTTGAGCTATTAACCGGGCGAAAACCTACAGACGAGGAGTTTTTTGAGGAGGGAACTAAGCTGGTGACATGGGTAATGCTTCTAACTTTGAAGCGCATGTAAACATAAACAACTAGTATCAAATCCACACCTTAGTAAGCATACTTTAAACCGATATTAGGAATGTAGCTAATGCATATTTTGGATACTAATTTGCTATGAATCGATATGTTGTTACAGGTGAAGTTAGTTGTGCAAGAAGAGAAAGAAGAATATGTAATCGACAAGTGTTTGGTCAATAGCCCGACTAAAGAAATCAATCGAGCATTTGATATAGCGCTAATGTGCCTCGAGACAGAGCCAAATAATAGACCAACTATGTCGGAAGTGCTCAAGATGCTAGAACACATAAAATCAGATTCAGAAGTTGTGTGAAACTTGAAGAGATAGTCGGAAAGTGATCACTACTAGAACTAGGCATATATTGTTTCCAAATCCTTTTAAAATGTATGCATGCATGTAGCAAACTCGATAAATGTAGTTAGACTTTTTGTAGAGTATTGATCAAATTAAACTTAACGAGGAAAAGAGGATCCGAACATGGCAAGCAACGCCTTCTAGTTGAGCGCTGCGGCCAACCCTTTAGAAACAGAAGCTTTTAATGAAGGAGAAACTGGTGTACCTCCAAGAAACACATCAAACAAACCTGAAGCAACATTCGAGGATTCAATAGTAGCATCAATGGAAGAGGGAAGACCGTCGGATACACTAATCTGAGGATTTACAAGACCACATTCAATCCAAGAACAAATATACGTGAAAAACAAAAAATGAGACAAGTGATTTGAGGTCAGAAAGAAATGAAATTTATTATTACATGAAGAAATATGCAAAATACTTACTAGCATTTTTGTTGTGTCCAACCAAGTCAAAAATATGAAGGTTCCTTTGTTAAGTGGCCTACCCTGGAAGACTCCACGGAATGTTGAAATTGCAGATTTATCAGCCGAAGTTAGAGATGAGATTCTCGGGGAGATTGCCTCGTCCAAGGCACCCCAAAATGTTTTACCATCAATGTCTCGTACTAGAACAATTTGGAGTGATTTCTCTAGAGGAGCTTCACTTCACAAAAACATAATTAAATTGGACAATAATCTACAGGACAAAATTATACTGAGGAAGAAGCAGCAATTATTTCTATTTTAGTACCACAAGAAGTTGATTGCATTAGTAATTCAACTTTTAGTTATTTAGGTTTAATAGTTTTCAGATTAAACAAGAAGAAACAGTTAACATGTTAGCTCATAGTGTATGCTGCAGCATCCCTGCAATGTTTTCCCTCAATGTTAAAGAACCGCAAAATCATGGAACTGAAACTATTAAAATCTATTGAAAAGCTCAAACTTTAAATTATGACGAAAAGCAAATTTCACTAGACCTAGACAATGTTATATGGGAATTACCTTGAAGAATTGCAGTGGATAATGATGAATCTTGTTCTAGCTCCTCAGATGAATGGCCTTTCCAGGGGTCTAGTTTACCAAAGATCGATGGATTTGTATACAGTGCCGCAGCGTATACTTTAACTTTGATTATTGCAAATACTTTTTCCCGGTATCCTAATCATATTACAAAAGGCAAAGTTTTTACACGCCAATGAATGATGATTTACAAAAAAAACAAGCAATGTAGAATTCATGCTTCCAAATAGATGGCTTTGCAACTCACCAGTTCCAAGCAAAGATAGTGGGGAAGAACAACCTGGAAGACTCACTGATGTTTGGAATTTTACTTTTGTCTCGGGTTCTTCAGTGTATTCTGAGTTTACAACTAAAAGCCAAAAAGCCATTACACCAACACTGTTAGATAATTCAATCATATGAATATAACGTTGTCAAGGCCAAGGTTTCATAGTGAACTCGAAAAGATTTAACATTTTATATTAGCATAGGTTGTAAAGCAGTTTCTGAATCCTACTAGATTCATTTATTTTTTCTCAACAGAACAATTAATAATGTTTAAATCTTATTCTGTAATCGATATTAAATTTCAAGTTGACTTCAATATGCATTAAATTCAATTCCATGACTTTCATCACTGTCAAAAGCAACACCTCTGGCCCTAAAAAATGAACAATTACTCACCAGCCACAACTCTAGCATGCGCATTTATCAACACTTTCAATGGATAAAATAATAATAGTACTAAAGATTAATAAGCCAAAGGATTGAAAGCAGGCCTTATGGTAGGACTAAAACTGATATTTTCACCTAATATAGGCTATAAATGAGCTTTCATAGTATATCTATGCACGTATGCATCCACCTAACTCATTGAAATGTCAATAGCACAAAGTGCAGTAACAAGCTAATTGCTCCAATTAATGTTGACAAGGGGAAGATGAGGATGGGGGGCAGCTACATTAGCACAATCTATGCCTATTATAAGTACACTTCTTACCAGCCAAACAATAATAATTTCTCAGCCTCAATATGCCCACATCATTTATGTATTTAGGCTCTCACTGTTTATCTTCCTACGTTGGTATATGTTTATTTTTTGAAACCAGTAGTTTTTGTTATTGCTTCCCTCTTGTTTGACTCACTGATTTATTTATAAAAGCTTCTAAAAAAAACGAGAGAGAGAGAGAGCATCATTAGGCCACAGTGCAGTACAACACATCAATGAAATTTCTAAATAAAAGGGTATCAGGTGCGTGCAAATTTTTGCCAGGAGTGAAAACACCTCCAAAGCTACTTTTATAAGCTTCTTGAATTCTTCAAAATGGTTACTTGATTTCTAATTTGATTTTAATATTACGATGAAACCTAAAGAATTCCGTATTAAATATATGTGAACACCTTTCCTTGATTATTTTATAATAATGAAGATTAGAAATATAAATTTAGTAATGAATGAGTAATTTTAATTCTTTTTCCAAACACCGTAATAAAACTTTTCTCTAGTTATTACTTTATTAGCAAATATCAATCTTCTAAGCAGAATTACAAGTAAGAAGTAATTCAAGTAAAGCATTCTCAAACAGTGCCTAAATCTTCATTACCAATGGCTACTGCTTAAATCCTCTGATCATACTTCCTACTCCACAATTTTCAATTGTACCAACCAGCTACGCATTCGGTCAAATTATTCACAGAAACTCCGAATCACGTTCGTATGCCTCCAACGACAGAAACGACATACCACTTCGTAAAACAAAAATACAAATATAGCCGGGAAATGATTTCACAACCTAACAGAAGTTATTTCAACAGCATTGCCTAAAAGAATCGCAGAGCGATCAATTATTCACCTGAAGTAGCTTTCAGTATGTGAAATCGAGCAATCCTCTTGGCAAAGACATTTGGAGAAAATGTGGATAAACGGAGCACAGATCTATCGGTGTGAGTCCGCAGCACTGACGGCGGAATTGTTGAGAACTTCTCAGAACAGCGGGAATTGAGGAAAGCACAAAAGGCTTTGCTTTTGGCGGGTGAAGAATGGGGAAGAGGCGTGGATATCGTTGCTACTACAGGTGAAGCCATTTTTGGGAAACTGTCAGGCGGCCAGCCAGTCGTGGGATTCGGGGTTTATATAGGAAGAGGAAATCGTACGGCGATCCACGTGGCGAAATGTAAATGGCTGCGGCAATTTCAATATTTATTTCATTTTGTTGGAAAAAAGTTGAAGGCTTTTCCCCCTGGGCTGCTCACATCATGGCTCATGCGATGAGCGCACCACTTCAATTATATCAAATTGATATGTAATAGGAGTATTTATTTAAAATTTTATATCTAGTATATTTATTTTTCATACAACAGTATCCTGTATCCCTTGTCCATAAACCATTCATGTTTTTACTTTACATATATTTTTGAAAAAATATCGGGATGGATAATTTTATATAATTATACTAATTAAATAATCTAATAATATAAATTAACAAACTTAATTTATATGTATTCAGCTAGGTGCTGAAATGTTTATTTTCAGCATTTGATCCTGTTCCAAAAAAATATTATCAATGTTTAATACCAATTTTCCTTTTTTTTTTATATGTCTATATATCTATATATATATATATAAATAGACCAACCTTTAAAAAAAAAAAAAAAAAAAAAACCTTTTGTCTGATAGATTGTTTGTCCTGCATAAATACAGTAAAACTTTTTCCTTCCTCGTTAAAGAAGTTTTTTTTTTTTTAATTCTTCATTTATTTTATTAATTTTGAATTTTAACGTAAATAAATAAAAATAAAGAAATAAAGAAGAAGTCAGATTAATTAATGTATGATGAAACGTTTTATAATTTTTTTCTGAAAATATAAAATTCAAATAATAAAAAATTGAAATTTGGATAAAAAGAAACAAACCCTAATTTCAATCATGCATGTTTATTTGAAATACTGCGAACTGAACAGATACAGAAGGAAAACAGACACAATAACTATGGAATCAAAGGGTTCAGACAGACATCCTACATCGTACACCACAAAATAAATATCCAAGATTGTAATTAATCATAGACAATTTTGACACCGCCAATGGTGATATCTTCTCCGCCGTCTCTGGGCACCAACGACACCAAGATCTTGTCGTCTTCCTCCGCCTCCAAATCCTCCAGCAGCTCACTCAGCCCCAGTCTGATCATCGTCTTAATCCTCCCCGAATTCCTATGCGGAACATGCGAATAACACCCCGCGTACTCCGCCTTGTCCAAATCCCCCGCCGCCTCCTCCTCGTCGTTCACAAAAACATCGAACTTCACAAATCTCCCTGTGTCCGCTTCAATCCCTTCGATCACCAGCAGTTCCTCCTCTTCCTCCTCCTTCTCCCGCGATTTCTTCGGCCGCTTCACCACCGCTCTCACTACCTTATCCAGCTTCGCCGGAAAAACCTTCTCCCCCGCGCGGTACGCTGCCCCCGCCGCCGCTTTGGACTTCTTCTTCCGCGCCAAGAGGCGGTTCTTGAGCCATGGAAGGTCCACCTCCTGGTACGCGTATCCCATCCTCTCGTTTTCCAGCGCGTCGGCGACGCGCACGCGCACGAGCCGCGCGTGTTCGTCGTAGAATTGGAACTCGGCGTCGAGCCAATCGGAATCGGTGAATTCCTTCTTCTTCGTTCCTCTCAGGCCGCGCCACACCGTCCAGAGACGATCGACGTTCGCGTGGTGGCTGAAGAAGACAGAATCACGCGCCGTCGAGTAGAAATTGCCCATATCCTCGCCGCCGGTGGTGTTCTCCCCGACCCAGACGTGCAGCGCGATGTGGGAGCCACGCTCCACCGCGCCGGGGCCTGGATCGGGAGAACTTCCGGCGACATATTTCGCGCCGTAGAAATCCTGCAGCCGCCACACCCGCCGGACCATCTCTCTGTGCATCACGCTCAGGTTGTTTTTAATCACTTTTTTCGGATTCGTCGGCTTACTTGAGGAGTACGCCAGGTCCGCCATCGCCGGCGGCAGGTGCTCCGGATTCCGGCGCGGATTGTATAAAGGAGAGTTCTTCTCCACAAAAGCCTCCGGCAAAACGACGCCGTCGGGATTGTCCCAGTTCCAGAACGGCAAGGCGAAGCTGGGATCGTCGATCAATTTGCTTAAAATCCTTTCGTAGAAATACAAATACCATCTGTGCCATGGAAAGAAATGCCAGCAGTTGTGAATTTGGAGCTTCAAATCGGAGTCGCCGGCGGCGGGGGTCTGAGGGTAGGTGAGGTTGCAGTAAGCGCAGTGGACGTTGGCCTGTTGCATAAAATTCCGGGGGTCGTCGGCGGGGAGGGCTTTCATGAGTTCGACGGCTTTGGCGTACTTGGCCCAGTACTCTTTTCCGGCTAAATGGGCGGCGGGGCGGAGGCGCAGTCCGCCGGCGGTGGGGAGCTTGTAGTCGATGATTTCGGAGGATAATGGCGGGCAGCAGTTGTCTTTGAGGGGCTGGCTAGTGTTGAGGTTAGTGGCGACGCCGCATTTGGAGAAATCCGGGGCTGTGATCGGAGTGGCGGAGGCGGGGGCGGCGGCGGCGCCGTACAGGCCTCCGATTCCCATAAGCAAATGTCTTCTGTCCACTTGTCCGGCGGCGGGGCTAGTTTGGATATTGTATTGATTATCATCGGTACATCGTACGGTCAGGGATTGGGTTCGTGTGTGTCGGGAGTGGTTTGTAATTGTAAATGTAATGGAGGATGAAAGTGTAATAAGAGACATCTTGGCTGTGGTTTACTTGTAAATTGCGAATAAAACTCTCCTCCTGTATATATAGAACGAAATTTATTTAATTATATATATCTAATTTATTAAATTATACTATGTCCAAAACTTTTGTAAATTTTCTTAATTTATTATATTCTTTAAATATGATTTATAAATTTTAATTATAAAAAAAATATATTATTTATTTAAGTTGGAAATGCAGGTATATGTATACTCACTTTTTGAGTGGTGATATGCGACACTGCTATTTTAAATTATTTTGATATAAAAGGATTTGTATATTACTCTATCTTGTGTTTCCATTTTATATTTTAACTTCTTTCAAAAATATTACTTTAAAATATATATATATATATATCATCTATATATTATTGGATTGTGAGAAAAACATTTAATATAATATTTTAAAAAATTACTTAAAAAAATACATATGTCTACATATCTTATTGGACTGTGTGAGCCATGAAGGAAGCCTACAACAAATATCCACTGTCATGTAAAATAATTCAGACTAATTTTAAATAATAGGAGTATGAATTATAACATGTTGCACATAATTATAAACTTAACTACCATATATATGTATACATATATCCAACTAATACTTTGCTTAATATTTTATCCACTAATTGCAATTTTTCAATAATACAAGTGGGATTTGAAAGATCAAAATGTTTGAAATATCCTTCTTGACAAAATTTGGCTTCATTTAAATAGGTACTTTTGAAATTTTTAGAATTTTGAAATATATATATATATATTATAAAATTATTTTATGTAATATTTTATTAAAAGAATAAGTATTTGATAAGATGTTTTAATAAAAAAGAATATTACTGTTAATAAATAATATCAAAAATTTTAAAAATATGTGTAAATAAAGTAAAAATAAAAAAAATAAAAGTGAAAAGAGTCTCCATTCAAAGTCATTTTTGCATATATATATATTGATATATTAATTTTTATATCTTTTTAGATAATAATAATAATAATAATAATAATAATAATAATAATAATAATAATAATAATAATCGACATTTACCCAAAGTACATTACTAAAAAACAAACACACAGGCACCATCAATGATAAAACAAAAACATCTTTGAAATAATCTAGAAGAGGGTCTAAATAATTTTATTGACTTTTATTTTACGTTAGAATAAACGTTTAAAATTATATATATATATATATGTGTGTGTGTGTGTGTGTAAGATTGTTATTTTTATGCACGCTTCTCTCTATATTGAAAAAATAATAATAATAATAATAATAATAATAATAATAATAAGTAATAATTAAAAAATTTAGTGGGAGGCTTTATTATGAATATGAATGCAACCAAATTGGTTTAAACAAAGCTATAATTTAATTTTAAATAATTAGGTAGTTTCAAGATTGATGATCTGTGAATTTCACCTAATTCGATTTGTGTGATGTCTTCGTATACGATTATTTATTTTTAATTGTGGCGGCTTGTGAAATATTTCTGGTCCTATTTCTGTCTATGCCTTTATAAATATCCAACTTTATCTGATATAATTGTGGAATAAAAAAATAAAAATTGATCAAGTCATTGAAGTTCTCATTTTTGTATTTTTAAATATATGTATTTTTTGTGGTATAAAAAATCATGATAATATAAAAGTTAATAATACTTTGTTTGAATTTTGTAAGTTGATGTATATTATGGATATGTTTTCCAAAGGTGGTTTGGTTCGATTTTACTGTACACTTACTGTGAATAGTAAAATGGGCGCCAAACTTTTTTTTTTTTAATTTAAAATTCTGTAGAAAATACAATTTTTTATAATACAAATAAATAAAAATTTAAATATATATATATATTGGTTATAATATAAATTTATAATCAAATCATACCATATAAATTTTTATCAATTAAATTTAATATATATTTATATTATTTTATTCATTATCCATCAAATCAATGCACGTCAAAACTCCCCAAACTCCAACCAAAATTCAAACTTATCCTAAAATTCAAATAAAAACCAAATACAGATCCAACTTTCCCCAAACTCCCCTAAAAAACACACCCTATATATTGTGCTAATGAATATATATTTTATATATTATATATTTTATAATATTTATTAAAAATTGTGCCAATCAAATTCGAATTTTTTTTGGTCAGGTTTTCATTTTATTGCCATTTTATGATTAAAAAAGGAAGGAAAAACAATTCTAAAAAAATATTAATATTTGAAATTAAAACTAATGCCAAAAAGATTATAACGGAAATTATATTAAAGAAAATTATTGTTTAAAAAAAACTGTAATTAAGGGGCTTTTTTTTTAAGGAAATAGTTCACTATTAAATCTATATTTAAAAATATATTTATTATTTAAAATATAAATATACAATATAATTATATTTATTAATATTTGATGAAAAAAAAAGTAGTCTTTTATTTTAATTATAAACAAACAAAATAAACAAACAAATAAAGCCAAAATATACACACCACCAACACCAAGAGTGAATTTGGAATTTGACTGGTTGGTGAGAAGCATTTGCAAAGGACCTGTTTGTTTGTGTTCCCAAATTTAGTTTGTACTATAATTTTGATTTTTCTTTTTCATTTTAAATATTTTTTAAAATTTCTAAAAAACGTACGGGACTTGTATTATTCTTTTTCATTTTCTATTTCTATTTTTTAAATAAATGATTATATTTACATATTAAATTTTGTTCTCATAAATTATATTAATTATATATAAATATTTATTTTATTATATAGTTTTATTTTTTATAAAATAATTTTGATATCGAATACTTTTTTAAATTTTTTATTTGACTTTTGCATATATTGAGTGTGATTGTTAGTATTTTTAATTTAAAGTATTTTTATGTTAAATATTAGAAAATATATTTCTAATATATAAAAAATAATATTTTAAATTGAATTACTAAATTTTTTAAATATTTAAAAAATATATAATATATAGTATTATATTAATATGTATATATATTGTATTTTTTATAATATTAATTATAAAATACATATATTTTTGGTAAGTGAACACACATTTATAGTAGAAAATTTTTTCTTTTGCACATATATATTCATGCATTTTAAATATTAATTTTAAAATACTTTTATCAAATATATTTTTCATTTCAAATATTATGTAGTTAAAGTTACCTTTATAAAAAAGTACTAATAACAAACCAATAGCTTGGTTGTCACCCAAAAGACCAAGTCACAAATAACATTATTATAACAATTAATTACATTAATAACACTATTGATTTACTATAACAACTGGGCGTTAATAACAATTTTGCTAATCAAATTGATACTATTATTATTATTATTATTATTATTATTTACTTGACCAGCATTGTTCATTGAATCAAGAAAATGTGCATAATGTAACAATTTTGATTTCTTCATTCTCTTGTTAATTCAACTTATGTGCTTGAATAATCAAAATAAACTAAATTTATATAAAAATGAATTAAGGTTACTTTAAAAATAAATAGTCATTTACATTATCGGACCTAATTCGTAGGTTATTAAATTCGATCGAAAATTCTCACAGCACTAAAAAAAAATAAACATATATAATAATAATAATAAAAAGAAGTAGCCTTTGATACATAATGACAAAACTTTGGAAAATGTTTGTGAAACCCCAACCTAAATATTCCTACTTATATCCTATCCATTAATGATCATATTCTATTCACTGATAACATAAGTTCTAAATAGAATAATAATTTTTTTAAAAAAAAAAATAAAAAATAAAAAATGCAATTTAAAGAAAAATAAAAATTCTAAACCTTGCAATTATGAAAAGAAAAGATGCATGAAATTATAAATTGAAAAGAGACCAACTAAAGTAGATAAGTAAATCTAAATAACCCAACAAAAAAGTTGGTTCAATTTTAAAGCAACATTCGAGTGCTGAAGGCAGCCAAATTAAAAGAGGAGATATAATTATAGCATAGTATATAGCAAAGTAAGAACTAATCAACATCCAAGATTGATTGTAAGAACTTAGCAGGCAGTAGTAGTAATAGTCGTCGTCGAACAAGAAGAAATAACCTCAGGTGCAAGAAAACAAAGTCGCGAGTAGAAGAAGGAGAACCGAAACAAGTAGAATCTTAATCTCACTGCATCAGTCTTCATCTGCAGTTACGCATTAGGAAGCCTTGGCCTCACTGGCGTCTTCGAAGGACTCACCCTGCACAACATTATAATCGATCAAAAGAATCAGTAATAAAGTCGAAACTTCTTACTTGGCTCTGCAACAACACTCCTTGTTAACACAGTTTGGTTTTGTTTGTACCTGATGCGCTGGGATCCTAGCATTTCGCCACAGCAATCGAGAGCAAGGATTGCGCTCTCAGCCTGCAAAAGTTAGCAACATTCGTGAATAATTTCAAAATTGTATCTTTCTTTCATCGGTTTAACTAATAATAAGCCTATGATGTTATAGGCACCTGTTACTCTGCTGATACTAACAGCACATGAGTTGTAAACTAACGGTAAAAATATATTTTAATACAATACAAATACTGACAACACACGACAAATAGACTTTTATTGTTAAACTAAAAGTGGCCTTGGCTGATAAAGGAATTGTATTATGGAAAAAGTGAATATACCATGTAGAATTCAACAAATGCAATTCGTGTGGAGTGCACGTTGTCTCCCAAGAGCCTCAGTCGAGAAACCTACAAAAAGTCATACAAACTCAAACATTTGACGAACCCAACTTATTGGATGTCATTTCTACACATACCGCTCCACATCTCCTCTCGAAAAAAAACTTGACATCAGCTTGAGAAACCTGCACTCGAAAAAAAAAATAAAATAAAATTGAAGGAATGTGATTAAAAATGAAAGAGGATCACAAACCAAATTTGGGTAAACCATGTGACACAGGTAAACAAAGAAATCAATAAAAAATCTACCTTCTTATCAATGTTTGTACAGTAGACTGTTCGAGCACACATCTCGCGTTCATCCTCAGACTGCACATTATAATCAGTTTATATACTAATCACAACAAGATTAGATACCAATAACATGCAGAGAAATGATGTAAGAAACTTGTTGTCAGAGGAAACAAAACTGAAAGCTTGCTCTTACCCTGGGAAGGAACGTTGGATTCACAGGCAGAATGGCAGTTTTTGAAGGCATGACTTTGATAGGAGAGAATCCTAACAGTGACCCAGACAGGCTAAGAGCAGCTTTGGCAGAATCTGTCATTTTACAGGAAGAAAGACAACGTATTAAGAGCTCCGACAAGGATGAAAAGTAACTATGGGCAAAATATGATCACTCACATTCATCAGCAAATTCTACAAAAGCAAAGCGGAGACGAGAGTGAGCATCGCCACAAACACGACAATCAACAACCTGAAATACAAGAAAGAAAGAAATGTTGTACATATTCAGTTCTATGGACCGAAAGTAAAATGAATGGACTATTCCTTGCACATGGATGGTACAACATTTAATATAATGGCGTCTGTTTCCTTTCCGAGCAAAAACACCAATTTAATGAGAACAGAGACAGACAAAACATTTTCAGGAAAACAGAATAATTTAATTAATAGTTTAGAGAAAAATGTATAGTTCATTGGGCATGGCTATTCGACTAGCAATAAAACATAAACTTCCAAAACAACAGCATTGGTGCACACAAACCAACAACTTCCAACACAATAAATTCAGCTTACACGTGAACCACATGAGAACAGGCCATGGTTATTATCTAGTTTCGAAAAATTACAAACACGTGTCATCACCAATTGATTTTCTGAAAATTCTAAATTACTGTTACCAAGAATTTATAAATTTAACTGTCACCTCGAAGGTTACTGTGATCAAATGGCAGAAGAAAACTATCACCATATTTACCATTGTATAGAGTGATCAAATGGCAGAAGAAAGTACAAGATTCCCATCTAACTGTCTAGGTAGTTCACCAAATGATTCCGTAGATGTGTATTGTGGATTATCCATTGGAACTGGAGATGAGTATTAAATTCACAGTAGCATAGCTTAAATTTCAGTATTTTTTATTTTAGAAAGAAAATCAAATCAAATCAAATCATTGCTGTTTTACTAAGAAACTGGTGCCAAAACTATTCCAGTGCTTGTTGAATACGAATTCATGTCAAATTCATTAATAATATACCATATTTACAAATATAGTACTGTAAATAGATGAACAAACTAGAACAAACCTATTATAAACAGTCATTTGAAAATAAAATTAGGCCCCATTTAGTTGGAGGAATTTGGATTATGTGTTTGTTTGGGGGTTTGGATTTTGAGTTGAGATTTGAATAGTAAAAAATTTGAATTTGAATAGTTATATGATGTGATATAAATAGGTAGTGATGTGATGTTTTGAATGTAAAATTAATTTTTAGTATAATATAAAAAATGAAAAATAGGTGTTTGATTAGATATTTTTGGGGGGAAAAAATTGGATGAATAGTAGATTTTGGGACAAATCCCCCAAACAAACACACCTTTAAGGTATTTCAAATTACTCTATCAAATCCATTAGTATCATTTGACAATGCAATGAATTTCCAATCTCCAAAATTGGCAATGGATTTCAAATCATCCCATTTTTATATTTCAAATACCCTTTACTAAAGTATTTCAAAATCATTCATTTAAAATCCACCCTCAAATCAAAATCCTTCCAACCAAATGGGGCCTTAATGAATTTAAAAGAATCACCAGAGTGAACTTATCTACTGACCATACAATCAATTTTCTTATTTTTTACTTCTCATTTTAGAATTTCACAAAATATAATCCTGCAGCTGAAGCAGAAAGAAGCTACTATCATTAACTCTGCAGTGGAATAATCCACGTCAATCTTGAGTAGAAAAACTTACTGGTCCATACCCACTGAACACAGCAGCAAGTCGCTCCTCAGTAACCTTAATTGAGAGATAAAAAGCCACATTAGCTTAAATCCTCATAGGCCATGTTTACTTTAAAAGACTAATTAGCATTTTAAACTAATTCCTCTTTTATAGTAAACACCCCAATGATATACCATGAAACCAGGGAAATAAAATCCTTTCGGTGTTATACTTACATTATTGTCAAGATCAGATACATAGACAGTCCGCCTGATACTGTCTTCTCTCTGAGCTTTAGAAGCTCTGCTACTTGTTCTTTTCCGGCCTGAGCTGTAGTTTCTCTTCTGAAAAACAAGAGAGCACAATCAGAGCTTGGCCAATCAAACAGTAGACAAAAAGCTAAAGGATGTCAAGACAGAACTAAGAACGGCAGGAACATCAATTTTACAATTAAATGATCAGATACGTAAACACCGAGAGATATGTGGAAAAAGTAAATGCATTACCACATAAGATGCTGAAAAAATTATTAGATTACCAAATTTATCACACAAATGTTGTATGCATTGTTGTCAACATGGACAGTTTGGGGAAGAACTGCTCCGAATATGTGAATGTTTGTAAGGTTAATGATGACATATTAACCATCAAGTGAACATAATACATCTCAAAATGACAACTTCAAGTCACTATGACACTGTAAATTTGTATAGTATACAACTACACATCAAGTAAACAAAGCCGTAAGAGAATTATATTCAATACATTCATGAAATACATTATTCACAATAAATATATGAAAACCACAGTCCTGGAAAATTCTTTTCTAAGGTAAAATTTAAAACCATTTAAGAATCTACAAATGGACAAACCATATGAACACAACTTCCATTTTTGTTTTGTCTCTCCAACTGATTTAGAAAATTTTAGCTTGATCATGTGTTCGATTTTGAAAGAATCTTGCAGGTGAGGTGAACTCATATCTGTAACCACACCTTCAAGCTCAGAAGCAGAAACATATAATTTATTTAGCATTATCTGAGGCATCGAAAATAAGGGCAGTTAAATGATCGAACGAAGACTGAATTTCCACCATTGAATTTCACAAACTAAACCATCTTATAATGTGGAAAAAAAACTAATAAATTGAATCCAAAAATCGAAAACAGAGTGCAATTAATTCAATCAATCGGATAGAAACAGAATATCCAAATTTTCTACCTTACGATTGTCCGGAGAACCATCATTTCCAGAATTCATAGCAGAAATCACAAAGCCATAAGTCCCAATTTGGCCATAATAATTAGATGAAGGTATAAACTCCTTAGCCAGGGGATTCAGCTTCAGTTTTTCCAACATATCAACGAAATTCTTCATCTTCATTTCTGATTTCGAATCGAGATTGGGCTTAACATCCGAATCCTTTGGACCGTCGTCTACATCCACCTCAGAACCGAAATCAGAATTTCCATTGTTTTCAACGCTCTTCTCAGTGACAGAGTCTGTATGTTTCGGTGATGCAGGCTCAAAAGCGGTGGGGGAATCCATCCCCGCCGCCGCCTCACCAAACACCTCCGCACCGGCAGCCATGGAATCAACGAACAACCACAGACAAAAAAAAATTAAAATTAAAAACAAAAACAAAAATTCCGACACTACTTTATCAAAAGAAATCCTCAATTAGAGAGATCGGTCAAAAACAATGTTCCGATTGCTCCTTGATCTCCGCCCAAAAACCCATTCCCAGAAAGATTAAACAGAGAAGAGAAACAACGAGGAAAGACGACACAATTATACAACAGACGCCATAAATGTGAATAAGGGCTATTTTCCCTAAAGCATATTCTTGATCACAAAGTGGTGGCAGTGGTTTTGGTGGTGGTTTATGGGAAGCAGCTGTACGGCTCTTCGGCTTGCCCTTGGCCTTGGCCTTGGCCTTGATGCACAAACTAAACAAGAATGGGAATGGGGAGCAGACACACACGCACACCCAATTTAACTGAGGAATGGGAGAAAGATGGGATGCAGAAATCGGAGCCAACGGCCCAACCATGTACTGGAGCCGAGCCGAGCCGAGCCGAGCCGCTTCATCTTTGTCAATTCCTATGATGATCTTAGGTTTGGTAGGGATTTTGTTTATTTCATTTTATTCTATAGTTTAATACTCCATGTTTGGCAAAGTTTTCATTTGTTTATTTGGGCTTTATTTATTTTTTTATAATTTTGGAATTTGTTGTCGATACTCTTTGTATAGATAGGCATTCAGGTCGGATAGTTGGGATTTATTAGGGTCAGTTTGGTTCAAAATCAAGGTAGGGGTGGGGGGAGGAATTTTAATGGAATGGAGAGGAGGTGGGAGAGGGTGAAAGAGAAAATATAATAATTTTACTATTTTATCTTTAATATAAATAAATAAAAATAAAAATATTTAATAAAATTTTATTAATTTAATAATAAAACATCAATGAATAACGTAGTTTATTTTAAAATAAATATATATTTATATTATGTAAATAAAAAAAAATTATATATAAAAAAATTAAATCATTCAATAACAAAATAATTATTTTAACATAAATTTTATTTATTTAGAATAAATTACAATATAAATATAATAGACATGAATCTATTTTATTAATTACTCCCTCAATCCCACATAATTTGTCTCTATTTTCTATTTTCGTTTGTCCCACGTAATTTGTCCTTTCTATTTTTGAAAATATAATTATACATTTTAACCGCATTTTAAATTTTAAATTTTATAATTTTCTTAATTTTAATTAAACTATTTATTTATCTTAATTTTAATTTATAATTATTTTTACTAAATACTAATTATTTTTACCAAACATTTATTAATTATTTACTAATTATATTTTACCTAAATTGTGTCTACAGTAATACACCCATATTACATAGGGAGTAAAACCTAACAGTTTAATTAAATGATTAAAATAAATTTAATTTAATTTATATAACATTTTATTTTATAATTTAATTACATTATAAAATTTAAAAATATTATAACTAATTATTAATTATAAAATACAGTATAAAATAATTTATGTATAATTAAATATAATAATAATTTTATAAAATAAAAACATAGACATCTTTATCTTCCTGTCAAATTCCTCCGATTTTAAGGAAAAATAACTTAAATTTATTTTATATTCCAACTCCTTTAAAAAAATTGAACCAAATGAGGTAATTGTAATTTTTTTATTCCCTCCCCTTCGTCGCCCTCCAAATTCATCAAACCAAATATACTCGAAGGAAAATTCAATATTTTTGAATTAATCAAATAGATGTATTTTAAATAAATATATATATGTTTGGATTTGAGATACCCATAAAAAAACCCGGATCAAGTGTCGGGTATGAAATTCATACTCGAACCCGCCGACTACCCAAACTTAGGTGTTAGCACAATTTTATAGATAATTTATTTGATAAAACTCTGATTATATGCGAAGAATTTACTATTAGTATTTCTTGTATGAATAGTAATTCTTACCTCTCATAATAAATTCATTTCACATTTTAAAAATTATTATATTATTTTGTATTGATATTTTTGGTGCATTTAATATTTTGTGTAGGTGTTAGGTATTAGGACAATGACCATTAATTTGTAAGTTTCTAAATTGAAATAGGAAATACGTCTAAAAATAACATTTAAATATTTGTATGAATAAGTCAATGATGTTTGCATGGATAGATATGACTTATGATATAATTTCCAAAGAAAACAAGTTTTTTTTTTTTTTTTCAAGTTTTGGCATTATTATTTTTTTGTTATTTTATGACAACATTTATATAAATATGAAATGAATGGTTAATAGTATAATTATTGGATAAAAGAAATTATTCAATATTGTTTAATATTGTATAATTCAATATAAATAAAGGGGTTGTCATTTGATATATATTGATACATAATTGTTAAATATAATATTTTCATGTCATGAGATTAAGAGTTGCAATTTTGGCCTCAGATATTTGACACTTGATCATCTATATACATTTATATAAATTAAATACATTTTGGTCAGGTTGGTAATCAAAATTGTAACAAATATAACTTTAAGTACTTAAGAAGTTAACCTAACAAGTTCATCTTCTTGCCCAACTCATCAACTCACTAACTATAAATAACACAACACATAACACATAATCAACACAAACCCTTAATTACTTTCATCAAAATCAACCATCAATTCTCAATTCCCAATTCCCAATTCCAACAATGGCTGCCTCTAAAACCCTAATTTTTTTTCACTTGATCATCCTAACCATCACTCTCTTGGCCACTCTCCGGTCAACCGCCGCGTCGTCGCGCAACCTTCTGCAAACTTCTCAACCGGCATTCCCGGCGATCCCTCCTCTTCCTTCTACACCTAAATTTCCATCATTTCCGACCACTCCTTTGCCGACTATTAATCCCTCGTTGCCAAAGTTGGCATTTCCGCCATTTCCGAGCACCATCATCCCAAACATGCCATCGATCCCCGGATTCCCAACCTCCATGCCATCGATTCCCGGCTTCCCAACCTCCATGCCGTCGTTTCCTTTCTTCTCGCCGCCGCCGTCAAAATAGGCGACATTCGACGTAGCAAATTACACTTGCTTTACTACTATATATACTAACTACCTCATCGATCTCCTCGCGGGATTTGATTTTTATTGTTTTTTGGTTGTTGCATTTTTATTGTTTTTTTTTTGTTTTTATGTGTGAATTTGCAGTCGCTACACTTCGAGTGCGCTCTAGATTTGTTGTATTTTATTATTGTACTTGCATTGTGTGGCACGGGATATATAGAACTATCTTGTTTTAATTTTATGTACTTTAATGATATGTTTTAATGATATATATTGCATTTTATATATGACCATTAGTTTATAAATCTATGGTCTAATTATATATAATAAAAAGTTTCGCATGAAATATACAATTATCATATCGATATTAATTGAACCTTTCGATTATATGGTGAGATGGGAGTAATTTTCGTTAACGAGGTATAAAAGTATAAAGGATAAATGTATATAAAAAAAATTGTAACTTCAAAATTATATATGTCAAACGAGCAGACAGGAGGACGAGCCAAAAGTTAAGAACATGAAATATAAATAAAAAGTTAAAAGTTTTGTTTAGTTGTGGTTTGAAATGAATATTTTTATTTAAATAATATTTTGATATAATATTTTATAAATTTTTTTTTTTTTTTATTGAAATTAAAGTAAAATAGTATAATTTGAATTTAAAACGATAAAAACACAAACATAAAATAGAACATAACATTCTATATACATTAAGCGGTAGCAATACAAACAAACCCATAACTTATGCATTTTTATATGTAAATAAACGATGATGACATATTTGGATAAACAAAATTTGAATGAAAAACGAAAAAAGTTTATTATACACAATTAAAATAAACAAATCCTAAGGATATGTTCGATATAGAAAAATGAGAAAATTATTTTTATTCATTTTTTTATTTTTCTCTCGTATATACGAAGAATGGAAAAAAATGAATGCCGAAAAATGATGCACTAATATACGATGTTAAATAGCGTTAAAAATTTTTAAATCATAAATCTCATGGTACTGAGTCTACCTATACCAAACTATCTCTTATATAACTAAGATAAATATTTGATATATACTCTTTCCGTCCGGCTAATAAATATACAATTTTTTTTTTTTGTGCAAGAATAATAATGTAACAAAAAGTAAAAATATTTGTGTTAAGAAAAAAGATATTTAATAAAATAGCAATCAAAATAAAAATATATATACTTTTTTGCAAGAAAATATTCAAGTAAATTGAATAAAAATGATAATTAAATTAATCAATCGGAAGAAGTATTTAAAGTTTGTTTAATTTTGATTTGAAATAATTTAAATTTTAATTTAAATAGTAGTATTTAAATATAATATTCTATAAGAACTACGCCCTCCGTCCCAATACAACAGTCTTGTTTATTATTTTTGTCAATCTCAAAACAATAGTCTCATTTCCATAAATAAATCATTATAAAATTACTCTCATTTTTTCATTAGTATTACACAATTGCCACTACTTTTTATACTAATACATTCACAAGTCAAAAAAGTATTTTATCCATACTTTTTACTCACTATTCGTATAAACTATAATTATGGGACGAAGAAAGTATTTTTTATTGATAGTAATATGTTCGCGTTAAGTAGTAAACTTTTTTATTTAAAAACATCTCCTTCAAATTTGGCCCATGTTAATTCAAATTTGGCCCAAGTTAATAGTGACTCAAAGTGGCCCAATCTTAAAAATAAAATAAAATCACTTAAAAAATTAAAATTCAAAACACACTTGTAATGTTGATTATATCTATTTATACATATATATATATATATATATTTTCATAAATGAATAAATTTTAAATAAAACAAGGTCTAGTTATTTTAGCCTTAAAAACGTTATACAAAATTCTAAAGTAGTGTTTATAATAATATTACACAGCACGGGGCCATGTAATGTAAAAACGTTGTTAGGTCTTAACAGTTGAGATGCGTATTAAGGCTAGGCAAGAAAAAACTGGTTGGGTTGCAGCACCTGCATCTGCATCTTCTTTGGTATCATCGCCATTGATATATCTTGCCAGACCTTGCATTTGTTTCTCCGCCCCTTCTCTTTTTTCTCCCTGATTCTATTCTATTTATACACACATTGCCCGATTCTCTCCTTTCACTCAATCTCCAATTTTGCTCTCGTTCATACGCACCCTTCACCGAGGAGTACATGGCTGCCATCTTGCAATCTGTTGGAGTCACGTCGGCTTCTTTTCAGCTCCCGGATCACTCCAATAAATCGCCTGCCTTTCCCGTTTGTTCCCTCCCAGGTTACTTTTTAATTTTTAATTTTTAATTTTTGGTTTTTTTCTGAATTTTGATTTTGAGCAGTTCGAATTTGGTTGGGGAAATTTGGGAATTTTAGGTTGATATTGAATCTTGAATGATATCGTAGCAGTAATCGGTTTGGATTCATTAACCTGTGATTTCTAATCGTGATTTTAATGTTTGTTGTTTATATCAGTGATTAGATCTGAGAAAAGCTCGAGTTTTGATCCGATTCGTGGAATTGGGAAGGCGAGAAAGGCGGTTACCAAAGCAGTTACGGTCTGTGTTTCCTCTTGCCTTATTAGGTTCTTTCGTCGATAATATTGATTTGGATTTTGTTTCTTCAAAAGAATTTTTGTCATATTTTCTGCATTTGGGGGTTTTCAGGCACAGGCTGAAAATTCTGCTTCAGCAGCTTCGAAACCAGGGTACGTTTCCGAAATCTTACCCAATATCTGTCATTAGATTCAATTGATCTGATAATGCGTCTATGAAAATATATGATTTACAGTTCATCTTACGAACATGATACTTAATGTAGATTCAAACTTCATCCAATGAAAAACATATAAATTTAAAGTGCATTTTCTGATTTCATTATGTTAGAAATTCGCAGTTGTTTCTTGCATGTTATTGATAAGACAGTGAAAGCATTCTCTACATAGTGGTTGAGCTCTTCAAAGTATCTGAATCCTAACCAACATTATGTCCTTGTATTTGCTCTACTTTTGCAAATATTTTCTTCGAAACAATGCTTTTGATCAACTGTGTTGGATCGCTAGGCTTTGGACATGTACATTGATGTTTTGATAGGAATTGTAGACATTAAGGATAATATCAGTTTCCATTTAAAGATGCTCATCGGTAAATTGATAGTGAGAAATGAAGTACATGTGCTCGTTCATATAGATATCACATCGTGCAACTACCTCCTTTCAATTATATTGCATTACCAAAGCATGCTTCTGAAGTCAGCAAAATGTGAAAGGCAGGAAAATTCGAAGACATGGTTGGCTAATCTATTTATTTCATGTGGATGTTTGTTAGATTTTCTGCAAATCTTTTGAAGGATGATTTGATAGTTTAGTACTCATTTGAATTTAGAATCGTAAACTCTACCTATTTCAGTGTTCTCCGTAGGTAGGGGACACTCTTTCATCAGTCGAAATTGGGGAAAACACAATGCTTTTATTTTCAGCATGATTACTAGCACATAATGATATCTATATATGACTTCAACATCGTTTAATGAGAAAATAGTCCATCTAAAAGATGTGCATGCTTGTTGTATTTCAGCAACTCCTTTTTATGTCGAAATATTTATTCTATATATTGTATAGACTCGAAATGACATTACTGGTAATTTCAGGCATGAACTCTTGCTATTTGAAGCCCTGAGAGAAGGGTTGGAGGAAGAAATGGACAGAGATGTTCGAGTTTGTGTCATGGGTGAAGACGTAGGCCATTATGGAGGTTCGTACAAGGTCACCAAAGGCCTTGCGGAGAAATATGGAGATCTGAGGGTGCTCGACACGCCCATTGCTGAAAATTCTTTCACAGGCATGGCCATTGGTGCAGCCATGACTGGTCTGAGGCCAATCGTCGAGGGCATGAACATGGGATTTCTTCTACTGGCCTTCAACCAAATATCCGACAACTGTGGAATGTTGCATTACACCTCCGGAGGGCAGTTCACGATCCCAACTGTGATCCGAGGGCCAGGAGGAGTCGGGCGCCAGCTCGGGGCAGAACACTCTCAGAGACTCGAGTCCTATTTCCAGTCCATTCCTGGAATACAGATGGTTGCCTGTTCGACTCCATACAATGCCAAAGGTCTGATGAAAGCTGCCATCCGTAGTGAGAACCCTGTCGTGCTGTTCGAGCACGTGCTTCTTTACAACCTCAAGGAGCGGATTCCCGACGAGGAGTACGTGTTGTCCCTCGAAGAGGCGGAGATGGTTAGGCCCGGGGAGCATGTGACGATCCTGACGTACTCGAGGATGAGGTACCATGTGATGCAAGCTGCGAAAACTTTAGTCAACAAAGGTTACGATCCTGAGGTCATCGACATTCGGTCTTTGAAACCCTTTGATCTTTACACCATCGGGAATTCTGTGAAGAAAACGCACAAGGTGCTCATCGTTGAGGAATGCATGAGAACCGGGGGCATCGGGGCGAGCCTTACGGCTGCAATTAATGAGAATTTTAACGATTATTTGGATGCTCCGATTGTTTGCCTGTCGTCGCAGGACGTGCCGACTCCTTATGCTGGGACATTGGAGGAGTGGACGGTCGTTCAGCCGGCGCAGATCGTCGCTGCCGTCGAGCAGCTCTGTGGGTAGTTTTTTAGCAATGGTTGTGGTACTTGCTTCTCCTTCGTTGCCTCTTTTACCATTGTTTCTTATCTCAAGCACTTTCTGTTTAGTTTTGCTGCTGCTGCTGCTGTGTTATTCATTGGAATGCTTTTTCTGTTAGCTTAATTTAAATGGTTATGAACATTGGAAGATTTAGAACACATGTTTCTGTGTTGATAAATCAAGTTTTGGATTTCCATCCTTTTGCTATGATCTCTCTAGTGATTTTAAAGTTCCAAAATTAGTTACATTTCCTATGTTTAGGAAGTTTGTTGCGCCGATATGAAAATGTGACATTATTTATTTATTTATCAAATAAATAATATGCATTTGCTAAATCCGTCATGCATAAAAATCAAATAAATAATATAAAAGGAACATCAACATAAATCTTTTATCAATTTTGATATTTATTATTTTTATAAAAAGTTTTTGTTGTTGTTTCTTTCCTCTCATATGAAGAGGACATTATATTATTAGGTTCACTTATTCTCTTATTTTTGTACTCCACGGTCACCGGTTTATCCTATACCACTAAGCCGGATCATGTATTCAGCATGCTGCGTATTATCTTACTTCATTTTTTGTATTATTGAATTTAAGTTGGCTGAGAGAATGAGATAAACATTGGTTATTTTTATACATTATCATAGCCAGAATTAAAATGAATTAAGGTTAACATTGATTTCATGGATAATTAATAAAATAATATAAATGTGTATTAAATTTAATTAATAAAATTTATATTATATAATTTGATTATGAATTTATATTATACCCAATATATGTGTATATTTAAATTTTTATTTATATGTATTATAGAAAATTTTATTCTCTTACATATTGTATATATTTTTTTACCATATAATTATTATAAATATTAAATAAATATAATATTTTAAAATAAAATTAAAAAATAAATAAATAAAAGTGACAGTTTTTTTCCCCTCTAAGATCGAAGACTTGTCGGGCGGACACATGCTGAATTGCTGATAATATAATTAATGAACACAGTAAACAAAGACAAGTATAGACATGGAAAATTAATTAAGGAAAATATTGAACTATGATTGTTTATTTCTTAAACACAGTCTTCAATATATAGCGACTGCTCAGATCCGATCAAGTGGATATATACAAATAGATATATATATATATATGAATTTATTTGTGAAATTAGCCCATAAACGTGAGTGTGCATTGATGCACGTACCAACTTACACGGTCTTTCATCTATATTTGAAGCCGTCCGCCGTTGATTGTACTTGTATCCCTCCACAAATAATATAAAAAAAATAATAATAATAATGTCATCGGCTGCCCGAGCCGTCGTTTTAATCCTCCTCTGCACCAGGAAAATTCAACGAGTATGGGAGAAATTAATCTCTTTATATATATATATATATATATGTAAATGGACGTTGATGCTATTTGTTTGAATTTCTCCAGGAGGCGGGAGATTGGGAAGACGAACGAAATCCATTGTAAAGCTTCCATCAGAGCCTGCCCGGAAGTTGGATCAAGATTACTACAAGGAGAAGATTCGAAAGAGTTTGAGGATCAGTGATAATAATGCTGAGCTGGAAGTGTCGCCGTCAGCGTATGATACAGCATGGGTGGCAATGGTGCCGGAGCTGGGGGAATATTCCGGAAGGTCTAGGCCTCGTTTCCAGCAGTGCCTCCAATGGGTAGTGGAAAACCAGAATGGGGATGGCTCCTGGGGACTCAATCCGGGCCACCCCTCCCTCTTTAAGGACTCGCTTTCATGCACTTTGGCATGCATCCTCGCCCTCCGTACATGGAACCTCGGCCATCGCCTTCTCCAAAGAGGTAATGAACTTACATGTTTAATGTCTGCAAATCCTAGATCTCTGTATTACAGTGATGTCTGTTGGATTTTGATTTTGTTTAAACTGTAGGTTTGGATTATATTGGATCGAATGCTTGGGCTGCCTCTTCTGCTGATCAGTTGTCTCCAATTGGATTTAATATCGTGTTTCCCGCCATGGTTGATCGTGCTCTCGAACTGGATTTAACTCTTCCATTAAGCCAGAGGCTGATCGATTCACTCATTCACAGTCGAGATTCTGAAATTGGGCTTTGCGGAAGAAATTATTCTAACTTGGCGTATGTTGCTGAAGGACTTGGCGACTATTGTGATTGGAAGCAGCTCTTAAACCATAGAAGAAGTAATGGTTCGTTGTTCGACTCTCCGGCCACCACTGCTGCTGCTCTGATTCGATACCCTGATGATCATAAAAGCTTTCAATACTTGGCTACAGTTGTGACTCTTTTGATGGATCGGGTGAGCTCAGCAAGATAATATATTCTGTCGAATTTAGCTCTTGATTACACGTTGTGTGTTTTGATGAATATTCATGCTCTTTCTTGTTATGAAGTACCCTGTGTCTATCCTATGCACATACGCACTCGTCTCCGTCTTGTTGACACCATGGAAAGGTTGGGAGTCAATTGCCATTTTAGAGATGAGCTTCACAATATTCTTGATGAAATATATAGGTAATAGATCTTTACTTCAATACCTACATAATCAAAATGCTTGCTGCATAACCAATTTCCACGGCAAACAGGGGTTGGCTGGCGAAAGACGAAGAGATATTCTCTGATATCAGTTGTCTAGCCATGGCATTTCGACTGCTACGAACCAATGGATATGATGTCTCATCAGGTTCAGTATTCTTCCATTGTCATTACATAATTCTTTCACTTTCAAATTAACAATAGTGTGTTGTTTTTTCATGTACCTCGATTAGACGAATTAGCTGCTTTTGTTGATGAGGAGAAGTTCTTTGATACATGTGGAATACAAAACACCAGCATCGCAACATGTCTAGAACTCTACCGAGCTTCACAACTGAGAATATACGAAGAAGAACAGATTTTGGAGAAAATTCTTACATGGACTAGAGAATTTCTGAAGAAACAAGTCTTGAACCAAAACATTCTGGACAAGAAACTATGTAGAGAGGTGATACTCTTGTCGATTTTCAGGGGAATGACCTCCTCATTCCTCAACAAACTAACTCGACTCAAATATTGTTTGGAACTTGAAAGGTGGAACATGACTTGAGGAATTTCTATGGAAAACTCGATCGAGTTAGTCATAGACGAACCATCGAATCATATGATGCTCAAGAATTTCAAATGCTAAAAACAGCATATAGGTGGAACCTCTCCTATAGCTGATATCTCCTTAATTTGATTGGATTTTTTGTCGATGCTAACTGCAATATTGTCTTGAACATTAGGCCTCGTACAATTTACAATGACGAACTTGCCATGTTCGCAGAGCAAGACTTCAGAATTTCCCAAGCACAGTATCAGGAAGAACTAAAACAAGTGCAGAAGTACAACAATTGCTTTTTTTTTTTTGACATGTTAGTATATATAACTAATGATGCATTGGGTGTCAATTGAAACAGGTGGTTCGTCGACTGCAATATGAATCGCTTGAAACAATCGAGGGACACTACGCTAGTTTCTTTGGCATTTGGTGCTGGTGTAATGGCTGACCCTGAATTAGCCCAGGCTCGTATAACCTTTGCTCAGTGCACGGTTCTCTCAACCGTGATTGATGATTTTATCGATAATTATGGATCCAAAGAAGAGTTTACCAGCCTCGTAGAGTTATTAAAAAAGTATGTTTTCTCCTTTCTTCTCTGTTACGCCGAAAAGTATGATTCTTGCTCAAACAAATCTTGCATCATCTGATTGCAGCTGGGATAAGCAGAAGCTGGAGGAGATCTCTTACAGCTCTAGAGAAGTAGAGATTATGTATACTGCAATATGCAAAACCATCGACGAACATGCAAAAAAGGCTTATGCCGTGCAAGGCCGTTGTGTTAAGCAAGAACTACACGAATTGGTACTACCTCATAATTAACAATATCCCTTCATCTCCTAGATTTATAACAATGATCATTAGTTTTACACTTTTTTTTTTTGTTGGAGCAGTGGCTTGAGGTACTTAAAGAGTTTCTAAATGAGAAGGGTTGGGGAGACAAGAAGATTACAACCATGGATCAATACATATCCACTTCTTGTATAACTACCACCGTGAAACTCTCGATTAGTTCGGCCAGTTATTTTCTAGGACACAAAATACCCGAGGGCTTATCATCAACTCCCGATTTCGCTACAATGTTGTACCACGCAAGCTTGGCCGGTTGACTCCTCAACGACATCAAGACTTACAAGGTAATCATAAGCCTTCATCTAACAATGTTTATATTTTAGGATTGGTGGATTCTAACAATGTATTTTTTGAGCTTTGAGCAGAGGGAGCAGAAAGAAGGTTGAACATCATCGGAATTCTGACAGCTGGAGGAGCTGTGTCGGAGGAGGAAGCTGTTTCGATGGCGCAGAGAATGAAAGAAGAGAGTCAGAGGAAAGTGTTGCAGATGGTTTGTCTGAGTAAGGGAAACATGGTTCCTAGAAGATGTCGAGAATTCATTTGGGGGATCTGTAAGATTGCTAATTGGGTCTACGCCGAAGATGGTGGCGACCAATTCTCGTCGCCGGAGAATATTGTCGAGGATATTAATGCATTGCTTTTGAAGCCACTCGACTCCAGAGGATTGTTGAAAGTTGAACTCGATGATGGTGAAATTCTGGAGCTTTCTACTGTCTGAAATTTTAAGAACTACATACATTATAGACAGAACCTTAGTACTTATAAATGATGCATTTATTATATTCGATTGAACGATATATTTGGTTTAAAAACATGACTTTGGAGGCTGCTTCTTAAGATTTCTGCTCAATTTGAAGGTTTCTTCTCAAGAAGATTCATAAGGAAATCATAATACTTAAGTGGATCGGGCACAGACTTTACGACGCTATCCCTCTCCCGGCATCGGCTGCTCCACGCCGCCAGTTTAGGACATTCGGCACTTAGGCTAAAGTTGCCACACTTCTCCCAGGTGTAGAACATGGTGGAGAATGATACGAGGTTGATGTCGGCAAGGCCAAATGCATGGCCTCCCAAGTAAGGTTTGTCGCCAAGCTCCGATTCGATCGTCTTGAGGCACTCGATCAGGTGCTCCGTTGCCCCCTCTTGGCCTACCGGCCACAGTTTCTTTGCAGCATTGTATATCTACAAATATACATACTAATAATTAAGATATACTAACATATATTTTGATATGTAGAAATATATGTCTATCCACCTCTTCATTTCAATTCACTCCATAATTGATTCTAAAAATCATGAATTTAATTTAATTTTTCTATAATTAAATTCTATTGATTGACTGTTCCAGGAACTCTCCAAGACTCCACATTTCCAAATAAGATCTAAACACAACCTTAAAATATTGGATTTGATCTTCTTTGAAATCAATATTTCATCACCATCATTCTAAACCTCTTCATCCAATTATCCAAATCCGTTTAGAAACCACTCTTAAACAAAAATTTTCTGGAAAAGAAATTAAAATTGATGAGAAAACCCTACCCTAAATAAGAAAATGTAGTTCAATTTGTGTCCCAGTGAAGGAGCAATTGGATTTCATTTATGTTTGGGGGGATAAGAAGTTGACCTTCTTGTCCATGTAGTCGGCCCAAAACCTGGCTCGAGATCGCTGGTAGGGATCGGCGGGGAGCAGAGGCGTTGTCGTTGTCCAGGTCTCGTCGACGTATTGGATGATGGTGGTGGATTCGCAGATGGGTTTCCCGTTGTGGATGAGGACAGGCACTTGCTTATTGATAGGGTTCATCTCCAGCAGCAGTGAAGATTTGTTGACCAAATCCTGCTCTATCGACTCAAACTCCAATCCCTTCTCTCTCAGAGCTATTCGCACTCTTGCAGCAAAGGGGCTGTTCCATAAGTCCAGAACAATCACCTCATCATCTTCCCCCATTGATCTGATCCGATCCTATCCTATCCTATCCGAGCTCTCTCTTATAATGGGGTCACGACTTATCCTACTGTTTTTTTTTTTTTTTAAATTAAGTAGAGAAATTGGGCTAAAAACAAACAAACAAAAAAAAATTGTATAGAGGGCGGCGGTGGATGAACATGTTGAAGGAGCAAGTGGGGAACATAATTAAATGTGTGTAGAAAGAAAATCATTAATTTTAATTTTAGTACTTTTATGTTATAATATTATTAAATAAGTGTAATAGCTGACTCTGAATTAACTCGGGCTTTATTTAATTTGAGCCCAAAAATTGTTGGAGCTCATGTGACCGATATAGCCGGAGAATATTGTCGATGATATAAATGCATTGCTTGTTAAGGAGTAGATTCCAATATGATGTAATATTTTAGTCCCAACTAAAGTTAGGAAGAAATGTATTTATTACATTCGATTGGACGAAATTATTTCGTTTAAAACATATTGCAAGTATTCGGAGGCTTCTTCTTAAGATTTTTTCTCAATTTGAAGCATTGTTCTTAAAATTCATGAAGAATTCATATATCTTATGTGGATCGGGCAGAGACTTTGCGACGCTATCCCTCTCCCGGCACCGGGTGATCCACGTCGCCAATTTAGGACATTCGACACTTAGGCTAAAATTGCCACACTTCTCCCAAGTGTAGAACATGCTCGAGAATGATACTAGGTTGATGTCCGCAAGGCCAAATGTGTCGCCTCCCAAGTATGGCTTCTCGCCAAGCTCTAGTTCGATCGTCTTGAAGCACTCGATCAGTTGTTCGGTTGCTCCCTCTTGGTCTACCCACAATGCCTTTGCGACATTGTATATCTACAAAATAATGCAAATGTTATTCAAATTTATGCTCATAATTTATTTTTTTTGTAATATTTTTATTTATTTTAATTTTTAATTTTTACCATAAAAAATGAACAAGTATTATCCATATTTAATAAAATTTGTACTTAAATCAAATAAATATAATTTTCGATAACAAATAGAATAATAATTAGTGTAGTCTATCCACCCTTGGGCCATATAAAAATTATTTAGAAACCCACGCTCTCTTTATATTTACTTTTTCTCAATATATTTTTCATATAGACTTCACAATATTAATAAATACTTTTTTCAACATATATTTTATTAAATCTCCTTATAATTTAAAGTATTTTATTTATTATACATTTACCTCATAATCACCGAACGTATAATATTAATCCATCTATCCGCCCAAATTATATTACATGACATCATTTTGACAAGCAGAAATAGTAACATTCATAGAATATTCTTAAATAGTTTTTTATATTACCATCAATAGTATACGTATGTATTTTATATATTTAAAACGTGATTTTATTTAGCATGTTATGTAAAAAATAAAATCATCGTAGTATTCTTTTTACAAATATATATTTTCACACATTTTATGAAATATTAATTGTTACTATTTTTTAAAATTGTTCAAAAATATAAACGGAGCTAATATCATCTTATTATGATTTTGACTGTTCCATGAACTGATCTTCCAAGACTCTACATTTCCGAACACAACCTTAAAGAGTTGATTCTGATCTTTAATTTGAAATCAATTCATCGTCATCATTCCTAATCTCTTCATCCAATTATCCAATCCCATTAAAAAACCCCTCTTCAATAAAATACTGATAACAAACAATATCAAAAAAAGAAAAAAAAGACAAAAACCCTTCTTGAAAAGAAATTAAAACTGATGAGGAAACCCTAACCTAATAAGAACAAACACTGCAATTTAGGTCCCAATGAACCAACAATTGAATTTCATTTATGTTTGGGGGATAAGAAGTTGACCTTCTTGTCTATGTAGTCGGCCCAAAACCTGGCTCGAGATCGCTGGTAGGGATCGTCGGGGAGCAGAGGCGTTGACGTTGTCCAGGTCTCGTCGACGTACTGGACGATGATGGTGGATTCGCAGATGGGTTTCCCGTTGCGGATGAGGACAGGCAATTGCTTATTGACAGGGTTCATCTCCAGCAGCAGTGAAGATTTGTTGACCAAATCCTGCTCTATCGACTCAAATTCCAATCCCTTTTCTCTCAGAGCTATTCGCACTCTCGCACCAAAGGGGCTGCTCCAAAAGTCCAGAACAATCAGCTCATCGTCTTCCGCCATTAATGATCTGATCTGGATCTCTTTAAGTTTTAGGTTTTAATGGGTTAGCTGCACAGATTGCAGCGAATTAATTATAATGGGGTCACGAAGAAGTAATATATTACTATAATATTGTGTTTTTTAATTAAGTAGGATTTAATTTTACTTGCCAAACTTGGGCTAAAAGGAAAAGATACTCGGAAGGGCGGTGGCGGATGAACAAGTGGGGACAATAATTAAATGTGTGTAGAAAGAAAATCATTAACTTTACTAGTTGTTTTTCTGAGAAATCTTTTTATTCTTTTTAAATATCTTAGATATTTAAAATTATGTCAATCGAAAACAATTTTTTTTTTTTTAAAAAAAAAGGATAAAAATGAAATAAAATAATAAAAAAATATAGTTTTTATTAAAAAACAAAATTATTTTTAAATAAAAATATAAATATAAATTTGAATGACTATACATAAAAAGTGTGTTTGATTTGTGTTTTAATATTTTTTAAAAGTAAAATATATTTATAATATATTAATTTTTTGTTAAAAGGAAAAAAAAAAGAAGAAGCCAAGATTAGGACTGCCACCTCTTAAATGATCCCAGTTCTTCTCATAAATAAGGCTGATGTTACAGTCATTAATTATAATCAGCACATTACGTGGCAATATATAACTATAGTCCACGCAACATATTAATCGTAATCTCAATATTATTAACTTGTCGAACCTAGTTAAGTTCCATTCGAAATTTATCTAAAGATTATTTAAAGAGTAGTGACGACAAACGTCAAATATTCATATAATATTTAAATATAAAATTAATTTTTACAATAACATAAAAAAATTTAAATGTTTGATTAATTTTTTATTTAAAAATTTTAATTCTTTTAGTAAATAGTAGTAGATAATTTAAACAGCCCTAAACCAAACGGAACCTAAACATATATGTCACTCGTTGTCTAGACTATTCGAAAGACTACTGATTGCACACCCCATCCTTCTCAAATCTTCAGTTCCGTGTCTTCGTGAAGTAAAAAGAAAACACCATTGATGACGTCAGCCATGAGATATACATAGAGTTTGTGTGTGTGTGTGTATGTATGTATATATATACACCCCCACCGATCCAATTCATCCATATAAACAGACAATAATCATATATATAATTCTTAAGAGAGATCTCTGGAAGCTAAGCAAGAATGGGTGATGATGAGGTGATTGTGCTGGGCACTGTCTTCAGCATGTTCTCCATGAGAGTTCGAGTGGCTTTGTCTGAGAAGGGCATCAAGTATGAGTACAGGGAAGAGGATTTGGGCAACAAAAGCCCCCTTCTCCTTCAGACAAATCCTATCCACAAGAAAATCCCTGTCCTCATCCACAACGGGAAGCCCATCTGTGAGTCCTTGATAATTCTCGAGTATATCGATGAGGTCTGGAAGGATAAGTCTCCATTATTGCCCTCTAATCCCTACCAGAGAGCTCAGGCCAGATTCTGGGCCGATCTTGTCGACAAAAAGGTACAATAATCTTGCAATTAAGCTATATATATATATGTTTTTTTTCCAACATGAAAACGAAAAAGTGAATTATCGACATATATATCTATATATATATTTAATGATAAGATTTACGAGATTGTTTATTATGTACTAAAGCCATATCTTTAGTTATTGAACTAATCATATATATTGGATATATATATATGTATGTATATAGGTATATACTTCAGCAAGCAATATTTGGAGGAAGAAAGGGGAAGAGCTAGAGGAAGGCAAGAAAGAATTCATCGAGGTTCTAAAGTTGTTTGAGGCAGAGTTAGGGGACAAACCTTATTTTGGAGGCGATCGCTTCGGATTTCTCGACGTGGCCCTCGTGACTTACTACAACTGGTTCCAGGCGATCGAGATTTGTGGCAACATTAGCATCAAGGAGCATTGCCCGAAGCTTATGGCATGGGGCGAACGCTGCATGGAGAAGGAGAGCGTCGCTAAGTCTGCAGCTGATGTCAAGACGGTTTGCGACTTTATTATGGTTCTCAAGAAGAGGAATGGTGTTGCTTAGCTCCTTCACCTTCATACTGTTGAGTTCTGCAAACATAAATAATATGGCTGTATTGTTGCACTCTTTATGTTGCATTTGATCATATCAGAAATATATATGTAATAAATGGTAGTTTTGCTTACATGTGATGTTTTATTTGTGATTGAATGAAAATCCGAGCTTTGGATCATCCTACATATAAATGTTCTAAAGGCACCGTACTCTTCTTTAAGAAATATGGTAAGCAATGAACAACGAACACAAACACAAACACAAACACGAGGTTATAGAAAGTTTCCAATGATGGATAGTATAAGACTATAAGTATAATGTGTCCCAATAAGGCAAATTCTGCACAATTTCTACAAATAATGCCAAAATTGAGTATCTCAGCTTCACATTTGGCCTAATATCCATTGCATTTTAAACAACAAATGAAACGCAAGTGTTACCCATAAACTGAACCTAGTCTTTGCGCTGCTTCTCCAATGGCGGATGGCTTGTGTCCGCTGCTCATGTAGATTTATAAATACCGGCATACAACATTATCCCTCGAAGCCATATATATTATCTCGGAGGACAATTTTTCTCGTAGACCTGAGAACTTCCTAAAAATGTGTATTCCTTGTTTCTTGATTGGAAGTTGATGTTGAAACCAGTGGGATCGACTCAGTAGCAGGTTCATCCGTGGTTACTCGTGAAGCTTCCTTCTTTAGCTTGTAGTTGTTGTATGCAGCTACACCTGCAATAGCTGCAATTGCAAATGCTTTCATTACAACAATCTCTAAGGAGACAGAGGAAAGTAGAACCATGGAATTTAAAAATTAGCTGTAAACATTGTTTGTACCGATGGCATAGCCCAGCAGATTGATAAATGTCAATTTCGTGTCTGCAAAAAGAAGGGCTGAGAGAAGAACCACCACCCAGTCCTTCACAACACCAGCCACACGAATGGTCAAAGCACTCGTATGCGAAATTACGAGGAAGACTGAAAGGTTGAGGGCAAAAGTACAGAGGGAGTTAAGACACAAAACGAAAGGTTTGAAGCTCCACGTCCCCTGCGCTTCCATCTTAGGCCTCTCCAGGAAGAGCCATGGAACGAAGAGGCAAATGGCACTGTAGTAGGAACAGAAGTTCACTTAAAAGTGTAACACAGTGGCAAATTGCAAATTGCCTACCCATAAAACATAGAACATTTAGGAAATGCCATCTAAAATAGTCAGCAAATATCCAGTTGTGCTCGGTGAAAACTTGAAGAAAAACCCACAGAAGAACTCTCAGAAATTTCTAATGGGAAAATAAATTGCATCAATTTAAAAGCATGGAGTTATGGCAGCATTTCTTTAAAAAAAAAAAAAGTATTTCACAGGAGACAAATGTGTAATTTAACAAATTTTTATCATGTTCCAATATTTTAGAGGATAGAGAGCGTGCCTGCAGGGGCTGACGTAGTACATCATAGATATAGGATTTAGTTTTAGGCCCTTCCGCTTCACAAAAATCTCCACGAATATTAGCCTCAGAGCTTCTCCGACCACACCTCCCATTTGGTAAACTACGCCAATCCAGCTAATACTTATTTCACCATAAGAAGCTACCAATACACCAAAACTGATAATCGACATTATCAGAAGCATCTTGCAACTCATGACTTCAAGTCCAGCCAATACACCAAGAACGAAAACAGCAACTGGCACTATAGACGCCACAAATAATGAAGACCAACAACACAAGTACAAGATAAGTTACAGCTTTTCCGCCAGTGTTAAATAAAATGCCAATGACCACACTAATGAAAATAGCCAGAACATACGTACTGATTGCTTTCAACATTTGAGCGAATGCCACCGATATATACAGGTAAGCAGTGTTCCCAAGCCAAAGTGTCATTGCAAACATAGCACCAATAGGGATGACAGAGGATATGTATCTGTAAAATCAGCACTAATGCTTTTAATAATAGCATATAGCATTTATCAAATCAGCTTGGAAAATATGCAAGTCGAATAAAATTGAAAGGCATGGTTATAGAAAATAATAATATTAAGGTTAAGTCATCAAGGTAAAGGCACAAAATGGTATTTCAGAATTTCTCTAGAATCAGCTAAGTGTTGGGGTTATTGGTCTTACCAAAATTTGAATATAGAAATCTACCTATTGAGTTGGGAAGGAAAGTGTCCCTAAAGGGTGAGGAGTAGGTATTGTATATCTTTCATTCCATTTAATTTCTCTAATGGTTTCGGAGGCAAATACTTCAATTATATCTGCCCTTACACTTGGTGTGTATATTTTTGTTTAAGAATATACATAGAAACCAAATTAACATATTAAGATAAGAGCATGAAATGATGCCAAAAGTAAAAAAAATAAAAATAAAAATACGTGTGTATCAAAAGGAAAGAAGACTCACATATCCAATGTCATTCCTTCCTCAACCTTCATTATCTGAAAGAATTCCAAATTAATATTCTACTAATACTTTATAATGAGAAGCATTTGAATGATAAAGCTAAATTTAAGAAAAAGTACCTTAAGAACTTTGATAGGTACAATACATAAAACAGAGGAGAAGATCATGTGAAGCAGGGTTAATCCAAGAGGATAAGGGAAGTTTATTTCCTTCGACGACAGAACCCACTGCATTCAGTACAATAAGGATTTACCAATTGTCAATGTAACAGATATTAAAACCAAACATCCACATCAAACAGGAAATATAGCCAACATGATTCCTCAAGATCCAATTTTGTAATAAATGCTATCTACTGACAGGATCTTGGGTTTCATTAGTAATGAGGATTAAAATGATCACATATGATCGATCAAAGACATATTCAACTACCAAAATATATTTTGTATCCTTTCTGAATGTTCTCTTGCTATCATAATGCAAAATTTATGATAATAATTTAATGAAAGGCAACATCATATAGCAGCATACACAGCGCATTGATTAGGAATAGAACGACACACCGGCAAGGTTTTTGCACTAACTAGAGTTAAATGCAACTGAGACATAGGTCAGCAATTCTGGAAATTTTTGGATGACATCAGTCCATGAAGCATTTAGAATTGGAAAATAATGTATGGCTAGTGTCCAAACCATAACAATCCAGACAGATTAAGGATTAGCAACAAGCACTTAGAGCTTATGGAAATCCCTCATTGCATAAAATCAAAATAGACATGATGACATGAATAAACATTTCAGAAAGTAACAGGAGCTCAAAAATGAAATGACCATCCAACAAATTAGCTTCAGTTTGGCTTAAGAATAATATCCCATGGAATCCACCTTATTTTCCCCAAAATATCCATTGGAGAGAGTGCTAAATTCATAGTCCATAGCTATGAAAAGCGCAATAAAAAAACCCTACCACATGCTCGACTAAATGCTGAATAACAGAAAAATTAACAGCGAATTCCACTGTGATAAATGCAGAAGTTAACAGTTTTAGGGCAAGAACCTTGTTGTAAAAGATCTGCCCGCTGGACAGGGCTATGTAGAGGAGAATGTAGGCGTAAGTCACAAACTCTTCTCTGAGCCATTTTCTGCTGCGATCTGCCATTGTTTGGATCCAAGGATGAAACCCTAATGACTGAATACAACCTGAATCCAAAACCAAAACCAAAACCAAAACCAAAACCCAGAGGCGAAATTAGACGGGAAAATTGGGGATTAAGGGTAAAGAGAGGATTTGGGTTTGCAAGTCTCTCATTGGCGTTTGACTTGGAAAGGGCGAAAAAAACCCCAAACAGTAGATCGCAGGTGAAATCTAGGCGATCGACAGTGAAGGCGCGGAGGGTGCTGCGTCGTCGACGATGGACTGCACTGATCCGCACAGACGTGTGTATAATATGTTGGAATTAAACTGAATAGAGGAATTGGGAATGAGAAAGAACTCGTTCACTGTTATTGATTATTATTTGATTAAACGAAGGAAATGAAAGTGTCTGAACGAAGGAAATGGAAGTGTCTGATGAAATATAGGCAAGTTGCGGCTGTGATATAAAACAAACATTGCTAAAAATAAGGAAAAGATAACATCCAGTTCTAAGACCAAGTCTTTTCAATTATTTTATTTTAACAAATCAATTTTCAGTAATTTTCTCAACATAATATACCGTGGATTTCTAAGCAATTACTTCAAAATGCAGAAATTTGACTATACAAGCTAAAGTTGAATAAAGAACCACAACAACGATGTTTCTTAAAGGAATGGAGTCGTTCGTGAACTCGGTTTTTTTTCGATTAAAATTCGTTCGCAGACATTAAAGAGTCTAGCCGAACAATATTAGTAGAAGAAAATAATATTTTGGAAAATGCCAATTTTGATACCAAAAAATGCTTGTCTATTTTGGTCGCAAATTAGCATGGAGAGCTTTCGCAATCCTATACGATTGAAGGTATCGACTTTGGTATACACTTTTACGATACACACGATTTATGTTATCTTTGGAGTACGCATGAACGTATGTCAATAAGTTTAAAATTTATACTTGCACGTTTTCTTATACATAAGTTGAGAATAAACGTTTTCACGGCATTGCTACTGGGCCTTATGTCACTCAATTGACAAAAGGTTCTGGGGTATTCGATGGAATGATGGAAAAACCTTGCGGTATTTTGATGGTGTGTAGTTTTCGCATATTACAGTTGATGGGTATAATTACAAAAATCAAAACACAAAGAGGAAGATAGCAATTTGTATTGGTTGATAGAGTTGGTGAAACAATGGATCAGGACGATCCTACTCAGGTGCAACGAAGTCGAGCGAGTTCAGTCCCGTGTTCGCCGGTTTTAGGAAACCATACGGTATTTGCATACGTCAAGTTTGATCAAGTCGATGATATGTAGTTTTAGATTATATTATTATTATTATTATTATATATCTACTCTGATGTCATGTGTTGTTAATTTTCATAATGTAATACACGATGAACGAGCTTTAATGATATTACGTCATTCTTTAATTAAATATAATATACTATTAGTAAATAAAATGGCGAAAATAGAGTTTAAATTTCGGGGGTAAAATATCTATATTTATTTAATATTTAATTAATAAATTAAAAAAATAATGTAATCACATATAAATTTAAACAATTTCCGGAGCAAATTGTATGGATTGTGGCAAAATAAATTTTAACAGTATATAAAACATAAATCAAATAAATATATATTAAAAAATATAAGTATTATGCAAAATAATAATTTATAAATTATTATATATATATTATTTTTTAAGAACATATGTAAAAATTGTATAGGAATAAAACACATTTATTTATTTTTTCTTGATCGGAAAAAAAAAAAAAAAAACACATTTATTTTGATAGATGACCAAATGGCGTGGCGCCGCCCGAATTCTGCTGAGATCTGCTCGTATACCCACCCTAACAAGAACCCGAAAATAGCCGTTGGAGCTGGAATTAATATAACACTGCTTCGTGAACACCCTCAGTACATTATTCATAAAAATTCTAATTTGTTATGGGATTTATTGAGATTTTTTACTATTTATTAAATTCTTTTACTAAGAAGTATCTAATTAAATATTTATACCCTGCGTGAAAATGTGAAATGATGACAAACAAATCAGACAAGATTGGTCTGAAACCCCCATTTACTACCAATCACTTGTATTGCGAATTATGATTCTTGGTCACATATACATAAAACACACACCCCAATACATTTATACATAAGATTCTTCGATTTCCTTTCTTGTTAAAATGGAAACCCACAAGAGAAGGACTGAGAGTGAGCCGACATAGAACAAGACATTGAGAAGAAGAAGATGATGATGAAAGGACGATACAGTACTTTCCAGAAAAATAAAATAAAACGTGGATAAAAAATTTTAGCCCATAGAGAGGGGATGAGAGAACGAAGCAGTGAGAAGCACAGAAGAAGCATGTGGTAGAGAGCAGCCCAGTTGCCCCTCTAATCGGATGGGGTTTCGAATTGTAGCCTCCAAATGCTCATCCTCAATTCTTTTGTCATCACCTCTTAATTTGTCTTCTTCCTTTAATTTCCCAACCCTAATCTTGGATTTTTAATTTTTCAGTTTTTTCGAGTATTTTATTGGTCAGTTTTTTTCTTGGTTCACTAACTTTTCAGGTCTATCCATTTGCAACAATAATACATAACTAGTATCCCTCTTCAGTGTTGCTCTTCTCATTTCTCTTCAGCCCTCAGGTCTGCTCCTCTCTCTTCTCTATCTTTTTCTCTCCGTCTGCCTCTGTTTTTTCTCAGACAAGATTTGATTGGTAGTAATGGTTATTTGCTTAGAATGGTGGATTTGCTTGTGGATTGTCTCAATTTTTAAATTCATTTTGATTGAGTTAATGATGCAGAGTCGCTGTTTTGATTCATTTTGTTTGGGTTTTACACATTACATGCATATTTGGTCTTATAAACATGAGGTTATTTGTGTGTATATATATATATTGATCATATATGTTTGGTGATAGTTTTTTAGGCTTAAGCTAGTTGTTCATGTTGTTGAAGGGGTATGTGACATGTATTATGTGTATCTATCCTTGTTTGATCCAGATTTTCGAAGGGGACTTTGAGACGCCGGCTGCGACGATGGGGGAGATTACGAATGTGATGGAGTATCAGGCTATTGCCAAGCAAAAATTGCCGAAAATGGTGTATGACTACTATGCATCTGGTGCAGAAGATGAGTGGACTCTGGCCGAGAATCGGAATGCATTCTCCCGGATTCTGTAAGTCATCATTGGTTATATATATATATATGTGAAATTTTCAACTTCGTTTTGTGCATCTCCCTCAGTTTGTGCATAAGGTGTATTGTAGACACGAAAGATCGAAATAAAGGTTGTTGTATGTTGAGAAACTAAAACAAGTTAATTGCAAGAGTGACATATGTTTGCTTTTTAGTTTAAACTTGTAGACAAGCTGTTATTTGATGGTATGATCCGATTTATGGGTTGTTTTATGTCGTGATAATTTGAAGTGTTGTTGTGACAAAAATCGTTCAGGTTTAGGCCCCGTGTCCTGATTGATGTAAGCAAGATCGACATGACTACCACTGTCCTTGGCTTCAAGATTTCGATGCCAATCATGATTGCACCATCTGCTATGCAGAAAATGGCTCATGTTGATGGTCAGTATCGATGATATCTGTTCGTAGTTTGCGTATAACAGTCTATAACCAGTAGTTATCTTGATTTGGTGAATACCGGAATGGCGAAGTTCAGATTAATTATTTCATGAATAAAAGTCCAGTTTCTGTGATCATACGTCACACTTGGATATGGATTCTGTATTTGGTGTTTATTCATATTTATTTTGTCGGTTATGTTATGCAACAGGAGAGTATGCAACAGCAAGAGCTGCATCAGCTGCAGGAACAATCATGGTTCGGATTCTCTCCTTGTTCGATTTCTTGCGTATAAACCAAGACTACATAGATATTTGTCTTAAAATTCCTAAGATTTGGGAACAATCTGATTTGAGAAGTATTCATTTTCATAGCCTTTGTATTTCTCTCCGTTGAATCGAATGAATGGTTGATATTTTATTTCAGACATTGTCATCCTGGGCTACTTCCAGTGTTGAAGAAGTTGCTTCGACTGGACCAGGCATTCGATTCTTCCAGCTTTATGTAAGAATGAGGCTATGTTTACAACACACGCCGAACCTGAAACACTGTTCCCTGTCTGATTATTTTGAGTCATTGAAATAATGTTTAGGTCTACAAGGACAGGAATGTGGTGGCTCAGCTCGTAAGGAGAGCTGAAAAGGCCGGTTTTAAGGCGATTGCGCTCACTGTGGATACTCCAAGACTCGGACGCAGAGAGGCTGACATCAAGAACAGGTGCAGACATTAACTCGACACATCGTATCAAATCAATGATCAATCACCTAATGATCGTATTACAATTTCTTGAAGGAACTCATGATTTGCTTGTGTACAGATTCACTTTGCCGCCTCATCTGTCTCTGAAGAATTTTGAAGGTTTGGACTTGGGGAAGATGGACAAAGTATGTGTCCCAATTACATTCTTAATTTAGCGCGAAATAAATATACATGGACATGGTTGATGTTATTCTCAACTCAAATCTTCAATGCAGGCTGATGACTCTGGATTGGCCTCATATGTTGCTGGCCAAATTGATCGAACTTTGAGCTGGAAGGTACATTTATAAATTGAAAATGTTGAAGGTTTCGCAAACAGGGGAGGCTGTATATTTGAAAAACTCTATGGATATTGATACCATGTTGTCTGAACATCGACAGGATGTGAAGTGGCTCCAATCGATTACCTCGTTGCCCATCCTGGTTAAGGGCATAATCACTGCTGAGGATAGTAAGAGACGGCATCTCGTCATTTTTCCTTCAGTATTCATGCTTTTGTGTGTATTCATTTTCTCGTCTTGAATGTATCGAACAGCAAGGATTGCCATCCAGAATGGAGTTGCCGGGATTATTGTATCCAACCATGGCGCTCGCCAGCTCGACTATGTTCCTGCGACCATTGAGGCTCTGGAAGAGGTATCGTCTCTACTAATTTCCTATCACTTTGTATTCTCCCTCTCGCTAATCCTTGTCCCGAAATTTAGGTCGTGAAAGCTGCTCAGGGTCGCCTCCCGGTTTTCTTGGATGGCGGGGTTCGACGTGGGACAGATGTCTTCAAGGCCCTTGCACTTGGTGCTTCCGGCATCTTCGTAAGTTTGTTCGATCCTATGTTCATGAAGCTCACGACAAATATCGATCTTATATTTGTTACATTGCTATATGCATGCGATGGAAGAAATGCTTAAGTTTTGTAATATTTACTAACTTTAATCTCGAAAATGATTCGAAACATGGTAGGATTTTACCTAAACCCCTTTTATCTTTTTCTCGAAGAACCATTGATGGTATTCATTCGATATTATCTGGCTCTCATTTCGTAATTTAACGATAGAAAGATATATTCATTCGATGCTAGATTGGGAGACCGGTGTTGTTTGCATTGGCTACTGAAGGGGAAGCCGGCGTGAGGAAAGTACTTCAGATGTTGCACGACGAGTTTGAACTGACGATGGCATTGAATGGCTGCACGTCTCTGAGCGATATTAATCGCAACCACATCAAGACCGACTGGGATGCCTCTCCGCTCCCGGCTGCTCGGCTGTAAATATATTACGCATGGCGAAGTCGTTCCGATATGTGGAAATCTGGAGATTTTCATTCGATTATAAGAACTTAGCAATGCCACTCATTGTTACTTGTATTGTAAAAACCATACACTTTTGGGGTCTGATACATACACAAGCACATACGTATATGTATGTATGTATGTGTCTGTGTTTCTCATAAATAGCCATGGCTGCCTATATATGTTTGATTTCTGACTCGTCTTCTTCATTGCTCAACTGGTTGCAGTCTGAGGGATCGGAGCTCGAGTGGCTCCCAAATCAACGCGTTAATATCCTCGACAATTTTATCCGGCGACGTGAATTGATCGCAGCCATCTCCGTTGTAGAGCCAATTAGCAATCTTACATACCCCCCACAAAAATTCTTTACATCTTCTAGGAACAATGTTGCCTTTACTCAGACAAAGCATCTGCAACATTTTCCTCTGACTGTCTTCTCTCATTCGCTGCGCCGTCGAAATGGCTTCCTCCTCCGAGACAGTTCCTCCTGCTGTCAGCATGGAGATGAAGTTCAAAGCACCTTCTTCCTGTTCCCTCTGCACGAAACTCAAAAATTACAAACTTTAATCCACCTTTTCAATCTTAAATTTTGTTAGAACATAGTTGGGTGAAGGTTTTATATTACTTTGTAACTCTTGACATCGTTGAGAAGTCGACCAACCAAGCTTGTGTGGTACCACATAGTATAGAAATCGGGAGTTGATGATAAGCCCTCGGGTATTTTTTGTCCTAGACCATAGGTGGCCGAGACAGTCAAGAGTTTGGCGATGGACGTTATACGAGAAGTGGATATGTATTGATGCATGGTTGTAATCTTCTTGTCTCCCCAACCCTTCCCATTTAGAAATTCTTCAAGTAACTCAAGCCACTGCTCCAACAGACAAATGATCATTGCCATAAATGATGAGATGAAAAGGAATTTTTTGTGGATGTTCATGAAATAGTAGCAATAGGTAGAATGAAGTGCTAATTATGACGTGGTACCATTTCGTGAAGTTCTTGCTTAATACAACGGCCTTGCACGGCATAAGCCTTTTTCGATTGTTCATCTATGGTTTTGCATAAAGCAGTATACATTATCTTTACTTCTCTAGAGCTGTCAGAGATCTTCTCCAGGTTCTGCTTATCCCAGCTGCAATCAAATGATGGTAATTAGATTTGTTTGGACAAGAATCATAATTTTTGGCATAACATGCAAGAGAGGAAAATCATACTTCCTTAATAATTCCACAAGTCTGATCGACTCTTCTCTGGATCCATAATCATCGATAAAATCATCAATCACAGTTGTAAGAACCGAGACTTGAGCAAAGGCTATACGAGCCTGGGCTAATTCAGGGCCAACCATAACACCAGAAGCAAATGCTGACGAAACTAGTGACGTGTCCCTCGATTGTTTCATGCGATCCATATTGCAGTCGACGAACCACCTGTTTTAATCGACACCCAATGCATCATTAGTTACATACACAGAGCTATATGCAGTAAAAAAAAAAAGGCATCTGTATCTTGTTTTGTATCCATTTTACTTCTGCACGTGTTTTAGTTCTTCCTGGTATTGTGCTTGGGAAACTATGAAATCTTCCACTGCCAACATGGCAAGTTCGTCATTGTAAATTGTACGACACCTAATGTTCAAGACAATATTGCAGTTAGCATCGACAAAAAATCCAATCAAATTAAGGAGATATCAGCTATAGGAGAGGTTCCACCTATATGCCGTTTTTAGCATTTGAAATTCTTGAGCATCATATGATTCGATGGTTCGTCTATGACTAACTCGATCGAGTTTTCCATAGAAATTCCTCAAGTCATGTTCCACCTTTCAAGTTCCAAACAATATTTGAGTCGAGTTAGTTTGTTGAGGAATGAGGAGGTCATTCCCCTGAAAATCGACAAGAGTATCACCTCTCTACATAGTTTCTTGTCCAGAATGTTTTGGTTCAAGACTTGTTTCTTCAGAAATTCTCTAGTCCATGTAAGAATTTTCTCCAAAATCTGTTCTTCTTCGTATATTCTCAGTTGTGAAGCTCGGTAGAGTTCTAGACATGTTGCGATGCTGGTGTTTTGTATTCCACATGTATCAAAGAACTTCTCCTCATCAACAAAAGCAGCTAATTCGTCTAATCGAGGTACATGAAAAAACAACACACTATTGTTAATTTGAAAGTGAAAGAATTATGTAATGACAATGGAAGAATACTGAACCTGATGAGACATCATATCCATTGGTTCGTAGCAGTCGAAATGCCATGGCTAGACAACTGATATCAGAGAATATCTCTTCGTCTTTCGCCAGCCAACCCCTGTTTGCCGTGGAAATTGGTTATGCAGCAAGCATTTTGATTATGTAGGTATTGAAGTAAAGATCTATTACCTATATATTTCATCAAGAATATTGTGAAGCTCATCTCTAAAATGGCAATTGACTCCCAACCTTTCCATGGTGTCAACAAGACGGAGACGAGTGCGTATGTGCATAGGATAGACACAGGGTACTTCATAACAAGAAAGAGCATGAATATTCATCAAAACACACAACGTGTAACCAAGAGCTAAATTCGACAGAATATATTATCTTGCTGAGCTCACCCGATCCATCAAAAGAGTCGACAACTGTAGCCAAGTATTGAAAGCTTTTATGATCATCAGGGTATCGAATCAGAGCAGCAGCAGTGGTGGCCGGAGAGTCGAACAACGAACCATTACTTCTTCTATGGTTTAAGAGCTGCTTCCAATCACAATAGTCGCCAAGTCCTTCAGCAACATACGCCAAGTTAGAATAATTTCTTCCGCAAAGCCCAATTTCAGAATCTCGACTGCGAATGAGTGAATCGATCAGCCTCTGGCTTAATGGAAGAGTTAAATCCAGTTTGAGAGCACGATCAACCATGGCAGGAAACACGATATTAAATCCAATGGGAGATAACTGATCAGCAGAAGAGGCAGCCCAAGCATTTGATCCAATATAATCCAAACCTACAATTCAAACAAAATCAAAATCCAACAGACATTACTGTAATACAGAGATCTAGAATTTGCAGAAATTAAACATGTAAGTTCATTACCTCTTTGGAGAAGGCGATGGCCGAGGTTCCATGTACCGAGGGCAAGGACGCATGCCAAAGTGCATGAAAGCGAGTCCTTAACGAGGGAGGGGTGACCTGGATTGAGTCCCCAGGAGCCGTCCCCATTCTGGTTTTCCATTACCCATTGGAGGCACTGCTGGAAACGAGGCTTAGACCTGCCGGAATATTCCCCCAGCTCCGGCACCATTGCCACCCACGCCGTATCATACGCAGACGGCGACATTTCCAGCTCAACATTATTACCACTCCTCAAACTCTTTCGAACCTTCTCCTTGTAGTGATCTTGATCCAACTTCCGGGCAGGCCGGCTCGTTGCCGGAACCTTTAGGGTAGATTTCGTCCGTCCACCTATGCTGCCGCCTCCTGGAGAAAGAAGTTAACCAGGACATGCATATACATATACATATATATATGTATATACACACACATACATACCATGAGAAATTTGGGTTGCCTGCAGAGGATTAAAGTGATAGCCGCAAGCTGATGACATTATTATTATTTTGTCCAGAGGAACTTTAATCCACAATTGCAACCAATTAATGTGATAAGCTAAGCTAAGCTTGCTCTTAATAAAGACTAATGGAAGTATACATATATATATATATATATAAGTATATGTATACTAGGTATGTGAAGATGCCAGTGAAGGATCAAGAGCATGTATATCCGCCCTTGCATGGGACAAATTCGATATTTAATTAATTAAATGGCATCCACTCTATCACCGGGATTAATAAAGTAACTCGTTTGTTGTCTGTGGTCGAGGAGTAGTTAGACTTTCTGGGTGACAAATATATGATGATGCCAACAAATTAAATAAAATATTTCTTCAATTAAAATTTATCATATATGCTAATCATCCATCATCTTTATTCATTATGGTTGGAGCTGCCATTCTTGAATGTTTTTTCTTCTCTGTGCAATACATTAATTAATCTCTCCAATGCTTTAATTTGTGGACAAAATAGAGGTTGTCCAGATCGACATATCCAAAATGTAATACGCAAGCAAACCGTTGTTTTTTTTTTTTTTTTTCAGAGAAATGCAAGTGTTATATTGACGTTGACTTGTGTGCTGTGTGTCTGCTCATTATAAGCATCTGTCCAGCTCACATATATATGTTTTTTTTACTAAACCAATGTATTTAGTTTAGAAAAAACCATTAACAATCACATGAACACACGTCACAAAAAGATAGATAATAGATGCTTATTGAAAATTAAGATAACTAGGTAGTCGTCAAATATCTTTTTAACTTTGAGACCATCTGCATTCATCATCTTGATAGCCTTCAAGTTTCAACAATAAGAGGAAGCTCGAGTGGCTCCCAAATCAATGCCTTAATATCCTCGACATTTTTCTCCGGCGATGAGAATTGGTCACTGCCATCTTCATTGTAGAGCCAATTGGCAATCTTACATGTCCCCCACATGAATTCTTGGCATCTTCTGGGAACCATGTTTCCTTTACTCATACAAAGCATCTGCAAAACTTTCCTTTGACTGTCTTCTTTCATTCGATGCGCCATCGAAATGGCTTCCTCCTCCGAGACACTTCCTCCAGCCGTGAGCATGCATATGAAGTTCAAGGAACCTTCTTTCTGTTCCCTCTGCTCAAAATTCAAAACATGCATAATTGGATCCACCTGTCTTTCAATCCTAAAAAAATGAAGTCAGACATAGTTAAATGAAGGCTGTGATTACCTTGTAAGTATTGATGTCGTTGAGGAGTCGAACGACCAAGGTTGTATGGTACGACATAGTATAGAAATCGGGACTTGACAAGAAGCCATCGGGAATTTTTGGTGCTAGAAAATAACAGGCTGTGACAATAGCTATTACAACACCGGTAGTTATACGAGAAGTGGATATGTATTGATCCATGGTTGTAATCTTCTTCTCTCCCCATCCCTTCTTATTCAGAAACTCCATAAGATACTCAAGCCACTGCTCCACCGAACAAACAAAAAAGAAAAAGGTTTAAACTAACGATCATTATTATAAATCACGAGATGAAGGGATTTTTTTGTCGATGTTGATGAAAGAGGAGACGGTCATTTAGCTGTTTCACCTAAAAAATTTAAGTTGTTAGGTGAGACGGTCATTTGGATCATCGTCTAGCGCAGGAAAGAAGATTCAGTGAACTCACCACTTTGTGTAGTTCGTGCTTAACACAACGGCCTTGCACTGAAAAAGCCTTTTCGGCATGCTCGCCTATGGTTTTGCATGTCGCGGTATACATAATCTCTACTTCTCTAGAGCTGTAAGAGATCTCCTCCAGCTTCTGCTTATCCCAACTGCAGTAAAATGATGCTGCAGATGACGCAAGATTTTGAAACAAGAAGCATAGCTCGTAAGAAAGAAAAACGTACTTCCTTAATAATTCTACAAGGTTGGTGGCCTCTCCTTTGGATTTATAACTATCGAAAAAATCATCAAGCGATGTTCCAAGAGTCGAGCATTGAGCAAAGGCTACACGAATCTGCGCTAATTCAGGGTCAGCTGCCATAGCACCAAGAGCCAATGCCGAAGAAACTAGACAAGTGTTCCGCAATTGTTTTATGCAATCCATATTGCTTTCGATGAACCACCTGTTTTGACACCCAATGGATTATTAAATACAAACACATATATATTTATATACATATGAAGTAAAGGAAAGAAAAAAGATAAACAAAGCATCTGTTTATTGATTTGTATCGAATAATTGTACTTCTGCACTTGTTTGAATTCTTCTTGGTATTGTGCTTGGGAGATTCTGAAGTCTTGCACTGCGAACATGGCAAGTTCGTCATTGTAAATGGTACGGCACCTAATGTTCAAGACAATATGGAAGTTAGCATCAACAAACAATCTAATCAAAGTGGATAAATTAAAGTTATAATATAGGTTCCACCTATATGCTGTTTTTAACATTTGAAATTCTTCAACATCATATAATTCGATGCTTCGTCTGTGACTAATCCGATCGAGTTTTCCATAGAAATTCCTCAAGTCATATTCCACCTTTGAAGTTCCAAACAAGATTTTAGTCCAGTAATTGAAAGAGTGAGCTTGTTCAGAAATGAGAGTCATTCCCTTGAAACTTGACACAAGTATATATCACCTCTGCACGTAGTTTCTTGTCAGGAATGTTTTGGTTCAACACTTGTTGCTTTAGAAATTCTCTACTCCATGAAAGTATTTTCTCCAAAACTAGTTCTTCTTCGTATATTCGTACTTGTGAAGCTCTGTAAAGTTCAAGACATGTCGCAACACAGGTGTTTTGTATTCCACATGTAGCAAAGAATTTGTCTTCATCGACAAACTTAGCTAATTCATCTAATACAAGAAAAACAACAAAGGGTAATTAAGACACTTACGTAAATCTGAGAATCAAAGAATTATGTAATGCCAGTGGAAGAATACAGAACCAGATGAGACATCATATCCATTGGTTCGTAGCAGTCGAAATGCCATGGCTAGACAACTGATATCAGAGAATATCCCTTCGTCTTTCGCAAGCCAACCCCTATTAATATTTGTCGTGGAAATTGGTTTAGCATTGATAATATCCACACGAGTGAAATTAATATATAGGAACAGAAGTTGACACATATCACCTATGTATTTCATCAAGAATACTGTGGAGCTCATCTCTGAAATGGCTATCGATGCCCAACCTTTCTATGGTATCAACAAGGCGGAGACAAGTGTGTATGCGCATTGGATGGAAAGCTGGTACTTTAAAGACACAATGAGAATGAATGATCATTAAAACAGAGAACGTGTAATCAAGAGCTAAATTCAACAGGGTATACAAGTTTGCACGCTCTTACCCCATCCATCAAAAGAGTCTACAACTGTAGACAAGTATTCAAAACTTGTATAATCATCAGAGCATTGAACAGAGCAGCAGCAGTGGTGGCCGGTGAGTCGAACAATGAACCATTAATTCTTCGGTGCTTTAAGAGCTGCTTCCAATCACAATAGTCGCCAAGTCCTTCAGCAACATATGCCAAGTTATCATTTCTGCCACAAAGCCTATTGCAAGAAGCACTCAGATTCAGATTGAGCTCATAAAAGAGATCCCTGTTGAAGATTTATAACAATTCAAAAATAAAAATTGAAGCCTTCTAATTTGAGTGCATCAGGGTCAGAAAACAAACCTAATTTCTGAATCTCGAGCGTGAAGGAGTGAATCGATCAATGTGGGCTTTAATGGAAGAGTTAAATCCAATTTGATAGCACGGTCAACCATGGCAGGAAACACTATATTGAATCCAATGGGAGATAACTGATCAGCAGAAGAGGCAGCCCAAGAATTTGATCCAATATAATCCAAACCTACAGTTCAAAACAAATTGAAAATACCACAGACAGCAGTGCAACAGGGAAATCCAGGGTAGGCAGACATTATATATATAAGATTTGTTAGTTACCTCTTTCGAGAAGTCGGTGGCCGAGGTTCCATTTATGGAGGGCGAGGATGCATGCCAAAGTGCATGAAAGTGAATCCTTAACGAGGGAGGGGTGACCTGGAGTGAGTCCCCATGAGCCGTCCCCATTCTGGTTTTCCATTACCCATTCAAGGCACTTCTGGAAACGAGGCCTGCCGGAGTATTCTCCCAGCCCCGGTACCATTGCCACCCACGCCGTATCATACGCAGACGGCGACACTTCCAGCTTAACATCACACAGCCTCTTTCTAATCCTCTCCTTGTAGTAATCTTGATTCAACTTCCCGGGGTTCTGGTTCAGTACTGAAGCAACCTTCGGGATGCATTTTGTTGGTCCACCGAATCTGCCACCTCCTGAAGAAATGACTTAACCACGATATATATATATCTATATATATACATATATGCATGTACACACATATAGAAAGATACACAGATACATACCAGGAGAATTGTTGAGTGCCTGCTGAAGAGGATTGAAGTGATGGCCGTTAGCTGCTGACATTATTATTCTTTTGTCCAGTGAAACAATGCGATTACAACAAGTAATGTGAATAAGCCAAGCTCCAGTGGAGTTATCAATCAGATGTGTGAGACGCAGTGAAGGATCAGGAGGAGCATTTGAAATTCTTCACCATAATATAAAAGATTAATTAATTGCAAAATATGTAGAGACAACTATAGCCAAATCAAAAGCTCAAGCACGTCACAACTTTCCCCAGCTATGTCATTTATTATATACTATTCAATCTCAAAGGAAACGAGATATTTACTCATCCAACTCAAAAAAATAATAATAATAATAGTGACTCAAGTTATAAGTTGCAAACTAAGCCCACAGGACAAGTGACACTAGGCGACAACAGCCAAGACCGTTAGGTATCGGGATTTGAACCGGGACCATCCCTTACGGACACTGTCATACTGTGTTTGAGTTAACACCTCATTTCCCTTTATACATTTGGCCTTCCGTTAAACCTACGAACACGCACATGCATATGCCACAAATGGGGACGGGCGGGACTCGAACTCGAGACCTAGCCTAGACTCTGATACCATGTCGGAAACTAATGACCGTCTCACCTAAAAGCTCGAACTTGTTAGGGAGACTAAGCCATTAGTTACATATGTATCCTTCAATTACAAGGTTCATCTACCTGTTGTATCGTGTTTTATAATCAAAACTTCTGAAATATTTTAATTCGATTTGTAAAAACAGCATCGCCAGCGTGAGTGCCAAGAATTTGTTCACTTACCCAAGAAAAAAATCTGCACGTTATCTATTAATATTACCACAATATATAATATAATCCCACAATATAAAATATATTTTATCTAGATATAAAATTTAAATAATTCAAGATAATTTTTTTTTGGTATTAATTACCCATTTTTCATTTTCATGTAACAAACACAAAATATCTATATATATATATATATATATATATCTAAAACTAAAACATTGGCTTTTAATTTTTCATTTTTTAAAGCGTTGAAATGTGTTAGATCTCGTACTGAACCTGATTTAATTAGTTTATCTTCTCGATTTCATATATCAAATAAAGGAATTCGTTGTCCGCTTGTGTATGTTTACTTGTAATCTTTGTAACCTTTTTAATTAATAAAAATAATTTTAAGTTAATGTTTTGAGTACATTATCGATCACTTGAAGCATATTGAAATTTGTTTGCTATTCTCCACTGATTCAAGTCCAGATTATTTCTTCAGGATGTTCAAAAGCCCTCCAGCACAAGTGTCCTTAAAGCTTTCATATGTAGTAGAAGATATGTTCGAAGAGCAATGACTGCGGTTTTCCACATCATATAAAAAATAAAAAAGACAATATTGGAATGAATCTTGTTGATTATTTTGTTGTTATTGAATTTATTCGAAGATAACGAATATTGTATCGAGCTATCTTCAGGAAAGGTGAAAATTATGGTCATATTGTTTGAAAATTATTATTTTCAAAAGATGAATTAAATTATTTAATTCATGCTTATAAATTCAAATTTAAATTTCAATAGATAACTGTTGGATTTTTTTTTCCATAATGATCCACCCAATTATACACAATACACACTCATGTTTACGCAGCCCAAAAGCATTTGGCCCAAATCCACGGCCCATGGTCCACTTACTCTTTTCCTTATGTATATATATTGAGAGAGAGAGGTCGTGACCATTAATTTACTCAATATTATTTCTCTCTCTACATATCCTTTCGCCCTCTCTCTAGCTCTCTTTTCTCTCGCTCAACTCTCTGGCCCTTTTTCGGCGACGATTTCCGGTGGTTCTTCGACGGTTGCCTTCCTCCTATCTGTGGAGTTCTCTGGCGTGATTATTTCCCCTGTATTGTTGTGTTGAGCCGCAAGGGGCTCTCTCAACGTTGTAGGCTTCTGTTAAGCCTTGTATTTTTGGTTTGTAGGGATATAGGTCTTGTGTCGTGGGTTTTAGGCGGTGCTATTGTGTTTGTTGGGTGTGTTGTAGTGTGATTTGTGTTTTCGAGTTGATTTGGGCTGAGCCTTCAAAACCAAAACTAATTCAAGTTTATTTTGCGTTATTCACTCCATTTCTTTAATAAAATCTTTAGATTCGATTATATTTTTTATAACAATAATTTTAATGAATAAATGAAATTTTTTTAATTTGAAATTAAAGTTGCATGTTTTCATGAAAGATTGTGTCTTTTGAATTTAAAATTCAAATTCAAATTTTTCAGAAAAGACACTTCCAAATATATAGTGACAAAAAGTCATGAGTGAAATACACATAATACTCTCAAGTCTCTCCTTTCTTTCAGGATTCTCGAAATTATATTCTTCATTAGCAAATAATCTCTCAAACTTTTACGTTGCTCAATTTTTCGCCTAAAATTCGAGTGTTATTTTGTTTTATTCTCGTACGAATTTCGTGTAACCCAAGCCGTTAATAGGGTCGAAATATCATATAAGGAAAGCGAATCTACTCTGACTCAAAGTATATCCAAGACAGTGTATGCCTTGCAAAATTTTATTTCTTTGTATTTTCATTCAGTCCAGATTATTTCTCCAACAAATCTCTATCTTCAAATTAACTCGCAAAATAACTAGTTTTACAACTATATAAACATAATAACTTCATCACCTTCAACTTTCAACAATACGAGGAAGCTCGAGTGGCTCCAAAATCAATTTGTTGATATCGTCGACAACTTTATCCATCGATGAGAATCGATCGCCGCCATCTTCGTTGTAGAGCCAATTACCCATCTTACATAACGCCCAAAAGAATTCTTGACATCTTCTAGGAACCATGTTTCCTTTACTCAGACAAACCATCTGCAAAACTTTCCTCTGACTGTCTTCTGCCATTTGCTGCGCCATCGAAATGGCTTCCTCCTCCGAGACAGTTCCTCCAGCCGTGAGCATGCATATGAAGTTCAAGCCACCTTCTTTCTGTTCTCTCTGCTCAGAAGTCAAAACATGCATACTTGGATCCACCTGTCTATATGCCCTTTCAATCTTAAAATTTTTTAAACATAGGTAGATGAAGGCTTATTACCTTGTATGTCACGGTGTCGTTGAGGAGTCGACCTACCAAGCTTGCGTGGTGCAACATAGTATAGAAATCGGGACTTTCCAATAAGCCCTCGGGCATATTGTGTCCTAGAAAATAATATGCCAGGAGAATATAGAATTTGAGGCCAAAAGTTGTACAAGAAGTGGATATGTATTGATCCATGGTTGTAATCTTCTTCTCTCCCCATCCCTTCTCATTTAGAAGCTCGCTAAGAAACTCAATCCACTGCTCCAACGAAAAATAAATAAACGCAAAGGTGAAAGTAATGATCCATGTCATAAATCATTAGATGAATTGATGGATAACTTAACCATCTACTGATAATTTGGAAGAAACCGTACAAAATTATATGTGATTTCACGAAATTGCGTCAAATTTCTTAATGATTTCATAGACTATGCGTCTTATTAACCTCTCGGACGTCCTTATTTAATAGTGTTTGACTACACGTGTCCAAACTGCGAATATGTTTTAGAATCTCTATTTTTAAACCCGGAAATTACAAATATATTTATACCTATTATATTTAACCTCGAGGAAAGTAAATGAATTCTTAGAACAAGATGAAAGCAACTATTTCCAAGTATATTATTGTTTTTTTAGGGAGTCTGACGTAATTTTAGAAGTATAGAGGATTTGACGTAATTTTATGAAATCACATGTGAATTTTGTGCAATTTTGCGTTAGTTTGTTATGAGGTTTGAGTCAAAATGAAGTGTTAATAGTAACAATAGAAACATAATGATGTGTTATGAGGAAGTACCATTTCGTGTAGGTCATGCTTAATACAATGGCCTTGCATGGCATAAACCATTTCAGCTTGTCCGTCTATGGTTTTGCATAATGCAGTATACATTATCTTTACTTCTCTAGAGCTGTCAGAGATCCCGTCCAGCTTCTGCTCATCCCAGCTGCAATCAAACGACGCGGCAGATGCTGTAAGATTTTGAAAGAAGAAACATAACATGGAAGAAAGGAAAACATACATCCTGAATAATTCTAGAAGGCGGATGGCCTCTTCCTTGGACCCATAATTATCGATAAAATCATCAATGAAAGTTGCGAGAGCAAAGAATTGAGTAAAGCCTATACGAGCCTGGGCGAATTCAGGCTCAGGAAACAACACACCAGCTGCACATGCTGAAGAAACCAGCGAAGTGTCCCTCGATTGTTTCATTCCATCCATATTGCAGTCAGTGAACCACCTGTTTCGACACCCCAATGCATCATTAGTTATACATACATATATGTATATTATATATATATATATGAAGTAAAAAGAATAGTCATGTGTTTCTTGATTTGTATCCCCTGTACTTCTGCACTTGTTTTAATTCTTTGTGGTATTTTGCTTGGGAGATTCTGAAGTCTTTTGCTGCGAACATGGCAAGGTCTTCATTGAAAATTGTTCGGCACCTAATGTTCAAGACAATATTGCAGGTTAGCATCAACAAACAATCGAATCAAAGGGGATAAAAAAAAATCAGCTATAATAATAGAGGTTCCACCTATATGCCGTTTTCAGCATTTGAAATTCTTCAACCTCACATAATTCGATGCTTCGTCTATGACTAACTCGATCGAGTTTTCCATAGAAATTCTTCAAGTCATGTTCCACCTTTCAAGTTCCAAACAAAATTTCAATCAAGTTAATTAAATGAGTTAGATTGTTGAGGAATGAGGAGGTCATATATTCCCTTGAAAATTGACAAAAGTATCACCTCTGCACATAGTTTCTTGTCAGGAATGTTTTGGTCCAACACTTGTTGCTTCAAAAAGTCTCTAGTCCATATAAGAATCTTCTCCAAAACCTGTTCATCTTCATATATTCTCATCTGTGAAGCTCTATAAAGTTCCAGACATGTCGCAACACCGGTGTTTTGTATTCCACATGTCTCAAAGAATTTGTCTTCGTCAACAAATGCAGCTAATTCATCTAATACAAGAAAAACAACAAAGGGTAATTAAGACACTTTTGTAAATCTGAGAATCAAAGAATTATGTAATGCCAATGGAAGAATACAGAACCTGATGAGACATCATATCCATTGGTTCGTAGCAGTCGAAATGCCATGGCTAGACAACTGATATCAGAGAATATCCCCTCATCTTTCGCCAGCCAAGCCCTATAAATATTTTTCGTAGAAATTGGTTTGGCATTGATTATATCGATCCACACCAGTGAAATACTTAATATAGGTATTGAAGTTAAGATATATCACCTATATATTTCATCAAGAATATTGTGAAGCTCGTCTCTGAAATGGCGATTGACGCCCAACCTTTCTATGGTATCAACAAGGCGGAGATGAGCGTGTATGTGCATAGGATAGACAGCCGGTACTTCAAAAGAAAACAATGAGCATGAATATTCATCAAAACAGAGAACATGTAATCAAGAGTTAAATTCAATAGAGTATATGAGTTCGCGTGCTTTTACCCCATCCATCAAAAGATTCGACAACTGTAGCCAAGTATTGAATGCTTTTATGATCATCAGGGCATTGAATCAGAGCAGCAGCAGTGGTGGCCGGAGAGTTGAACAACGAACCATTAATTCTTCGGTGCTTGAAGAGCTGCTTCCAATCACAATAGTCCCCAAGTCCTTCAGAAACATAGGCCAAGTGATCATTGCTGCCACAAAGCCTATTGCAAGAAGCACTAGATTCAGATAAAGCTCATAAAAGAGCTATCTGTTGATGATTTATACAAATTCAGAAACAAACCTAATTTCTGCATCTCGAGCGAAAAGGAGTGAATCGATCAACGTGGGCTTTAATGGAAGTGTTAAATCCAGTTTGAGAGCACGATCAACCATGGCAGGGAACACGATATTAAAGCCAATCGGAGATAACTGATCAGCAGAAGAGGCAGCCCAAGCATTTGATCCAATATAATCCAAACCTACAATTCAAACAAAATCAAAATCCAACAGAGACACCACTGTAATAGAGAAATCTAGGATTTGCAGACATTAAACATGTTTAGTTATTAGTTACCTCTTTGGAGAAGGCGGTGGCCAAGGTTCCATGTACGGAGGGCGAGGACGCATGCCAAAGTGCATGAAAGCGAGTCCTTAACCAGGGAGGGGTGACCTGGATTGAGTCCCCATGAGCCATCCCAATTCTGATTTTCCATTACCCATTGGAGGCACTGCTCGAAACGAGGCCTAGGCCTTCCGGAGTATTCCCCCAGCCCCGGCACCATCGCCACCCAAGCCGTATCATACGCAGACGGCGAAACTTCCAGCTTAACATCACACAGCCTCTTTCGAATCCTCTCCTTGTAGTAATCTTGATTCAACTTTCTGGGATTCTGGTTTAGTACTGAAGCAACCTTTGGTATGCATTTGGTTAGTCCACCCGATCTGCTGCCTCCTGGAAAAATGTCCACGATATATATATATATATATGCATATAAATATATGCACGTATACAGACATATAGAAAGATACACAGATGGATACATACGAGGCGAATTGTGGATTGCCTGCTGCAGAGGATTAAAGTGATAGCCGTTGGCTGATGACATTATTCTTTATTAGTCCAGTGAATATTAACAATGAATAACCAAGCTAAGCTAGCTCTTAATCAAACAATTGTGAAATTATATATCAGATTTGTGAAGAATCCAATGAAGTATCACGAGAATATATAGCTGCGACAAATTAATTTGATTCATAATTTGCATCGGATTCACGTGCCCTGATTAATTAGTTAATTAATTAGACGTCTCTGTTGGATAGTAGTTAGATTTTTTCTTTTTCTCTTTTTTAAATAGACGATGATGATGTTGCTAATACATCTCACAATATATGTCTTCTTCATCATCTTTATGATAGACCCCACAGGATCGCATGCTGAAATTCGTCACTAGAATATAAAAGATTAATTGCATAGTATGTAGAGACCAATATAATGGAACCAAAAGCTTCAAGCACGCCACGAATTCCCCCAATGTAGAGCCAATTTATTTTTGGAAAATATATATGTAGAATAGACAATATATGAACTTGATTGGTTTATGCAATATATGAACGAACCAGGTGAGCATTAGAATCGACAACATTATGAAGTTGTTGTTTGGAACTTGAATTCAGCCAAGGTGAAGAATTGTTTTTATGTGGCTTGAAATTGAGTAAATGCATGTCAAGCCCAAATTCAATCCATCCTAAGATTAAAATTGTTCGACTATCCATTGATTTGTGAGCTACATATATATTGTATTTGGATATCATATTGACTAGTGAAACTATTGCCCTCTGCCCATGGGTGGAAGGATTCATCCGAGCATAGTAACTACTTGTGTCTATTGTCATTTTCAAATACAAATTCAAATCCTACAAGAAATGGGCCAAATAATCTTGTGCAATCAAATCTAATATACATAAATGCATCTTTCAAATGCAACGTAAATGGTTTTTATCTTGCTAGATAATGAAGGTCCATCTACTTTTCGTACCGTAATTTATAATTTAAATTTAGAAATATTTTATGTCGATTTGCGAAGAAAATATGATGATGTTGTGAAATTTTGTCATTTCCACGTTCAAATTCAAATCCTACAAGAAATGCCCAAATAATCTTGTCCAATAATGAAGGCCCCCATCTACTTTTGGTATCGTGTTTTATAATCAAAATTTAAAAATCTTTTATGTCGATTTGCAAAAATATGATGACATCATGTGATCAGATATTTGAATAGTATTTTACTGCCATCCATCCGATCTAGAAGAATTGTCCAGATGTATTATAAAAATAAGATTCTAGTGATTTTCTCAGAAAATATCATGTAATGTTAATGATGCAGAAACATGAGTCCGGATATATGAACAAAAAAAATTCCAACCCAACCATTAGCCATCTTACATAAATTGCATTAAAAAAAAAAAAAAACAACCCAATTAACCATCTACATTCATCATCTTCACCACCTTCAACTTTGAATAATATGAGGAAGCTCGAGTGGCTCCCAAATCAATGCGTTAATATCGTCGACAATTTGATCTGGAAACGAGAATTGATCCCCTCCATCTTCATTGTACAGCCAGTTAGCCATCTTACATAGCGCCCACAAGAATTCTTGACATCTTCTAGGAACCATGTTGCCTTTACTCAGACAAACCATTTGCCAAACTTTTCTCTGACTGTCTTCTTGCATTCGCTGTGCCATCGAAACGGCTTCCTCCTCTGACAAAGATCCTCCAGCTGTAAGCATGCAGATGATGTTCAAGACACCTTCTTCCTGTTCCCTCTGCTCAAAACTCAAAAAATACATTGTTCAATGTTGAATCCACCTATATTTATTTATATATAATAAACATAGTTAATGAAGGCTTGTTATTACCTTGTAAGTCTTGATGTCGTTGAGGAGTCGACCGGCCAAGCATGTGTGGTAGAACATAGTGTTGAAATCGGGACTTGAAGATACGTCCTCGAGAATTTTGTGTCCTAGGAAATAACTGACTGTAACAAAAGAGATTTTGAAGCCCCCAGTTATACAAGAAGTGGAAATGTATTGATCCATGGCTGTAATCTTTTTGTCTCCCCAACCCTTCTCATTTAGGAACTCCATAAGTAACTCAAGCCACTGCTCCAACCGAAAATAAAAAATAAAAATTGTAAAACTAATTATCATTGTTAAAGATCAGATGGATATGATAACCATCCTTTGTTAGTTTGTAATGAGGTTTGGGGTCAAAATGAAGTGTTAATAGTAGCAATGGAAACAGGGTTGAAGTGTTGTAAAGAAGTACCAATTTGTGCAGTTCATGCTTAACACAACGGCCTTGCACAGCATAAGCCTTTTCGGCATGTTCGTCCATGTTTTTGCATAATGCAGTATACATTATCTCTACTTCTCTAGAGCTGTAAGAGATCTCCTCCAGATTCTGCTTATCCCAGCTGCAACCAAATGATGCTGTAAGATTTTGGAAGAACAGGCATAACTTGGAAGAAAGAAGAAATCGTACTTCCTTAATAACTCTACAAGGCGGATCGACTCTTCTTTGGATCCATAATTATCGATAAAATCATCAATCAAAGTTAAGAGAATTGAGCATTGAGCGAAGGCTATACGAGCCTGGGCTAATTCAGTGTCAGCCATAACACCAGCAGCAAATGCTGAAGATACTAGACAAGTGTCCCTCGATTGTTTCATGCTATCCATATTGCAGTCGACGAACCACCTGTTTTAATTGACACCCAATGCATCTTAGTTATATATATATATATGATGTAAAAAGAAAACGCCATATGTTTCTTGATTTGTATCCATTATTGTACTTCTGAACTTGTGTTAGTTCTTCTTGGTACTGTGCTTGGGACATTCTGAAGTCTTGCGCTGCGAACATGGCAAGGTCGTCATTGTAAATTGTACGACACCTAATGTTCGAAACAATTTGCAGTTAGCATCAACAAAAAATCCAATGAAATGAAGGGGATATCAGCTATAAGAGAGGTTCCACCTATATGCCGTTTTTAGCATTTGGAATTCTTCGACATCATATAATTCAATGCTTCGTCTATGACTAACTCGATCAAGTTTCCCATAGAAATTCCTCAGGTCATGTTCCACCTTTCAAGATCCAAACAATATTTGAGTCGAGTTAATTAAAAGAGTTAGTTTGTTGAGGAATGAGGGGGTCATTCCCCTGAAAATCAACACTAAGTATCACCTCTGTACATAGTTTCTTGTCAGGAATGTTTTGGTTCAACACTTGTTGCTTCAGAAACTCTCTAGTCCATGTAAGAGTTTTCTCCAAAACCGGTTCTTCTTCGTATATTCTCACTTGTGAAGCTCTGTAGAGTTCTAGACATGTCGCGACGCTGGTGTTTTGTATCCCACATGTACCAAAGAAGTCCTCTTCATCAACAAAAGCAGCCAATTCATCTAATACATTAAAAAATACAACAAAGGGTAATTAACACACTTTTGTCGATTTGAAAATCGAAGAATTATGCAATGCCAATGGAAGAATACAGAACCTGATGAGACATCATATCCATTAGTTCGTAGCAGTCGAAATGCCATGGCTAGACAACTGATATCAGAAAATATCCCTTCGTCTTTCGCCAGCCAACCCCTGTTTGGCAGCAAGCATTTTGGTTATATCCACACCAATGAAATTAATATAGGTAGATGTTAAGACATATATATATATATACATATCACCTGTATATTTCATCAAGAATAATGCGAAGCTCTTCTCTGAAATGGCGATCGACGCCCAACCTTTCCATAGTGTCGACTAGGCGGAGATGAGTATGCATGTGCATAGGATAGACAGACGGTACTTCCCCAAAAAAAAAAAAGACCAATGAGATCGAATATTAATCAAGAGATAAATTTGAAATAGTATATGAATTTGCGGTGTGCGCACCCCATCCACCAAAAGAGTCGACAACCGTAGCCAAGTATTGAAAGCTTTTACGATCATCAGGGCATCGAATCAGAGCAGCAGCAGTGGTGGCCGGCGAGTCGAACAACGAGCCATTACTTCTTCGATTGTTCAAGAGCTGCTTCCAATCACAATAGTCGCCAAGTCCTTCAGCAACATACCCCAAGTTACCATAATTTCTTCCGCAAAGCCTAATTTCAGAATCTCGATTGCGAATGAGTGAATCAATCAGGCTCTGGCTTAATGGAAGAGTTAAATCCAGTTCGAGAGCATGATCAACCATGGCGGGAAACACGATATTAAATCCAATTGGAGATATCTGATCAGCAGAAGAGGTAGCCCAAGCATTTGATCCAATATAATCCAAACCTACAATTCAAACAAAATCAAAATCCAACACACATCACTGTAATACAGAGATCTAGGATTTGCAGACATTAAACATGTTAGTTCACTACCTTGTCGGAGAAGGCGGTGGCCGAGGTTCCATGTCCGGAGGGCGAGGACGCATGCCAGAGTGCGTGAAAGTGAGTCCTTAACGAGGGAGGGGTGACCTGGATTGAGTCCCCATGACCCGTCCCCATTCTGGTTTTCCATTACCCATTGGAGGCACTGCTGAAAACGAGGCCTAGGCCTGCCGGAATATTCCCCGGCCGGCACCATTGCCACCCAGGCCGTATCATACGCCGACGGAGACACTTCCAGCTAGCATTATTATCACTGATCCTCAAACTCTTTCGAATCTTCTCCTTGTAGTAATCTTGATCCAACTTTCTGGGAGGCTGGCTCACTGATGGAACCTTTACGATTGATTTTGTTCGTCCACATACGCTGCCACTTCCTAGAGAAAGGAGTTAACCAGGACATACATACATACATACATACATATATATATATACACACACACAAACATATATATACATACCTTGCGAAAATTGGGTTGCCTGCAGAGGATTAAAGTGATGGCCGCCAGATGATGACATTATTATTGTTATTTTGTTCAGAGGAACATTAATTCAATACTAACCGACCAGTGTGAATATTAAGCTAAGCTAGCTCTGAATTAAAGACTAATGGAAGTATATAGCTGATGTCTGAAGATGGCAGTGAAGTTTCAGGTGCATATATATTAATATATTTGCCATTATATTGCATGGGACAAATTCTATGTATGATTTACATCCGCTTGCCGGCGGCCGGGATTAAATAAATTAATTAGGTACTCTTTGGTCGGAATAGTAGTTAGACTTTCTGGTTGACAAATTGATCGTGATGCATGGTGACGATGATGTTAAACAATATATTTCTTCAATTCATATTTATTATGCTAATCATCATCTTTAGCCGGCTCATTCAGTGCCGGCTCTATCAGCATGAGCAATTGCTAGGGTTTGGATCCAAAATGGCTCATATTTTTTAATTTCATTCCATTATTATTATATTTTTAAATTACTTGTAAACATAATTAGGACTAAATTTTACTTTCTTTTTTTACTATTTTTTTTTTTTACGATTATCTCTAGCCTAACAATGTCATATTGTTTTTTTTATTATTATTATTGGATTACTGATTTCATAATGGTTAAATTATTATTTATTTTTTACTTATTGTTATACACTTTGTCGATGTCCGTTTATTCTATACATAATTTAAATAAATTTTATTTTTTTATAGAATTTATTATATATTTTTTGTTAATATTATTTTAAAAAATAAATTTAATCACATTTTTATAAAATCTATAATTTATTTTTTGCTCGAAACTCTAGAAAAACTTTTCTGAGCCAAACCGTTGTTTTTTTGGGAGAAATGTAAGAATTATTCCCTTGAAGTGTGTCTGTGCATTATAAGCGTATGCCCAGCGAAGGAAAATTACATCAAACAGTTATTCTAGTTTAAAAAATAATAAAATTAGAAATACAAAATAAAAAAGAAAAATAGAAACACTAAAAGCACACCCTGTAAGCCATGAATTATCATGATAAAATAAAAAAATAATAAAAAATAAAATAAAATATAAAATATAAAATAAATAAAAATAAAAAGCCATGAATTATCATGTAAGGAGTCCTCAAATAACCCCAAAATGAAGCCTTACTACAAGGCCCAATAACCCAACAATGGACGTAGCTGGCCATGAACTAGGCTGCCGCCCTAACCCATTTTTGATTGGGCCATAAGCCCTATAAATTTATAATGTATACATATAATAAATATTGAAATTACATATATATATATATATTAACATATAAAAATTTAAAATATAAATTATCATGACTTTAGCTGTCAATGTATGTACAAAGTCAAAATATGTAGAAGCAAGGATTTGAAAAATCTATATGGTGCACTTTTAGAACTTTTAATAGAATAAGCCGATTGGAAAAGTCACAAATACACACTATAAATATAAACCAATTTCTAAACACAAATCGTTTTCATCATTAAATAGAAGGTTGAAAATGAAGAGAAAGAAACCAAAGACTAGATAGCTACTTGATGGCGGCCCCTTCTGCCTTCTGGAACTAACGTGTGTACGTACGCCCGCCAATTTGAAGTCATCGTTTCAACGTATTTTACTTCTTTTTCCACCGCCAAAATTATAGTATTAATATTTTTGATTGTCAGTTAAATTTATATATATATAATAAAATATTTGATCAACATTATTATTTGAAATATGCAAAAATAAACAAGTAGCGTCAGCAGTGACCTGAGCAAATACAGACGAATCTGGTGAGAACACTCTGGACCTTTGCCCTCTTTAACTTTATCTATCTATATATAAGCGCTCTATCTCTATCTCTATCTCAATCTGAGTGCCACTTCAATTCAGACAGATTTAACCCAATTAACCAACCATCCATCAGATCTAATTTTCTTCATAATATCGATCAAAATTACTACAATGGGGGATGATGATCGTAAGGTGATCTTGCTGGGCACTGTTCACAGCATGTTCGCGATTAGGGTCAGAGTCGCTCTGGCCGAGAAGGGCGTCGACTACGAGTTCAGGGAGGAGGATTTGAGCAACAGAAGCCCTCTTCTCCTAAAGTCAAACCCTATCCACAAGAAAATCCCTGTCCTCATCCACAACGGCAAACCCGTCTGCGAGTCCCTCATCATCGTCGAGTATATCGATGAGGTCTGGAAAGATAAGTCTCCATTGTTACCCTCTGATCCCTACCAGCGATCCCAGGCCAGGTTCTGGGCAGATCTTATCGACAAAAAGGTATTATTACTGAATCAATTAATTAATAAATAATTGTATGTGATCTTATTTGGTTAATTATATTGACACTACAGGTGTATCCCTCGACAAGAAAGCTTTTGGTGGGGAAAGGGGAAGAGTACGAGGCAGGCAAGAAAGAGTTCATCGAAGCTCTGAAGCTGTTGGAGGAGCAGTTAGGGGACAAACCCTACTTCGGAGGAGATCAACTCGGGTTTGTCGATGTGGCCTTGCTGGCATACCAGTGCTGGTTTCAGACATACGAGACTTTAGGCAATCTCAGCATCGAAGAGCATTGCCCCAACCTCGTGGCGTGGGGGAAACGCTGCATGGAGAGGGACACTGTCGCCAAGTCCTTGGCGGATCCTAACGACATTTATGAGCTTGTCTTGTCTTTCAGGAATAACCTCGGCCTGTAAATGTAATCATCTTGTTCATTGTCGTCTTGTGTTTTTGCCTTTCTAGTTTTGTTTTTGTTCTTCCTTTGGGATTGTTGTTGCGGTTCACTTTCGTGGGTCACATACGATTTCTTGTTTCTGAATAAATTAATTCTAAGGTTTGTTATCTTGTGAATTAATGTTTATAAATTGATCCAAGATCGATATGAAGTAAAAATTATAATGAAAAAGTGTGCATCAATTAGTATCTCATTTTTTACACATGCATTCCCCAAGAAACTTCCAATTTAGTTATGTGTACAAATAAATTAATTATACGGTCAAATAAATTTGTATTAAAAGTGGTCAAAACAAACGTCTTGTATACTATAGCTTAAAAAGTAAAATATAATTTAAAAACTTAATTTAAACATGTGGAATTATTTTTATTTTTTTTAAAAAAAAGCTTAAAATTTTTGAGACATGGGTCATCGATTTCATATAAATTAATACTCCATTATCTTCAATTCTCGAGAACGGTACCCTCGGGCTTTGCAAATTGGATCTCACACCAACCCTACCGCCTGCCCTCTTCAGATCTAATTTCCTTATTCGATCAAAAATACACAGTAATGGCGGACGATGATCATAAGGTGATTGTGCTGGGCACTGTTCACAGCTTGTTCGTGATGCGAGTCCGAGTGGCTCTGTCCGAGAAGGGCGTCGACTACGACTTCAGGGAGGAGGTCCTCACCAACAGAAGCCCTCTTCTCCTTCAGTCAAACCCTATCCACAAGAAGATCCCTGTCCTCATCCACAACGGCAAGCCTGTCTGCGAGTCTTTGATCATCGTCGAGTACATCGATGAGGTCTGGAAAGATAAGTCTCCATTGCTGCCCTCTGATCCCTACCAGAGAGCCCACGCCAGGTTCTGGGCAGATCTTATCGACAAAAAGGTAGTATTACTATATTTTATTGGTTTAATTAAATTAACAATTGTGCTAGCTAGCTAGCTCTTAATTGGTTTAACTAATAATTGTGATTCAACTTGTTCAATTACTAAAAAAAAAATTCCCAAATCCAAATTGGGACTGTTGGGGATTAAGATATGTGGTCGACGAATTAATTTGTGTAATAACAAAGTAATGCCAATACATATTAATTCACAGGTGTATCTGTCGGGAAGAAAGCTTTATGCAGAAAAAGGGGAAGAGTATGAGGCAGGCAAGAAAGAATTCATGGAAGCTCTGAAGCTGTTCGAGACAGAGTTAGGGGACAAACCCTACTTCGGAGGCGATCATTTCGGGTTTGTCGATGTGGCATTGGTGCCATACTATTGCTGGTTTGAGACATACGAGACTTTCGGCAATCTTAGTATCGAAGAACATTGTCCAAACCTCGTGGCGTGGGGGAAACGCTGCATGGAGAAGGAGAGTGTCGCCAAGTCCTTGGCGGATCCTAAGAAGGTTTATGAGATTATGTCTTCGAAGATGAAGTTACTCCGCGTGTAATAATCTTATGATCGTCTTGTATTGTCTTGTGCGCGATCTAGAGTTAAACATGTTCGCTCTAGAGTTCGATTGTGTGATTGTTGTTGTGGTTCACTCTCGTGCGCCGCATATGATGTCTTGTTTTCGAATAAATTTTAAGGTTTGTTATTTTGTTATGTTCTTAACAAGGTAACATAGTTTACGATGATTCTAAATATGTATCGTATGTCCAAATTAGGCGATAAATTTGACATTGATAGTATCTCATTTTTCACACATGTGCTCTAGATTGCCTTAGCAAATCTAGCAATTAGAACACCTTACCACAAACAAAATTGTGAACTTACCAATTTAGTTTGTACAAATAAATTAATTACACGGTCAAATAAAATTGTATTATATTGTGGGAGTGAAGAGAGTTCACAAGACGAATATTTAATATAATATGACAAAAATTCACAAGGTTTCAAAAGTGATCAAAACATATGTCTAAACATTGTCTTTATTCTTGTTATTAAATTTTTTATTTTGGTTTTGAATTTGCTTTTACTTTTAAATAAGACAGTGATTTGAATATAATATTTTGTATTAAAAATTAATAATAATAAATTGATGTGTAAAATGATCGGAGCATTATTCTTGTCTAATCTTCTTTGAAGGGTCATAAGGACAAAATTTCATTAGTGGGCCCTACCTCTAGAATCACGTATCAAATTTGCCTTTGTTATCGCAATATTTTTATTTTTAGTATTGTTTAAAATATTTAAATATTTTTTTAATTTAATTATTGACACGTACATTTTTTAAACTTTTAATAGTAATTTTTTAAATATATATATATATTTCATCAAAATCTCCTTCACAAAGTATTACAATAAATATATATATTTTTTACTATTTTAAACTTTTTATTTCTAAAACTGTATAATATGTTTCGTCAGCAATGACCTGAGACAAAAATAATAACTCAAAATCAAATAAATAATTGGATAAGTCTCATCAAACGAATAATCAATCCAATTGAACCTTGTATAGAAAACTTGGACACGACTTCTACACCATTCTTTACCTATAAATAACTAAATACAGCATCCTTACCGAATCAATTCCGACAACCATATTAATTACTAAGGCAATATATATTATAGAAATCTGTCGGAAGCTAATGACCGTCTCACCTAAAAGCTCGAACTTGTTAGGGAAACTAAGCCACTAGTTACATATCCCGCAAACGGGAGTCCTCAACAAAATCGATCTGAATTAAATCAATTAATGGCGGATAAGGTGATTGTCCTGGGCACTCGTTTCAGCATGTTCTCTACGAGGGCAAATGTGGCTTTGTACGAGAAGGGAGTGGAGTTTGAGTACAGGGAAGAAGACTTGAGCAACAAAAGTCCACTTCTTCTTCAGACAAACCCTATCCACAAGAAAGTCCCTGTCTTGATCCACAATGGCAACCCCATCTCTGAGTCTTTGATAATCGTCGAGTATATCGATGAGGTCTGGAAAGATAATGATAAGTCTCCATTGTTGCCCTCCAATCCCTACCAGAGAGCTCGCGCCAGATTCTGGGCTGATTTTATCGACAAGAAAGTAAGCATTATTTATTTATGAAAACAATATCCATCGTTAAAAAATATATATTATCTATTCGAAATTACCTCAAATACAGATTTAACAAAAGAACAGAATATAATTTTTAAGTACAAGGGAGTAAACTGCATCATTTTACAAAAATGTTAATTTGGAATATATGTTTTGTATTATATAAAACTCTACCTCATATTGTATATATGGAAATTAATTTATCATGCTATTGTATTTGTATTTTGAGATGTCTTTATTATTTTGAATTTGAAATTTTTGAAATAAAAATTGGTAAATGATGATTTTCGTTTTTAGCAGTAAATTAGGTAATAGTATAATTAAATAATATAAAAAAAAATGTTAAAACACACAAATTTTGAACAAAGTGTCTAATCTTCCCCTATAATTGTTTCTAGGGATCATAAAATAAAATAAACATCTAAATTTAAAAACAAGAACATATGCATATATCACAAAAATTAAGGTGTGCAACAAATTAAAGCTTCATAGGTCTAATTTTGTGCTTGATTATGTATATAATCAACATAGGTGTCTTATTCGACAAGAAAGATTTGGGCACTCAAAGGGGAAGAACATGAGGCGGGCAAGAAAGAATTCATCGAGGCCCTTGAGATGTTGGAAGGGGAGTTAGGGGACAAACCCTACTTCGGAGGCGATCACTTTGGATTTCTTGATGTGGCTTTGGTGACTTACTATTGTTGGTTTGAGTCGTACGAAATTTGTGGTAATTTTAGCATCGAAGAGCATTGCCCGAAACTAGTAGCATGGGGCAAACGGTGTATGGCGAGGGAGAGTGTTTCCAAGTCCTTGGCGGATCCAAAGAAGGTTTACGAGTATGTTTTGCTTTTGAAGAAGAAGTACGGCTTTTAATAGCCTTACTTGTTCATTTTGTCGAATATTTGATGTGATGTTTTATAATTTTTATTCCTCCTCCTTTGTTTTTTCTTTTTTCTTTTTCATATTATTATTATAGTTGAAGTTTGTGTCATAAATAATGTGGTCTTGCTCGTGTAAGTTTGGAAAGTATAAAATAAGAGGAATCTTTTATTGCACTTCTGTAATTAACTTAATATATACAATACACTCCTAAAATAACTAATGACTTCTAAAATTAAGCTAACATTAAAAAAAGGAACGTTACTAACATGTTTCTGCCACTAACAAGACTTTGACTTGGTTTATAATAAAACCTACAAATAAAAAAATAAATTTTAAATTTTATTTTGTTGTTAGGTCATTATCAATGATCTAGCATATATATGTAGTCGTGATTCATTTTATTTTATTTTTCAAATCTGAGGTAACTGAGATTCTTTGACTAATGACGTGGCTTCTTTAATTAGGTTTAATTATGGTAACAATCATTGCATGATTTCATTGCATATGTGTTCATATTGTATATACCAATTAATGTAGGGGCTTCTAAATATTTGAACTTCATCAAGTCTTGATTATGATGTGAAGAGGAGAAAGAACAAAATATATCCTTTGTTAGGGGATTGTCATGGCCTTAGACAATACTAACAACTGATTTAATTTTCGGAGTTTAGGGTTTCAATTTTATTTAATTATTGTAATTTTCTATAAAAATACATTAATCATCTTTTAAACAAAAATATATATATATATATATATTACATTTAAATTATTATTTAAATAAAAAATCAAAACAAAATCAAATCAAACTACATAGGACCACACCCTAATTAAAGATCCATATAATTATTTTTCTAAATAATTGACCATAAATACAGCTCAAATATACATTGATTGGTACAGCTATATCGTGACTCACGAATATGATATGATGTAGAATGCTCTTTAATATTTCTATTCGGAAAATAAGAATATTTTTTAGATCTATTTACAAGTTAATTAATGATATATATGGGTAGTTGAGGTCTTTAAACTTATGTGTATATGTAACTTAAATCTATAAGAAATAAGACATCCAACAAAAATATAATACTAGCTCCCTTCATCTCCTAAAAATTTTCATTTCATTTTTTAAGTAAACAATTATATCAATTTTTTATTTTTTATTTTTTATTTTTTAAAAAGTACAAAATACTAAAAGGTTTCAATCAAAATTCCACACATTAAAACTTATGCCGAAAAGTTTTTAACACAATTTTGTGAAACGGGGAGTAAAAAAAAAAGTAATTTTATCCAACTCTACAATATTTTAAGAATTCACAAATTTATTCTACTTTAGACAATAATTTTTAGTATTAGATTTTTAATTTGAAAAAAAATAATAATAATAGTAGTAAAATGTTAGTATTTAATATAATATTTTGTAAAAAAAAATTAACTATTTTAGATTTTAAAAAAATAAAAATACTATTAATAAATAGTACAAAAATATTTATATAAATATTACTCCCTTCGTCCCCCAAATTTATTCTTACTTTTCTTTTTAGTCCGTCCGTTAAATTTATCTAATTACTAATTTCGACAAAGTCAACAAATCAATATTTAATTTTTGCCCTCCATTCAATATTTATTTACAACAAATACCACTAACTTTATTGAATTCTCTCTTTATTTTTTGCTTCTTAACTAAATTTCCAAAAATACATCTAACTACTTATCACTTTTTTAATATAATATTTTTTATTTTATTTAATTTTCATGCATGGACTAATTTTGATGGATTACGTGATTAGCCCATGTGGAGATAAGATTGAAAAACATTTAAATGTTCAGTCAGAGGTGTGACTAAATTTTTTTATAGAAGAGTGTAATAATAAATAAATAACACGTCGGTGCATGAGACCTTGTGTGCTAGCTATGTCATGTGTTGGAGCTGTCCCAATTCTGTTCTGTACTGTACATAACTCCATAAATTTCCCCCGAAGGTACCTGCAATTGCCATATCCATCACTTCTTCACAGAAAGCTCTTTCCGATGGCCGGAAACGCGATCGAACGCTGCAACATTCAGCCGTCGGCGGAGGATCTGCCGACGGCGGAGCTCATTCTCCCCCTCACCCCCCTCGACCTAATATGGTTGTACTTCCACCCCGCCCACCGTCTCCTCTTCTACGAAATCCCCAGCTGCACCAAATCCCAATTTCTTCAAACCATCGTCCCCAATTTGAAGCAATCCCTAGCTCAAACGCTCGCCCGATTTCTCCCACTCACCGGGAAAATTGTCATTCCCGACGACTCCGGCCGCATGCCCTTCGCAAGATTCGCCCCCGGCGACTCCGTTTCATTCACAGTCTCTGAGTCGGATAAGGATTTCAACCACCTCGTCGGAAATCACTCACGAAACGCCGACGAGTTTTACGATTGCGTCCCTCAGCTGCCTCCGGCGGAGCAGTCCGCCGGCGGGATTGAGTTCTCTGTACTGGCCGTGCAAGTCACGCTCTTTCCGGGGCACGGCGTGTGCGTGGGCATCAACAACCACCACGCCATCGGCGATGCGAGGTGCACCGTCGATTTCGTGAAATCTTGGGCCGCCGTCAACAAGTCCGGCGAGTTCAACTATTCGGATCCGGCGCCGGTTCTGGACCGGACCGGGTTCAAAGACCCCGACGATTTGGGTTCCATCTTCTGGAAAATGCAAATCCAATACCAAGGCGTTAAATTCCCAAAGCTCCCATTCCCACTGAACAAAGTTCGCCGGACTTTCGTCCTCACTAATGATCAAATCAAGAAACTAAAGCAGTACATTGTCGAAACACGGCCGTGTTTGACGCACGTGACTTCCTTCACAGTCACGTGCGGGCTGGTCTGGACCAGCCTCGCGAGAGCGGAACCGATCGCCGACGATGAGCCGGAGTACATGGTGTTCACCGCCGACTGCCGCAGGCGACTGAATCCGCCGCTGCCGGAGGCGTACTTCGGGAACTGTCTATCGATGTTGTTGGCGGAGACGAGCCACGGGTCGTTGAAAGGCGAGGCAGGGCTCGCGACGGCGGCGGAGCTTCTCGGAGAAGCGATACGTGAGATTGTGGATAACAAGGAGGGGATTCTCGCGGATGGCAAGAACTGGCCGGAGAAGTACGGGGGACTGACGGGGAAACGGGTGCTGGCGGTGGCGGGGTCGCCGAAGTTCAGTATGTATTCGGCGGATTATGGATGGGGGCGGCCGAGGAAGTTCGAGACGGGGGCGATTGATTGGGAGCGGGCTGTATCGGTGTCGGCCGCCATGGATTCCGGCGGAGGATTGGAGATCGGACTATGCTTGAAGAAGGAGACGATGGATGCGTTCGCAGATGTGTTTGATCGGACGGTCCACAAGCACTCACATGGATCGCTGCCCTTAAACCGACAAAAATGGGGCAATACATCGTCAGTTTAAAATTCATCCAATTTAATCAGTTTAACTAATTATTTTAAAAAAACAAAATAAATATTATAAAATAATTAGTTAAACTAAATAAGTTTTAAACCGAATATCCCTGCCCAAAAATGGACAAGAACGGCTAACAAAATTGTTGGGATTCGATCCCATTAATAAAATCGCACTATACTTTCTATTTTTGTAAGCTCTTTTCTTTGCACTCATCAAAATTAATTATTATTGTCTTCGATGATCTAAATGTATATTTTATATTTTTTTATGGGTTTTGAAAAATTTTAATTTAATTTTGGTATTAAAATAATAATGTTTTGTGAAAAAAAAAATTATAATATTTTTTTCAAAAAAATCTAAAATTCAAACAATATAAGTGACCATTTTAAAAAGGATCCAAATTTCCAATTTAAAACTAACTGGCATTAAACGGAGATCCCGTCGCTCTTATAAGCAAGTAAGTTCCCATATTTTTTTCTATATGGGACATATTTAACACGCATCTCTTAAGATTGGTTATCTAAAAAATTAAAATATGATTAATACTCAATAGGGGCATATAAAAAAATCTCTTCTTCCTCCTGTTAATAAAGACACTTGTATTAATAATGTCCCCATGTTTCTTTCAGTGAACGCATATAAAAAAAAAACTTCGATATTTTTATTGAGAATTGTTGAAATATTTTAAATATTTAATATATTTAGATTTGATTTTTAGAGTATATTTTATGTTGTTTATATATAAATTTTTTATTTTGATATATAATCAATACAATATAGAATATTTTTATATGCTATAAGAGTTTATTTTTCTTCTAAAGTAGATGTAATATAGTAACGTGTGTCTCTCTGGGTACATTCAATCTGAAATATACACGGAGGTTTTAAATTTTGAGATTTTTATTTATGATTAGCATGAACGGAAGTTTTCCAATTTTGAGATCCATCTACAATTGATTGTCCGTCAAATTTATTTCTTAATCTTGCGTACGAGTTTGGTCTTTGATTTTTTGTCATGGTTAAGTACAAAGCATTACTTCCGATTGCATTGAGATACACTTCGGGTATGTTTCTTTTAATAAGTTTGGGAAAAATTTAGTTTGAATTTGATATTAAAATAATGTATGATGAGATGTTTTGTGAGAGGAAAAAAATATATCTTTTTTGGAAAATGCAGAGTCCAAATAGAGTACGATGGGTTTGGAGACTAAAGAAATACACCCGTCGTTTCTGACTACGGTGAAAGTCTCATTGTTTTCGACTTCGGTGAGAGTCCTATTATTTCCGACTCCAAAGAGAGTCCCATTGTTTCTGACTCCAAAAAGAGTCCTGTCATTTTCCAACCCGGTGAGAGTTCCATATTTCCGACTCTAATTCAGTTGAGAACATTATTTTTTATTCTAGCATGATGGACAATTGTAGTTACGTCAGCTTCGATCTTTCTTTATAAACTTATTTGAATTTTTAGGAGATATTGAAATATTTTAGATATTTGATTTTATATTTAAATTTAAATTTGATCTTATCAAAATTATTTTATGTTTTTTATACATAGATTTACATAGTTTTTTTTTTTATTTTGATGATTAATATAATACAATTATTAATTTCCATGAAATATTTCACAAAAATCAATCATAGTGCAAGAAAAAATCCTTCACAAGTGGATATCTAGCATCTTCAACATTACATTTGATGCATAGAATTATATAAAAATAATAGCAAAAATTAAAAATTATATCTATTTAAAATATATTTAATAAATATAAATTAATTTAATTAACTTCTTAACATGTACATTAAGTAAACACAAAAAATAAACATAGACTTTTCCATATGAGTATAAGTCTGAAAAACTTTTTGGCTCACTTAAGTAGTTCACACCTAACTTGATTCAAAATGGGTAGGAATGGTTGCATGTGATTTTGAATACCAACTGCCTATTTTTTAATGTCGTTAGGTGAAAGAAATGGCGTATCGGATCTTGTTTTTGACAATAACCTAACTCGGAAATAGCCACACGCCGACACCCCTCTCTCCCTCTCTTCAAATAAATAAACACCCCCAAACCCTATTCTTAATTTCTTATCAAGTAAGTGGAGACTGGAGAGAAAGAGAAGAGATGGGCGAACAAGTGGTTCTTCTGGGCACTCGTTACAGTGGTTTTGCGATGAGGGCCAGAGTGGCTCTATCAGAAAAGGGGGTCGACTATGAATTCAAGGAGGAAAATTTGGGCAACAAAAGCCCCCTTCTGCTTCAGACAAACCCTATCCACAAGAAAATCCCTGTCCTCATCCACAATGGTAACCCCGTCTGCGAGTCTTTGATTATCGTCGAGTATATCGATGAGGTCTGGAAGGATAAGTCTCCGCCATTGCTTCCCTCTGATCCCTACCAGAGAGCCCACGCCAGGCTCTGGGCAGATCTCGTCGAGAAGAAGGTATATTTATTTGCTTTCAACTTAATTGCAAACGAATTGCTATTCTGGTGTTAATTGATTATATATTTCTTAATTCTTTTTTAATCTTTGGAATAATTTGTGTCGTTTGATTCAAAACTGTTTTTATTGTATATTTCAGTAGTAATCAGCTGTGCATTTTGTCTCAATTTATTTCATCTGATAAATTTTACAGGGAACATTTAATAGCCATATATATATATATATATATATATATTACTTGGCGACAAAATGTTGTTGTGCAATTAAGTATTGGAAACTGTGTTTTTACTTTTTAGCATAAAAAGTTTAAAAGTATTTTTGGGTTGTAGAAAACGATGTTGAAAATACTATACAAATCGAACAAAACTTTAGGTGTGTTTCCTTGTAGTATTTTTTCATTGTTCCAACGTTATATTTAAAGATAACTTTGGAGACAATGTTTTGAATGATTCGAATGAAAAATAAATTTTAAATATAATATTTTGAGTATAAAATCGATATTGTAAAATTTTACCATAGAATATACAGTGCAAACATAAGATTAACAGCACAAACTAAGGTTTGTAATATAATGTGGATGAAAAAGGTGAGCGCTAGCGCGATGAAAGTATGGACGGGAAAAGAAGGGGAGAGGCAACCGGCAGTCGAAGAATTTATAGATAACCTAAAGTTATTCGAGCGGGAGTTAGGGGAAAAGCCATATTTTGGAGGAGAAAGCTTCGGGTTTGTGGATGTGGCCTTGATTCCTTTTTATAGTTGGTTCGAGGCATACGAGATTCTTGGAAACTTTAAAATTGAAGAGCATTGCCCGACATTGTTGGCGTGGGGCAAACGATGCATGGAGAAGGAGAGCGTCGCCAAATCCTTGCCCAATCCCAAGGAAGTCTACGACTTTGTTTTGGTACTTAGGAAGAGATTCGGCTTTGATTAGGCTCCTTAATTTAGTGTATGAACATCGATTGCGCGCGCTTGTTTGTAATAATGTTGATGACTTTGTAACGTCTTTTGATTTCGTGTATGCTTTAAGCAATTTGGTTATTTTATTTTATTTTTTTCTTATGATGTCCATGGCCTTGTCTTAGTTCCATCTCAAAAAATTTCTTGGATCTAATTTTGATCTTGAGTACCTATATGTACTTAATAAAATACCTTGAGAAAGATCTAGAAGTATCACATGAAACATGAAATGAAGTTGATTGATTACCATCTTTTGAATATAACTATTTCTTGACAATGAGCCAAAATTTGAAGATGTTGAAAAAATTTTAATTTACGTGTATTCTTCAGCCTTAATTCATGATTTTGGATCTTCTTTCTTTGGATTCTTTTTGGATTCTCTATTGTTGTTTTTGACTTCCAACTTACCTTTTGTTGATTGAAACATTATCTCAACTAGTATCATGTGTTGGTTTATTTATGTTCTTTGGAAGTATTTTTGTGTTTTAGATTATTTTGTAAATAGTAAAAAATATTGAAGAAAAAAATATGTACCTTATGGAATATTTTTAATAAAAAATAATAATTATTGAATTTAATTATTTTCAATATAAACTACTACTACTATATTTTAATATAATTCTGTAAAATTGGTGATTAATTTTATTATGATAAAACAAAATTGAAACCGAGCATAGGCGGGCCAGCCTGGATATGGTTCTGGGTCGGTCTCGGGCCATGTTAAAATATTTATAAATTAGCTTGGCCCAGCCCATGGATTGTACAGGTCCCGACTGTAGAATTTTATTTATTAAAAAAAAAAATTACACACTCTTTAATGTTATTTATTTAGAAATATATCATAATTAGTTACACATTGAACCCGGTCCTAACCAGGTCAATCCAAGCCGGGCTAGGCCGGCCGACAGGGGACATTATTTCTAGATAGCAAGTTGCAGTGTGGATAAGAAACAAGCAGCTACATTTATTGAATGATGTTATGAAGAATAATTCTCTATAATATTTATTTATACTATATTAAAGTTAGTAACTAATTAAGATTTATACCAAAAAAAATTTTAAATTTCTTATTCATCATAATTTTATGCATAATAGATAAGTAAATAACATATTTTCAAATGTAAAGGCTACAAACGAGTGTTAGTTTAATGACTTTGGTGTTATTATAATTTGTATTATGTATGTTATGATTATTATTATTATTTTACCATTTTGATCACTTAAATGGGTTTACTTTAGGAATAATGATTTTATGTCTTCTTCATAACTCTAATTATTTAATAACTATATAATAATGTAGAGAGTGTCTATATAATGTATGTGTGAGTGATAACCATATACAAAACTATTGAAATGACAAGATATAAAAGCAAAATTAAAGAAAAAGAAGTTGTTTATAATAAGCTTGTTGATGTAATTTTTCAACAAAAATAAAGTAAAATTCAAAGATATAGAAAATATCCTTAAACTTGATTAATTAGTGCCTGAGATTAGGAATCTCTAAATACTGTATGGTACAGAAAATAAACTGGAAAATAAAAGACTGAAATTTAAAGTGGTGATCCCCAAATCTGACTTTGCTTTGTTGAAGTTGATTGAAGATGCCTTGCCAAATGATGATCCAAATCCTTAAATATTCTTTGAAGAAAACGTTCAGAACCGTCGTCTGGTCAGTTACCATAACCGTTGTTAACCGCCCCAAAAGTTCTCTTCTATTGACACTTGTGTCAACCGTTCTACTACGTCCGACCTTCAAAAAACCGTTCGCCAGTTGCAACTTCCTCTAACCGCCCCAGAACTGCTCTCTCACCCGACCTGCACATGCTACTTCACTTGGTCCGAACTTCGTATCACGTCCTGACCTCAATGCCCGACCTGCTTCTTCGCCCGACATCATTTGGGCCGACCTCCGCATCAGCCGCCCTCCGTCTTTGACCGTCTTTAATTGGTCCGACCATGGACCAACCAAATGTGGTCCCGACCACGGACCAACCGACCGGCTCTATTTGCCTTATCTCTTTAGAAGGACAGACTGTCCTCTGGACAGACCTCCGCATCTGTCCGTACCTCTTCCTTGCCCGACCTTTCTCTTGACAAACCTTCGCGTCTGCCCGACTTCGTCTTTCACCCGATCTACGGTTTACCCGACTTGGGTACACCTTTTTTAGACTCCGCCCGACCTTTCTTCCTTCCCGATCCTTGCATCTGTCCGATTGCACCCTACTTCTGGGTCATTTAACTTATATCCAGACCCGTCCAGAATCCCACTGCCATTATTTATTATTATTATTTTTTGTGCTTAACAAAGCTCAACTTGTTTTCAAGTTGTTCGATCTATTTAATAAGAAGAATTACCCTAAGGGAATGCAAGCTTAGCGTTAGCTTTTTGGTCCCCCTTTTACGACGAAGAAATATCACTAAGACAAAAAAAGCCATGTTTCTTCTTCACACGGTGTTTTGTTTCCTTTTGGAGATAAAGAATTTCGCGCAATAAATACAAAAAGTAGAGAGGCGGCTATGTAGTGCGATCTTGAGGGCAACTACGTGTCGACTAGGGAGTTTAGAGTACAAGTGTCATATTCTATTCCTATATATAAATCCTTTTTCTTCTTCATCCTTTGTCTACAACACAAATTATCTTATTATTTTCTTTTTATTCTAACTCTTTGTTCGAAAGTAATTTGAAAGCATCGACAATGTCCAAATTCTCAAAAGAAAGGTTCGCGATAGAAGTTGCTCCCCCAAAGTATATTTCCGTGGTGAGATGGCCAATGGTCAAAATTTTGGAAACTATCCACGAGGACAAGGCTTTTGCTTCCGTGGCATCTTGTAATAATTTGACAAAGCGCGTAATCGAAACTAATGCTAATCAATTGGGCTTGAAGATATGTTGAGCTTATTGTTGGTCGCCGCGATATTTAAGCTTGTCTAAGCTTAATATTATTGTTGTATTGAGTTAATAGGAACATTGTTTTGTTGTATGAAAGTTGTATGTTTAGATTAATTTTATATAATTAAATGGATGTCATATTAATTTAGGTATATTATTATTCTAAAGTATGCACTCATTATAATAGAGTAATGTAGCATGTTTAATTTTTGTCTAAGTTGTATAATATTCATTATTATGATTAATTGTACGAATTTTCTTTCGATATATACACATATGTGCAATAATAAAACATTGGTTTTTCTTTTTCTTTTTTTTTAAATAGTGGAGGTAATATGACATTTGAATCATCGCTTCAAATTCTCTCTATGCATTTCCTATGTTACTAATACTTTATCAAAAAAAAAAAATGTACCGATCAAAATTTATAAAAAATATCTCATTATTTATTTATTTATTTATTTATAACGTGAGAATTCGCCTAAAAAATATCTCATTATTTATTTATTTATTTATAACGTGAGAATTCGCCTTATCCTTTGGTGCATTCTGAGTAAATATGCGCAAAATTTGGAGGCGGCGGAATATATATGCATATAACAGTGTCAAGATGTTAAATATGCAAGCTTGTTGAGTTATGGAATGTTTAAAATTTTTCAGATTTGTTTTTAATATATCTATTCATTATGATTTTTTGTTCTTGCATAATAGTAATCCGTATTTGGCTTTGGATAAATAACTTTTTTTATGTTTTGTAATTTACCTTTTTCATCACATCTATCTCTATCACAATTCAACAATTTCCTATCCGAGGCTAACATTTATCCATGGGCTACAGATTCAACCAAAATCATCGACCAAAAGAAGAGTGTAACAATTTCATGGAGAAAATTGGTTACAACAGTCAAGTATCACTTTACATATATATCATATATGTCAGGACATTGAATCTTTCATATTTTTTTTCTTTTCATTATATATATATATATATATATATATATGCCTTTGAAAGATCCATTCGCCTCTCAAGTCTAACCTGTCGTGTACCATAACTATTTACAAACAAATAGGCACCAATATCACCCGCAGTTTTTACCAGCATGAATTGGATGGCGATCCAGTAAGGCGCTTATCTGGATATGGTCGAGGCATTCAAAACTCACCACGCTCGGAAATGACACTGTTTACAATTGAATTCCGGCTTCTTTGAGTGCCTCGGTCATTGAAGCTGACGCCTCTTCCAGTGTTCTTCTCTTTAGCACCATGTTGAAGGCCTCAATGCTATCGCCTTCTTGCCACTCGTCAAATCCCTCGACGCCAATTCCACACTCAAGTCCAGCATTTACCTGTAAAAAACACAGTAGAAAAGGTAAGAGAAAAGTCTTCCTGATATGAAGGCACTGTTTGCAGAAATTTCTTATTTTTACCTCAAATATAGGGACACATGTTAATACAGTACTGATTAAGATTGCCCACATATAAATTAGTCCAAGGGAAATTTATTTTCATGGACTAATTACTCTATTTACAACACAAAGACTAATTAATGGTTGAAAGTAAACCACTCCCTAATGTATCCCAATATGTTTCATTTGCCGCGATACCTCAATGAGATGAGATACGTCAAAAGTTCGTTAATTTCAGCCATTTCACGTTTGGCAAATCTCTTCTCAATATGATCAAGGAAATCCTTGACTGAAGTCATCTCAGACATAGTAACCCAAAATATTTCCCGGATATTACAATGCATCATCAGTTATCTGACCCTTTAAAAGTACTTTTCAAATTTTCAAGAAAAAATCGAGAAGCTACAAATAGATGGTTTTAACCAAAAATTTTAAGCAATCTGTAAATACTCTCTAACTGCTTTTTTTCTTGTAGCTGCAGCACAAGAGGTTATAAAAATTTCAAAAAGGCTAAAGTGGAGAAGAAGAAGCAGAATGAAAATGCTGGAATTTCAGCTAGTGATAAATGAGACCGCACAAAGAGTACAAAATAAATTTGCAAAAGTTACCTCATTCACCGTCTCCTTGACCCTTTTTAAGGAACTAAGCTCCCCAACATGGACTTTCTTGCCTTTTCTTATAACACGAATTCCACAGTCCTTGACGATTTTACCCTCTGTGACCATGCATCCAGCAACCCGACCACTTCCGCTACTAAATACAGCCCTTACCTCTGCTAAACCAATTTGCACTTGATCCTGTGGAAAAAAGGAAATAGTAGCCAAATGATATGCTTGACCTGAGCTTAAAATGCAAAACACAAAAATCGATAAACATTGTTTTATCATGAATAACTTCAGAAGCTCAAGGAATGAAGTGCTTCATCAGAGCTTAATCGGAGAAAAAAAAATACATATTCAAAACATTTAACCCTCATATAAAATACTCTTCAAAAATAATTATTTACATATGTGATATATATACAAACATCTCAATTTAATAATTGTCCGCACATACACAATCATATGCAAACTGGTTCATACTCCATTGTTCAATTCATCATTTATAATGTATATATACAAAAATAAATAAATAAAACCTCATCAAAATGTTCTTCCCAATCAATGCAACTTAATTTTCAGCCACAACATTATTGGAACGAAGCCTTTGAAATTCTAGGGAGAAGGTGAAGGATCTTCATAGAACAAGCCTCTCGGTCATCCATATGGGAAATTATATGCTCAAAGTATCTCTCTCTCTCTCTCTCTCTCTCGCTATATATATATATATATATCTTTGTTTGTAACAGCTTTGTGGGGATAATTTGTGAACTATATATGTATCCAAACTATTGTTAAATACTACCCATTGTTCTTATGTTAGATATACACCTGTCACACACACAACTTAAAATAATTACTGATTAATATACATGCATACACAAAAAGCAACTAAATTTACTTATTTATAATAAGAGACACACCTCATACTAAACTATAGAACATATTGAAGTCTTGCATTCTTTAGAAAAAGGCAAATGTAAGAAATGGGGAAATGCTCTTAAAAGGAAAATGTAAGAAATGGGGAAATACTCTTACCTCAACTGGGTCCAGAAGTCCCTCCATTGCATTTCGCACATCATCAATGAGCTCATATATAACTTTATACAGACGAACTTCAACACCTCTGTTATCTGCGTAGCTTTTGACTGAGCCCGGTGCTCGGACATTAAAACCAAAAACAATAGCTTTACTTGCCACTGCAAGGTCAATGTCACTGGTGCTGATATCTCCAGTTGCTTGGAGTAGGAACTTCAAAGTGATATTATCTTGTGGAAGCACCTGCAGCGCTTGCCGGACAGCCTCAATGGATCCCTAGACATTAATCAGATGTTTGTCTTAATTGAAGATCATGATCTGATTACGAGAAACTATTGAATACATAAATGTTATGTTGTTTGATGGTACTTTTGTTTTGCATATAGAATCAGAAGAAAACACATGACAGCATAGATTGTTTGTATTATAATTTTGAGCCTGAGTTGTCTTAACCAAGCTGATGCTTATGCTGGAACCCAAATCCTATTGTTGAATGAATACCAAATCCTAAAGAAAAACAAAACTGAAAAGAAAAAGGAAAAATAATTCTAGCATAATATTTAACATTAGTGAGAGATGCTAGAGATACCTGAACCAAATAAAGCATTCAAAACCCATAGCACCTAAATCTATATTAGCCTCTCTAAATGTAAAACACATACATGAGAACATGGAGAACTAAGAGCATTATAATCACAAATGATGAATTAGGCACCGTAATTTTCAGATATTGACCTGTTACTGTTTTCCTTAAACAATATCCAGCCTAGTTTTGCAAGATTAAAACATTATATTTGGTTTGAATGCTTTGGCTGGACCTACCTGAACATCAACCTTGAGGATGATATTAAGCTGGTGCAGATCTAATCCAGCGCTCTTTCCTGCTGAAACAGCAGAAGCAAAGGAAGAGAGAGTAACCTTCCCATCCCCTGCTTTTTCAGTAATCCGCTCATTTCTCAGATAGTCTGCCCGGGATTCTGCCTTCTCTCGAGCAACATCAAGTGAACCAACAACCTCAAACTCATCACCGGCTAAAGGAACATTACTCAATCCTATGACCTGGCAAAACATACAGTAAAGTTATCAAGAAATTGTAAAAAGCAGTTAAGTTAAAGTACAAATATTGAGAAAGATGATTGGGCATGTGTTGGATGCAAGGAGGGGCAGGGTAAAAGAGCTCGGGACTTCAAGAACCAAATCTTTAGCCTTATCAAAATGGAAATCAGTGTGCCCAAACTTCATGTAACTACATGAAAATTTACTAAACGACATAACATATATGCTGGGGCATGAAGCCTTCTGAATTATTATGGCATAACATTATGATTATCAAGAATCCTAGTTCATTTTTCACTTCAGAAAGAGCATGGCTCTTCCTCCCAGTAACCAATTAGGTCCAGAGGTAAGGAATAGATCAACTAAGCCCTCACGGGACTTTCTCTAATGGAGGAGCCTTTGCTCGTTCTGCATCATTTTCTACAGTTTCTGAGATCAAGATTTATGCAGATCATGGTAGAGCTATTTATATAGTCCATTTCTACATATTTTTTGAAACTTCGAATATAATCGCAGAGCACTATTTGAGGTTCCCAGTCTGGCGTATGTGTCTACTTTCTGCTATAGAGTATCATGATACAAGTTGAATCATAAGGATGTTTGAAAATTGAAACAGCTTGCGTCATTGATATCCAAAAAAATTAGTTTTTAGAGAATATGATGTTTCAGAGTTAATAATAATCTTTAATAGTATGTGCATACAACAAGAAAAAAGAATCAAGTGCTGCTGCATTCTAGTTGTAAGAGCACAAGGAAGAGCTCGTCCATTTAAGATGTGCATGTCTGATTCCTTAGGCTAGAAGTATTTAAAATGAAGTATGTCATGGAGTAAACATAAGTCATCTAAGTGCAAATGAAGTGATCCAACACATGTAGCGAATCACACCAGCAAATATAGCAGTAAGAGCAAACCATGCCAAGGCTATCGATATACAAAGTTTCCAACGACAAACTTTCACATCTTTGCAAAATTAAGCATCTCAAAGACTTAACTACAACCATATACGCCCACACAACCCATTCTTCAAAATAATATAAGAATATAAAATAAGGCAGACAGCACATGTATATAGAAATACCTGTACTGGAATGGAGGGCCCTACATTATCAACCTGCTTCCCTTTATCATCAAACAAAGCCCGCACCTGAAATTATGTAAGAATCATCCCTGTCATCAGAGAGATCTTAAAAATCTTCCAAAGATCAGAATTTTTTGTACAAACCTTGCCAAAAGCTTCACCACAAACCACAATATCCCCTTTTTTCAGGGTTCCATTTTGCACTATAAAAGTAGCTACGGGCCCCCTTGATTTATCAAGACCAGCTTCAATTACAGTTCCTTTAGCATTCCTTTGCGGATTAGCCTTGAGTTCTTGCAACTTCAATGGAAAACCATAATCGCAAACTTAGATTGGATCACAAACAGAAACACATATAAGGAAATTTGAAACAATTTTCCTCTGTTTTGAATCACAGATGTCATTGAGTTCCAACCATCAAGAAGGAAATGCTAAAAGTGAGCAATCTCACAACAGTATATACTATAACAAGTGTGTAGATTCTCTACAATGCTCTTACTGACTTGCTAACACCTTAACATCTTCATTGGAGCATACATATGATGCGTGGTATAAAACCAGTAGGGCATCGAAATTTAGAACATATTGAGCAGCTGTGAATTAGAATTATAATTGAGTAAAATATATAAACCTACCTCGGCAACAAGCATAATGGTTTCCAGCAACTCATCCACATTCTCCCCCTTAATAGCACTTATCTGTAAAAAAGTCAGCCATAAATCAGTTAAGCAATAACTTCAGCATCTGAAACATAATTTTCATATTTTTCTATGACCTCTGAAGTTAGCATAATTTATAAGATTTATGTTACCTTAACCATTGGGACATCGCCACCCCAATCTTCTGGCATTAAACCAATTGATGAAAGATCTTGCATTACTCGGTCTGGATTAGCACCATCCTTATCTATCTACAAAAAAGGGGAATGAATACAAATATATCATAATCCGTAGAAGGACACCTGGGAAAATTGGCATCTGAACAATTATACCACATCAACATACCTTATTAATAGCTACAATAATTGGCACGCCTGCAGCTTTGGCATGAGCAATGGCCTCATTTGTTTGAGGCCTGATCCCATCATCCGCTGCAACTACAATGACGGCAATGTCTGTTACTCTCGCCCCACGTGCTCTCATTGCTCCAAATGCCTGTGGAAAAAATACCAACTAGCAATTTTATTGATGATTACAAGTACTAGGCAAATAGGTTCCAGATGTGGACTCATCGATTCCAGAATATGTTCAAGTTGCGGGACAGAAGATAAACAAACTCTTAACAGAATCAATTTAGAATATTATTACCTCATGTCCAGGAGTATCAAGAAACACACAGGTTTGTGGCTTGCCATCCAGATTTATATCAACCTTGTACGCCCCTATTCCTTGTGTAATTCCACCAGCTTCAGATGCTGCCACCTAATTGGAGCAACCAATTCAGTGACCCAAGCAACTAATACATTTTTACTCATCTAATCATCAGCTTGTAATAACATATGTAACCCTTTTGCACAATAGACGTCACATATGTACCTTACTCTTCCGTATGTAATCCAGAAGTGTTGTCTGCATGTGTACACAATCCAGTCAGTTGGATAGTTAACTAATAGAGAGTTTGTTAATAAACATTGAATAAAACAATTGGGGTAGTCCCGACCTTCCCATGGTCAACATGGCCCATTATGGTTAGCACAGGAGGTCTCTCTTCTAGTTTGTCCAAATCATCTTCATCAAGAATTTCCTTCTTTTTCGCCATTTCCTCTACCCTGTGAGGAGCAGCATCTATGACTTCCACGTCATACTCTTTACAGACCATCTTCACCATGTCTTTGCTCAGCTTTTGGACGCCATCGGGCTTAATTCCCTTAGCGTACAAATTCCCAAGAATTTCACCCTCACTGATGGCTAAGTTGAACGCCAACTCCTCAGTTAACATACCATCTTCACCAACTTCCATGATTTCCATTTTAACAGGTGCAGCATCTTTTGCAGCCTGTAGTCTAGCAGCCTTTCGGCTTGCTTTAGACCATTTTCTTCCTTTTCTAGCAGTGGCAGTGCCAGGTATAGTAACATCAAGCTCGGATATATCCTCATCAGCAATTGCATCTTCATCATCATTAACCAGACGCCTCCGAGGTGCACTGGATGGACCACCCCTTTTTCGGAACTCATCCTTGAATTTTCCTGGAGTAGGACCCTTCCCTGGTTTTGGAGGAGCTAAAACTGATTGGGCAATCACAGGATCAACAGCTGGTTTCTTTGATGCAAACTTATCAATCAAAATTGGCTTGCGTTCTTTAGTCTTTGTTCCTGAATCAGTAGCATTTACATCCTTCAAAATGACTGGTTTTCTTATAGGAGCAGGAGGAGCTACGGAGGGTTTTGCTTGTAATTTAGGTTGCACTTTTTCAGGCGGTTTAGGCGGCGAAGGTGGAGCAGCTGGCGGAGAGGCAGCCCCCCCACTTCCATTCGTCCTACTTCCAGGTTCCTTCACTGTAGTTTGTGCAGTTCCCACTGGATTACCCTTACGCCAGACGCTTCTCACAGTCTTAGACTTACGAGCCGAATTATCCAAAGAATGAACTGGTTTTCCATTCTTTTGGGCCACAGTTCCATTAGCTGCCACTTTGTTTACAGAAACATTCACCGTCTTTCTAGTCTCTAGCTTCTCCGCCTTCTCCAAGACCTCCTCAAGTGATTCAATCACTTGACTTCTCTCCTCCTCTTTTCTATCTGGCTTCTCATTGTTCGACTCCACACCAAGTTTTGATTCATCCCAAGACATGCCAGGAAGGGAATTGTCCCTCGATTCTGACTTCAAAACTGGCTTGGGAGCTGGCTTTAGCAATGCATCATTCTTATTGTCTTTACCACCTTCGTAAGGAGAATCAAGAGACACTGAAGTCCCGTGCTCGGCAACAAAATCAGTTGTTACGGAATATTTACAAACACTAATGTACCTCCATCTCTCCCCACTCCAAAACCTTCTAAAATTAGCCCCATTTCTGTTGAAAGAAACCTTCCTAACGAAGCAAACGGAACCATCAAAATTACCGAAAGATATCATATTCAAGCTTCCCAAATTCGCCAGGGAAGCTAAATAAGCCATGCCAACACTCATATATCCTCCACCATTCGAGAATCACTTCACCGAAACAAAGCCAGTAAAAAACTTCCAAATTCCTGCAAGAAACAGTTTTTTTTTCAAGAAAATCAAAATCAAAATCTACATCTCGTATATCTTTCTTCACAATTCCACCAACACGAACCCCACAACTGGCATTGATTAAATGGGTAGACAATCATACCTGCGAAGTGCGGGGTTCCTCCTCCAAGTACAAGCAAGAGTCGATTTTTTGCCCCAACAGTAGAGAGATGGGAGGGAGGAAAGGAATGAGGCGTACGAGTGGTTGTTATTATCGGATGGACTAAGAGAATGGGAAATTTCGTGAGGTGGATTGGCCTGTGGTTGTGTGGTGGTTCCTCCTCCCTACAAATGTTACCAATTTGCATGTTGATAAGGCTTTTCTTTTCTACTCATTCTTGTTGGCTTCTGCGGAAGCCATTTCTTACTCCATATGATTTCCCTGCGTAAAAGCTTTACAATTTGGTCCCTTGAGTAAAGATTTTTGTATCTCTAGCCGAAAACTTTTATTTTGTTTTAGGATTTTTCTCCATGGGATTGGGCTAACTATGATATTGTCGGCTTAGAGTTGAGCCCATACAAATTTATTTTTGCACTTATCTGGTTCAGTGGTAGAGTGGACTCGATGACATCAAGCATTGGTTGTGGCGGTGGCGGCCCAAGGTAAAGTCGTAAATTAGTCCTTGATTTGAGGGAAGAATTATTGAAGTAGAAACTCAATTTTCACATTGAAAAGTTTAAAGAAAAATCTATACCTTGTAAATTCTACATAAATTCCACTGATATAAGATTTTTTTAGGAAGTTAAAAATAAATTCGTACACTCAATCCAAGCCGATAATATTATATTAGTGTTGATTTGATCTAGCCCAATTTGATTGTAAAATGGACTTGATAGTATTAGACATTGATTGTAGATTCGCTCTCGTTGACCTCGTAATTAAAATATGCGAGGTAGTTCAGGGGACCTAAGGTAAATACCATTGAAGAAGACCCATAGGTGGATTTTTGGATTGAGGGAGGATTATTGGATAGAAATATTCACACTTCATCAATTCTACATAAATTTCATTAGTACGAGACTTTTTTCGAAATAGTCCAAAAACATTGAGTTAGCTCAATTCTAATAGTTCATTATATTAATAAGTAGTTCACAATATTCTTTATCCATCTAATAGTTTCTTAAGGAGTGGCATAATGATGTCACGTAAAAAGATGATATAATGATGCAGAAGTAAACTTGTAATTATAAGTTTATGGTTTCAAACTCCTGACATCTCTAAATCCACATAATTTCGAATTTGTTCAGGATTCACTATATTTTTTTATATTACTAACAATTTTTTTATAACTAACATAAGAAATAATACATTAATAAAAAAATACAAATAAACGAACTTATAGCTTCTTATATTTGTTGATTATATTATATCATTATAAACATTTTTTTTTAAGTCCATAATAAATAATATTGAGTATTCATTTCTTTTAAAATTAATCGATCAGTGTAATATTTTTTTTTATATATAATTTTCATTTATTAGTAAATATATAGGTTTATTGTCGTCTCTAGTTGTTAGACTGCACATCATAACATTTAATATTGAATGGTCTCGTCTTGGTATTAAATTTTAATGCCTATTTTATCAGTTATTAGTGAAGATGACACAGAGATGAACTCGTTACCCATTAATAAAAATGTGATTGCAATAAAAAAAAAAAAAAAAAAAAAGAATTGAAACAATTGCATATGATAAATATTTAATTTTTGAATAAAAAATTGTTTTTATAATATATTAAGTAAAGAATAAATATTTAATTTTCTCATTTATGCGAGAAAATAAAATTGAGCGAGACCTGGACTAGATATTAAGGAACAAATATATATATATTTGAGATTAACCATATATTAAAATTTATAATAAATACGGGTCACAACTTAAAACGGGTCTGGATCGACCCAGCGGCTGGAAAAACAACAAGAAAAAAAATAATAATAAAATAAAAATGAAATAGCATAATAAAATATATAATCGATCTGAAAAAATTATTTTGACAATATATAGATATATTGTGTATATATATATAAACGCGCTCTCACTGAGCGGAGAATAGTTTGTGCGAATTGAGGTTTTGATGAAATAATGACATAAAGACACGCGCATATTATATATCTTGGAGAAGAGAGACAGAGGAGAAGGAAAAATGAGGGACGACGCCGTAAGCTCTTCAGGAGACCCGCCGCTGCCTCCAAGATCTTCGTCCCCTCCGCCGAGTCTCACTCCCGCCGCCAGGTGAAATATTTTACTTCCGTTTGAGCACTTGTTTCTCTCCCAATATATCAGTTGCCCTAATTTGTTGTTGGTGTTATTTTCCTAGCTGGAAATTGTGAAATTCGGACGTGAATTATGCAAATCTTAGAATTTGACGGGGTCAATTGTGTGCACGAGCCTGTTTTTGCTGTGCTTGTGGAGAGTGAAGTGAAATTAGGGCTTCCTATGAATTGGGGCAATTTTGTTTTTCTTTTTGAACAAGCAGGGATCTATGTTTATGTAATTGGGTCCTTTGTCGATTCAATTAAAAAAATCAGCTTGGCCTATAAATTTCCCATATTTATCTTCAGTTTCATTTGTTTCCTTTAGGTACGGTGGTTGTATGGAAAGCAACGTTATATGACGAGAGCTTACTTCTTATTTGTTTTCCTATATATATATATACACTATATTCACCTTGATATTATATGCTTTGCTTGATTTGTATGGAATATGTTTGTCCTGATAGTTATAAGTACGCACTATTTAAATTATCGTGAGGTTGAAGTACAGTTGGGATATTGTATCTCTCTCTGTCAAGGACTGCATGGTTTAGCTAAATATGCTGAACATTCTTAAAAACGAAGTCTTCAATGCTTTGTGTTCAGATTAGCTGCTTTATGGCCCCTAGCATTCTTGATATAAAGTTTAGTTTTGTAAAGATTTTAATCTGGCATATGCAAAAAGGATCCTTAATAAGGGTAATAAGTGCATGATATTAGCTTTGGAGAATGGAGTGGATGTAGTAGTCTTCCACATTATGGCTACACTGCTTATCATTTTTCCCCCTTTCTAGTTCTGTTGGAGCATCATCCCCAGCTGTTCCCGCAAATGCTGGCAGCACAGACTGGCTTGGTCAAGGGCAGAATTTGAAAGGCGGATCAGTGTCTTGCATTGGTTCACAGCCAATGAACACATCATTGAGTACCAGTGCTGGTGGTTCTATTCTTGGATCTTCACAGCCTTCCTGCAGGCCCTGGGAAAGGGGGGATTTGTTAAGGCGTCTGTCCACATTTGTACCTGCAAATTGGAGTGGAAAGCCGAAGGTGTGAAAATGGCTTACAAATTTTGCTATGATATCAGTGAATGCTCTACTCCAATTTAAGTTTATTTTTGTTCATATTCCCATGTGGCTGCCTTGTTCATACATATTTATTATTCATGCTGATAGAGTGAGAATTGATCTTGAATTTTTGTGTATGGGTATTTGATAATGTATATTAGATAGATCATATATTTGGTTTGATATTGTTTTTGGGGAGCTGTAAAATCCAACAAATAATTACGCAAAATTGAGCCTTTACCTGTCATGAACTTTTCTGCAAATGAGTAATTTGGATGTAGGCAGGCCAACAGAGATGTGAAGGGTCCACTCAGAATGATGGTAGGATATTCTGTTGTGTCATATTTAATGCTTATTAGTAAAAACATCATAGCTGCCTGATGTGTTGAGGTTTTTATTTTATTTTGATAGTTTTGGCTTGTAAGGTGTCCTTGGCTGTGAAAAAAAGAAGCTGGTTTTTCTGCTTATTGTTGTTTTTCATGCAATTTTGATTTAGGCTGCCAGTTCGCTTTCATGTGCAAGAAGGGGCTGGGTAAATGTGGATGTTGATACAATTGAATGTGAATCTTGCGGCGCAGTTTTGAAGTTTGTTTCATCAGCTACTTGGACACCTTCTGAAGGTAAGTGTTGAATAATGTTATTAGTTGATGTTTGGGTTACAAGAAGTTTCTGGTGTGTTTATTTGTGCGGTTTTAGTTTTGAATAGTAAAATTTTGAATTGCAATAGTTGTTTTATGTGATGTTTTGAATGTAAAATTAATTTTTAGTTTAATGTAGTAAATGTAAATAAGTGTTTGATTTGATATTTTTTGGGGAAAATTTTTTGAAATAGTAAAACCAAAACCAAAATCTTACAAGTGAACACCGTGATTTTCCAATATGTTCATATTTGTATCTAAACTTTTCTAAAACAAAATAAAGAGAAGCTTGAAGTTATACTCTCTCTCTCTCTCTATCTTAGTTAAATACATTGCTTCAAATGAAGCTGTATCATTCATGTTAATGTCATTCTTTGTATGATCCTCTATATTTGTGTTTTCTTTTAAAATCTATCAAATTTAAAGATTGTACTTGTTAATATTGTAAGCTATTAAAGCTACATGTTGGATGGAATATAGGGCATCAATTTCGGTTAATTCTTGTTTTGTATATTGTTGTGTACTCAGAAGTCCAATGACACTTAAAATTATGGGTAATAGATCTACTCGATGAGGATGTTTTTTCTTAGAGTTGCAACTAATGGTGCCTTTAAAAATGTAAATATTTTATTTGTAGAGATAATCACAGATTACAATGATAATAACAACTAACATTGTTGTTTATTATAATGGAAAACGAGATATATTATTAAAAAAATCATTAGCTTCTTTGATATTAATTTTCTTCACTATTTGCAGCTATTTGAGCCAGTATTTTTTTCTAAATCCTATCTTAATCACTCACTACCAACATGGTTTTTCCCTGGGGAAGTTAAAAGTTTGTAATGAAATTTGGTATCAATTCCAATACATGTGTATCTATCAAGCTTTTAATAAATTCAACTTGAAGGGTGGGTGTAAATTTTTTTTTTTTACCATACCATAGAACCCTTGCAACATATACCAAAGACAAGAGAGTTGATGTAGTTGCTAATTGTATTCATTGTTATTTGTACGTACTCTGTATTTGTAACCTGTAGTTGAGAAATTTTCTGTTAGAGACAGCTCTGTTTGTGCTCTCTGCTGATTAATCAAAACTCTGTTTTAACTATTAATTTTATGTGGCAGCTGATGTTGCTGGAGAAGACTTTGCTAAGAGACTAGATGAAGAACATAAGATTAACTGTCCATGGATGGGAAATTGTTGTGCAGAAAGTCTGGTGCAGTTTCCACCGACTCCACCATCAGCTCTTGTTGGTGGCTACAGGGATAGATGTGATGGGTTGCTTCAGTTTCCATCCCTTCCTATTGTTGCTACATATGCCATTGAGCATATTAGGATTTCTAGGGGTCCAGAACTTGATAAGCTGTTGGCCCAGTCTCAGTTTGCACGGAATGAATCTGGTGTCAGGCTTGAAGTTTTATTAGGATCAGAGAACACCAAAGATGATATTTTCTTCATATACTCTCGTGTACTATATGAAAGCTCTCTTACATTTTATTTGTTCATAGCACTTAGTGTTCACTTCACTGTTGATTTTTTTTTTTTTTTTGTTGCAGTCACAGAAGTTAATAAGCCTTTGTGGATGGGAACCCAGATGGCTTCCAAATGTTCAGGATTGTGAAGAGCATTCTGCTCAATCTGCAAGGAATGGATGTTCAAGTGGTCCTTCAAAACATCATGCCCCACCACGAGATCGTAGCCGTGGAAAAAAAGCATTGTCCTCTTCCACCAAAAATGTTTTTGGTACCAAGGAATTTACAGGTACCAACTCAAAAAGTATATCTGGATCGCCACTGTTGGATTGTAGCTTATGTGGGGCAACAGTGAGAATCTGGGACTTCCTCACTGTCACACGCCCAACTACTTTTGTTCCAAGTAGCATTGATGCTCCAGAAACTAGTAAAAAGATGGTGTTGACAAGGGGAGTAAGTGCAGCTAGTGCCATCAGTGGGTGGGTTGCTGTGGATGGTATTGAGAAGGAGCAGGTAGACTACCATGATGAAGTCGCAACTGGTGAGGGAAAATCAATGTCAAATGTCGGGGTGGATTTGAATCTTACTATGTCAGCTGGCTTGTCTTCGTCACGGCTGAATATGAATGCTATGTCTGAGCCATTTCAAGATGTGCATAGAGGAAGAGATTTATTGATTGGGCAGCCTTCTGGAAGTGAGATTGGTGATCGTGCAGCTTCATATGAGTCACATGGTCCTAGCTCCCGGAAGAGGAATTTAGATGAAGGTGGAAGCACAGTTGACAGGCCGCAGTTATTGGTCCAACCAACAGACAGTGTTGAAGGAACTGTAATTGACCGTGATGGTGATGAAGTCGATGGAGGTGGACAGTACTCTGCCGGTCCTTCAAAGCGCGCTCGTGACTCCAGGGTTGTTGAGCACCATCTCTCACCCTATAAAAGGGACTCTTCTGGTGCTGGTCCAAGCCGTTCGTTTGGTTTTGATGTTGGACTTGATGCTTACAAAGATGATTTTGACCAGGGTCATGACCAATTTATTGGAAACCCATCAACTAGAGATTCGACGCATGTGTCCTCTGTTATTGCTATGGACACAATCTGTCACAATGCAGATAATGATTCAATGGAAAGCGTTGAAAACTATCCTGGAGATTTTGATGATGTTCAATTGCCTTCCACATCAACAATCAAGAATGCTGACCAAAATGAGACTTCTGAATTGAACTACAGCACTCAAGCACAACAGAGCACTTGTCAAGCTGTTATCAGAACTGCTGGTGAAATGGGTGTTAGTAGCACAAATGAAGAAGTGGTAAACACAGATACTGCAACCGCCCATGGGAGGGACGTCCCCAGTTTTGGAATTAGTGGAGGTAGCGTTGGTATGGGCGCCAGCCATGAAGCTGAAATTCATGGGACTGATGCTTCCATATATAGAGCTGAAAGTGGTGTTGGTGATGTAGAACCTATTGCTGAAATAACTGACAACCAAGGCCAAACAGGTGAGTTTGCTTCAGATCCAGGGCTAATGGGTGAATTCGTCCCTGAAGAAATGGATAGGGAGGATCCTCAAGGAGATAGTCAAGATTTAATGTCTCGATCTGTAGTAAGAGCTGATAGTGGCTCAAAAATTATGGGTTCAACTAAAGCAGACTCTGTTGAAAGTGGTGAAAAGACCAGTAACATGCGGGGCACCTCCTATGAGAACAGTCCTCATCCTTCCCTGTCATGCAATGCCATCTTGTGTTCTGGCTTTGAAGTTTCCAAGGAAGAAGTAACTCAGGCTGCCAAAGACCCAACCACTGATGAATGTGGATATGTGGAATCAGGGTATCATATTTCAACTGCCGCAGGTAATCCTTTGCTTTCAATGATTAAATTAATTTGTAGCTACTGCTTGATATATGATTGTGCGTATGGTATATATTAAAAATTTCTAATAGAAGACATCATTTGAGATTTAGCACATCAAAGTGCAAAAATATAAGTGTGAAGAATGAGTTCCACTCCATGGATCTGTTTTTTCCTTTGATCACGAGCTTCTTTGGCAGACTTTTACTTAAGTTAATTATGTTCTGTTTGATTATCAATTCTAAGTTCTAACTAGGTTCATTCCCTTTAACGTTGTCGCAGTATCTTTTCCTCTGCTTATTTATTTTCAATGGGTAATGATGTTGCCTATGGAGCTTTGTCAGGGCCTCCCAATGGTGGAAGCAACTATGACGAAGCAGTTGAGTTTGATCCAATCAAACATCATAACCCCTTCTGCCCCTGGGTGAACGGAAATGTTGCTGCTGCTGGCTGTACTAGCAGCAGTGGTTCGGGTTCCAGCGCGGGAGCAGTTGCACTTTGTGGCTGGCAGCAGACCTTAGATGCTTTGGATGCTTTTCAATCACAGGGGCAAGTTCCGGTACAGACAGTGGAATCTGAATCAGCAGCTTCCATGTATAAGGTTTGTGAAAACTTTTGTTTGCCTCTTCCACTGTTACAGTTGTTCTCTCCCAAGTTATTGTAACAACAATGAAACACAGAACTCTGATTGGTTGCAGGATGAGCATCATACTGGCAATCGGAAGCTCTTGGCACGACACTCTTTCAACAAAAGCCATGGCAAAAACTGAATCAGATATAGTTGGTTTAGAGTTCCAGAATCTGGTATTTTTCTACATCTTGTTGCTAGTTAAGTAACAATTCAACACCTGGATTATAATCGACCTAACTTAATCAAAACTTTCAAAATGAGCCTCTGATTTGTTGATATTCATCGGTTATCCTTCCAATAACCATGATGTTTTAATTTCATTGCTTTCAGTTGCTACTGCTTCCTTGTGCAAGACACCAAAGTTGAAGATGAACAGCACTTGATCAAACTGAAAACGGCGAAAGCCAGTCATTGCATCTTTACTGTATTTAGAAAACTCCATTGCCTGTGGTGCTTTTTTTTTATGCTTGTTTCCAGAGCTAGTATCAATAATAATACCTTGCAAGGACCTTCTGGTACTTTCGTCGGGCATGAGACATGTATTTGAAGCTCTTCTTCACATTCATAAATGTGGTTGAAGTTTTCTCTGACAGTTACTTATTCATGAGGCATTCTTGCTATTGAACAATACATCTGTCTGGATTCAGCCCTCAGACGATTACTGTTTTCTTTTTGCTTAAAATGTTTTCCTGTGATTTCTACGATTTATTTTTTGATATATTTTACTTGAAATTGCATTTTTAATGGTGGCTGTCTCAATTCTGTATTCCAAATTTTAGTGAGGAGCTGTGGAGGTAGAAGAAGACAATCTGTATTAGCCGGCTTAAATGAAGTCCTTTCAAAATGAACTTAAACACTAAAAATCAATCATTATTATTTTCTAGATTTAAGATGTAATAACTAAGACAACCTAGACAACAAATTAAATACGGTTTTCTTTTTTTATGCAAGCACTATTTATTTCTCAACATATTATTACCAAAACCCTAAGTCGATCAGAAACAAAGTAGGTCGAAACATACACGCACAAATGAATGCATATATATGTCTCAACGACATTACAAGTCCTACACACACACATATATATATATCATCAGTAGTTTTTATTTTTATATTTTTTGGTCGCTGTCCGGCCGGCGGCTTCAGTTGTGCATACATATCAATCAGGTCTGGAAGACAGCCGCGGCAGCGGTGTCGGAGTAGGCGGCGGCGGCGGGGGCATCGTACTTGCTGAAGAGTCGGTAAGAGGAGATGAGGGAAAGGGCGGCGTAGCAGAGGGTGACGATGAATGTGATGGCAACGGAGGCGGTGGCCTTGCGGCAGAAGCCGCCGAATGCACCGCACGTTTGGCTCCAGGTGATGGAAGCGTCGCCCTTGTAGGCCAGGTACACCACCTCCGTCGAGATCGCTCCGGCCGCCAGTATAATGTAGGTCAGCAGCTGCATGCAAATACAAATACAATTAATGCACTCCATTTTTAATTTTTAGATTATTATTTAATAAAAAAAAAAGTTATGTCCAACCAAATTTACATAATTTTACTAGATAAAAAGAGTCTCGCAATTTTCACTAGGGTTTCTATAAATTTGCTAGATTCAAAAGTTCATATAAATTACTACTTCCTCCGTCCATGTCCACCTTTTTATTTTCGTCCCTTCCATTTATTTTGTCACTTTTTTTTTTCTTTTGGAAAATAATTATACACTTTAATCTTATTTTTAAAATTTAATTTTTAATTTTAATTATACTAATCAATTATCTTAATTTTAATTTATAATTATTTTTATTATACGATAATTATTTTCACTAATATATTTTTAATTATTTACTAATTATATCCCTCCTAAATTTTCGTGTCTACGATAACGTGGTCAAATTATCCGGGAGGGAGGAAGTAAATTTTATCCTATATATGCATGTATGACTAATTACACAATAATTTAGGGTACGTACACTTTTATTTGATTTTCTACAATTATATATTTGAATTTGATTTTTTTATTTAATTTATAATACTATATTTACTAATTATTTTAATTTAAAATAATTAAAAAATATAAAAATAAAATTAAAAAATTAATAGTGGTATATATAGATGGATAGGTTGGAAGTAATAAATTAAGAACCTGATCAAGCAGAAAGAAGGCCCAAGCACGTGACATGGTGGCCGGCCGGGGCACCGCCGCCACCGCCGCCGACAGCAGGGAGTAGCCGGCGCACACCCCGCTCGCGTGCACCAAATATCTACAAACACACACACACACACTCACTCACTATTACATAAATATATATATAGATAGATAGATACACATGCATACAAAAACATCGATCCAGATATATATATATAATATGCGTGCCTGAAAGCTCCGAGGTCGGAGTAGGAGAGAGTGCCATAGTCGGTGGTCTGAGAGTCCTTGAGCATTATTACAAGCGCCGCCACGCACAGCCCCACCGGCAGAATCCGCAGCAGCGTCTCCGCCGTCCTCATCGCGCCACCGTCCGCAGCCACCACCTCCTCCTCCTCCACCTTCCCCATTTCCTGTAATTCTTACTTTTCTGCAATTGAATTTGAAATATATGTGTTGAAGATGGAAGGAATTATTGTTTGGTTGGGAGGGCCGAGAAGCAGCTACTTATAATAATAATATAATTTAAATTTATTTATTAATGAGAGACGTACGTACAGTTGAGATATGGTTGTGATGAATTTATTGTCGCATTAAATTTGGCCACACTTTCCTATGCACATATATATATATATATATATATAACTAAAAAATATATTGCTCTATCCTTTTCTTTTTCTTTGTATTATTTGTTTTAATTAATTTCTACATTATTGATATGCATGATCGTGATACCTTCATTCATTCATTCATTATTAACCAAATCGACTTCATCAATGTGCCAATAATGAGTTTTGATATAAATATAAATATTTAAATGAACTTAATATGCTTGTTATGTCTATACTCTATCTCTATGTCTAGCTAGGAAAGCGTTTGCAATTTCGATCCCAATTCTTTAATTTGTGCAATTTCAATTGAATTTTATATATCTTTTAATTATCGTTAATGGGATTTGCTGTTGGTTAATGACCAACACATTGTCATTGTATTGGGATCTTACTATAATTATAATTGAAAATTAAGATCAAAAATTAATTTAATAACATAAATAAATTATCAAAATTGAATGAAGAAAGGGGATAATTGAAGTAAAAGACATTTTTATCAGTAGGGCCAGACTGGAAAAGATACGATAGTGAGAAAAAATTAAAAAAAAAAAAAAAATGGAAATCAGAAAATTGGATTTCTGACCCGACCCGGAAGGCCAAAGTGGAGCTACTTAACTTGACCCAGAAACCCGAACTCTTTCTGACGGTAAACACAGTCAACAGATAAGGGTGGCTTTAGCGGTTCCACTTCAGGTTCGTTCGACAATACATGCTGAGGAACTCAACATTTATCGATCATGGCCTCCAATTTTGTACCCCAGGTACCGATTTCTCGCTTTATTAACAATGTATGGAGTTGGCAGGATGAATTGTGTCTTGATATTCGTCATTTTGTTGGTTCTAATTTTGTGGTAGGCTTCGTTCATGGTTCGTGGAACTCCGGCACGGTGCTCGGCGAAGAATCTGGCCTTTTCTACGGCAGTTTCGCGGCGCAACTCTGTGGTTGGTTTGGTTTCCAGGATTTCAACGAGATCCGACGGCTTGTGTTTTTCGGGAAGGGAAAGGGGTAAGAAGTGCTCGTTCGTCGTGAATGCGGAGGCGAAGGCTGAAGTGGAAGTGGAAGTGGAAGCTGAAGTGGTAGATATCAGCGAAAATGTGGAGAGCGTTGAAACGGAAGAGACACAGGCTGATGACAAGCCACCTAGACAACCTAGAGTTAAACTTGGAGATATTATGGGGGTAATAATCTTCACCATTACTTTTGGCTATTATCCGTGTGTAGTTAATTTTTTGAGAGATATCTCCAATTTGGTTCTCATGATTAGAAATTTGGTTGTACTTTTGGCATGATTTGTGTGGAATTTTCAAGTTGGTCTATATCTTGTTTATTAGATGGCATTGGTATAAAATTGGAGAACTTGTAGTTATAGAATTTATGAACTTGTACTGTTAGTATGAATGATGGTCGTCTACTGCTTGGAAAACTTGGAATAGAAGACTAAGGAGATAAGGGGTGGACAGCAGTTGGTAGAAGAGACTTAAAGTGGCGTTACTTGATAAGAGTCTTTATGATACTGCCATGGTGGAGGAGTTGGCTTTTAAAGGGAAGTGTGTAAGTATAAAATTTAGCTTTTGGTGTTCATTTGAGAGTTAGTTGCCGGGACCGGTGGTAAGCAAACTGTTGTTGTCAAGGAGAGGTTATGAGGTTGATTTTGACATGTGATGTCTTATTAAAAGCTCCGGGCCAGGGCTTACCCTCCAGAGTGAGATATTGGGGGAACCACTTGAGCTGAGTCTTGAATAGTTGAAGTTGTGCCATCGCTCTCTAGATACTGGATGGCTAGACAAAGAGCAATGGAATTTGTTTTGAGGATGCTTAGAGACTAATATGTGTGGTGTGAATGTGAAAATGAGATAAATTGTAAATTTTGTGGAATCATAGGAATCTCTGTCATTGCATTGTCGAATAAGTCCTGCAGACAGTCTCAAATCACACCAAAACATAAGTTCTATAAGTTTTACCTGTCTTTAATGGTTATATGTATGTAGCATTTTTTTTTTTTTGGTTTTTCCTTGCATTTTATTGATTCTTGGAACAGAAAGATTGTGTTAATGGGTGTGGATATTGAAAAACAGATACTGAATAAAAGAGCAATTGAAGCATCAGATCAGGAAAGGCCCATTCCAGATCTTCGTGTCGGTGATATTGTGGAAATAAAACTGGTAACAAATCATCTTGATTTTCAGTTTTATTTTCAGTAAGGACACATTTGTGTCTGCCTACACTCCTTGATTTGTTTGACATGTGAACTGGAGATATAATTTATTCTTTATAGGAAGTCCCAGAGAACAGGAAAAGGGTGTCTATATATAAAGGTATAATTATTTCAAAGCAAAATGCTGGCATCCACACCACAATTCGGATTCGGCGGATCATTGCTGGTGTAGGAGTTGAGACAGTGTTTCCCATGTAAGTATTCATTCTTGAGGAGTTTTATTGCACATAATTATTTTGTTGCAGCTATCAAGCATCTCTCTGAACATTTGAACAGTAAGGCTTCTGTGTCCAATTAATTGTTGACTTGATTGTAATAATGAATGATCATTAGCTAACGATTTACAACAAGATTTTCTGTTCCTATACCTAGAAGAGATTTCTCCTATTAAGATGTAGGTGGTCAAGAAGCCAAGCTTATACCGGAAACACCGAAAGAATTGTTGTTCACACAGTAAATATACTTTTGTTTTATAAAATAAAAAACTAGGTTTGATTACACCCTAGTGGAAATTGGAGCACATACAAAAGGGGCTATATGTGAAACAACTAGGTAAATCATGATCACAATGAGGGTTCTATCATTTCTTAACATGAAAAGAAGCCCAAAGAGTATTTTTTGTGTTAGATAAACTTGTTTTCAAGAAAACAATTATGTCATGTTTTCAGTAGAAGTTTACTATAGTAAGATTCCAGTGTGCTCTTTTCTGTTTTTTGTTCCTTTTCATCATGGCCTGTTCTTTTCTGTTAAGTTGTAACCTACAAAGGAACTCAATAAGATTTAGTAAGTAGACCAACAACCAATCTTGTTCTTTCCAAATCAACTGGTTATTTTATATGTATGCCACATATAAACCTTGGGAAAGAAAGAATGTAGTGCCTGCCCATATCAGTGATTATGGTCCAAAAACAACTCAATCTTGTTAGATGTGAGACTCCCACCTTTAGAGAGATGTGTCCTTCCTATCTTCCTAGCTTCCACTCAAACTTCCCAACAATGGTAATCCAATTCTCCTTTACCAAACAGATTACCCCACCTCATGAATCTGTTTATGGGGTCATGATGTGTCTGATTATAATACCAGCCTCCATATAGAAAGCATTGTGCACACATCAAATATGATTAGTTTTTGTTTTTTTCTCAAAGCTATGATCTTATAATCACTTTGTCTTGGCTGTTTCTTATTGTAAATTTGGGATTAGTTTAAATTCATACTTATAGAATAAATTAATACTATTGGGGTAATGTATAGTGTAGCTTTATTCATTTAGGAATTAATTTAGTGATAATTCTGAAAAATTAAGAGTTGGGGATTAATTGATTATAGTTTGACTGAGTTATCATAAATTAGTGAAGGCTTAACTGGATTTTCACTTGAATGTATATATTCCATTCTAGTTTTTTACAGATAGGCATTTCGTAGCATAGCAACTACTTATTTTGAGCTTCAAGCATTGTTTTTACGCCTGACTTTAGAGGATTGCCGTTGCCATAAGCAAGATACTCAATTGTTCTTCTAACATGGCTCTTTCTTTGGTGTTTTAACTTTTCATACATTAACATGTCTATCCTTCTCTGCAAATGTCTATGAGACCAAGATGGTGAATTTTAACCATCATTCTCCTTGATACAGATATTCACCGAACATTAAGGAGATAAAAGTAGTCAACCACCGGAAAGTCCGGAGGGCCAAGCTGTACTATCTGCGCGACAAGCTTCCGAGGCTCTCCACTTTCAAATGAAAGAGCCAAACAAACAAACACTCACTGTACAGTGTGCTATTATGTATCCGGGCATCTTCCATATCCCATGAGTATAAACTTTTGTTTTGTTCGTCTTACATCTTCAGAAATTCCATGTTTCCTAATCACTTGTAACTCTCCTCTTCCCATTATTTAATTTTTGCCGTCATTCTGGAATATTTATCCTCTGATATTCAATCTTCATTTATTTTCTATTGTTATGATGTTATGTTATAAGTCCAGATCATCTCTTAATGGACGAACTGATTAGCAGTAACTGAATTAAATATAATACATATAGCAATTTATATAAAATAATTTGTATGTTATTTATTTAAAATATAGAAATAAGATTTTAAAAAATTTTAGCATCCAAAACACAAAACAAATCATATCCTAGAATTTGTTAATATTGAAAAAATAAAAAATTGAATATTATGAGATCGATCAAAGCTCACATTTTATCATATTAGTTAAATTAATAAAAAAGTTTTATCCGAAAGTGTGCATTGATAAATATGTTGTTGAGAAAAAATATATATATATATATATGAATAATTTGATATCAAATTTAGTATAATTTTTATTTAAAATATTATATTAAATATTCATTTTTATTTTTTTTAAAATTTTAAAATTTCAACCCTAAATAAAATCTTGTATATGGAGCCTTGGTACAGTTAATTTAACTAATAATAATAATATAATAATAATAATAAATTTAAGTGCAGAAATTGCAGACTCACTCTCACAGTAGCGTAGACTGTAGTGTGCAAAAACCGCAATATATTTTTGTATAACTGCTCTATCGAATCTGTACCAGCAGCTCAGATTGTGCAGGAAGGGGTGCGAGCTACTCTGCGAAAGAAATGAGGCCTCAAATAGTTTTGTTTGGGGACTCAATAACGCAGCATTCTTTTGGATCGGGCGGTTGGGGTGCCGCCGTTGCCGATGCTTACTCCAGGAAGGTACCTTCTTTTGTTTCGGAATTTTTAATTGTTTATCTATTTAGCTATTTATTCCTGAAGTTGTTTGTGCGTTGTGAATCTGATTTTGTTAGGCGGATGTAGTACTTCGTGGTTACAGCGGATACAACACTAGGTGGGCGCTCTTCTTGTTGAATCATATTTTTCCTCTGGTAATCCTGATTCTTAATCATATGATTTCAATCATGTGTCGTTGATGGGTATAATGTGGTTTATATGTCGTCATATCATATACATACATATATATATATTGTGTGTTTCTGTTTTGTTCCTTTTTTAATTGGAATGCGCTATGTTCATATCCATTTTAAAAGATTGCCATTTCATTTTTTCTTCAGGAAATGAATGTATTGTGTGCCAGTTGCTATAGAATTGAATACTCAAATCCGAACTAGATGTATCAGATTCGTTTGACCTAGCGCCTAGTGATTTGTCTTTTGATTGAAACTCACTGGAATTCTAAGACAACGATACAGAGCTCAATGTATATCTGATTTTGTTAGGCTTTATGGTTCTGGGATATTCTGAATTGGACTGCTTTAGCTTGGAGCCAGAGTATTTGAGCTTGGATTACTTTTCTTTTACTTTTAAATAATTTTAAATTCCTACCAACATGTCTAATGTGTGATTTTGTGTCGGTTGCTGAAATCAAGCAGTAAAATTCTTTTTTATTTTTAACTCTCGATCAGGGATGGGAAAAACCTCCAATTGCGGCTACAATATTTTTTGGGGCCAACGATGCTGCTCTGTTAGATGGCACTGGTAAAAAGCAGCATGTTCCTGTGGAAGAATACAAGAACAATTTGAGAAAAATGGTCGAACATATCAAGGTATACATCCTAATTTTCCTTTTTCCCTTTTCACCGAAGTAATTGAGCATCAGTCTTTTAGAATGAGGACCATAGTTGAATGAAATCCTCTAACACATCTAAGATAGCCTGGAAGGAAGATTTCATTGATTTGGGCGTGTTTATTTGGGTGTTTCGTGCAAATTTTGGTTCCACTCTAATGTTCATCTGCTTAGTTGATTTGTGTATAAAATTGTAACATGACCATATTTTTATCAAATGAGTAACTTTCTGCTACCTTTATCTCTTTAATTTCAATAGACTGATGTTTAAATTTCCATTTTAACTGGTACGTTGATGGGGACAGTATTTTGAATATGTAATGGAATATGGAGTAAGTATTTACCAACAATAAAAGATTACTACTTTATAGGATAAAAACTAAAATTGTAATTGGTTTTCTAAATTTCCATCCTCAAAAGAAAGGCAAATTCAGAATTTATATCTTTCAAAGTGTATCTAGATGCATATTAACTGGAAAATTTTGCATGAGAATTGTGTTAATTTAATCCATCCTAGTAACTTTACCTAAATTTCAAAGTTCAAATTATACAAGTCTCTGAAGCTCTAAATTTTTAATCACCTTGAAAATAAAATCATTATTATTTTTAAAAAGTTGCTAGAACATGTGTTAGATACTTTGTTAAATCATTGGGTTTTTATATCCTGTATTAACTCACATAAAATTTTAAAAACATTGGATCTCTTTAATATGCTTATATTATGCTCATAAAAATAACCAATGAAATAGTTGCTTCCTTTGCAAACATTATATATGAATGTGTGAAGAGGCAGAGAATTGTTTTATTGGACTTTGGGAACAAACTCTATGATTCTATTCCTCTCTTTAATTTTGTACTTGAAGATGTATGCATTCACATATATGATCCTTAATGAATCAATATTGTATAAAGAGCAAGAAACTTGTATATAGCTTATTCTGAGAAGACATTTGTCCATGTTGAACATATTGAGTGAAATAAAGAAGTGTTATGCTTTAAAAAGTGACCCAAAATAATTGAAATTCTAAATTCCATAAACAACTTATATAAAAATGACAGTGCATTATTCTCATATATGACCATTGCAGAGCTTGTCCTCCAAGACAATTGTTGTTCTTATAACTCCACCTCCCATAGATATTGGAGGGCGACGTGAATATGCAAGGTAAAAGTGTCTTGTTCTTAGCATTCATTGTTTGATTTTTAACTTTTGGTTTTTTAAAAATAAAAAATAAAATTAGGTATTGCTGTAACGTGTGATAGTGCACATTTATGCATGCTCTTACCATTGCCCAGTAACATGATGAAACCATTTACTTTCTCAAATATCCTGCATAGATTTTCATTTTGGGGATTTCAAAGTCGTATTTCAACAACCATTATTTTATATACACTCAATTGACATTTTTTGATCTCTCAAATTGATTGCTGAAGTCACATTATCCCTTATATGAAGTGGCACTATCATCCATCAAGCATACAATGTAATGATTTTCTGTTAATTAATATCACATTTAGTACTGCCATTTTTACTAAGAGTAGTTCAGATATATATATGTTCTGCATGTTGTTTTAGTTGCAAAAACATTTAATCGAGAAAAAGTAAAGAAAAACACACCTGTGTAATGCATTTACATTTAGGGATTTAGTCCTAAATGACACAAATGATCCATTTGAGGACTGGAAAAGTCCTTCCCCTTTTGTCTACTTACATGCAGGTCTCGCTATGGCGACAAGGCTTCGAATTCACCTGATAGGACAAATGAAATCACAGGAATATATGCTGAAGAGTGTGTTGCTTTAGCTGAAGAACTTGGTCTTCCTTCAGTCAATCTGTGGTCTAAGATGCAGGAAATCGATGGCTGGCAGAAGTTTTTAAGGTTTGTTTCCCTACCAATATTGTCTTTCGCCATCTGTAACACTAAAATGTTAAAGCACAAAATCCGACTTATGAATAATTTGTTATATCATCCAGCAAGTGTATTATATTATGAAAAGATCGATCATTTTCATTGACCCAGTTACAAATTTTTCGATCTAAACTAATTTTTCTGTAACGTCGTTCTTAAATTTTTATAGTTTCAGACGAACACATGAATAATTTGTTATATCATCCAGCAAGTGTAATTTGAATTTTGTTTGCAGCGACGGCCTGCACTTGACAAGCGAAGGGAATGCTTTTGTTTCCAAAGAAGTGATCAAGATACTTGATGGGGCTGGATTCTCGGACCTACCTTACGACTTTCCAATGCATTCGGACATCGATGAGGAGGATCCCGGGAAAGCCTTTGCACAACAAATATCTGCAGTGTAATTCATTTGGCTGGTTACTGCTGCAGATTTATTTCGACAATTACAATCACATTTTTGCCGGGTATTACTTCATGTTTATGCTTACTCGGAATTAATACATTTTATGCTCTGTTCACCAATAATATAATACAACACGTTTTTTTTGTAATTTTTTCTGACCTTACTGTGATTAGTTCAAACAATTTGCAGTTTGTATTTCATCTCGATTCAGTCTTAAATTTTGCTACTAATTGTACTATAGCTAAATTATATCTATGACAAAAAATTTCATATAAATAGTTTTTGAATACCCTACAAGATGTCTTTTATTTGAATTTTAAACCAGAATTAATATTATTCAAACTCTCACGTAAAAATCAGTAATTTTCATTCTCATAAAAACCCTCAAACTAAAATAAAAACCACACAAATCCAAATGCTTTGAGTAAAACTGAAAACAATAAGAAAAGACAAAAATAAAAACCGTTATAATTTATTTATTTATTGTTTGTTTTTTTTGAGCAGAGAGTTATAACTATTAGGTCAATTTCTTTAGACCCAAACACCATATTATTTATTTATTTATTTATTTATTTTGAACAGAGAGTTATACACTTTTTTTAATTTTATGTTGAAAACAGGAGAATACAACAGCAACAACTTTTGATAGTGAAATTGATACTTTGCCAGTAAAAACCACTGTCCAAAAAATTGGGTCTTTGTAATGAAAAATATAGAGCAGTTTCCCTCAATTTAGACACGACAGAAAACATGCCTAAATCTCTGAGGCTGCACAACGGTACATTTCGGCCGGGTGAAATAGAGATCTCGCAGGAAACGGCGATAACTCATTGGATCGGCCACTGACGAATCGTCGAGATCCATAATCAATCAAAGAACTTCCAAAATACCAAACCATAAAATTTCTGGAACCTTTCGCAAATCATATGAAAACTATTACCAAATGACGCCTGCGAAAGGCTCCGCAGATCGATATATGCCCGCAACGGAACAAAAGCGCCATGGTTTCCCAAACGCCAAGTTCTCTCAAAGGCACCATTGAAATAAAAAGTAAAACCCTCAACCTACTCACATTTAAATAGAGAAGCAGAGAAATGGGCTAGGGTTCGGCCCCATGAACTGGACCGACTTTTTACGGGCCGGCCCAAAATTCAAGAACCATTTTATACATGATTACATTGGAAGAAAAAAAGACATTAAAAATTCTAAATTTTTAGTAGTGTAGCATAAAAAAGATTCGAATTTTACATCCCAATTGGCATTTGCATGCTGTATTGTAATAAGCCACTTCTCCAAAATTACATACGTATATATGTATATGATACCTAAAGCATCAGTCACCCTATAAAATATACAACAATCATATCAATATCACTGTAGTGTTTTCCTCCCTTCACCTTCAACCATTCTTTCTTACAAATTTCCGATCATGTTATCCTCTCCAAGTTATAGTTCACAACCTGTTCGAGCGCCGACCGGAACGAGCTCTCCGGCAGACACTCCAGATTCTCCACAGCCCGCTCGGCTATCTCCCTCGCCAGCTCCCGGGCCCTCTCGATTCCCCCGCTGGCCTTGACGATCTCGATTGCCTCATCCAACGAACCCGTCTCGCAGAATTCGGATTCGATGACGTCCCGCAGCTTCGACTCTTTCTCGAGCGCAAATATAACTGGCGCCGTCAAGTTCCCCTTGGACAGGTCGCTCCCGGCAGGCTTGCCCAGTTGATCAGCTGACTGAGTGAAATCGAGAATGTCGTCGACCACTTGGAAGGACAGGCCTAGGTTCTTACCATATTGGTACATTTGCTCGCAGATGTCGCCATGAACCCCGCTGAAAATGGCTGCCCCCTTGGCGCTCGCAGCCATCAACGAGGCCGTCTTGTAGTAACTCTTGATTAGGTACTCGTCCAGCTGGACGTCGCAGTCGAATAAACTTGATGCTTGCTTTATTTCGCCGCTGGCGAAGTCTTTGATGACCTGTAAGAAAATGTAAGTAAAAATTTTCTACGCTATTATAAAATTGTTTTCGCCCGTAAATGACGGAAGGAAGTAAATTGTGAATTAAGCGCAAAAATGACATACTCATTATCCTATTTTTGCCAATAGCTTACTTTGTCCCATAAGAAACATTTCATATTAATTTGACAAAATTCATTAGCACAGTGCTAAATACTATTACAGAAAGCTCTCATTGCAACTACATAAGATTTAATGAGGTTATAATCGAAATGAACTTTTCTTATAAGACCTAAGGTTGTTATTTAACCGTTCTTACATCCACAATCCTCGTGCGCATATATATATATATATGAAGGAGATTTGATGTACCTGGCTGATGAGCTTTATAACCTCGATGTTTTCTAGATTTGCAAGATACCAAGACGACTGTGCAAACATGAAATCTCCAGCCAGCACAGCAACTCTCGTCCCGTACATTTGATGGACAGTCTCCTTTCCTAAGACGCAGAGTTTAGGCAAAGTAAAAGACTTAATAAGACAGGGGGAGAAGTTATGGTGCTTACTAAGGCAATTTAGGGCCCAACGAGCACATGAAAAGATAATTAAGAATGTTGTGTTAATTAAAACAATGTGCTGACAATTCATACTTAAGGGTGTAAGGTAGACAATTTTGATATGCTACATTTGTATTATGCTAACATAAATCATATGTTTATCTGATTATGTCGTGTGCTGTAAGCACAATAACTTCCGCCAAAGAAAATAGTACGCTTTGTACGAAAATGACTACTTTCTTACAACCCTATTCATCAAAAACTTGTCCTCAACTCAAACTTGCATATGTTATTTCTCAAGTGTGAATTTTTCATCCCGTCTCAGTAAATATGCATCATGAGGGCCATAGACAAGAAATCCGTTAACATAGAGAAACCCGATCGATGAATTGCAAAACAATCCTAAAGAAGTCCGAAACTCCTACGTAAAGTTCGAAAAAAGAAAGAAAGGCGCAAAAACTAACCTCTCCTCATGTCACTTTCATCCAACACATCGTCATGTATTAAACTTGCAGTGTGGATCATCTCGATAATCTCAGCCAACCTTCTGTGCTCTTTCGTCAGCTCCCTGGTTGTATGAAGAGCGAGTTTAGTCTCGACAAAAGTAGTGTAAGGAGAGAATTTCAAACATTTCTCACCCCAAACTGGCGAGCTCTGCAGTGGCTCGTGATACTAGAAACACTAATGCCGGTCTCATCCTCTTCCCGCCGGCCCCAAAGATTTGCTCGGCAGCAGACATCAACACCGGGTTTTCTGAACCCACAATCTGACAATGTCAAAGTTTTAATGTATTGGTTGTTCCATTTTTTCTCATCTTATAAACGAAGCCTAATGTTCAATAACGCCACATTACGACAGTGTCTTGTTACATGAACCTACCCACTTGTCGGCATTCTTACATGTCTTGTCTTATCACGAATTGCACACTCAAAAAATAAAGCATTCAAAGTAAAACCTGCACTTACCGACTGCAGATTCTTGTTCAACGTTAGCAAATCTTCAGAAACCACTTCCAAAATATCCGACATTGAACGGAGACCTTTTGGCTCCTCTGTCACTTCCAGCACCGACGGAGGCCCATCAGCTGCAACCCCTTCGATTACATAAGAAAATCCTTTAGTTTTGATCCAACTATGAGTCAATTAACGGAGAATAGACAATGTCTTGAATTCAACCACATGAATTTCCTCGACACAAACATATATCCATACAGCAACAGACACAGCAGCCATTTTTTGAGATTCGATCGATAGCTAGGCAAATGAAGGCACTTTGTACCAATGTCGAAGATGATTTCATCCTCAAACACAAAGATACATCAAATCTAACTTCACAAAATTATACTTTCCATCTCCAATATACAAACATTATAACATACAAATTTGCAATTGGATAATGATTCAAATTCAAATTCATTTATACTCATTGAAAAAAGGTGCCCTGAATCCAAAAACTTACAAACAATCTTAAATCAGATCATAGTATAACAAGAAAGGTTTCTATTCATTACTAGAATGTTTACCATCGCCGATCAAATGTTTATTAAAAAAGGAAAACTAGAGCATATTTCTGATGAATATTAACGCAAATCTAAGATTTAGTACACAAATTTTATTCCATCATTAACAAAATCGAACAAAATGATTAAAATACCGCTGAGAAAAGCCTCCGGAGTCTTGGTGGAGTACACACGGCAGCGCCCGGTTCCACGCCGGCGGCAGAGGAGCTTCCGCCGGGCATTCCGAAGAACTCCCTCGGCGGCGGCGTTCTTTACAGAGAAGCGATTGACGGCGGCGGCGGCGGTGGCGTTGGATGAGCAGCCACACGGCCCGAAATCCAGCCGCGCTGTTCGCCCGAAATCCAGATTATGACATGCCACCGATACCATCCCCAAAGTGCAGAGATTGAAGAATCTCCCTTAAAATCAAGAACCCACCCCACTTGGTGAAAAAAGAATCTAAAAAGATTAACAATTAAAGAACACTCAAATCCCTAATTTCAATAAACCCCATAAATGATTGGATCTTTCTGAAGAGAATAATAATTTGAAGGAAGAGGAGAAGGAGAAAGAAGAAGCTCTGCGCGAGCCACTTCACAAGTTGAGAAGGCCTTTTGAGTGGCCCAGAAAATGCAACGCCAATTATTCTTTAATAATTTTTATTATCTCGAACCTTTTTGCTAGGCAAGTTGAATAAATAAGTACGCATAGACATAGGCATGTGGAGAAGGGAAAATAAGGTGACGCTGTAATTGTATCTTATCGGCAGGTTAGAGAGAGAAAGGGCAGGGCAGGGCAGGGCAGGAGAGAGAGAAAAGGGGGTGGACTGAGAACGAAGAAGTGTGGTTTTTTAAGAACCAAGAAACCATTTTTGTTTCGATTCGAAGCATTTTGGAAGTGTGGACTCTGCCACGCTTGCCATTTATATCCATCAGTCATTTTTTGTGATTCTTTTCTCAAATCGTCGGCTCATTTTATTACAGTGGAAACAATGTAATGTTTTTCAACGATGTACGAAATTAGGGATGTTAATTTTCTTGTGAGAAAAGGGCAGACTACAGCTTTTCGACGTAATTTTCTTCATTTCTAAAATCCCTGTGTACACTTTTCTTTTGGGGTTTGTTTTTTCTATTATATTTCACAAGTCTTGCATCATTTTCTCAAAATAAGCTCTAACTCGCGTAGGCTTCTTCAAAATAGATAAGTTTATAGTTTAGGCTTCAAATTGTTTCACCATCCTTAATTAACTTTTAAACTCATGATAAAATTAGTTAATATATTTCTAAAAGAAAAATAAAAACGGACATAAAATTTACAAACGAAAAAAATATTTTTTAAAAAAAAAAAAATAGAAGGTTTTGGGGATGGATTGATATTCAATTAGCTCAAAAAAAAAAAGCATTTTAAAAAGTGATAGAATATCAAGATTTATTATTTTTTATTTTCTCAATCTTTTATTTTTAATTATTATTATCATTATTATTATTATTATTATTATTATTATTATTATTATCTCATTCAAATTTCAACATCAATTTATATATATTATCATATAAAATAACTCGCCTCGAAAACTTTAAAAATAAAAAAACACATCTTGAATTTTATATTTTTGGTCCAGCCCAATCGCCCAGGGGTAAGAATTGTCCCATAGGCTAAAAAGTAACCCTTGGCCCAAAATATGTCAAAAAGGACTACCGTGGCCCAAAGAGCTCCCCCATATTTTTCTATATAAATAGTACAAAAACAATTGTGAAAGCATAAATAAAGATTAGTACAAATTTGGAGAATAACTTCAAACTAGATATATATACCCCTAATTAGGGTTTGTAGGTGTGTGTTGATTTTTTTTTTTTAATTATTTAATTTGAATTAAAACATAGGGAAAGAGACTCTTTACTTTAGTACTGAATTCTAAATTTTACATTTAATAAAATTTGCCTACTTGTGCTTTCTTACATTTTATTCTCTAATTTTTAATTTAAATATAATATAAAGCATTTATAAATACAAAATAGTAAAAGTTATCAAAAGTAAACTTAACAAATCAATTTGGAAGACCTCAATTAATTTCAGGTTTAATTTAATTAACACTTAAATTAAAATTCTTGTGCTTTTCCATATCTTCAACTGTCTGAAGAAGATCGTAGTGTGTCTTAATGGCGGCCATGTCTTCTTCCCGCATGTTCACCCAAGCTTCAATCCCATCCCCACTTTTCGTCCCCAGTAAGAATATCAAGTTCTTCAATGGCACCTCCATTATCGAAACCCACGCAGGCTTCCCCCATCCGTAATCCACCTCGTACCCCGGAAGCCTGTGCCAGCTCGTAAAACTGCAGATTTCTAGGGTTTTCGATCCATCCCTAAATGTCGGATCATTCTCCTCGTTCTCAGAATAGTATGTCAGAAACTCGTCTCCGTTTTCCAGCCTTCCGACATACCTCGAATCAGCCTTACTTATTGTCTCCCTTAGCTTCAGAACTAACTCGTAGTAACCGCCGAACTCACTCGCCGGCGACTCGGTCACCGCCATTGCCCTCGCGCAGGCGTTTCCGAAGTAGTGACGTGGCAGAGGAGGACTCGCCCGCCGCCGTATGTCGACGGCGTGCGTGGCAGCGAACGCCTGTTTTTTGTCTTTTGACGTCACCGCCGATTCTATGAAGTGCCGCCAGAGGAAGGCGGAGACGGCTTCCACCCTGGTCGCCGGCGACGCCATCAGCGGCCCGGAAGCAGCCTGTCTCAGGGCCGAGACTTTCCATTTATTGAAAACAAATCTCCTCGTGATGATCTTTTCCGCCGGCGGCGGTGGAGGCGGCGCTGCAACGGAGGGGAAGAATCTGGAAAAGTCCGCCGGCGGGAAACGGGAGGCGGAGCTGAAGCTGGGCTGAGCGGCCGCAACCGCGCCGGCGTCGGCCCGACAGGCTGCAGCCCACGTGCTGATAAACATGACCATCGACGTGGCGTCGGCGATTCTATGCGAGAGGCAGACGCCGATTGCTAAGCCGCCGCCGGCGAAGAAGCTGACCTGGACTGCCAGGGGGATGTCGGCGCCGCCTGACGGCGCCGCCGGGACGTACTGTCTGAGGTCTTCCGGGTGTGCAGTTTGAATAACATCGGAAATTCTTGAGGCGGGGAAGTGAGCTTCGACGTACTCGGCGCCGGCGTCGTTGCAGTCGACGGAAGAGAGGCCGTCGCGGAGTCTGCCGGCGAGTGGATAGTACACAGCTAAAGCTTCGGACAGGGATCGTCGGAGGTTGTCGTCGTTAATCTTAATCTGGGAGTGGGAGGAATCGAAGTGGAGAATGATGTGGATGTACATCGGCGGGGAGAGCTGGTCGAGGAAGGAAAGCTGGAGGTTTCTGAGGTGTGGAGGAGTCGGAGAAGACGGAGAGATCATTACCACATTAGGGGATGATACACTGTCACTCACCATTGTTTTATCCTTAACTAATTCTTGTCTGAAACTAACAGCCTCCTGCTTCTATTTATGTAGTGGCTTTTATTTCTTTCAATTTTTTATAATTTAAAGTCGCCACTTACTTTTGTATGGTGGAGGCAATAAATATCACCACTTACTTTTTATAGATAATGTAAATAATACCACAATAGATAGCCTTTTGAAATTCTAATGGATGAATAATAATTGGTGGGTTGTTGGTGCTTTTTAAATATATTATTATAGCTTAATTTTGCTTCTTAATTCTAGTCACATATTCGTACAATGACAGATAAAAGGTGATTTAATAATGACAGGTAATGTGTCCTTTTTGGCTGCGGTGGTAGCGAGTCGCTTTTCATGTCATCGCTCCGCTCGGCCCAACGATGCGATCCCATGGGCAGAATTACCAATGCTATGCTGCGGTCACATCGCACGTGCGGATATACCATACCAAATTTTTTATTTTTTATTTTTTATTATTTTTAAATAATAATAATAATAATAATAATAATAATAATAATAATATTTTTATTTTCATTTAAGTAAAAATTGGAAACCAACTGCGGAAATGGTTTCCAAATTTCAATGGATTGACTATCCTATACTTTAACTAATTTCATATTGTTTTTTTTCCCATTTTTTTTGTTATAAAAACCGTGAAAAAATCATTTTAAAATCAACTAAGAACTTTGCTTATATGTTTTTTTTTCAATTAATTTTAAATATAAATTTATTATTATATTATAAAATAATTTTGTGATGAATGACCTAGTGGCGTGGAAATCCACGCGTGACCATAATGACCCTCTATACTATACTCCCGGATCGTTTGCTTAAAATTGATTTGACTTTAATAATGGATATATACCCAATGATCGATCATATATTTCAATTGTGCTTTGATTCAAAAACTTGTAATTTATTTTATTTTATTTTTTTATTATTTTTTTATATTAAAGTTGTGTTTGTTTGGGGATTGAATTTTAAATATATTATTCATCCTATTTTTTTCTCCCAAAAATATCAAATCAAACATTTATTTTTTATTTTTTTATATTATACTAAAAATCAATTTTACATTTAAAATATCACATAAACACCTATTTATATCACATCATACAACTATTCAAATTCAAAATTTTTACTGTTTAAATCCCAACTCAAAATCCAAACCTCCAAAGCGAACACACCCTAAGAGGAAACAAGAGTAACTTTTTTATTTGCTTGAATTTAGAAGTCGGGAGAATATATATGGTATTACTTATTAAATATATGACAAATACAATAAAAACATATTGGGACAAAGTGATAATCCATCGTAAACACAAATATATTTCAAAAAATATATATATATATTATATATATATATGAGAAAAAGAGTGAGAGAGAGTTTTATGGATGGAATTAAATATCTTATGTCAATATGAAGATGGTTTAGAAATAAATTTATATAAAATATTTTATTTATTTTGAATTTAGATATAAATATCACAAACCTACTTTTCAATAATAATGGGGAAAAAAAAGTTTGTTATGGGCAAAACACGTGTGGACGTGAATGGGATTGTTTTGGGGAAAAGCTTTCCAAGTTTTTTTCTTGACGTCGATATGTCTTGTTTTTCCATATGACAATTATTATTATTATTATTATTATTATTCAGAAACGCATTGACAACGACAATTTTCACACTCTTTTACAAACTGCAAACAAAAATTCTATCAATTATCACTTCAAAAAAGAACATTTTAAAAAAAAAAAAAAAAAAAAAAAAACAGGAAAGAAAAATCACTATTGGCTTTGGCTAACCTAATTAAAAGGCAACACTCAAAAAAAAAAAAAAGAAAAAGAAAAAATATGTGTATATTTATTGTAAGCCAAACTAATTGGCGTTTATTAATTAATTAAGTAATTAAAAAAAAAAAAGAAGAAGAAGAAGAAATTAAGAGGCAGCAATTTTCTCAAAGCGGCCCAACCTGTTATCCGCAAGCCTGGAATTGTAGACAGATTTTTTGTAGTCAAACCAGGTAAACTCCTTGTACAAACTGTCCTCCCCCCGCCGCACCAGCGCCGGCACCGGCGCTATCTTCTCGCTCAGCGGCGGCCCGCCGAAGTATATCATCGACAGCCGCGACGACGGGCTGTTCGCCACCACTCTGTGCTTCACGCTCTTGAATCTCCCATTCGTCATTACCTGCATGATAGTTAATTAATTAATTCATTAATTAGTCGATCAAATTAACCATCGCCGGCGCCGGAGGTTTCTTAATTACCTGGAGAGAGTCGCCGACGTTGATGAAGAAGGAGTCCTGGTCGGGCGGGACGGATATCCATTGCCCGTTTTTGAGGGAAATCTGGAGCCCCGACGTGTTGTTGGATCGGAGGACGGAGATTATTTGCGGGTCGGTGTGTTCCCCGAACCCGATCGGAATTGGGGTGTCGGGTCCGGACCGAATATCCGGGCAGGGCGGGTAGTGATTGACCCGGAAAACAGAGTCGCTCTGCTCGTCCATCACCAGCTTGCTGAAGGCGTCCCTCGCCGGAATCTTCAGCCCCTCCGCCACCATTTCGAGAATCTCACACGCCATTTTCTTCATCGCCGATAAGTACTCATTCACTGCACATCTGTATTTCGAAAAATATCATTTTTTTATACATATTATCAGAGATATGTGTATGTGTTTGTGCGTGGGTATTGAACTCTGAACTGACCGGAATTCATGGGCGGCTTCGCCGAAGACGGCGGAGAAGCGGCGGTGGATGTCGGCGTGGGAGTCGGAGGTGAAGAGCAAGTACTCGACCCAACCGACGTCGCCATTGGGGCCTATTTTGTTCTTGCCGTAGACGAAGGGCCCGGTTCTCTCCTTATCGGCGATTGGGAGGGAGAAGAATTCGAGGGCCTGGGATTCGAGGGCCGCGATAGCCTCAGTTGGGACGCCATGGTTGATGACTTTGAAGAACCCGAATTCTTCGCAGGCCTGGACCAGCTGCTCCCGGGAGTCAGGTTCCGAGAGGTCGATCAGCGGGACAGGAACGCCGCCGCCGCCGGGAAATAACGCCGGGGCGGTGGAGAACTTGGAGAGAACCACCATTGGAGAAAATGAAGAATAGAATTAATGCCGGTGAGGATGAAATTGGTCGGAAAATTGGAGTTGGGAGTTTCGTTGTGGGAGCTCCCTTCTTACAGCCGCCTATTTATAGGGTTTCTCGAGCAGTGAAAGCAGATTTTTTGGGGATTCTTTTATGCAGGTCCATGGAGCACGAGGACCTGATTAATCCACACCGTTGCGGACAGAATTGACGATGTGGATTTGACAGGACTCTGAAGACCGTGGTGTTTTGAAGATCACTTTGGTGGACGTAATTCTTCCTAGTTTTTTACGAAGAATGATTGAACAGTGAAATGTATGGTTATAAATGTGGAAGTTATTTTTATTAGAGTGGGGAAAATGCAATGGGCATACCTATAGAATAGTAGAGTAGACTAGACTAGACTAGAATAGAGTAGAGTGTACATAGTTTTCGTTGTTGGCCAAATGGCAAATGGTCCTGCCTCTTACATCATCATGGACAAACCTGCTGCAATAAATGGATTCAATGTACTTTTTATTTTATTTTTATTTTTTTACAATATAAGTATTTTAAGGTGTTTAGAATATTTTACATATATAATCAATTTAAAATGTGGATGTCTAAATATAAATAAATTTTTAAGCGTGCTCATTTGAATAAAAATAAATATTAACGTGCGAAATATATTAAATAAAAATAAAATTTAAATGTTACATTTTGAAGATAAATTTATTTACTATAAATTAAGTAATGTATATATAATTTTGATTACCATTGGATCACATTAGTGTAGTGATCCAATCACATATTTATAAGAAAAAAATAATAATACATATTAATATAATGTATAACAAAAAATTTTGATAGCATATTATATAATTATGTATTACAATATATTTATTTATTTTTCATTAAAAACATCAATCAACTATATACCTAGTTACATCAATACATGTTTTTATGCACGTCCTACGGTGTGAAAGGCATGTACTAATAACAATATCAATAACAATAATAATAATTTAATATTGGATAAAATGCATGGTCCACATGCAACTAGTTTAGTAACCCTACGTAAAGGCTTTAGATACATCGAATATTAACAATACGTGTATATAAATATGATTATATATAGTTAAGGGCTTTGAACCAACAGTTGATGGATATAGAGACAACCTCGTGGTTCAATGTCTCTAAATATATATATATCTTTAAAATCCCATTTATCCAAATGAATTAATTATGAAATATTTTAAAAATTCATTGATATATATGTAGTCACCATATCCTTATTACGACATCTTCAATTTTTCAATGGTATAAAAAAATTATCAAGAAAATATCTTTTAACTTTTTATAAAAATAAACTATCTTTGTCCCATAGGAAGAACGCAGTTTGCTTTTTGTCTTCCATTTAGTCGGGCCATGTCTCAGTCCCAATGTGGATGATCGCCGTCTCGGATCAGCTACCGATCATCACGTTGATAAAATATTAAAATATTTTTACATTTGTATATTTTACCTTGTTTTGTATTACCTATTGATATACTAATTAATTAGTATTAAAAAATCTAAATATAAAAAGCAGTAAAACTCAAACACATATTACAAGTACAATAAATAAAATATTATAAATTGTTTTCCAAAGAATGGTACCCACAATTAATGAAACACTCTTCTAATTCATTTCATCTCATCTCTACTACATGTAGGAAGGATGAGACAAATAAAATAGAAAATAAGAGATATTTTTATTTGACATCTTTTTCTATAGAGCTTAGTTATGTAATAATTCAATACTAGTATGATATTCCCCGCTTTGGGCTGAGCCCGCACGAATTTGTTTTTTTATATCCTCCAAAAGGCCTCCTATTAGTGGAGTTCACTTACGACTTATAAGGTGTGTAATTTTCTTCACAACTTCCAATGTGGGACTCGTTTGAATATATATATATATTTTTCTATAATGTGGAAATCTGCCGTTACTATTCTTTTTGTGCGCTCTGGGTAAATCTCCGTTGCCAGATCCGACATGACAAATAACACTAGGCAAACTATGTGTTGCTAAACAAAACCTAAAAGCATCGGGGATTTGAACCTAAAATTTTGTTATGGTGGCGAGTGGGGAATGAAAAGACCAATGCAGCAGAGAACGACCGCATGAATCTACATCCACTTATTAAGACAGACGACCAAAAATTGGTCACCATCCCTTGCTTTGAACTTTATTCTTTAAAAAAGTAAAAGATGGTAGAAGTTTAAATCAATTCAAATAGATATGTTATTTGTACTCTTAATAAAAACGATGAAAACATAAGAGAATATAAACCATGCACGTAACATGAAGTTATTAGAACACGTTGATGTGATTTTATTTTCTTTATAACTTCCACCCCGACATATTGATGTGATCTTAATTTCGTTCTTGAAGTATATTTGAATTTATTATTATTTTTTTTTTCTATTAAATTTATTATATTTAAGGCTGAGCTATCAAGAAAAGGTTGATTAATGTGTACTTAAAATTGACTACAATTGTTAGATTCGTGCATAGTGTAGAAAGATATGTATTTGACTATTGTATAGGAGAAATATATATATATATATATATATTGAAATGATGGAATGTGATTGACAAAGATAAGAACCCTAATATCATATGTCTGTTCTCTCTGCTCCACTTAATTGTATTTGGTCCCTCACATATTTATGGCAATATTCCATATCTATAGAGAAAAATAAAATAATTAGAGATGATTGTTACTAATTGCTCAACTATATAAAATATTGATATGACATTATATATATATATATATTTGAATGTAATCGACATTACCTACTATTATATTGTTTTCACCAATTTTGTAGATTTTGACGCTTTGGTTATTATTGTAGTATTTATTAATTATATATACGTCCGGGGCAAAAGAGGAATTTCAAACAGCTGGCATAGTCAACAACGTGGGATTGGTCGGCTGTCAAAATGTGGGACCCTTTTGCAGAAGAATTTTTCAGATGTCTCAACTTGGCTTTTGACCACAACATTTTGGCTTTTATTATTTATTATAATTATTGTGTTATATGTGTATTCAAGTATGTTCATTCCATTAATATTTTTTTTTTTTGAATTATAAGTATGTGGTGAATGTTGGTATTCATAATTTTGTGGAGCATGGAGATGGAGATGGAGATGGAGATACGTGTAAAATATTTAGCCTACCAGTTGTTATAATATAATTATTCAACTTTGGTGTAGGTGTAGATGTAGATGTAGGTTTAAATAATTAGTATTTGTATATCAATAATATGAGATGTAATATATACATATATATATATATATTAATATTTGTATATGTGTGCAAGGCACAGTGGTATGGGGCTCTCTGAAAGGACACTAATTTATGTGCCATGTTACCAAATAATAATAATATAATAATAGTAAGTTCCCTAAAAAAAATAAAAATAAAAATCGATAGTGTTGGAATAGACTCGTGATCATAAACTCTTGGTTTAAATATATATATATATGTATATATAACTTCTCCGCAAGGTACAATCAATGATATGATATGTGTAACAAAGCATATGTATATTTTGTATATATAATATTTCTTTCATTCCTTAACAATTTATTTTTTTTTTTATTTTGGTTCGTCGCATAATAAAGTATCCATTTTTCTTTTAGTAATTATACTATTTACCTAACATTACAAACCCTTCTAATTTACGATATATTGCAAAAATGTCATTATATTTATATCATATTATCATATAATACTAATATGATTAATTTAGTCTTTTTATATTTATTTCTATTTTATTCCAATATAATACTAATATTTCTAATATTATGTGAAAAAATAAATAAATATATAAACATGAGACGAAGGGAGTATAATATGATGTGATCCTATATTATTTAGTATTAATAATATAATCGGCACCATCAGAATCAAAGATCTTTAGCCATTTATGAGTATGCATATATAGCTGTATATAATAATAATAATAATTATTATTATTATTTATTAATATATGATGATGGGCAATAATGAGTTGGTTGAAGAGGGAATTTTTGCTACCACATGTCTTTGTCACATAGAAATAGGGATGAAAAATTGCCATAATTGATTAATTATTGAAAATGATTGACGTATTTATTTTTTTAGATTATTTTCATTTATTGTAAATGCATATTTTAATCGCACCCTACCAAAAATAAATAAATAATATTGCAACGGCATTTGCAATTGGTAATCTTGAATCAAAATTAAAGGAACTTGCTTAATTACTTGTTTAATTGTATATTTATAGCCATTTTTGCACCGTTCAATTTATTAATTTGATTTTTAGATATATTATATATTCACATTTAAAAAAATAAAATAAATAAACATTCAAAATAATAAAATCATTTAAAATTAAAGACAAGTACACATATACTTTTGCTCTCTTGCTGGCCTTTCTTAAAATAGGAATGGCCTCGCCCCACTCCTAAAATAGGAAATTGGCCACACTAACTACTAGTAGTGCTCCGCTATTAATTTTAAATATTAAATTCAATATTTATTTATATGTATTTTATTATTATTATTATTATTATTATTAAAGGAGTTGTAATTTTTATTTCACCAAAAATCTAGGTTCATGGACACTGTCACAAATTAAGAGCAAAGTTTGGATTATAAAATTGCAATAGTGATCAAAGTGGCAATTTCAAATTAACCAAACCCTACCTATATACTATATAGGCAAATATAATATTGAAACCAATAAAATTATTGATTAAATAGTTAAAAAATTAATTGGCATGGGGACATGCATGCATGTATATGGTAGTTGAAATTGTAGTACTACTAATAATACAAATAATATAAGGTTTTTTTTTTAAAAAAAAAATGAAAATAATAGTAATAAAAATTGAAATTTGAATATTATTGGTAGAACAAGACGTCGGCAAAAATGATGATAAATGATCGTCAGTTGCTTTCGGTCCCAACTCTCACTTCAAGATATCAATATACACATATATATATATATAAATATACATATCATTGAATTTCCAATAATTGAATATTAATACATACTCTCTCTCTCCCACATAATTCGTTCATATTTTGTATTTTCGTCCGTCCCACATAACTTGTCATTTTTATTTTTGGAAATATAATGATGCACTTTAATCATATTTTAAATTTTAAATTATATAATTTTCTCAATTTTAATTAAACTATTTTCTTATACTCCCTCCGTCCACAAAAAAAGTATACAATTACTTTTGGCGCGGTGTTTAAGAAATAATATTATTTTAATTATAATGGGTAGTTAAAAGTAGTGTAATGACATTTTTGCCCTTGCTTTTTGGTGTAAAAGTAACGATGTGATGTAAAGTAGGAGTATTTGTGGAAAAAAGTAAGGTATTTAATGAAATATTTACTTTGTAATTGGATGTACCAAAATAAAAACATGTATACTTTCTAGTTGGACGGAGGGAGTATTAATCTTAATCTATAATTATTTTTACTAAATAATAATTATTTTTACTAATAAATTTTTTAATTACATACTAATTATACTTTATCTGAATTTTTGTATCTACAGTAATAATAAGCCAAAAATATATGGCACAAAGGAGTACATAATATATAAATATATATATCTCATTGCCCATCCATTAAAACTGATAGGACATGTTCTACAATCTAATTTTTATTTCAAATATACAACCCCCCGCCACCCCTATAATATATATATATGAGGAGAGTGAGAGTGATCTGTTAGGGGTGATAGTAACTTGTCAAGAGTTCATAGGTGGTGCTCTCGAGATGGCCTATGCATATAATATATATATATATATATATATAAATACACATATGTGTGTATATATGTCTAATCATAATATATATAGTAGAGATCAAGAAAGAGAAAGGTGAACTGGAATTCTTATTTATTTATTTATTTTATGTAAGTAGGGCCGATTTGAAATATGAAATTTTGACTAAAAATTCCACCAATTAAGAACACAAATTAAAACCCTAAATTTGTAATACACATTTAGGAATTAACGTCTTGTCATTCATTATTAATTTGAACATTTCAAAACTTTGTATCATCAATTTTAGTTACAATGACCATTTTCTCTCATAAGTATAAAAAATTAGTTTAATGATAAAAAATATATATATATATATATGTGTGTTAGAACCTATAACTTAAAAGTGACAAGTTTCAAATATATATAGTAATTATAGTAATTTTTAAAGGAATTTAAAATATGAGCACGCATGAATTTAATGATCTACAACAATGCATTGAGTATGGTCTTAAATATAAATTTTAAAAAATCGAACAAATTATAATTATAATTATATTATAGGAAAATCAATTTTAATCTTATTCAAGTTTAGATATATAGTTAAGTCTTATTGAGGAGATAAAATAGGATTCATTGATAGATACAATGTCGTTGTCATGAGTAATTAATCAACCATTGACTTTATTATTATTATTATTATTATTATTATTATTATTATTATTATTATTATTATCGGGCACCTTCTATATGTCGCTATTATATATATATATATGTATTATTAAAAGATTCTTTGAACAAATTCTTGAACATTCTATGAAGTTTGGGAAATTAATCCAATTCATGCCCTCATTATTAATTCAATCAAACACTCTAAAATAATTTTGTGGTTTTACATATATTTATACAATTTTTAAGAAAAGGGGATTTGAATCCTTGATAAACCTTGTGCAACTTTGTCCACGAAATGAAGCCATTGTAATAATTGAAGAATATATATTAAAAAGTCTGCCATATTTCCAGGAACTGATGTAAATAATTTGAAGGTCCCTTAAGACACAGTCTATATGAATAATGGTACCCCTGAAATGACAACAAACTGTCTGATTCTATCCAGGGAAGAATTTCAAATTTTATTTTATAATATAAATATTTATAACTCCATCATCATATATCTGTCAATTGTTTTCATGGCATGTGAAGGGTATGGTACTGAATTGTGGTTGACAAAGAAAGGGCTTTAGATTTTGTTAATTTATTGTGTATTTATTTATTTATATATATATATATATATATATACTTATAATACAAATATGTATGTTTGGTAGAGCGTTGATTTCAAGCTGTCTGTCATGTCTCTTCAACACTGCAGTGTTTGGTTGCCTTAGCTTGCCTATATCTCAATCCATTTCTTGATATGCATCTATCAATTATTATTCTATATTTATTATCAAATTAAATATATAAAACTATTTGTAACATAATGTTCAATAAATTTAGTTTCTATTTGTAGAGAGTGCTAAAATTCTAAGAAGGAATGAATTTACAAAGTTCAAAAAAAAATTATAAAATCACAAATAACAAACTCAATGTGTTTGATTTGTGTTTTGTTATTTTTTTAATAATATAGTAAGTTAATGTGATATTTTGTACAAAAATAAATAAATATTTTTATTTAAAATTAGTAAAAGAAAAAGGTACAAAAAGATTATATATATGCTTTATTCGAGAAAACATCCAATTTGTTTGGTTTTTATTAGAATTTTTATTTAAACTTTAACTTAAATAATATTTTGTAAAAAATCTAATATAGCCAAATATATAATACTCATACAATTAATTCAATTTATTGGTGAAGTAAAATGACTGAATGTACCCGATAAAGATAGGCTATATGAATTTTATTTTTTTTCTTTATTTAACGGGTTGGGCTTTTGGCCTATTTTAGCCGCTACTTTTTGAATCGTTTTTCTTGATTTAACTCTGGTCTATTTTATCATATCAGCATTATGTACATCGATGATCAACTCCATGTTAACTACTCCTGGAAATGCAAAGTTCCAAGTCCTAATCTTAATTTGCTGCAAAACTTGATGTCAACTTGTAAAGTAATCCCCAAATTCACAAGTCCAACATCAAGTTTTGTAACAGATGACAATACAGGCCCCGGTCCGGTGAGTCGAGCCCCGTTTAACGGGGAATGTACTAAATCGATCATCAAACGACATTCATAACATAAGAAACCAAACATCGATTTGAAGATTATTCCGATAATTATACAAAACGAATTCAATCAAAAGGTCTTCAGAGCATAGGTATGCACATTAGAATCAAATTCACAATTCAGAATCGATTTACCTCCGAGCGAGCTACAAGGATCCTGCCCCAACCTCGAGGCTCGATGCCTGTTTCTCCATACGAGCAACATCATAAGTAGCATGAACGCCGGCCAAGAGATAGTACACCAACATCAAAGCACTACATATGATGAACCTGAAGAACGCCGCCTTGCCAAGAGATCCGATAAGAAATATATTAATCGCAATCGACAAAGACGGCAGCCAAGGAACCAGGGGAACTCCCCAAACCTTAGGGTTCCTCTGCTTTGGGGTCAATGCCATTCCCAAAGTTCCGAGAAACCAAAACCCCCCGCTCACAGCATATCCAATCCACCCCTTCTCGATCGATGAATTCCAAATCACAGCTAAGCTAATCGACGACCCAAAAATAACGAACAACGACGCCATAAATTTCATCGCATCATTCCTCGGAGTTACATCCTTAACGTTATACCTCCTCGTCAGCAATGCCACAGCCACGAGCATGAAAAGTAGGAGCGTAGCAAACGACAAAACACTCGACAAAACATCTAGGCTCGTGAAGAAAGCAAGAACACAGCTTCCCGTCGTCGTCAAAAGCGTCGCGTATATTGGTGTTCCGGTTTTCGGATGGACTAGGGCGAACCAAGGAGGAATCATATGTGTCCTGGCAATTTGAGTCGTGTACCGAGCCTGCCCCATTGATCCAACCAGCAAGCTCGTCGTCATCCCCTTGATCGCGATAATGCTCACCATATACTTAGCCCACTTCATCCCCATCCCCTCAAACATCATCGAATACGCCGCATTGACATCCACTTGAGTGTACTTCACAGTCATTGTCAATGCCAGTGCCATAAGACAATAAACCACAGTGATCAAAGACATCGAACCGACTAATCCGACGGGTATATCTGTCGAGGGGCGTTTCACTTCCTCGGCCATATTCGCCACCATATCGAAGCCGGTATATGACCAGAAAACGACTGCCGCGGCAGTGAATATACCTTTGGCTCCATAGGGGAAAAAGGGCTCCAGATTCTCACTCTTTCCATGTATAAAACCTATGATTATGATGAACACGATCACGCCCATTTCTAACACAGAGCTCACCCAATTCAGGACCGATGCCCTCTTCGTGCCCGTTAAAGCGAAGCCATTAACAATTATAAGAACAGCTACGGCCACTGGATCCAACAGATTGAATCCATCGGCGAATGAATCGATTTTGATTCTCAGGAAATCGGGATTGCTACTCTTGATGATGCTGCCCAAATAGGATGACCACGACCGCCCCAATCCGGCGGCGCCTACGAGGCCTTCTAACATTATATTACCGGCGGCGATGAAAGCGACGAAATCGCCCAATTCGATTCGGAGAAACGAGAAGGAACCGCCGGCGATGGGGATTTCGACGGAAAATTCAGTGTAGCAAAAGACGGAGAGTAAAGCGGAGAGACCTGAGACGGCGTAGGAGAGGACGATGGCGGGGCCGGCGTGGTCGTGGGTTTCTTGTCCGGTGATGCTGAAGATTCCCGACCCGACGATGGAGCCGAACCCTAGCCAGATTAGGTCCCACCATGTGAGTACCTTCTTCATCTCGTTCTCCGATTGCTTCCTGCTTTCGATCAGTTCATTGAAGTCGGAGGAGCGGCCGAAGACGCGGTCCTTGAGGCGGCGGTGGGTCTCCGACAGCGCGGAGAGGTAGGTCGAGAAGTTGCTGAAAGTCGGCTCCGGATAGAAGTCCTGCTTGCTGAACCGCCAGTAGGACTTCTTTCCGGTGGCCGCGGCGGCGGTGGCGGTGGAGGAATCCATGGCGAGAGGAGCTGTGAGATCTGGAGGAACTCCGGTGGGAAATCCCATAAAAAGCGGAGGGATTTGAATGCAGTGAGTATCCGGGATTTGAAAGCGGAGGGATTTGGTTCCGATTTTGGATCGAATTTAGAATATTTTGAGTGTATTTGGACGCTTTTTTGGCTGGAGGTAAACGTGTAAATAATATTTGGTTCATATATTATTATGATTACTTTGCAATTGGTAATTTTAAATTATACTCCTTACCTTGTTTGTTCGTATTTAGTTTGTTGTTTAGATGTGTTTTTAACATGTGTATTTACTTTACTTGCTACTTTTTCTCTCAATAATAACTACTTATTTTTTGTTAAAAAGATATTATATATCAAGATATTTAGTAACATAAATAATTAATATATGTAAGCAAATTTCTTTATTTTAACGTGATATTTCATAAATTTTTAAATAAAGAATATATTTTTATTAAAAATTATAGATGATTTAGTTTTGAATTTCAAATTAAATACACCTAAAATTTTTCCTTTTTCCTTTTTTTTTTTTCTAAAAGGAAATGTTATCATTAAAATTAATTTGTGACTCATTGACTGATGTTCTTTTAGTCTTTTTTTTATAGTTTTTATTATTATTATTATTATTATTATTTTGTTATTAAAAAAATATAAAAAATATTTTCAAACGAATTGTAATATTATTTTTATAAAAAAATATAATTAGTTTTAGTATTATTTATTATAGAAAATATTATATTTAATAATTATTCTTTTCCTCTAAGATAATTATGTTAGTTTTTCTTTTCACTAAATTTATACATGTTTTATTCTTACTTTTATTTTTGACAAATAATAATCAATTGTTATTATTTTTTCTTCTTATTTAATTAAATTTTTTGTTGATTCTTTAATTAGTTTTTCATTATATTATTATCTCATTATATGAAAATATTATTAGTTTTTAATTTTTTGTCCTAATATTGGAGAGAAAATACACTATAAATGTTTACTTGAATGTGTTTTTCAGAATTTGGTTTTATATATTTATTTTGTGATATTATATTAATAATAATAATGTATTTTTTTTCTGAAAATAGTAATATATATAATAAAAAATAATGATGATTTAATAGTAGGAAGATTTAAACAAAATGAAAAGAACAAAGCATATTATTATTAATGAAAACACAGATAAAAGAATGATGCTAGACCCAGTTTGAGCCCATTATTATTATTGTACTCATGAGAGGACTTTGCAAAGGAAGTGGGCTTCATGGGCCCATTATTATTATTGTACTCATGAGGGACTTTCCAAAGGAAGTGGGCTTTATGGGCCCAATTATTATTATTAAAATAGAAGAGTTTGTTGTTTTATTTTTATACTCTTCATTTTTCTTTTTTTGTTGTCCTAAATAAATATTCTCGTTTATTTTTAAGTAAAAAATTATTACACTCTTATATTTTTTTATTATAAAAGGAAAAAATAATAATTATTACTCATATTTATTAAAATTCGAGTCCGGTCAAATGAATACATTTGCATGACGGAGGGAGTATTATTTTTAATAAAAAACTGTATATTTTCAATAAAAATGTTTTTATTGTAAAATATGTAAAAAAACATTAAAAATGACTTCAATAAAAAAAAATGACAATTTCTAAAATATTTTATAATTCTCAATAACTAAAAAGAATCCAAGTAATTCTAATTAAGTTTATAGTATTTTCTTAAAAATATCAAATTAAATATTTATTTATTATTTATTATATTATATTAAAAAAATTCAAAATATTATATCAATACATATTTATATAACATTACATTTTAATTCAAATTACAATTTAAAATCTAAAATTTTATTTTATAAAAAATTGAATTAACTTTGATGAAAAGATAAAATATATATATTAAAAATTGTGTCAATTTTTTTTTTTTTGAGAAACAAACAAATAATTATTAAAGATTAGTGAATAATAATTAATTGAATATTAATGCAAATATGATAATGAATAATCTTCAATTTATAAATCCAAGTTGTGTTAAAATAAAATTACGGTTACTAAATAAAATCACAGTAAGGCAACATGATAAAGTGTTTTTATTTATTTTATATAAAGAAATTAATTAATTAATAATATGTGACAGAAATGGATACATTCAGCATCCACATTTCAGTCCTTATTGCTTCAGTGGCTTTGTGCACTTTAACTTTTTTTTTTTTTTTTAATAAAAAACTTTGCGTGATTCTCATTCCAATTCTAGCCACACACAGAAACGGCTCTCTCTCTTTTTATATGAAAATGAATCTTAAATTTAAAATAATAATAATAATAATAATAATACTAAAAAATTAAATAATATATATAATTTTTTATAACGTGGAATCCGCAGCCTGACGGATTGGAATTTGAACCCGCGAGGTCTAACCCCACAGCCAAATAAATTCCATACATATATATGTAGCTCTTGTCTTTAATCTTTGCATGTACTTAAAGTTTTTTTATATATATTTATAAATTTATTTTAATAAACAATATTTTTATATTATAGTAAAATATATTACATTAAATCATATTAAGAATACAAACAAATATACTTAAGATCATAGATGTGTTTATTTATGCTTTTTACATTATTTTATTATTCTAATTTAAAGGAAAAAAAAAATTGTGGAATATTCATTATTATATTTTATATCATATCATTAGAACATTGTTTGTTGTTTATTATTTTATCCATGTTATAAAAAATATATGTAAAATCTTTGGACGTAGAGATTGATCAAAAAATATATAGGTTTTATAATAGTGGAATACGAATTTTTATACAATTCATAATATAAATTTTAAATTAAAATAAAATGAGTCTTAACAATAGTAGATTTATTAGAAAATAAATTTTCTAATACAAATCTTAAAAGTTTATTCTTCTTTAAATTATTTTCTATCATTTTTATTTTATTTTTTATAATTTTCAATTTAAATATGTCAAAGAATAAGATATATATATAAAGTTTCAATTTTCAATATTCATCCATTTTGACGATGTTAATAACTTTATATTTAATTAAACCTAATATACATACTATATAAAAAATAAAATAAAATAAAATCAAGAATTATAATCAATGCGGATAGTTACCGACACTTTAAAAGGCCGGCAACGGCAAGGACTACGTCTAGAAGACTATTCCATTAGATTTAAATATAAACATGAGATACACGTGTTTAAATGCCTAACTAAAAAAAAAAAAAAAAACTGAGTAGTTCCAAGTGACACGTATTGCTGAAACAATAAACAATTTATATTTATAATAATAATAATAATAATAAAAATAAAAGAGGCATCCAACCTTCACTTGTAAGTAAATTGTTGTGTTTGATCGTGACACTATACCTGAATTTTTATACTAATAAACATTTTATTTTACTTTAATACGCCATAAGAATTTTTATCAAGTTAGAGATAAATTATGATTTTTTTTATTTTTTTTGTCCACGGACTATTGAAACGAAGTATTGATTTGAATTTTTGTTTAAATCATAATTTACGATAAAAAATAATATTTTTACTAAAAATTTTATAAAATAAACAGTAGTAATTTCAGTCTTAAAAAAAAATATTATTTAAATTAGATGGTGTTATTATTGAAAAAAGAATTAATTCGAACATAAATATCATAAAATAAGGTATTGTGCTGTTCGTGGATTGCCACAGTCCATTCATTCCTTTTGATTTATGAGTCATTGTAATAAAGTGACAAGTGAAATTGATTGTGCTAACCTTATTAATTAATTAATTGCCATTTCATTTATATTTGTGATACTTTTTAAGCAACACTCGTCAAAAATTTACTGCTTCTCATATATTTTATTAAGTGAGTTCTTTTACAATTAAATTTAAGATTTATTATTATTATTATTTTTTTCTCTAGAGTATATTAATTTTTTTATATTTTTTATATTATGTCAAAAATTAATTTATATTTAAAATATCAAATTATATAATTATTAAATTAAAAAAATTTTACCATTTAAATTCTAATAAAAAATCGAAAACCCAAACAAGCATACAGTAAGAATTCATTATTATATTCCTTAGAGGGATTTATGGGGTGTGTTTTAAATTTTTGTTTAAAAAAATTCCTATTTAAATATTAGTATAACTTTTTATAAAAATATCATTTAAATCATTATGCAAATAAAAAATTTATAATAAGAAAAATGTGTTTGTTTCTAATTTTAAAACTAAATCATCATTATTTATTTAGCAGATTCTCAATAAAATATATATTTTTTATATTAATATCAAAATTTGTTTCAAATTAATTTTAAATTACAATAAAATAAATATACTTCGTCAAAGACAACGAGAACAGAGCATGACCTCATCATCACAAGTACATTCGGACACCATACATAAATATATTTATATGCATATTATTACTAACTTAAACATTAGTGTTGGTAATTTACAATCACACATGCGTCTACTTGAGATCGAACTAATCCTGAAGCAAAAATGGGTTACCATTTTATTTACAAGAATTTGATATATATATATATAAAAGAGATAATATTACATCACATAAAAAAAAAAAAAAATATTAACAAAATTCGATATTAAATTTAGTAAATATATCTAAAATTATTATTAGAAAGGTTAGAGCGTTAAAGTGTGATATCCAAAATTAGAGACGGTCCAATTTCGATTACCTAAATCATAAAAACGCCATATGAGAACAAAAGTACAACCCGTCACAGAAGACGTACACCCTCTCTCTCTCTCTCTCTCTCTCTCTCTCTCTCTCTCTCTCATATTCAAATGGCAGCATTCTGCTTTGCATTCATTATTTCGTTCACTTCTCTCTCTAAAACCCTTTCCCTCTCTACTTTGTGTCGGTGTCAGATCTCAACCCCCCCTGCTGAAGGTTCCTTAAGATCCACACATTCTTTCCACCCAGTGTGGAGGTGGAGGTTCGGTATTGCGTATAAAGAACTACAGGCGGGAGGGGGGGTGAGGTGCTCTGTATTTGCAAGAATTTTTGGTGCGGGGAGTTGTTGTTGATGCTGGTTCTGTGGGGAAAGGACAAGAGTTCTATCAAGGATCGGATTTTGTTTTCCATTGCAGCTGTAATTTGAAGCGTGCAAGGTCGGATTGCTCGTTTTCCGTACGCAGATGGGGGAATTCTGGCTGAAGAATTGTTCGATTGGCCTTTCGTGTGATTTTTCTTGCACTACTTGAATTTACAATTTCATGTTGGAATCCGTCACGTTTCAAGCCTGTGGGAGCTTTTCTGTTCTTGCGATCGGATTTTCGAGAATCGTCAAAAATGCAGGCCGATCATCGGAAGAAAGTCAGATGTTTTCCATCTCTTCTTTTCTTTTTTGTTTCCCTTACTTTTTCGAATCATTAATACCATTTCTTGCTGGAATTGTGATCAATCTTGGTGGAAATTCGGAAATGCAAAAACAAAAAAGGGAATTCTGGTTACTAGGGTTTTACGTTCGATTTTCGATTTTTACGTTGCTGAAGGGACGTTCTTGATTAGAAAGGAGAAGGTGGATGGATTATTTTTATCAACCTTTCTTCTCCGAGGATCTTTATTTTCTTCCTCTCGTCAATTTCTTTTCAATGTTGAATTATGCAGTTGAACGAGAAAAAGATTCTTTGTTATATGTCCTTTTTGAATGAATAATTTGTGGTGGAATAGTTATAGTTTTGTACAATTTATTCTCTAGAGAAATTTCCTCGAAATAAAAGCTTCCAATTGTTCCTTTCTTGAAACTATGACATCTGAATTTTGTGGTAGTTCTGTATATCTTCAGTAAGAAGAAAAGAACAGGGCTGCATATTTTACTCAGTCTGTGTAAATCTATCAAAAAGTGATTACTTTGATTGTTTATACGCGGTATTTCATGTGATGATATGGTTAGTTATTGAAATCTTCATTGGTGGATTAATTTATTTGTTTCATGGAACAGAATTCAACTGAAATGGAATTCTTTTCGGAGTATGGCGAAGCAAGCAGGTATAGAATTCAGGAAGTCATTGGGAAAGGAAGCTATGGCGTTGTTTGTTCTGCCATAGACACTTACACGGGCGAGAAAGTGGCAATAAAGAAAATACACGATATTTTTGAGCACATTTCAGATGCTGCTCGAATTCTAAGAGAGATAAAGCTTCTTAGGCTTCTGCGACATCCAGATATTGTTGAAATCAAGCATATTATGATTCCCCCGTCGAGGAGAGAATTCAAAGATATCTATGTTGTTTTTGAATTAATGGAATCAGATCTTCATCAAGTCATTAAGGCTAATGATGACTTGACTCAGGAGCATTGCCATTTTTTCCTATACCAACTACTTCGCGCGCTGAAATACATCCACACAGGTTGTCTATGCTGCTACTTCTCCCATTTTCCCATGTTTGTCTTATTTGACGGTCGCATTTAATGCCCCAACAAAGAGTAATGCAGTTAGTCAATCACTTAATACTACTCTGATTATTTATAACCTGATCTTTCGCAGGATTTTCTGTATAATTATGTGCTTATGTGATATCTAGAATGTGACTTTAAGCAAAATTATGAAATCTTGACAGTTTCCAACACAGATGAATGCATCGAATTGATGTCTGTAGTTCTCGTCAGTCCATCTCTAGGCTTGTCTTATGCCTTGTTATTTTGAGTGCGATTTTTTTAACTTGTGGAATGATTACGGTTTCCTGTTGCAGCTAATGTTTATCATCGAGATTTGAAGCCGAAAAATATCCTGGCAAATGCAAACTGTAAACTCAAAATTTGTGATTTTGGGTTGGCTAGAGTTGCATTCAACGACACACCTAGCACAGTATTTTGGACGGTATGATGATTGTCGGCATTTATTGTTATGGCTTCCTTTACTTCATTTGTTCCTTACTTCTAAGATTTGCTTGCACTATCACACATATATAGGATTACGTGGCTACAAGATGGTATAGAGCTCCAGAGTTGTGTGGCTCATTTTTCTCAAAGGTACGGATCTACATTATGACTACCTCGTAATGCTTAATTTAATCCATATACACCCCTCATTTTAATTATGTTTCCTACGTATAATATCGGATTATTTCACCTGGAGGATGGTTATCTATCTGCTCCATCTGTTAGAATCAAGTTCTCTATCATTTCAATATCTTATGTAGTTATTGGTCAATATTTAATGCTTCATATTCATAACAGTACACGTGTTTCATTCGTCTATTGATATCCCTTGTGATTTTTCTTGTGTTTTCAGTATACACCAGCAATTGATATATGGAGTATTGGCTGCATTTTTGCCGAGGTTTTGACAGGGAAACCACTTTTTCCTGGGAAGAATGTCGTGCACCAGCTGGATTTGATAACTGATCTTCTTGGAACTCCTTCAATGGACACCATTTCTCGGGTATGGAGTTATTCAATTTGAATTTAATGCTGAAGGTTTGCATTTCAATGTTTCCAATAATGTCATATGAGCTTTGTTTATTATATTCTTTGTTTAGGTTCGAAATGACAAGGCTAGGAGATATCTTACAAGCATGAGAAAGAAGCAGCCTGTTCCTTTTTCTCAAAAGTTTCCGAATGCTGATCCTTTAGCTCTTCGGTTGTTGGAGCGGCTGCTTGCGTTTGACCCAAAGGACCGTCCTACTGCAGAAGAGGTATAAATTGAATATATACCATATTCAGTCCCAAGTCCTTAAAAGTTTATGAGTTTCCTGTGAATGGATTCATTGAACGAGTACGAGTTCTCTATTGGCATATATTATTATATTCTTATGTTGTATATATTCGATATCATTGTCTTCTAATATATACATAAAATGATGCATTTTAGGCATTGGCTGATCCTTACTTTAAGGGATTGGCCAGAGTTGAGAGAGAACCAGCTTGTCAGATGATTTCCAAGATGGAATTTGAATTTGAGAGGCGAAGGGTTACTAAGGAGGATATTAGAGAATTAATATTCCGTGAAGTACTCGAATACCATCCCCAGCTGCTGAAGGATTACGTAAATGGAATTGAGCGGACCAGTTTTGTTTATCCAAGGTGGTAAAAAGATAATTCCATCCATTATTTCGATTCTTGTTGAAGTATATATTGCTGATTTTATCTATTGTGCAGCGCCGTTGATCAGTTTAAGAAGCAATTTGCTCATTTAGAAGAAAATATTGGGAAAAATGGACCTGTAGTTCCACTCGATAGAAAACATATTTCCCTCCCCAGGTATGATATGCAAAAGTTAACTCCTTACACTTTGATTCGTGCTTTTCGAAATACACTGATGCCTATATACCTACTGTCTTTCATTTTTGCAGTTCTAAGTAGCATAAAGCTTTATAAATTTTTCTGTTTAAAGCGTTTGAATGCAAAATCAAATATACGGCTTATATTCGCGACTTAGAAATCGCACACTCGTTACATGAAACAAATATATTATTAGTGATAGAATCATTTTTGTTTATTCACACGTATCGTAAATTGCTGGGATTGCTGCAGGTCATCGATTGTACCTTCTAATATAGTACCGCCAAAGGATCAACCCCTCATTGCAAAACATCGAGAACGGCTCAACACCGAAGAATCATGCAGCAGAAACTCCCGGACCCATGACGGACCTCACAATAGTTTATCAAGAACGTTGCACCCACCGCAACGGCTCCCTCAAGGTACTTCAAAGAATCCCATCACCTAACTGTATTAATTCATTTCGGCCTCGTCAAATTTTGCTGATTAATTTATATTTGGAACTCTTGATAATCAAGCTAAACCTGGAAAAGCCATTGGCGCCGCATTACCTAACGAGAATGGAAACATAGTTAGAGAATCATACGATCCTTGGACACTAGCCCGGAATGCTGCCCCCCAAACCCAAGCTGTATCCTCGGCTTACTATTCTTGCCCGCAGAACCGAGCTGGAAAACCAGAAAAATCGGTATCTGACACCCACAGAGACGAGTTCCCACCATACCAGATGAAACAAAGACCAAACTGTGGGATGGCTGCCAAGTTAGCGCCCGACATTGCGATAAACATAGACAGCAGCAATCCTTTCTATATGAGCCGAGCAGAACACGGTTCTAGTGACAGAGTCACGATTGATGCCAATCTTCTGCAGGGTAAGGCTCAATATGGGTTTGTTGCAACAGCAAATGTCGCTCCTCACAGGAAGGTCGGCAGCGTACAATATACGATGGCAAAAATGTATTAGAGCCAGTTGGATTGTCCGAGACTACAGGTAAATTAAATCCACCATTGAAGTACCTTCCAGAATTGGCAGCCGTGTACAGGAAAGGGAAGGGATTTCTTCGAATCTGGACGAACATACAGCGAGCATCATGTCAGGTTCTTTCTATCGATCGATCGCATTCTTGCTTGTTTTAAATTGATAATAATATTACAGCTTCATATTGTTTTCGTGGTGTTATATATATATATGTCTGTATTTCTTGGCACGATTCGATGTCTTCCCCTGAAAATTCACCATAGAAACTATCTGGGAAAATTACATGATGTAGAAGAACACTATATGGCTCCATTGTTGAATAATGAGTTGTTGAAATTGAGTGCACTACTAGTGGTAGTAGTAACTGATTTATTTCTAACCATTGCATGAAAAAAAAAAAAAAAAATCTAGTGTAAGAGTTAAGTAGCAAATTTTATTATATTTGTTTATGACACTATTTTGTTATTTAATTTAAGATATCTATTAAAAGCAAGATTTGTATTTGGTTTGTATTTAACGAAATGTTTTTTTTTGGCTAATCTTGTGTAAAATATTTGAAGTAGTTGCATGTGTTCTTCATTTGTTTTGAGAATCGTCTATAATTGATCTGTATATTTATTTATTTATTGTATGTATGAAAAGATAATTATGGATTAGGATTAAGATAAGAAAAATTATGATTGACCAATAACTCGTGAGTAGTGATCCAAGTAAAGTTTTGTACTTCCAATTGGAATATCTTTGAAATATTATAGTACATTTTTTTTTTTTATCTGTGTGTATAATTTAAATTTTTTAATAAAAAATATTCATAAACTTTGAATTCTGTCAACTACTAATTTATTAAATTCGGCCAAATAATGATATAAGTGCAATAATGAAACTTTGATGCACCAAATTACCTTGTCATAATGTCAGGTGGATTCGGGTCTCCTCGACCTTACATATACACTGAGTTATTGCAGTCACAATGATATAAATTTTTTATATTTGTCTCCGATAATAAAATTATAGTATAAATATTTATGAATATAGAATATATATTTATGTTTCAATCCACAATTTTATGTAGCTATGTCACTTTTATAATGTATGATGTCGATGGAATTCTCAATCATTGAGGAATGCAACAAAAAACACAGATAGATAATTATGGACAATAACTTATTATTATTATTATTATTATCAAAACCTTATACCAGTCATTTTCTTAATATTGTTTAATTACATAATAAAATTATCCAACCATAATATCAAATATATAAATATATTAAATAGTAAAAAAAAAAACTACTAATAAGCAATATAAGACATATTTGAATTCCATGCATGTTATTTAATTAATTAAAAATTAAAAATAGAAAAGTCAGAAAATATTGCACATGAATCCAGCAGGGTTGTAGGGCATACGAAATTAAAGAGTGGATTATATTGTTTGTGGGGCTCAAGAATATATATATGCATCCATTTCCCCACTTCATCCTCATCACATGTGCTCTGTTTCTCTCTCACTCCTCCTCTCTCTCTATGTATATATCTTGGTATTATTATATGTAATAAATTTATTAAATTATTAGTATTTTAAAAAACCTTTGTAAATTTATATTTATTTATTTTTTGTTATTATATATTCACATTGTCGATAGGTCTCATTTCTCTTCTTTTGTATAGTCATTTAATTTATATATATCGCCACTCTACGTACGTAGTTCTACTTATTAATAGGCAACTTAATCTTCACTCTACAGTTTTTTAACATTTTAATAATTTTTTTTTAGCATTTCGACTTTAGAATAATAAAATTTTTTGTTTTTGGTTTGGGGTAACATACATCAATCATTATATATAGGGATGTTGTATATTATAATTATTTATTTAAGCTAGAAGAGATATATCTCATTTAACATAAAATTCGATATGAACAATTTCTTTACTTATATTCATAATTGTGAACATATAATAATATATATATTTATTAAATTATTATTTAAAAAAATTATTCCACTTTTAATGTTTAATTATACGCACATGATATATATTAGAAAAATATTATATAAATTTTTAAGGAGCTGACGTGGCGTTGATCAAATGGTCCGTGATCAATGGGAAAGCCCAAATTCTAGAACGGGGCCCACTTTCCGTTGTCTATATAGATATATATATATATGTATGTGTGTGTGTATATATATATCTCTCTGTACAACTGCTCTTCAGTAAGTCCTCACACCACATCGCCACCGCCTCATCCTTTTCCATGGAGAATGCCGAGGTCTCTGCACAATCCGAGCCATCATCTACAACAGAAATTGAAGGAATCTGCAACGAAGATAGGAATAACACGGCGAGGATTAAGAGGAAGAGGAGGAAGACATCGAGCGCGGCGTGCGAATGCGATGGCGGCGTCGGAGAAGGCTTGGCAGAGGAGAAATTCGACGTGAAGAGAAGGATCGTCGCGCTGCAGAAGATAGTGCCTGGCAGCGAAGGATTGCCGATGGATAAGCTGTTTGAGGAGACCGCTGAGTATATTGCGTCGTTGAAACGCCGAGTGCAAGTTTTGAGATTCCTCTGCGCCATAGCGGATGGAGAGCAGAGGAAATCTGGCGGTTGAGTGCATCTCCGCTGAGTTCTTCAGTAAATTAAAAACAAAAATAAGGATTAGGAGGTTCGTAATTTCAGTTCGGCTAGTCACATTGCTTATGCAATATGCAGTAGTGCTCGACTGTTATTATGGAGTGCTGTATATAACTTGTTAAATTCTGATAACAGTGGATTTGGATCTGTAAATTTTCCTTATCTTCCTTCCTCTCTTCTGGATCGGAATGGATATCTGATGATCTTCAACCAAAATGCCTTTTGATTTGTTATTGGAACGAACAGTGAGGAAAAACTTGTATAGTTTGGACTACAAATTTAGATGATATGTTTCTGATTTTGATGGTTATATTTTTAACATACTTTTCAATCAATATTTTAAAAAATATAATATATCAAATATATATTTTTATATTAGTAATTATAATAATAATAATAATTTGATAGGTTCAAACACGTGGCACTCACGATCCAAGTTCAGTTAAGTTTCCAATCAAGAACCCTAAAAACGATTGCAAACTGCTCCACCACAAATCAATCGCTTAACAAATTCCATTGCCAATATTGTTCATGATTTAATAATGTCTCTTCCTTGATCATTAATTCTCTTGGATCTCTGCAGGAATTACATCAGAAATGGCCGACAAGAAGCTGGACAGCGGATCATCGTCAGATGATCGGACGGCGGATGGAGCTCCGAAGAAATCTTCCGATCATAAGGGGAAGAAAAAAGGATCGAAGAAGAACGCCGACGCCGCCGGCGACGAATTGAAGGCGACAATCGGAAAATTAAGCAGTGAGAATGAGGAGCTGAGAATGCAGCTGGAGAAGGTTGAGGCAGAGAACCAGACATTGGAGGTTGTCGTCGCTCGAACCGCCGAACTGGAATCCGAGGTCTCCAAATTGCAGCAAGATTTGGTGTCCGCTGTCAAGGGTTTGGAATTTTCCTCTGAGGAATTGTCCAACTTGAAGAACGAATTGGATGGAATGAGAGGTACATATAATCCATCTCGATCTTTCAAACCTTTTTTTTTTAAAAATAAAAAATAAAAAATTCATATGATTTTTTAAAAAATCTTTATAAGGATTGTGTTGCGGAAATTCCCATGAATGAAATAACAAAGACAAAAGAACACAAGATTCCGTAAATCAGGCTTCATATCCCAACAAAAGACTGATTTCATCTTCCACTTCAACATACCTCATCCAATCTCCACTCCCCACCCTTCAGTGTTAATTTTCAGTGTCTCATCATCTCCAAGATAGACAACACCAAAATTACCTGTGGTATAAGATTCCATGATTCCCGAATCACTGAGTGGAATGATGCTCCTAAGACCAAAATCTATGACTCCATTGAACTGCTGACGCTCAGAATCAGCACATCGGATATCTCCTCCGCTGTGTTTGCGGAACCCTGATCCTTATCGGGCGCCCCGCACTCTCGTTTCAAGTGCCCCTTGCAGTTTCAACGTACCACCTGACTTGCATCTTCCTTGTCGATCTTCTTTTACTCGACTTCATCCATCTTGACTCCCACAAACAAACATAAGGCTCACTTGATATGAGAGCACATCGGATATTCCGCTGCGTTTGCCGAAACCCTTATTCTTCCCTGCTTACCTTGCACCGCCTATCACATAGGGACTCGCTACCTGACCTACCAGTCAGGACCGACCTAACACCGCCAGAAGACTTTCGACACAAGGCACCTCCGCAGGTCACAGGGGATTCCCACAATGATCCAACGTCCGATTCCTCTCAATCCACCCTATTAACGAACTAGGCTCTGATACCACTTGTTACGAAAATTCCCAGGAAATTAAGATGAAATAACAAAGACAAAAGAACACAAGATTTGGTAACCCAGTTCGATCACGATGATCTACGTCTGGGGGCGCTGCCAAGCCAGAAATTTTACTATAAAGTACGCAGACACATGTTAAAGTGAAAATACATGGATATTTATATCCTAAGCCTTTGACAATAATATCCAAATCATATCTCTAAAATCTAAAATATAATATCCAAATCATATCCCTAGATTTTAGGATATAATCAGACTTCATATCCCAACAGATTGAGTATATACATTTGATGCAATAGATTGTTCTTAGCATAATTCTCTAGTTCCATTTTAGCCATCAGTTTATTCTTCATTGAAATCTATTCATATGCTTTTATGTAGTTACACTATATTGTTAGGTGATAGAATATATATTATATATTGTGTAGATATGTATTTTTTACAATACCATTCTCCAGTTAAGTTATCATTTTCTAGTGTTGAATATTAAGTACATTTTGATAGATTTTGTGGTAAGTTTATAGTATGTATATACCATTTATTCCAATAGAAATCGAGTTATAAACATTCTTGATTCATGGAATTAATGCAATTTTTTGGTAATATATTCAGAAATCTTGCAAGTCTTAAATTAAAAAGGACTCATTGACAGGTCGGGAGAAGGAGAAGGACGAGAAGCTAGAGAAGTTGGAGAAGGAGAAGGCGACATTGGCTGCTGAACTTGCGAAAGCAGTCGTCGTGGAGACTAAATTGAGGAATGAAATGAAAAAGACCGAGGAAGAAATGAATGTGTTGTTAAATGTTAGTAAACGTTCGACTAAGGAGTTGGAGAGTATTGTCGAGCGAATGAAGAGTGAGATTAAAGAGCTGAAGAATAGTTTAGCTGATAAGGAGAGAATAATCAATGAGAAGAAGTGTTGGAAATGCAATGGTAGCCGAAGGGAGTTGAAGATCATCCGTGGATCGGCTATAGTTGCAGTTGCTGCAACTATTTGGATTGTTTGCCGCGCAAAAAAAGTTTAACTTGAAAAGGTTAGTCATTTCGAATTTTGGGGTCTAGTAATGTTAGGCGATTATACTATTTTGATCTTGTTGGTCGTGTCTTTCTTCCACAATTTCTTCTAGTCATTTTTATGGAGAAGAATAAATGCATTTGTTGTAGTTCATTTGATAAGAAATTATTCTTTCATTGAATATGTAATAGCTTCTAATTAATAGTATTAGAGAGTTAACATCATCAAATTATAAAAAATAAGATTTCAACAACACAAATTGTAGAATAAATCCAGACATCTTCTGCAATGCAATGAGAAGAAGATGAGAACTGAAAACCACGAAATGATACATTGAGATCAAATTACGATCAAAGTCATTAAAAAAACAGTGGATCTTATGTACCCTCAACCTTATTGTGTGCATTTTCAATATTATATTCACATACATAACTCATAAATTTACAAATTTGTTCAAGAATACAACTCCAATCACTCATTCTGGGCACCTCATCGTCGATGTTTTAATCCTGACAAATATACATCAATAATTGTATAAAATTACTTCAAATATTATGTTTAATTTTACTTATTACATACTATATTAATAAAACATTTTTGATGCAATCAGCACATATGATCAAAGTATAGTGTAATATATAGAATTATATAATATGTTGTCAAAATTTGTTTGTTATATATTATATTATCTATGTTTTGTCTTCTTTTATAAAATATGTTTACCTTTGATTTGATTCAATTAGCATGAAAGAAACCAAACCAATATAGGATTTATATATAAAAATACTTTTTACTTTATATAGGGTTTAAAATGTTTTACGAACAATCCATGAATTTGAGGCACAACAAGATAATTGGATATATAACTCACCGGTAGTCATCACCGGTCGGAGCCTTGCAGAAAATCGAGCAAACCGCAGCAGTTCTTCCATGAAGCCTGGCTCCCGGTAGCCACGAATCCCTGTCTCGTCCCGACAATTCATTCGATTGGTATCAAATTCAGACCAAAAAAATTGTTACATTTTAAAAAACCAATTAATCATGGATCTTATATCTAATTATACCCCGTCACACTGGAATAAATTGCAATATTAATTTCATAAATATTTTCCGGATTATAAATTTTATTTGGTAAATTTGTATAATCATATTTTGATGTAGAAAAGTATTTCAATATAAAAGTAAAAAATCATACTACTATTACATGATATTCAAGAATAAAAAAAAAAAAAAATAGCATAGAAGAGATAGGTAATTTGTACAAGTTATAAGATGAAAATGATAAATTTTTTGTTTTTCTCACGTATTTTTATTATTTATTTATAATAATTTAATTTTCTCTTTATTAAAATATGACATCATATATTTATTTTTATATAACATATTTATTCAAAAATATTATATCAGACAAATAGTTAAATTAAAAAAAAAAAAATTTAAGTTAAAAGAAACATACTTTTTCCTCTACCTCTCTGGGAGCAGCAGTTGCGGCGGCGGCGGGGGGTTCTCCGACATTCTTGTCGGAAGTTGGCAGCGGATCTTCAGAGGCGGCGCCGCCGCCGAGAGTCTTAAAACTGGGCACGAGGCTTTCGACGTAAGAAGACGACTTGGCCGCCGCATCTTCCAATACAGATTTTGCAGCCGCCGTGACTTCTTCCACCAAGCCGCCGCCGGCGTGATCAGCCGGCGGCTCGTAGGTGACTTCCTTGACCTTGGAGGTGTCTTCATCCGCCATCTCTGATTGATTGATTCTTGCCTGAACAATCTTAATTGTTTGATCAGAACATATCAGATTAGTTTAGATGACTCGAAATAAAAATAAATAAATTGATGTACCAATGGCGACAACACCACTTCAATTGGGGATATGATATTATTGTAAGTATATATGAAATGATTGATGTGAGTGAGGGTATAAATATATTACCACCACATCTTGGAATATTCCATTGTAGTTGTGTTGTTGAAGGTTTTATTTAATTTTATGGGATTTTAAAATAAATAAAAAAAGGATTAATATATATATATATATATATATTACATCTAGTAAAATATATATGATATGTCGTCACAAGATAAATAAATTTGAAAATACAAGTCTAAGTCTAGTATTGATCAAGTAATTAAGGGTATTATTATAATATATATATATATAAATATAAATTTGTTTGTGTTTGTGAAATTAATTACTTAGTGAGAGTGAGAGAGGGAGAGGGAGAGGGAGAGTTGCATTATTGGAAAGAGTTTAATTTGTTGAACAAGTTAGTATGAAATCAAATTAAATTAATTGTCCTAGCTATGATATACTCCCTCAGTAGTCCAAGGGCAACATTTACTTTTGGTACGAGTTTTTAGGTGAGTAGTATTAAGTAAAATAATTTAGAAATTAAATGATTTGATTGAGAAAAATATATATATATTTTTTTGGATGATGTGAGACGATAAAAGTGTGGAATAGAGATTAAGTATAATTAATTATTTCTTATTTTTAAAATATTATAATGTGTTTGAGACATACCAAAAAAAAACATTGCGAAGTGTTTGAGACGGATGAAGTATTATACTACCCATATAGATTTAGGTCGGCGTCGGTGGTGATTCTTGGGGGCTCCATGGACTCCAGCTCCCTCTCATTCAATTCAATTCAATTCACAGACCAACAATTAAATAATTAACTGTCGCAACTCACAACACACGTACACCCACCCACCCACCCGCCCCTTAATTCAATTATTTCTATTTCCAATAACATAAATAAATAAATAAAAGTTAATTAGGAGTGAGTAGTGACTGTACAAACACAATTGGGTTCATGATTAATTGCACTCACTGCACATAGTTATAGATATATATAAAAGGTCCTCGAATCAAGTATGAGTGTTGGAGTCCCGGGAGTCGTCTGGGAAGAAGGAGCAGAAGCAATATTAGATTTGTATATTATATATATAAACCCAAGTGGGAAGTGTTTAGGGTTCTTCTCCTTTATTTATTTATGGTTTTCTTTTTTTTTTTTTTTTAATATTTTTTCTTATATGAAATTTAATAATTTACATACAAATTAATATTAAAAAATTGTTATTTTCATTATGATTGAAAAAGGTCAAAAAAATAATTAGTTTAATGGTTGCTTATTAAAGCCGGCAAAAGTGTACAGCTGTTGTTGATGTGTTTGTTGCGTTGGTAGTTGGACACTTCCCTTTCTCACATTTTAAATTTAATTAAAGTTTATTTGGTTGTAATTTTAAATAAGAGGAAACAAAAAAGTGTTAACAAACCCATATTCTAGAATTTGATTTTTGCAATGAATCTACATCTTTAATCTTACAGTGCACATGTAATTATGTAAATACTATATCATAATTTGATTTCAAAAATTAAATTATTAAATAAAATATATATATGGGCCAAAGACCAGCAGAATCTTTCTCATAACAAAAATCCCGATATATTGAAGGCAACGTATGAGGATGATCGAGGTGCTGCTGGAAATAAACAAAGTATATCGAATGAAAAAATTTAATTTATTTTGATAATATATTGTAATTAATTAAAAAATTTAATTATTTTATTTTCTATTTTTGCTCATTTCAGTTTGTTTTGGATTTCCAATCAAAATTATTATTTAATTTAATTTTTAATAAAAATAAATTATTTTTAATTATATCAAATTACTGTTTACAATTTACATCCAACCATTCTAAAACTGCAATTTCCTGTCCAAATGCTCCGTTAGATTTTTCACCGGAACAGGAAAAAGGAAGTGCTTTCTCAATAACCATTCTACTCTTATCATCATCATCAACCACAAACCGCGATTTTGTTTTGCTGCATCGGGAGTAGGCAGTGAACTGCTAGGGTTTGTGTATACCAGTGGTTGGGACATTTCGTCGAACATGTGGTGGACTGATTTGAAAGCGGCTATTGGGCAAAGATTCAATCTGGAAGGTATCGCTTCCTCCGTTGGAATTCTATCAAAAGACAAGCACATGGCGATCCCTCATGTTAGCGTGCCTGACATTAGGTACATTGATTGGGCCGAGCTGAAGAGGAGGGGGTTTGAAGGTGTGGTCTTTGACAAGGACAACACCATTACTGTTCCCTATTCCTTGAGCTTGTGGGCACCCCTTCGATCGTCGATAGACCACTGCAAATCCTTGTTTGGAAACAATGTTGCGGTGTTCAGTAACTCCGCCGGTAATCATATTGGCAAAATTTGTTCTTCTTCTGCTTTTGCATAGTGGTTTGGAATTCAGTATTTTCTTTTTCAAACTTATCAAATTGAAGATATCTCTATTGCAATTATGTCATATTACTACTGAAATTCGTCCCCCAAAGAATGAATTTTGAATTCGAGTTTATTTTCTTTTGGAACTTGCATACCCATAATAGTTTGAGTGGTTTATTTTGCATTTCTAGGATTGCTTGAGTATGATCCTGATGAAAAAGAAGCTAAAGCACTCGAAGATGCCATTGGAATCAAAGTTATAAGACACAGTAAGGTGTTTCCACACATGAATAATTTGTGATTTTGATACAGAGTTGGTTTTCTCATCGAAGATCATAAATGAAGCCTATAGTGATTGTTGCACAACACTAAAGCAATTTTTACTGTTTTTGTTTGGATTTGGTAATGTTCGTTAATATCTAGGGATGAAGAAGCCGGCTGGAACTGCTGAAGAAATTGAACGGCAGTTTGGCTGTGAATCTTTGAGGCTTATCATGGTAGGAATCTTTTGTTATGATATATATGGAATCCTTGATCAAATAAAACAAACTGATTTGAATTATAGTTCATACTTGTATTATATTATTTACAAAAAATTCAAATTCCTAGCGAAGTTGTGCCAGTTATGCTGTCAAAATTGAAAGGTAACACTATTCAGAGCTCAGTAATGTTAATCTTTTAATGGAAAAAATTGCATCAGGTTAAAAGTTGTAGTAATTTTGTCTCCAATTAAGTTTTTATAAGCAATGATACCTAAATTGAGGTGGCGTTTACGATTCTAGGTTAGAGTATCTCAATTCCCTTTTTTTTTAATGTGGTTTATAGTTTGTTCCATTCTTCTAGCAGTTTCTTTTTATGTTTTCCCTGTATCTTATCGTCTATTCTTGTGAAAATAACAGGTGGGTGATCGGCCCTTCACGGATATTGTTTATGGAAACAGAAATGGGTTTCTCACTGTTCTGACCGAACCATTGAGCCTTGCCGAGGAACCTTTGATTGTGAGACAGGTAGCTCACTAACATCCTGTTCAAGAGCCCTTTCTGCCATGGCAAATTAATTAGTTGATTTCAAGTTAGGATTGTCAATTCTTTATTCATGCTGCCATATCTGATATTGTCCATGCACGATCATCGAATATCGTTTAGCAACTCGTACATGTTTATCAAGATTGGATGTCTATGTGGATTCGGTAACTTTCTGAAAAGAATTAGGTCTGATAAATGCTGGATTGGAGGAGGGTAAAGATGGACGAGTTGAAACGCAAGATAATGTTAAGTACTTAGAAGCTTAAACACAAAAAGCATTTAATTTCACTCCCTACAATTTTATATACAATCTAACTAGATTTAAATTGTTTCTCTGGGAAAGGGATTTTCACATGGTTGCCTTTGGATGTAATTTCAGAGTGTTGTATGTATATGAAATACTATGTGTGCTTTTTAATTAGATAACAGTCAAACTAGATTTGCAGGTACTCTGCGAGTATGAAATATTGCATATGCGTTGAGTACCTGAGTTTAGATAGCAGATAGTTTTTATGATCAGGTTTGTGAGTATTGATAGATTTGAATTAGTACCGACGGCAAGGATTGAATAAACATAAAATTGTTGAATCTTTATATAATTTTGTGATGGATTTGTTTGGTTGATCAGGTGTTGTGATAATATCCTTTTGGTGTATTCCTTTGAAACAAACGCCATGCATTCACTAGGTTTAGTTTTTTGCGATAGCAATGACAAAGATAGTTTGAACAAAGGTCCTGAATGTGGTGTTTTAATGACATATGAGGTTATCCTGCCCAGGTCACTCTGTTTTTGTATTTCTTCCTTGAGAATCACTCTTATGTCTAAATGTTGGATGCGCTGTTTCAGGTAAGGATGCTCGAGGCTGCCCTTGTGCGACGATGGTCTGAACAAGGTTTGAAACCAAACAGCCACAGTTTGATTCCAAATTCTGTTGACTGTGTAAAAGATTCACCGCTAGGATAGCCTCCGCAAGCAAATTCTAGAATTGGGTACGAGTTAATTTGGCTTAAATTTTTTTCGAGCTCGAACTCATTACAAAAACAATAGACTGATTCCTATAAAAAACACAGACCAGCTGATGCTTTGTTACTTCATTTTATGCCCTCTTCAAGAATTTGATACATTAGGCTGTATTTTGTCGCCGTCATCGACCCTTTCCTGTCAGCGGCGACTGCTCGGAGGCTGGAAGACTGTACAAGGATTTCAGCTGTCTGCTGATCAGCTTACTGCTGTTCACAGCCATTTGTAGCTCCAAGTCGTCGCCCCACCACTGCTCCAACCCGTGCGCCTCGAGGAACTTCTGCTTCCCCTTAGACAACACAAACAGCTTCGACGATGCAGCGCCAGAAATTATCGGCTTCACATTCTCCTTCTCACTGCCGCTGCATTCTGCAGCCCCATTTGCGTCCGTATAGTAGCAGCAAATGTAGTCGCTATTATTTACATACAAATGAGGCATCCATTGCTTCGATCCTGAGATCGCCATTTCTGCTGATCTTTCACTCATATCTGCCTGAGCATACGGCAACATCGCCCGGACTTTCCTCCACATATCCCCTGCTCTTTCGACCACGGTTTTGAGGCTGCTTGCGAGCGAAACGGACGGTGGATTGAACAAATGGGCTTCAACATATATCCCTTCTTTCGCCAGCGCTTTCCCGACTTGCAAGGCAAAGCCGGCTCCCAAAGAATGTCCTGCGATTACAGTCGAAACTAAAAAAAGTACGTACAATCTCAATAGCTCGTTTAATTTGTCGAGAATGATCATTCGAATTACCTGCGATGCAGATGTTGCTACTCCCATACTTATCGCAAATCGATCTCAATGCCTTCAAGCTGCAGGCGAATCGGATGGATCCTTTCAAGCTTTCCCAGGCTAGAAAGCGTAGATCATCCTCAATGTCGCGTCGGATGGTTGGACTTTTTAGCAGTGTCCCTCGAAGTGCTAGAACAGCTCTCGGCGCGCCACTCGGCCTCACAAGTACGAAGTCTTGCAAAGCTGATGCGCGGTCCCATTCGAGTATGGCACCAAAGATCGAGCCGTCGCGATCATCCACGAGTGTTTGAACCAGCTTGTACTTGAATGGTATCCACCATTTGGGAGCCAGAGCATTTTCATGGCTTCTGTTTTCTTGTCTGTCGAGTTCGAGCAAGTATACTCCTTGTATGAAGCAGGCAATGACTGTCCTCTTGTAATTGCTATTCTTCCTATGGATAATGATAAGAAACCTAAATTATCTTCGAACACATATTCGTATTGACAAAAATGGAGTTTTAGATTGGAAAGGGGCACTGACCAAGTGGAGCTAATGAGATCCCTCCAGTTAATTGACGGGACATTACGAGGTCCCGACACGTGAAATGCATACGGATGCTGTTGATTATGATTTTGATTTTGATTTTGGGATCCTTCCTCCGCCGGCGGCGAAACCTCATTCTTCATCTCCGATCTGCAAACTTGTCGAATGATTAGCAATGGCGTTCTCTGCAATCTATGGGGAGAAGATGGAAGGGGAGAGAGAATAAAGAGTAAAGTAGGAAGGATGGAGGGTTTGTGGAATTCGATTCGAAGGGAATAAATGCAAATGCTGGTTTTGAACGACTTGACTTCCCTTTTGTATTATGAAATTTTGGGTGGATGGATCTGCTTGCAACGGTCATATTCTTAAGAAAATCTTGACCCTTGGTGGATGGTCTTCTAGAATACCGCTTCCATTCCATCATAGAATCCTCACCGTCCATTCTTTTCATAACCCTCTTGATTTGTGCCACGTGGATGGCGTGGCGAGCAGCAAACAATATTTGTGGTGGAGCTAATTCTCTCTGCCGCCATTAATTCTGGTTGTGGATCGTCTGCTACCAATTTCTCAATGGACTCTGCAATTTACTTCCAACCCTAAGCACGAAACTGTACTCCAAAGAAAAATCTCACAGCTATTATTTCTATTTCTATGGCCTTCAATTTGGGAACTCCTGCTGCTTCCACCACTACACTTCGCCCAAAACCCTTAATTTCTCCCAAGATTTTCAGCCAGAAAAGTGCCTTGAAGCCCCTCGACGCACCGTCGTCCTGTCTCAAGGCTGCTGCGGCTGTATCCGAAGGAACAGAGAGCAGAGTCGACGAGGATGATCCGACGACCTATTCCGGTAATTTTCGTTTTCTCCGAAAATTAGGGGTTTTGAAATTTGATGAACTTCTTGAAAAAGTTGGGTTACTGTTTGGTTAGCTATTGTTACTCTGTTTTCCTGATTGTCTTTAAGTGATGCTGTTGTAGTAATTGAGGCAGTTGAGATTGGAGTATGGTTGTGGCGGCGTGTTATTACATCTGCAAACGTTGTTTCTTGGCTTTGGTTTCCAAGAATCAACTTTTTTTGCGAGTCTAGGAACTTTTGAAACGTTGATTGAGATCATATGATTAATTTTCAGCCAAAATTGTCATAATGCAACCCTGATTAGAACTGTTGTGCCACATATTGTTGGGCTATAATGGAACACATAATGTTGAGCTATAATGATCTAAGGGAATAGGACAAGCCCGAAAGATTTCTTACTACTTAAAATGGCAAAGAAAATGAAATGTTCATGTCAATGTAATGCATCAAGTTCTAAGCTTTGAATTCTACAATAATGGTGCCGCGTTGCCAAGCTTTTCTAACTTCAATATTCTTGATTTAAAGTTAAGGAGTCATCTGCTCGAATGCAACTAGATCTCTTGGAAAGGCTCACTTCGAGTGGATCACCAGTCGATGGTAAGCATTGCCTCATTCGTATTGGTTCTATGAACAACGATCGTATTTATTCTCTAACTGGTTTGATTGTTAACCAAAACTTATCAGGTTATGAGAGTGACGGAAGCACCTTCAGGGCAGCGACAATAAGGGAACAGCTCGCTAATTTGGTAGGAGACCGCGACGACGATTTCAGCATTCCTCTTGGCAAGAATCTGAAGAAGGTGACTGACAAATTCTTGACCATATCCCAGAAGAGAAACATTCGAAGGCAGTCTTATTTGAAAGAGGTATCCCAGAGAAACGACTCTACTTTCTTCGCCACCATTGGCGCATTTGTTATCCTCCCGCCTGTTGTTATATTAGGAGTCGCCATTGCAACAGGTTATGTGCAACTTTTCCCGTGACGCGAACTCTGTACATACTTCATATATATAGGAAATACATAGAGTAGGTTAGAAAATACAGTCTTATTATTATACCTTTTACTGTTTGTAAAGTCTAAGGTGGTAAGAAACTCCGCAAAGATATCTAAATGTTATTGAATTTATGAATTTACAAGAAAGCATTGAAAGGAAACAGTAGTCAACATTTAACTTTATGATGATTTCATAAACTTTTAATGATATTTGAAGATGACAATAACTTTACAAATTTGAAGATGAAAATGATCCAAATCCCATAAACTTGTACCCTATGATCACCCTGATCCGCATAAATTAATCTTTGTAAAGAATCAAAAATAATGTATCAATCGATATGTACACATACATATTCATTCCTCAACAAGATTCACCATTTCGAGCTTCTTTTTGCCGGTGTGGTGACGACATCTCATGATCGGTTGGCGATACAGGATCGTTTCTGAGAATCATGCCTTGTTTTTGTATGTAAGGCCATTTGTCTTGTAGGAGGTAGAAAAAGAGCAGGATAGATATCTGGACAGTAAATATGATTGTCCAAATGCCGACATTCTTCGACGTTCTTCCATGGTAGGCTTGTAAGCCAGTGTAGATATTGATCACTCCCAATAATGGAACAGCTATTCCAAGTAGCCAGTGAAGGAAGAACCACATACTTCTGCCTTTGCTTCCTCTGCAATACAAACTTGAATACTTTAAAAAAACTATATTTAGATGTTTTTCAAGTGGTTTTAAGGTTTGATGTTCTTACCTTTTTGGTCTGAAAATGGCGGTCAGTAATTGGAGCCACATTACAAGATAGAACACCAACCCTATTCTCTGGTGGCCATTGTTGAATGTGTTGTCGAAGTATTTTATCGACATTGCAGCAGCTGCTGTTCCAATTAGAACTGCTGAAATCTGCAAATCGAAATCATATGTATATATTCACATTGATGACAATCTTGAGGAACTACACTTTCATCATTCTGTCACGTGATCGTGAGGAGCCACAAACATCATCATTTGTGTAAAGAAATTAGCCTTTTTTTACTTTACTTATTCATCATAATTAATAATAGCTACAAACCTAACCTAACATGATTAATTAGTGACAACATTTTCTTAATCTAACAAACATTCATGCCATGAAGAACTGGTTTCTCTTTGTAGATCTATAACTACAAATTGCCATAATATCAAGATTTGCTAATGGCTTTAAGCCTTGCAAGAAAAGCGAAAGAAGTATAAAATCGATTACTTGATATATCGCGTGCTTATTATAACATGAAGCTAGAAAAAAAAATAAAAATATTTATAACAAGTTTGTACACACCTCCATGAAAGCATGAACATAGAATACAATTTTAAGCCTGCGGCCGGATGCCTCATTGTTCAATATCCTCTTCACAAGTATTCCAGCCGGCATTAGCAAACCAACCGAAGCCCACCAAAGAAATCCATGGAGTTTGATCTCGAAAGAGAGTTGAGAACTGATCATAATCTGAAGCCAAAAATGGAATCCATTGAAGAAAGTGTTCTTGAAAAACTTTGATTCATATATCATACTAAACATGATAATCCATATGATAAAAATTCACACACCTTGTCTTTATTGCCTGAGTTGATTTTCGCCACCACCGGCGTATCCTCATCAACTGAACCAACCGGCGCGATAGGATTAAGGACAACGATCCCTACAAAAATGGCGACCGCAGCCAATTTTTTCGAAACTAACATGTCTCTCATCTTGTTGGAGAATCCTATGCCTTGCCAACACATAAAAAGAAAAAACCCTATAAACATAATGAGCAAAAAGAGCATATCAAGCCATTGTCCATTGAAAACTTGCTGCAAAAGTGCTTTATATATACATTTCTTTGATGAGCTACAAAGTTCATTATTGCCAAGGCAATGTATCCCTTTTCTTTCTTTTGATCTCTATGATATAGAAAACAAAGATTTATCTGACAAGGAAATTTAAAAGTAGTAGTAGAATATGTTCATTACTCTCTTACAGTTGTGGCCTTTCTTGCTTTCCTTCCTTCTTTAGGTTTTTAAAGGCAAAGTGGGATGATTAGAATAGGGTTATCTCTTGTGACTATTGCATTGTGGTTACTTGTTTATTTTATTTTTTGGGAATGTTGTTATTGTTATTTTATAGGAAAGAATGGAGTGTGGAGAATGGGCAATATGCTTTGTATTTTTGTGGGGTCTTCTTGACAGGCTTTTTGGTTTTAATGGGTAGAGGTTGAAATTTTTGATGATTTTGGTGGTTAGTCAAGATTGCAATGGAAGAACAATTTTCTTCTTCTCGATTGATTTATTATTATTATTATTTTAATGAAGTGAAAATTTATACTCGATGCTTTTCGAGTGCATACTGATTTAAAAAATATTGATGAAATAGGTAAATTATGTGAGACAAAGACGTCAAAAGAGTTTGAATTTATAATTTTACGATTATAAATTCACTTTCACACTAACCCGACCACCTGTCACGGCGAACAATTTTCAAAATTTTTTATTTTTTTTTAAACTCAACAATTTTCAAACTTGTGGTGGGCTGCTTTAGTTTGTGCTCTGCAACACACTATCTTATGCTGGATGCTCTATTTAGATGCAGACAATGTGTATGTGTATATATATGTATATATATATATTATACATATAATATATAATGGTTTCTGAACTTTGAGAAATTAGTAGTCACCTTTTAGACTTTTAAGACTATGAAAGAATTGGGGGATATTGTATGTTCGTCCATATGGGGCCTTTCATAATGGAAGATTATAGTTGTTTTGAATTTGTAGGTACTACATTTTATATATTAGTAGTCATTTAATTAATTCAATGTTGTTTGTGTAGCCTTATATGGTATTGTTGGAGTCATTGCCAGAATATATATATTATTTGGTGTATCTAAACATAGCTTAAATTAGCATTAAACAATAAGTGTTTTATTATTTACAAGATTCTTCAAGAATATTAAGGAAAAATTACAAAATATAATTAACAATATATACATTCGACAATAAAAGTAAATAAAAAGTATGCCAAATTTAATTTTTTTACAATACTTTTGTTTTTCTTCATAAATCATAGTAAAAAACACCTAAAAATCATAAATACTAAACAAATACACTTAGATATATATCAAATAAATTATAAGAATGTAATGAATGGTTCCATATACATTTGTTCATCCTAAAAGTTTCACTAGTATAACATAAAACTATGTCTTTAATTGGGTACAAGAGTTCTAATAATTTTGATTATTGTACAATCAAATATGGTGAAACCAGACCCAATAACTAAATTACAACTTTGTGTAAATGAACGACATAGCTACGATAATTTTACATGTATATATATATATTGCAACTAATTCATCGAAGTACAAATAATATTAGTTGTGTTATGATTCACTTATCATATAATAGTCTTTGAGATTATGATTATGTCTAACAAAAAATTGTTTTAAATCTTCTGCAGGAACACCTATTTAAAAATCATTCACACCATTGGTATGTTTGCTTTTTATTTTAAATAAAAAAGTTTACTATTCAATCTGTATAATTTTTTATTAAAATATTTGATGGAAAGTCTCAGAGTTTAAACTTATAACCTCGCGACCACGAGTCCACCACCATACCATCCCTTATCCGACGACCTAACATTTTAGTGTTAGAATTTTTCGCAGTGACAATTTTAGGAACCATAACGTGTCATAAATATTCCTTTCGCTAAGGAAGTAACGACATTAGAGTTGGATTTATTGCCTTTTATATATGCATATGTCAATTGAGAATATATATATTTATATTATATAATTGTCATATTTTTAAAGTTTTCATGCATGTGTATGTGTAATATCATTAATCCTAACAAAATTGGACAGCTCAGAGAGCACAAATTAAATAATAATACAAAGAGAATTGAATTTTGGACATATCATAATTCATATATCCTTATGGTCCCTCTTCCCCACCCTCTAATATCATATCCTTATGTCAAGTCTCAATTGTGATGATGATATTTTGGATCCTACATTATTGTCTTTTTATTTTATTTTATTTTATTTATGGTCTTAGTGCTTGATTGGCTACGTACAAGTTTGTCTAAAAGCTAGGTGTGATTTTTTTTAATCATCTATAGAAAAAATTGACATATTTAACCTTTTTTTTAAAACACTATTTATTAACAGTAACATTTAAAAATATATATTACATATATATATATATATATATCTATAAATATCACCTTAAATACTCAAATTATATTATTCTTATTATTTAAATTCCAAAAATGGAACATAAATTCAATTTATTTGAGAATTAAAATTATCCAAGCTCAAACATGAATTAATGACATTAATCAATTGATTAGCTCTAACAAACACATACTAACCATGTACACAACATATTACATAATTGACTTTATATTGTATGTTACATCAATATATAAATAAAATGTCATTGACCTACATTTAATGTCAATTTATCTAACATAATTAACGTCACACCTAAAATTTTAATCTATTAGGGATATGTATTATTTATGTATTTATCGACGAACGGAAGCCCATTAATAGGACAATTGTATTATAGATGTTAAACTAAATAAAAAACTAATCGAACAATAATATAAATAAGTTAAATGCTTGTTTGTTGAGCTGTGTTAGATTACACTATTGGCATTGCAAAAAATAGATTGATAAATACCAAATCATCAATTTAGTAATATAACATCATTTATATTTATTCATCAACATTTTATTGTATTCAAATTTTATCCATTTACATGAAATCATGATTGAGATAACGTGGGAAAAAGTGAAAAAGTCGTCAAGAATTGAAACCCAAAATAGTGTTTGGAACATCTAATTGAATTTCGAAGCTAAGTACCTATGACTTTTGAGTTCCTCTACATTTTGTTAAAGTAAAAAATCAAATGATTTAAGGCAAAACAATCAAATTTGATTGAAAGTGATGGCAACATTTTCATATCATAATTAATTGCAATGAATATATGTACATAATTTCAAAACATCAATTGATGCCTCATCCAATGAAGCATTTTAACAACCAAAAACTTTAATTAATTCGCTAAATAAACTAACGATAAAAGACAATCACTTTACGATTGTTAAAGGAAATAAATAGTTGTGCCCTAATCATACATTTCGGAAAATATATAATCTTAATCACATATATATACGACTTCATTATAATTCAGAATTCTTCAAAGTTCATTATGCGGCTCTTTTTATTTTAGGCAATAATCATAACCAAAACTATGTAGAACAAAAAGTACGATTTATTTGATAATCCTTTATAACAAAATACATTTATTTCCACGAGCTAATAACCTCCATTGAGACTACACGAATTTTTATTTTAACGATGCATTGATAGTTACACACCGATATTCAGATCCTTGTTATTATTCATTTGCAAAATTCTTTGAGACAACTTGGATCTACAAGGATCTCCACATTCTTTGCAACATTGTCTAATACAACGTGGGTCTACAATAGTGCCATTGTAGCCGCCACAAGCGGGGAAGCAATCAGATAGGCACTTCGACGGCTTCGACTTTGCACATGAACAATCGGGTAGCATAACGAGTGCTGTTATTATAAATATTACAGTGGCTGAAGTGACTTGCTTCATCGATTTCATTTGTGAAATAGCTTTGAATGTTGTCTTAACAATATCTATCTAGCTTAGCTAAAATTTTATAGAATTTTATTTTTTCCCTTTTCAGAATACCAAAAAATACAATTATTAACATTAGGAATAATATTATAATAATACACTTATTACAATATAAAATACGCTTATAACAATATTATAACACTTATAACAATATACGTGAGTAAATCCTCACATGTAAATAAATATTGAGGTAATAATATATTATAACAATAACATATAATAATATTTTAAATTATTAAAGAATCAATATTATTAACTGCATATTGAAAATACTTCAAAAGGTGTAACGTTGAAAAAATACTCTTTTCGTCCGCCTCTAAGGATTACATTTACCTTTTGCGTCGTTATACTTATATAATTGTATAAATATCATTCTATTAGCATTATAACTAATGAAAGTATTTTTTCAATTTTTTCTTAATTTGTATTACACTTTGATATAATAGTTATATTCAAATATCAACACATAAAAAAATAAACAAGACCCTTAAAATCGGACGGAGATAGTAATATGATATAATTAAAAATAATAATATTAATATTATGATAGAAATTTAAAAATAAAGGGCTTGTTCATTTAAAATACATAATTCAAAAATTAAATTCTTTCCTCATATTTCTTTTTTTAAAAAAAATATTTTAGAAAATATTTAAAAACGATAAAAATTACTGTACTTAAAATAATTTACAATTTCTAAAAACACTTTCCCAATTATCAATAAATAACAATATTAAAACGCCTATTACTTTTAAAATACTTTGGATGTGTTTGTTTGAAGATACTTTTGGGTTTGAAATCTTTAATACTTAAATTTTAAATTTAAATAGTTATTTGATATGATATAAATATGTGTTGATATCATAACTGTATAGAAATTATTTCGTAAGTAATTTTTTTTTTTGGCTCATTTGGTTCCCGGCCTAGAGATATGCACGCGGCACCCGCCTAGCACGCCAGAGCACACGTGTGTCCGTCACATAATTAAATGGTTGTTTGTTGAGGGATGTATATGTGAATGAAAAAGTCTCATAGTTATTTTTGACATAGGACAAATGTACTTTCTTCGTACCGCAACAAGTTATTCTATTTTTAACAGACAGTGGTTGCAGAAAGTCTACTGTTACAACCATGATGCAACCAGCTTCATGAACTTATTTTTATTCAGTGTGTCTCATTCATTAAATGCTTACAAGAAACAAAAATAATATTTTGAGAATGGTCAAAACGTGCAGATTCATTGAATGATACTCCATCTCATTTCATGCTAAGGGTGCTAAGAGAAA